TTCGGAACCGTTCCGCCGCTACCTCGACAGGGAGAGGCTCCGGGGGGCGCATGTGAGGCGTCGAGGGCTTCCGGAGGGTGCAGTAGGATACGGAGAAACCTGTAAAGCTCGCTTGAACGCTTGAGACGCTGCTGTCGACGAGAACGCGAGCCACTCGTCCTCCTCGTCCCGCTTGACCTTCGCAAGTCGACGAAAGCCTTGCGAGCGCGCGAGTAGCTGGTTCTGCGGGCTTCCAGCGACCCTACAGCGCTCCTGCAACCTCATACTCTGGCTCTCTCACCACCGGACTTGCCGGCGCTCGACGAGGTCCGACCGTCCTCCCTTGTCCTCCTCCTCACCACATCGCTTGCTCACCCACGCTTCAGACTGCCCGCTCAGCCATGCCAGCCAGTCTCCCGCTCGAAACTGTCCTCGACATTGTCCGCGCGTACATCCAGCGCGACTTCTTCTACGAGGACTGGTCGCCCTACCACCATCGCCTCGCGACGCTCTGCCTCGTCTGCAAGGCCTTCAAGGACCTTGTGCAGCGGGTCCTATGGTCTCGTTTGCGCCTCAGCAGCGACGCCCAACTCGAAAAGCTCGCCGAGCCTGAGACTGGCACCTCGCGCCTCTTCCAGCACGTCGAGGATTTCGCGGGACTCGGGCCTGACTGCGACGGGCATTTCCGCGATGGCCTGCAAGTCGACGAGCTCATCGGGTCGCTGCTGCCGAACGTGCGGAGCGTTGCAATGCGCAGCTTCGGCGGGAGCGTCTTCGACATGGAGAGGGTGGCGTTTTGCATGGGTGCGTGCTGCAGAAATCTGTCAGATCGCTTTCTGCACGCCGGCTGATGTGCGTCTCCGCAGCCCTAACGTCCCTCGCCCTCGAGAGCTATTTCTTGTGCGACATTTCGAGATCCCTTGTCCTCGCCAACCTGTACGACTTATCGCTCGTCCGCGTGAGTAGCGCTTCGCCCTACGGCGTCTCGCGCGTTCTTCACGAGGACTGTACGCCAGCTCTTCGGCGGCTCTACCTCGCAGATATCTTTGACGCCAACGAACCTGACTCCTGGTTCCCCGAGCCTCGTCTTCCAATTCAAGGCCTCGACCTGCGCCGCGTCAAGACTGTCCAGCTCAAACCGGAGAGCGTTGAGCTGCTTCCCTCGGCTTTGTACCACCCGGACGGCCCATTCGGCAACAAGTCGGACGTCCTCCTCTCTTGGACGGCGCAAAGCGGCTACCAGCTTTCGGGGTCCTTCGAGCTCCCTCGCTTTTTCCAGCTCCACATTTTGCACTGGATGCTTGAAGCCCCAACGTCGCAGTTCACCGAGGCGATCAGAAGCGTGCTCGACATCGTTTGGGGCGAAGAGTTCGAGGTCATCTTCCTTCCGTCGAGCGTCCGCAACCGCGCAAACGTCCCGACCTGGATCCAGCGAGGCCTCCGCACTCTCTTCGACGAATGCATCGACGCCGGCATCTCGATCTACTTCTACAGTGACAGCTCGGAGGAGTCGTCCTTGCGCATGTCGGACGCCTTCCTCCGCTTCGTCAACGACCCGTCGATGCCGGATGAGAGTCCTCTCATCGTTGAGTCTGTCGTTGAGTCTCGCCGGTCGAGGACGGGCGAGGCAACGTCACCCAAGACTCACGAAGAGACGCTTTGGACTTTCGCCAAGAGCTTCGGAGAGATCGGAGATCTCGACGATGAGGACGACTTGGGCGGCGACTTCTACTCGGAGGACGAGGGCGAGGATGAGGAGGACGACGAGTGGGGTACGGAGGAAGAAGATGCGGAAGTGGAGGAGTGAGAGAGATTGAGGCGACGAGGGTGAGGGGAGCTTGGTAGGCGGCTATGAGTGGCTGTGAGGAGGACCGCTTTACAGCAAGCGTACGCACATTGTAGTGACAGGCTGTCAAGAAACCTGCAGAACTTGTAGAGCGCAAAGCCGCATTGTTCTCCTCTTCCTCTCGAGTCGACGCAAGGCTCGCAGCGAGGTTGGTAGAGCCGGATCGAGCGTGGCCAGCAATGAGTACATCAGTGCGAGTACAGAGAGGAAGGACAAACAGAGCGATATGCGTCAAAGACCCGATAAATGAGCGAACGCGACTCCTCCTCCTTGCGCATCCTCGCCATCAGTACCTCCCTTGGCCTCCGTATCCGCCGTAGCCGCCTGCGCCACCATACTGACTGTACGGAGGGTAAGAGGGAGGCTGCTGAGGGTACCTTGCGCCGCCAGGCCCTTGCTGAGTCTGCTGAGGGTAGTAAGGCGCAGGCGGTGGCGGGGGCGGTCGGTAGCCGGATGGCAGCGGAGGGGCGATGTAGCCTGTTGGAAGAGCGTAGCCGGCAGCGCCGCCGTAAGACGCGGCGGGTGGTCGTGCGCCGGCGTTGTCTGCGAAGAAGAGAAGGTCAGTCGGCAAGTCTCGCCAAGGGGCGAGTCGGAAGATCTTACAGCCTGCGTATCCTCCGTACGCGCCTCCTCCACCACCTTGACCGTAACCGTACCCCGCGTAGGCCCCCTGCGGCGTCTGCGCTCCGCTCGAATACCCGCCAGGCGTGTTGTATCCCGACGCGTAGCCCCCTCCACCTCCTCCGCCTCCTCCGTACGACGAGTTTGTTCCACCTTGGTAGCCGCCGCGCCCTTGCGGCGTCCCTCGACCAACGCGGTCAACCTTGGCGAACCCAGGTCCGCCCTGATCCCGCTGCCGCATCGCGTGGAAGCCGTTGCTCTCCGTCCGTTCGCCCGCACCTCTTCGCACCTGGTCCTTGTCGTAGGGCGTCAAGTTGCTGCGCTCGAGTTTGGCGCCAGGGAGGAGGACGGATCGGTGAGGCTGAGTCTGCGGAGGGAAGAAGAAGTAGGCCGAGATCGACTCGTCGTTGACAATGTCGGGCATCGACGGCAAGGGCGAGTCGAAGGTCGTGCCGGGAACGGTGTCGTCGGGAAGAACGGCGCCGGCGATGCCCTTGCTCCGCTTCGCGACGAGCGGGACAGGCTCCTTGGCCTTCTTCTTGCCGTACAAGCCCTCGATGTAATCGTACAGCGGGTGCTTGTTGCCGACGAGGATGACGTCCTTGCCGCGCTCGTTGCGCTGAATCTCAAAGTCGCTCAAGTGCGGGTACTTGCCGGCCATCGCGTCGAGGAGGCGCTTCTCGTCGATGAAGGGCAGGAGCGCAACGCCCTGCCACAGCATCTTCTTGCCGTTCATGTCGATGTGGAACTCTTCGGGGTAGAAGTCGATGATGGGCGAGTCCGACTCGGTCATGAGGGGTTGGAAAGGCTCGGGGAGGTGAATGCGACTGCGAGAAAGACGTCAGCTCAGCTCTTCTCGCACAGGTGTGTAAGGTCAAACCACTCACCTCGCCGCCGGGAAGACGCCCATGAGCTGCTCGTAGGGTCGGAAAGGGGCGCCGAGCTCAAAGTCGATCTCGAGTTGGTCGATATCGACAAAGTCGCTAGCGAAGGGGCTGAAGTGGTACGGGTAGTACCACTGCCAGCTGGGGGTCCCCTGGTAGTAGTAGTGGAGGACCCAACACAGCCCCTCCACGTAGCACTTGACGATTTTCTTGCGGAACTCGACATCGCTGAGCTCGACGCCGAACTTGGACCGGTAGTAGCGCTCCTTGTAGCCTGGCTCCCACAGCCTGTAGGGCGAGAAGCGAGAGTCAGTGACGGCAGCCGGGAGAAGTGAGTGCTTCAGACGCACTTGACGGTGTCGTCCTGCTCGACGACGTTGTTGCCGAGCATCTTGAGAGGCGGGGGCTCAGCGATACCGAGACCAGCGACCATCGCCGGCTTGGGCGGGAGGAGGCTGCTCTTGAGGAACGCGTTGACGCCGTCGGCGTCCTCCTCGTCGTCCTCGTCGACCTCGGGATCAAGCGCGTCATCGGGGTCCTGCGAGCCGACGCCGTCGTCGGGTGGCGCAGCGCGCTTCGTGCCGCGAGGGGAGGTCGCCTCATCCGCCATCTGGTCTTCCGACGAAGCGAGCATCTCGGCCTTGAGCTTGGCAGCCGCAGCCGAGTTGCGCTCCGCCTCCGCCTTGCCCGCCTCCTCTGCCTCTTTCTCCTTCTTCACCTCGGCGTCGTCCTCCTCCGCAGCGGGCGTCTCGGTCTTGGCGTCGGAGGAAGACGAGCCGGCAGCGAGTTCGGCCTTGAGCATGTCGGCAGCCGAGAGGTTGGCCATGCGGATTGCCATCCGGTTCGCGACAATCGACTTGTTCGACCCGACAAGCGACGCCGCCTCCTTGCCCTTGTCCGCCTCCTTCTCCTCCGACTTGGCCGCCGCATCCGCCGCCCACTGCGGCTTGGCGGGAAGTCCAGCAGGTCCCGAGGCGGTGACCGCGACGGTACCGTTCGCGTTGACCTCGACGTAGTCCTGCTCAGGCGCAGCGGTCGGCTCGGGGAAGCGCATGTGGTTGCCGCCGCCTCCGCCGTTCCGGTGCTGGTCGCGCTGCTCGCGCTCGATCTTTCTTCGCTTCTCGGCGCGGTCCTGACGCTCCTCGGCTACGCGGAAATGTAGTGCGTCAGTCAAGCGGACACACGCGGATGGAGCATTAAGCGAAACGCACCTTCACGCCTCTTGCGGAAGATCTCGTCCTCGCGCATCGCCAACTGCTCGAAGATGATCTGGACGCGCTTGAGCTCGACCTTTCCGTGGTTGGTCAAGTATCCGCCCATGCGCTCGAGGCTGTTCTTCCAGATCCCGATGAGAGTGTCGATAGCTCCTTCGCGAATCTCGAGCGAAGGCAAGTGCGGCAGGAAATCGTTTCCGACGAAGAAGATGAGGAAGACCCAGTCGTCAATCGCGCGTTCGAGGTTGAAGGGGAAGGTGTGGATCGGGGCGGAGAGCTCGACGGCGAGGTATTCGCGGAGTGTCGCAACGTCGAGGAAGATGAACGGCTTGAGGCTGCCTGGCGCGCCCTTGGGCGTCAAGTCCGCCTCAGGCTTCTTCACCTCGCCCGTACATTGACTCGAGTGGTGTCCAGGCTGTCCGCAGCGGTGACACCCACGCCCCTTCTTCTTCTCATCCGCAAAGACGTCCTCGCGGAGGACCTTGAAGTGCGGCTCGTGCGTCGCGAGCGAAAGCATGATCAAGTCGGCGTCGAGACCGTAGATGACGTGCTTCGTGTTCGGGTCGTGGTCGGGAGAGACGCGCTGGCGGCGGATGAAGTCCATGATCTTGTGCTCGCCCTCGCCAGGAACCGACGCGTCCGAGATGATGACCTCGAGCTGGGTCGGCGGATGCTGTCAGCAATGGGTACAGCTGAAAGGGGATAAGAAGCGAGACAACGCACGCCTGCCCATCCGGGGTCCTCATTGATCTTCTTCCGCACCCAGTACCGCAGACTCTTCGCCAACAAGTCCATGAACGGCGTTCCCGGCGTGATCGCATTCGAGTCCCACCCCTTCTCGTTCCTATACTCATCACTGACCTCCTTCCCCATCGCCTCAAGCTCCTTGATCGCGTTCTGTCGATCCTCCTCCTTCTGTTTCGCTTCCTGCGCCGAACGGAAACGACGAGAGCGCTGCTGGTTCATCTTTGCGCGGGGAGCGACACCGTCGATGGCCATCATGAGGAGCTTGCGGGGGCGGACCATCGAGACGACCCGGTCGGTGTAGATGAAGACCTCGCGCATCATGTCCTCCTCCGTCTTCGGTGCGGGCTGCGGAGTGAGACTCGTCAGCACACGTCACGCTAGCAGAAGACGAGAGGAAGCGGGTGTGCACCTTTCCTTCGGGATGCGTACAAGGATGCACGATACCGTTCATATCTAGATACAGATTATCGAATTCTTCGCCGTTCGGGTTCGGTCCCGACGAGTCGACGGGCTGTGTGCAAGAACCGGGTGTCAACGGGGAGAGTTGCAGGACAGAACGGGAAGACGCACGAGAAACTCGACCTCGCCATCGGGTCCGGGAACCTGGACGGGCTGCTCCTCGATGACCGACGTGACGAGCTTCGGGTACTTCTTCGACAGCCAGCGGAAGCTGCACAAGTTCGGTAAGTCAGCCACATACAAGGGGATGCAGGACGAAGCGCAGGCGTCCTCCCTGCAGGCTTCGTGCTCCGCGCAAGAATGCTTAGTACTCACAGTGCTGGGACACCCATGTCGTCCTACTGCTCTTCCTACCGCGAAGTGCGGTATTGGCGATAGACGAAAGAGGGGAGAGAGGGTGGTGCTGTAGGGAGAGCAAGACGAGGTCAGCATTGATCCCGGATACTCCAAAGGCTCGACACTGGTTGTGCACAATGTCCCCGTCACTCGCGAGCCTCGCCGTTTGTTCCTGCGGCCCACAACGACCCTCCAACCCTCGTCCGCCTCGAACCTGATGACCAGTCATGCTCCGTCGGCAGCGTCTCCGAAGTCTTGCTTCAAGCTCTGGTCCCCATTTCTCATCTAAATCAGTCCGTTCAAGACCACCCAGCCCACCCGCAAGCCGTCGCGGCGCTGTTTCGTCGTCGTGGCGATGAGAATCCGCTGGGAGGTGGAGCAGCTCGCGTCGCCCGCCCTACGCCGCACCGGTAGTCACAGCGCCAATTCAAACGAGCTTCGGATAGTCAGTGAGAGCTCACCTGGCCGAGAACAGCGCAGCAGACCGGGTTGAAGCGAGTCGACCGGGTTGAAGCGAGTCGAACCCGCTCTCTCGCCTCGCTCAGCAAGCTCGTCCATCTCCATCTCTCGCTCACACGCTCTCACGCTCGCTGTGACCCTGCTGGGACTGTCACGAGGACCGTACAGACTATGCCAGCTACTACATTAAAGTCGGCGGGCAAGAAGAGGCGCGCTTCGTCTGGTGCAGCAGCCGCTTCTCCAAGGGCTTCGACATCGCGCGACACGCTCGACAGGGATGACGGGCACACTGTGGAGGACGCGAAGGGCGATGACAGTCGACTTGCGGCGTTTTTGCAAGAGAACGAGGCCGACAAAGGAGACAACGCGGGCGAGGTGGAAGTGGACGAGGCGGATGAGGATCAGGGAGGCCTGGAGGACAGCATGGCGCAGGAGAACGCGGACGACAAAGAGCTCTCGGAGCGGGATCTCCTCGCCCGCACAACCCTGCCGGAACATCTCCTCCCTCGTTCGCTCAAGAAGGGCGCCAAGACGCCTGGATTGGTCTATCTCTCGCGCCTTCCGCCTGGGATGGGTCCGGCAAGTGTGAGGGACTTGATGAGTCGGTATGGAGACGTTGGGCGGTTGTACCTCGAGCCAGCGAACAAGGAAAAGGGTGCGTCGCGGGTTCACCTCGATTCGCTTGGCTTATGCCGACTTCGGGTTGAGCAGTCAGCTGATTGTATTTGGCGGTATGCGACGCAGGTCTCAACCGCAAGAAGAAGGAGAAGCACCAGTCCCACCGGTTCAAGGAGGGCTGGGTCGAGTTCGAGGACAAGCGGGTCGCGCGATCCGTCGCAGAGATGCTCAACGCTCAGCCGATCGGTGCGTCGCTTCCTTGCACACTCACTCGCTCGCGGACGCTGAGATCTTTGGCTGCACAGGCGGAAAGCGCGAGTGGAAAGACGATGTCTGGACGATGAAGTACTTGCCCCGGTTCCGTTGGGACCAGCTGAGCGAGCAGTTCGGTGCGTCTCCTACTCCTCCCTCTATCTCTCTATCGGTACTTATCTTGACGCTTCCCCCGCGCGCATCGCAGCACTCGAACGCGCAACCCAAACTTCTCTCCTACGCTTCCACCTCTCCTCCACTCGCACGCAGAACGAAGCCTACCTAACGGCCGTCGAGCGCGCGCGTACGAACAAGAAGATCGAGGAGAAGGCTGCTTCGAGGGGGAAGCAGGCGAAGAAGCGTGGCGCCGAGGAGGACGGCGAGGAGAGCAAGAGGAAGAGGTTCAGGCAGAGGGAGAGGGTGGACTTGGGTGAGAAGGAGAAGAGGAGCGCGAAGGACGGAGAGGGAGCGCTGCAGAGCGTGTTGGGGAGGTTGTTCTAGGCGCGAGTTTCAGAGATTTCTCGCAACTCGCGCTGCTCATTCGCTATCTTCGCTCCTGAGCTGTGCCGGAGGAGGGATTGTACTGCGATGTCCAGTGGTCCATGATCTATTCGCTACGGAAGATGCCTGCCGTGTAGCGCGACTCGCGCCACCCTCGTCAACTCGTCCCGCTCCTCCGAGAATCCTCGACCTCCTCGCTTAGCCGACTGCGTCGCCTACTCGATCTTCCACGACTCCCAGGCCGTCGTCCTACGGGACGTCATCGTTGCCCAGCCCATCCTCTTTGCCCGACTCGCTTTCCTCGTCAAAGCCCTTTGCCAAGTCCCACAACGTCCCGTCGTCCGTCCATGGCCGCACTTCGTGCGTCCGGCGTTCCCACTCAACCTTGAGAGGGTTCTCGTCCGGCATCAAAGGGTTGTCGATGAAGCGGAGGAAGGCGTCCGACATGTGAAGGGACGACTCTTCGGAGCTGTCGTCGTAGAAGTAGATCGAGACACCCGCGTCGATGCACACGTCGAAGAGGGTGCGGAGGCCGCGCTGGATCCAGGTCGGGACAGCTGCGCGTTGGCGAACGATTCAGGGAAGGAAGATGACCTCGACCTCTTCGCCCCAAACGACGTCGAGCACGCTTCTGATCGCCTCGGTGAATTGCGACGTCGGGGCTTCGAGCATCCAGTGCAAAATGTGGAGTTGGAAAAAGCGAGGGAGCTCGAAGGGCCCCGAAAGCTGGTAGCCGCTTTGCGCCGTCCAAGAGAGGAGGACGTCCGCCTTGTTGTCGAATGGGCCGTCCGGGTGGTACAAAGCCGAGGGAAGCAGCTCAACGCTCTGCGGTTTGAGCTGGACAGTCTTGACGCGGCGCAGGTCGAGATCTTGGAGCGGAAGGAAGGACTCGGCAAACATATCTTCGGGCTCGTCGGTGTCCAGGAGTTCTGCGAGGTAGAGGCGCCGTAGACGCGGAGTGCAATCCTTGTGGAGGAGCTTCGCCATGATCCAGTCACAAACGCTCACGCGGACGAGCGATAAGATCTGCAGGTTGGCTAGGACCGACGTCGGAACGTCGTACAGGGCAAAATCCTCCAGGGCGAGGGATCTTTAGGCTGTAATAGGGCGTCTCAGTGTGTGGGCGAGTAAATGTCGTTAAAGTCCCACTGTACGCACCTGCAAATGAGCTGACTTTGTGGACGAAGGCATAAGTCCCGCCGAAAGTGCGCAAGGTGATGTGCTGCAAGCTCGGTGCGACCATACCGAGGATATCAAAGGCTTGTTGCTCAAAGCGGAAGTGCGCGGTGCGCCGGCAGTCGAGTCCTGCCAACTCCTCGACGTGCTGGAAGAGGTGGGAGGTGCCAGTCTCAGGCGCGCCGAGCTTCTCGAGTTGCTGGTAGCTGCTGAGGCGCAAGTGCGACCAGAGGACAGGCTGAACGACGTACTTGAAGTCCTTGCAGACGAGGCAGAGCGGTGCAATCCGGTGGTGGTAGGGCGACCAATCCTCGTCGAAGAAGTCGCGCTGGATGTAGGCGCGGAGAATTGCATGAACGAGTTCGAGCGGGAGAGTGGCTGGCATGGCTTAACGAGCAGTCTGAGCGTGTGAGAGCGGGCGAAGTGAGGAGGAGGAGGACAAGGGAGGACGGTCGGGCCTCGTCGTGACCCGGTAAGTCCGGCGGGTGAGAGTGCCAGAGTATGAGCTTGCAGGAGCGCTGTCGAGTCGCTTGCAACCCGCGGAAGCAGATATTCGGGCGCTCGCAAGGCTTTCGTCGAGTTGCGAAGGTCAGCGGAACGACGAGGACAAGTTGCTCGCGGTCTCAACGACAGCAGCGTTCCCAAGCGTTCAAGCGAGCTTTACAGGTTTGTCCGTATCCTACTGCCCCCTCCGGAATCCCTCACCGCCTCACATGCGTCCTTCGAGCCTTTCCTTCGCGAGGTAGCGGCGGAAGGGTTCCGATGTCGAGCTGTCGAAGAGGTCGTCCTTGCGATCTGAATAGTAGCCGACGTGCTTGATCCGATACTTTTTGATAGCGGCTTCGAGACGGCGTTGGGTCTTCATGTAGCAGCCCGTGCCGTAAGGAAGAAAGAGCGCCTTCCGCCCTGCGCCCTTCTCGATGGCCGCGACAAGGTCTTCGACATAGTCACTGGCCCTGGTTTGCCTCACGCGCATCTTCGCTCCTTCGGCACATAGCGCATCGACGCCGGTGAGCTGGATGTACTCCGTGTCGCAGTAAGGTCCGCAGCCCAGTGTCGGAACGACCTGGCCGAGTGCGGAGAGACTGGTGTCGGAAGGACGTTCGTAGTGCAGTTGGACAAAGTCGAGTCGTGAAAAACTTGCGGCGGCTGCGAGGAGGAGGGTGGCCGCATTCTCCTCGAAGCGATGGGCGTCGAGCAGCGCGAGGCTGCGCAGGTTTGGCGTCAAGGCGGGGCGCAGGAAGTCGAGAATGACTCGGGCAGGGAGCGGAGAGAGGAGGCTGAGCTGATTGATGGCGAGAGAATCGGTGTTTTGACGAGGAGAAGGCTTGATGCAGACGAGGAAGAGGAGTTTCAATTCCTCGAGGGCTGCACGCATGAGTCTCGGTCAGAATGGAATTTGCGCGGACCTCGACGGAGTAGAGAAAATGCTACACACCCGGAAAGTACCGCGCGGTATAGTCGACAGGCGTGCAGCTCGCCCGAGCCTTCCCTTGTGGACGAGCGTCTTGATGGCTTGGCCGTTCGCTCGAACAACGTCAAACGGGTCGTCCGGAATGCCGCAGACGACGGAGACGTCGGCGAAAGTGCCTGCGCGGGCGACTTCTTCAAGCTTGTTGATCGAGGAGCGCTGCCTGCCCTTGAAGAAGATGGGGCGAGTGTTCAGAGTCGGTCTGACCGCTTTGTGGAAGGCCTTGCAGACGTAGCTCAATGGCCTCAAGCGTCGGCGTTGCTCGAGCTTCTTCTCGTCTTTGCCGCGAACAAGGGCGAAATCGACCACAAGGAGGGCGAGTTCGAGCGGCAGGGTGGCAGGCATGTTCGTGTGTATGGATACGAGCGGTCCGGTCGCAGGTGAAGCGAGATGAAGTGAGGTGAAGGAGGGAAAGAGGCGAGCGAGCGGGAAGTCCGCGGACGCTGGCGGCGCGAGTACGATTGATGTGAGGCCGGAGGAGACAAAGTGCGCTGTAGATGTCATAGCGTCGGAGAGAAGGAGAGAAGGAGAGAAGGAGAGAAGCGAAGGAGGAGTCGAGACGAATCTGAGCCTGCGAACCCGGCGAGCGCGTGGGCGAGAGGAAAGCGTTGCGAACTCCGTTCCACTGCAAGCAATGGCGCGAGCCTCGTTAAGCACAGCGAGGTCCGAGACAGCGATTGCAGACGTGCAGTCGCCAGTCCGTTGCGCCGAGACTTCTGCTCCTGCGATCCCCTCTCAGCCTGGTCCAGATTTCCCTCGCCGCAGTCCCTCCATGCATCGGCCTGGAGGTCGTTCGTAGCGGGAATGCTTATCCTGCACAATCTGCAGATCCGTTGGAGCCGGTTTGAGAGGGGTTTGCAAGTCGGTATCGCGCGAGTTGTCAACGATTTAAGGTCGGTCGGGCGGGATTTGCAGGCCTTTCTCGGCCGTGTACTCCGACCAGATCCGCACGCGCTCAGCGTTCTTGTCAAGCAGCCCTTCTCGAAAGTCGGCATCGCCGCTCGAAGCTAAAAAGCGCTCGAACGCGGGCGAAAAGTCGTCCGTCCTCCGCTCAGACTCGTCGTAGACGACCACAGGCACGTCAAAGTCGTGACAGGACTCGAGGAGTGCGAAAAAGGCGGCGCGAGTCCATCGGCAGGTGAACCAGGTCGTATCGTCGAAATCCGAGGGAAGGAGGAGCGACTTGACGCGGCCGTGCGAGACGAGGAGCATCATGTCGTCGACGATGCGGTCGAGCTCCTCGTTCTGTTGCGTGTAGTCGCTGCCGAAGAAGCGGCGCCAAGGTGAGGCGTACAATTGGAGATGGAATGCCGGAGTGAGTTGGAAGAAGAGGTCGAAGTCGTCGAGACCGGTTTCGATATGCCAAGTCTTGACGACGACCGGCGTTTCGTCCAGCCCAAGGAAGTCGAGCGCGTCGAGTCCGTCATTCGCTCCAGTAACGAGGGCGTATCGCAGGCGACTTAGGTCGGTCGTGAACGGCGAGAGGGCGGGCATGTGCATCCGTAGCCGGCTCGTGTGCAGCTTCTGCAAGCGAGGCGTAGTTTCAGGTAGAAGTAGGCGCTGGAAAGAGGCGTAGGGACCGTCGCACGAGTCGAGCGAGAGGATCTGGAGCGCCGGAAGTCGCAAGTCGAGCGGAGCTTCGCTCAGTCGGTGGCCGTAGAGTCGCAGGGTCGTTAGACCTGTACATCAGTGTGTCAGCTCGGCATCACGGAGAAAGAAGGCGACAACTCACGCTCAAACAACCCGAATCCCTCCAACGACACCTGCTTGCGCCCAAACCAAGTCGACGAGTACTGCCGCAAGTTCGGCAGGTAGTACCGCACGATGAACGAAGCCTCGTCCGGCTCTTCTGGCGCATCCCGACCTGCTCGCGAACCGTCGCCCGCCCGCATCTCCTGGACATGCTTGAGGAGGTGCCGGTTCCTCCCCTCCCTCCCAGCCGCCTGGTGAAACTGCTCTAGCCTCTTAACACGCAATGTCCTCCACAACACCGGCTGCACCGCGTCCCGAAAGTCCTTGCAGACGAGGCAGAGCCCATCAAGTCGTCGCCGGTAAGCGAGCCAGTCCTCGTCGGACAGGTCGCGGTCGATGACACGGTGGATGATCAGCAGGACGAGGTCGAGTGAGAGGAAGGCTGGCATGGCAGAGCGAGCAGTCTGAGCGTGTGAGAGCGAGAGAAGCGAGGTGGAGGAGGAAGAGGAGGAGGAAGCGGTGCGGGCGAAGGAGACTCATTCGCTGGGCGGCTATTCGGTTCTCGAAAGCTTCTCTCGTTCTCTCTTTGCATGCGAAACGGTGCAGGAAGTCAAAGGAGAGGCGCGGAGTGTTGCAATTGTCAATCCTCCAGCTCGAAAGCGCTGCTACACCTCGTCAGCAAGCGATGGAGAGAGGCAAAGTCGGTAAAACGCCTTGGATGGTGCTTGAGACGGAGAGGGAGAGAGGGAAGCGCGGCGAAGATTTACGAGTCGTTCAAGCGCGAGTCGCCGCCGGACGACGAGCGATTTGGCGGATACTCGAGCTGGTGCTCCGTCGTGTACTCCTGCCAGATCCTCACGCGCTCGATATTCTCCTGGAGAAGGCGTTCACGGACGTCCGTGTTGCCGCTCGAGGCGAGGAAGCGGTCGAAAGCCGGAAGGAAGTCGTCCTCCGACTCGCCCTCGTCGTAGATGATGACCGGCGTGTCGGAGTCGCGGCATGCCTCGAAGAGCGAGAAGAAGAGGGCGCGTGTACGCCGGTGGTCGAACCAGGCGGGGTTGTCAAAGTCGGAAGGGAGGAAGAGCGACTTGACGCGGCCTCGCGAGGTCATGTTGCACACGGAAGCGATGGCATCCTCAATCTCGTCGTCGTAGTTGAGGTGTATGCTGTGTTTCTCGGAGCGCTTGGGAAGCGGGTACAGTCGAAGGTGAAGCGGCGTCCCCAAGCTGGCGGCGCTGGGAAAGTTGCGGATTCTCTTCGCCACGCTCCAGCCATGGACAATGTTCTGCACGCGATGGAGACCGAGGTATATCGGAGGATAGAACTGGCGATCCCAGGCGACAAGTTGAAGATAGTCGAGGGGACGAGGGTCTGGCGTTGCGATCAGGAAACCTGTGCTGTGCATTATAACGCAGTCAAGGTGCATCTTGCGAAGCTTGGGCGTGCAGGTCGGCATCAGCAGACGTTGGCAGGTTGCCATAGCGACGAAGCACTCCCTGAGCGAGAGAGCTTCGAGCAGCGGCAACTGCAAGTCGGTCGGGAGGTCGGCGAGTCTGTGACAGGACAGCTCGAGGATCGTTAGGTCTGCAAGTAGCGACTAGTTGTCAGCGATTCAGGGGCATACAGTGGATGGGAGGAACTCACGCTCAAACATGGCGAAGGCCTCCATCGACACCGCATGCGAGCCGAGCGCCTTCGAACGGTAGACCCGCAGGTTCGGCAAGCAAGAGCACAGGATGGAAGCAGCCTCGTCCCCCTCATCCATCTATTCTGACTGGTCGTCTGACTGGTCGTCTGCCTGATAGTGCGCCTGCTCCCCCGTCTCCGCCGCGGAACTCTTCGACCTGCTCGAGGAGGCGAGGGTGCCTCCCGCTCCTCTCAGCGAAGGAATGGAGCTCTTCGATGCGTCCGATCTGCAAGGCCTTCCAAAGCAACGGCTCGACGACGTCCCAGAAAGCCTTGCAGACGAGGCAGAGATGGGCGACTCGCTGATGGTGCATGGGCGAGTCCTCGTCGGGCACCTCGCGCGCGGTGGCGAGGCGGACGATGGCGAGCACGAGGTCGAGCGGGAGGAAGGTTGGCATGGGCAGCGAGTCGCGCGAAGCGGTGTGAGCGTGAGGAGGGCAGCGAGAAGTGAAGTGTGAAAGGGAGAGGGCGGAGTCGGCGCCCCCCTTCGAACTGATTCCGCGTGATGCGGGCAAAAGGACAGTCGGCTGCTCTGTTCCTAAGCAGTGCGAGCCAGTCGAGCAGTAGCAAAAAGGCTGAGAAGCAAAGGAATGGCAAAAGTGTAATCGCGAGCACAGTGGGATTTGAACCCACGATCTCCAGTTCGACTCTGAAACAGCGCGCAGGCTGTTATCGAAGACTGGCGTCTTAAGACCACTTGACTATGCGCCCGATCTCGTTGTGAACGCTTGACTCCAGGCAACACCTATATGGTGCCAATAGGGCTTGCTAGTGCCAGGGTCAGCGGAAGTACCGTTGGACTCGCCCGTTCTTGCTACACAACCGCGCAGTAGATGCGATGCAAGCAATGCGAATACAACACCCGGGATCTACGCCCTTCCACCCACCACACTCTCGTCTACCCGGCCCTCCTCCTCATCTCCTCCCTCCCGCCCGCCAACCACGCCCCAGTTCCAACCGCACACAGCGCCATCCCGCTCGTCATCCAGAATGCAGGGGTGTAGCGCGCTTTGCCGACGAGGACGGCGCGGGAGTCGTAGATTGTCCCGAAGAGGAGGTTGGTAGATTGGCCTGTTCCTCACTCTTCCGTCAGCTCAGCAAAGTAGGTTAGGGGGAGAAAGTGACCGCACCGAACACAGCAGGAGCAAGCGCCAATACTCCATTCGTCTGACTCCAACTCTTGATTCCGAACCTCTCCAACCCAATGATACCGCTCAACCCGAACAAACATCCATGCGCGAGGCCCGTCAATGCAGTCGGAATCCACAGCGCTCTAGGGCTGGAGACCGCTAGTGCGGCGAGTTGCGAGGAAAGGAGGAGTGAGGCGGTCAGGGGAAGCCAGAAGACTCGGGGAAGGGGGAGCAGACGGTGGTGGAGGAGATAGTCGGAGCCGAAGCCGGAGAAAAGGCGGCCGAGGCAGTTGAAGATGGAGAGAAGGGAGACGAGGCGGGATTGGAGGATGGCGGAATTGGGCACTGAGGGGGAGGAGGGGGAAAGGGCGCGGACGACGGTCCCGAGGTTGTTGATGTCTGCGCAACGTCGAGCGTTAGCGTACCTCGATACGCTAGTGACAGACTGCGACGCACAGCAAAGCCCGACGCCGGCACACAGCCCATTGAAGAGGAAGATCAAGTAAAAGTCCAGCTCGCGCAGCAACGCCAACCCGGTGATGTTGCGATCCGGGACGACCGACGACGTCGACTTTGACGATTGAGAGCGGAGAAGCGGGGTGCGCTCCGGGGAAGCGCGAGCGGAAGGCAAAGAACCAGGTCGCTCAGTGTCGATTTCCGCTGCGACGCTCTCCGCATCGACCCCTTCCTCTTCTTCCCCAACAGTCGTCGAAGCGTCCTTGACCGCCTCCGCCTCTCGCAAGACAGGCCTAACGAACGCCAGCCCGACAAGCATACTGACGAGACTTCCAAGTGCGAGGAGGAGGAGGAAGTCGGAGGTTAGGTCGTATTCTTGCGCTCGCTCCTTAAGCGCGAGGATTTCGGAGAGAGACGAGGATGGGCGAGAGGAGGAGGAGCGGTGGCGAGGGTGGAGGAAGAGGGAGGAGAGGGTCGAATCTGCGAGCGTTGAGTGCGTGAGCTCAAGCCCGCTTCACGCAAAGCGCCTGCTGACCGGAAGAGCGATCGAGGGGCGCACAGCAGGTGGCAGGGACACTCACAGAGGAAGGCCGACAATCCAAAGCCGGACAAGACGACCGAGAGAGCTGCCGCTCGTCGCTGTTGTCTCGAGCAAGGCTTAGCGACCGTTCTTCGGCAAACAGCCTCAGACGCCGTCTACGAGGCGCCAGGAGCATGACCCGAGGTGTTTGCCGACGCACCTTTCTGAACGACTTGGCGACGCTGTTTCCTGCCGAACTCAGTCCTGCCGTCGAACCTGCGACACATACATGCGTCAGAACCCACACTCAAGCGGGGACAGCGCATTGGCTGCGAAAGACGACGAGTCGACGCACCCATTCCCGTCAAGAGTTCCGCCGCAACCAGTCCTGGCAGCCCAAAGCGCTCGAACAACCCTCCTTCTGCCGCACCGGCGAGGTAGAAAGCTCGTATGATGAAGTCTGTTTCGCGAGGAAGGTGGTCAGCCGGACTTTCTAGTGCTCTGAGGGAGAGAAGGAGACGAACAGCCCGCGGTGAGGGCAAAGGCGGCAAAAACGAGTGTCGGTTTCGGGCCTCGGCGGTCGACTATCCGTCCGATGAAGGGTGCTGGAGAGCGACACCGTCGCCGGACAAGTGCCGGAGGGTCAGCATCTTGCGCGATTCCCTTCCTCCACCTGGCGAGCAAAGTGAAGACTCACAGGACAGGTAGACGCCCATGTTTCCCGCCGCGCCGACTGCGTTCGTCTGTGTCGATGTCAAAGCGAGCCTGGTAGCCAGCTGAGGTGCATATGCGCTGTGTGAGCGAGGAATGAGGTCAGTCAGCGAGATGTGGTGCCGAGGATGAGGTGAGCGCACGAGAACGAATAGTTGAGGCCGCAGGACAGCGATGCGACGGTCGCAGCAGCTAACACAACGTATCTAGCGTGCGCACCCATCGCACAGCGAGCTCAGCGTCGAGCAAAGTGAACGGGAGGAGGCGAAGTTGATCTCTCGCTCTCCCACGACGGTCGACTCGGCTAGGACTGGCTAGAACAGGGCGTGGATGACTCTGTGCGACGTGATCCGCGTCACCGACCTCGTCCTGCGCACGCCCGCCCTTGCGCCCGACCACTGGCAGCGCCCGCACAAGGACCAACCGCTCGTCTGCTCGCTCGAGATCCACACGCACGTTGACGACGAGGCAGACACCGACAATCTCCTCGCAGACTCGCTCAACTACGGCACAGTCACCAAGCACGTCGAGCGACACGTCCGCGAACTCGCCGTCTCCTCATCAGTTGGCGAGGGTGAACTGTCGGGTATCCCGCTCGAAGTCGTCGCAGAACAGCTCGCAAAGGTTGTCATCTTCAGGGCAAAGGCGCCGAACGTCCGCATCGAACTTCGCCGCCCGCGCGCACTCCTCACCGCCGAATCAATCGGCGTTGTCCTCTCTCGCTCTCGCTCCGACTACTCCATTCCTTCTGCCGACGCTCCCACCGACTCTCTCGACGCCTACACTCTCCTTCCGACCGCTGCCTCCCCCGCGAACGATACCCTCTTCGTCCGCCAACTCCGCCGGCACGTTATTATCGGCCTCAACCCGTGCGAACGCCTCGACGAGCAGGAAGTCATTGTCGATTTCGAGTTTTCAGCTCCCGACGACGGCATGATTGCGAGTAACGGAGCTCGAATGGGCTGGTTGGGCTGGAGAGGGGCGGTCAAGCGGGCTGAGGAGGTGCGTGTCGGGCATCAAGATGCCGTCTCGCGCTCTTCGCGGTCCCGCTAAGAGGGAGGAATTGTAGTCTGATGCGTCGTCTCTCGTCTCACAGCACTTTACGTCGACCAAGCCCCTCACGATCGAATCCATCGTCGTCTCGCTCTCCTCTCTCCTGCTCACTCCGCACACCTCCCCATCGCCCATACCAGCCGCGCCCTCTTCCGCATCTGGACCGTCGCCACAGCTCGATTGGAAGATCCCTCGCACGACCGTCCGCCTCTCGAAACCCGCCGCGCTGATGTTCGCCAAGCACCCTTCGGTCCAAGTGACCCGTTCACGAGCGGACTTTCCCGCACTCTTCTCCACCTCCGCCACACGCGCATACTCGACCACTCCCGCTTCGAGCGGCTCGAAGACCCTGCGTACGGCGTACATTGGACTCGGCACGAACCTCGGACAGCGGGTCAAGAACCTCAACGACGCAGTCTCGACGCTCGACCGCCTTGGCGCCGAGGAGGGCCGGACGCAGGTTGTTGAGACGAGCTGGATGTATGAGAGCGACGCGATGTATCATGAGGAGCAGGAGCGGTTCCTCAACGCGGTTGTCAAGGTGCGTACTTCGGCTCTTGCTTCATATTTCGCAGACCGTCGTGCTCTTGCGGTACTCGTTAGCGTCGACGTAGTTGATGTTGAGACTGACGCGCTGCGGCTATGCAGATTGAGACGACCCTTCCTCCCCTCCGCCTCCTCACCCTCCTGAAACGCGTCGAGTCAACCCTCGGTCGCGACTTTTCGACCTTCCGGAATGGCCCACGCGTGATCGACCTCGACCTCCTCCTCTACGAAGACGTCGTGCTGGACACGCGCGAGACGGGCGAGAAGGACGAGGAGGGACGGTGGCTGAAGGTGCCGCATCAGGGCATTGCGGAGAGGGAGTTCGTGCTGCGACCGCTTGTCGAGTGCGTTCGAGCTTCAGAGGGCCTGCTCTATTTCTCGACGGCGGGAGAGCTGACAATGTTGCAACCTCGAAACAGCCTCGCCCCTTCGCTTGTCCACCCCAGCCTGAAGAAGACGCCTTCCGAGCTCCTCTCCTCACTTACGACCTCGCCGTCTTTCGCCTCGACAGTCCACCGCGTCTTCCCTCTCTCCGCCTCGCTCGTCCACCCCTACTTCCGCCCCACCTCTTCCTTCCTCCCCTACGCCTCCGACACTCGCACACTCGTCATGTCCATCCTCAACCTCACGCCCGACTCGTTCTCCGACGGCGATGCGGCGAGGTCGTCAGACGTCGAAGTCGCACTGAGTGAAGCGAGGAAGCATCTCGAGGAGGGAGCGGATATCGTCGACGTTGGCGGGATGAGCACACGTCCTGGCGCCGCCGACATCGGCTCAGAAGAGGAGATTCGACGAGTCGTGCCATTCGTCAAGGCTCTTCGTGCAGCCGAAGACTCGAAGCGCGCTGTGATCAGCATCGACACTTTCCGTCCCGACGTTGCTCGCGCCGCGCTCGATGCTGGCGCAGACGTCATCAACGACGTCTATGGAGGACGCGAGCCGGGCATGCTCAAAGTCATGGCGGAGAAGGCTTGCCCGGTCGTCCTCATGCACAGTCGAGGCGATCCCTCGACTATGACCCGCCTCACGACCTACGACGGCGGACTCATCGAGGGCGTCCGACGCGAGATGGAGGAGATGGTTGAGAAGGCGCTCGCTGCGGGCGTCAGGAGGTGGAACATCGTCCTCGACCCCGGTTTCGGATTCGCCAAATTCTCGGACCAGAACTTTGCTCTCCTCCGCCACCTTCCCGAACTCTTCGCCTCCTCACCGACGCTACGAGAGTACCCCGTCCTCCTCGGTTTGTCGAGGAAGAGGTTCCTTGCGCCGGAGAAGAAGGACGCGAAGGAGCGCAGGATGGAGACGGCTGCGGCTGTCATGGCGTGCGTCGCGAGCGGATGGTGCGAGGTCGTCCGGGTGCACGAGACAAAGGATTCGAGGGAGGTTGTGCAGGTCGCGGACAAGATCTACAAGAGTCGAATTGGGGAGGCATAGATGGGTTCGGGTCCAGTGAGTCTTCATCTCTTTTCCTCCGTTGCTTCCCGCTTATCTGTCCTCCTCGGCAATCCTTCCACGTTGTCCAGCAGTACTGTCGCAGCCGCATTATCTCGTCGTCGAGCCTCAACGTGCTTGTTGTAATTCTCCAGGCATTCGCCTCCTTCGCCCTTTTGCTCACTCCGGGCACTTCTACATCGTTCGTTCCACCCGCCGGTATCGCTGCTGTGCGGACAAAGCGTCTCGCGACATTCGCAATAGACGCTGACATCGCATCACGTGACCGACCTGCTTACGAAGTCGGATCACCGCCTTTTCGCAATCCGCTCTGTCGAAGCATTTCGCAATGCTGACGCCGCTGACAGACGCTGCGCACGACCTCGCGCAGCTCGCTGCGTCTCTTCTCTCTTTCTCGCACTCCCAGCACTCCCGCAGCCGACGCCTCCTCTCGCCGTCCACCTCCCAAACCTCCGACTCCTCTCGACACGACGTATAACACCATGCCCGCTTCTTCGCTCGTCAAGTCTGTCGCCCTCGCTGGAGCTGGCACACTCGGATCCGTCATCCTTCCTGAGCTCCTCAAGGCCGGCTTCGTGACGACTGTCCTCACCCGCAAAGACTCGAATCGCGACTCGTCCTTCCCGTCGGGCGCCCTCGTCAAGGAGGTCGACTACGCGTCGTCTTCGTCGCTTGTCGATGCCCTCGAGGGTGTCGACGTCGTGATTGCGACCCTCACCGACCGAGACGCCCAAGTCGCCCTCGTCAAAGCGGCCAAGGAGGCTGGCGTCAAGCTCTTCGTTCCGGGCGAGTTCGGCAATCCTACGACGAATATCGAGCAGAGCGAAGTGCACCCGATCATATACGGCAAGAAGCAGATTCAGGACTCGCTCAAAAGCGTCGGTTTGTCCGCTCTCCTCATCTTCAACGGACCGTTCACCGATACAACTTTCAATGCGTGCGTTGCCTTCTCTCGCTCTCGCTTTTATGCCCTTGTGCTGATCTTGTGCTCTCATACAGCTTCCTCGGCTTCGACACGACGACTGGACGAATTCGCCTCGTCGGCAAAGGCGACACCCCGATCAGCTGGACCACTCGTCTTGACGTCGCTCGCTTCCTCGTCCACCACCTCTCTACGCTCACATCCTTCCCATCGCCGTCCGAGCCAGCCATCCTTCGTATCGAGGGCGACCGCAAGACGTACAACCAGATCGTCGACATCTACCGTCGCCTTCACCCAGAGCAGGACGTCCGTGTCGAGTATGTGCCCGTCAAGGAGGCGGAGAAGATCGCCAAGGACGTACAGAGCGACTTCATCAAGAGCTTCATCGAGTTCTTGTTGCTGAGCTGGGAGAAGGGTGCGACGGTTGACCGCGGACACGAGCTCGACAACGCTAGGTGGCCGGAGTGGAAACCGAAGAGCGTTGAGGATGTCCTCAAGGAGCAGGCTTGACTCTAGACGGGAAAGGCGGCTGAAACGACATGTCGTTCAGATTTTTGCCGTGCTTCTCTGCAAGAGGACGAGCGTGCATGCGGTTCGGAACGCAAGCCCCTGTGGTGAGCTATCGTCTGGGAAGTACAAGCAAGGCGCGCGGCGGAGAAAGAAGCAAAGAAGACGGTTATTGCTGAAGTTACGATGCCTACTCGTTTGACTGGATATACTTGACAAACGCAGGGGTGATAAACTCTGTCCGGTACATCCACTCGGCCTCGTCAAAGTCGAACTCATCGTGGGTTGTCTCGCGCCGCTTTTTCAACTCGTCCCTTTCCTCGTCAGTCCTCGGGTCGATGTGGCCGTCCTCCGCCGTGACGACCGGTACCTCGATCGCCTTGCAGATCTCATTTAGATCGTCCGCAAAGAACTTTCCCAGGTTCGCGGGAAGGAACACCGCCTCGAGTTACGCATCTCGGGGCACACTCCAACTCTCGTCCCCGTACGGACGCGGGTTGATGTACAAGTACCGAACCTTGTCGAGGTGCGCGGCTTCGGAGTTGGCCATGCAGAGCGTTGGCGCATTGCTCGTGTACCAGCCAACCGGAGTCATCTCGCCGTGGTGGTCTTCGAACTGGAGGAAGTCGAGTTGGTCGACGAGTTCGGGCTGCGGGTCGGGCAGGTCGACCCAGTCTACGCCGGCCCACAGGTCGAACTCCTGGCGCGCTGCAAGGCGGAAAGAGCGGAAATGTGGGAGGACAGAGGTGGAGAGAAGCGTCGAGAGGCTGGATTCGCTGCGCAGAGTGCGAGGCGTTTGAGCGCGAGAGGTGCTTTGTCGGTGGTCGCGGGGAAGTTCAGGATGCCGCTGACGATGCACAGGTCGTCGAGTCCTGCAGGAAGCTACTCGTCAGCCGACTCTGTGGCCAACAAGCCGAAGGAGAGCGCTCACGGCGCAGCGGACTCTCCGCTGAGAGGTTGATGTCGACTGTCGACACGCCAAACTCACTCGTGCGTTTGTCGCCAAGGAAGCTCTTCACCACTACGATGAGCGTCTTGAGTTTCGGAAGGCGAGCGAGTATCGCAAAGTCGTCGTGGACGGGCGAGAGATACGCCGCACCGGGAATCCTCGGTGGCTTGATCGTCGCCTTGAGATTCTTGACGGCGCCGGTCAAGTACGTAGGAGCGCCCTCGACGAGTTCTCGGTCCTTGGGCAACTCGATCTGAGCGACTCCCACGACTGCGCCTGCGCGTTCCGCCCGATCTGCTTGTTCACTCTGGACAGCCGCAGGAGCTCGCGCCTTCGACTTGGCGGCCCACGACAGTCTGTATCGCACCCTGCGCCTTCATCGACCGTCGAGCCCTCTTGCGTCTCGTCCACGCTCGCCGCAGCGTCAACGATGCGCAGGACGAGTTCCCGCTGGGAGCCTGTCGAGCGACAACTTGCTGGTGGCGGGTGCAGCAGTCGCTGCGCTGCCGTAGTTGGCCGACATCGCGAGGTCGGATGGTCCAGGAGGAGAGGGAAAAGAGAGGCAGTCGCAGGCAACGGGGCGCGGTGAGGCTTGGCCGGGGTGGCGAGAGAAGCTTCAGCGTCGAGCAACGTGCGTCTTCAGCCAGCAGGACGAGCGTGAGCGTGGTGTCCTTGACAGACCGACAGAAACTCTCCTCGTCATCTCTCGAGCTTCCACACCTCGCCCACCTTGCTCAGACTGCCGCTAGAACGCTCGTACCAGCTCTCACGACCATGGCGATGTCGCTTCCTCTCAAACTTGCGCTCCAGATCGTCGATATCGCTCGCTTCCGCCGACTTGATGAGAGTGCCATCGAACACATGCGGTGGCTCACATGGATCGGCCTGGCGTGCAAGGCGTTCTACGGAGTCGTCGAGCGGACGTTGAGGACGACCATGTTTGCCACGCTCTCGACCAACCTCGACAAGAGCTTCGTCGAACGCACCTTGGCGGCAGCGCGCGCGGGCAGGCCTTTCGAGACGTTGTTTTTGCGGACCAAGGATGACGCCCTGGTGAGCTGGACTATCGAGGAGACGCACGGGTGAGATGCGCCGCAAGCTGGTGCTGTTGCCGGGGGCATCACGTCCAGGCGTCCTTTACCCTCGCACGCTCAGCAGCGAACATTGTCCCGGTGCGTGGCCGTCTTCGACGATTGATGTCAGCTGACTTGATCTACTCACAGCTCTCGCATATCTCGTCGCTTCCGGCAGCAGGATGTCAGGTCGGGCGAGGTACCCTTATCTCGCCTTACATGAACTCGCCGTTGATCTCGACGCTGGAGACTTGGTGCAGCAGCTAGTTTCGCCCTTGGTCACCCCCAATCTTCGGGTTCTGGCAATTTGGGAACGCCCGTCCTCCTCTATGCCTGCGGAAGACCTTTTCGATGATGACCTCCTTACCCGACTCGACTTCGTCCAGATCACCTTTCGCCCCTTCCACTCTGAACCAACGAGTCGACTCTGCAGCAATCAGCACTCAACACCGGTCCTCCTCTGCCCCGACCGTGCCGCCGTCAGCGGAATCGTTCCCGAAAGCTTCTGCCAATCCTACCTCCAGCTTCACTCCATCCGCGGCACCGACGAGCACTCGATGATATGTGTGCTTTACCTTACCGTCTGCATCCGGCAGGGTGCAGCAAAGAAGGCGCTGTTTCTCCCTCAAGAGCTTCATCCGTCGGTGGCGATACCGAGTTCAACTCTACTCAGTCGCGCCCGCGATGACTTGCTCGATGCCATCGACGACGCAGAAGTCGAGTACGTCGGCTGGTACCACGCCGACGAGGAGACAGACGCCTCGCCTTCGGAACCGTTCCGCCGCTACCTCGACAGGAAGAGACTTGAGGGACGCATGCGAGGCGGCGATGGACTCGGAACGGTACAGTACGATACGAGCAACGTGTAAAGCTCGCTTGAACGCTTGAGAACGAACGCTGCGGGCGACGAGAACGCAAGCCAGTTGTCCCCCTCGTCCTGCTTGACCTTCGCAAGTCGACGAAAGCCTTGCGAGCGCGCCAGTAGCTGGTTCCGAGGACTGCAAGCGACGCTACCGCCCTCTTAAACTCTCTTACATTCGCCTGATCGCTCGCCGGACTTGCCGACGCTCGACGAGGCCCTACCGTCCTCCCTTATCCTCCTCCCGCTCACATCGCTCGCTCTCACGCGCTCAGATTGCCCGCTAAGCCATGCTAGCCACTCTTCCGCTCGAACTCGTCCTCGACATCGTCCGCGTCTACATCCAGCGCGACTTCTTCGACGAGGACTGGTCGCCTTATCACCATCGCATCGCACCGCTCTGCCTCGTCTGCAAGGACTTCAACGACGTCGTGCAGCCCGTTCTATGGTCCATTTGCGTCTCACCGGCTACGATCAACTCGAGAAACTTGCCGCGCCTAAGACCGGCGCCTCGCACCTCTTCCAGCACGTCGAGGAGTTTGCGGGACTCGGTCCTCCCCATCGCGCCAGTCTTCACGCCGGCCAGCAAGTCGTGTACCTCCTTAAGGAAGAAATACAGAACGTGCGAAGCGTCGCCTTGCGCAGTTTTGGCGGAAATGTCCTGGCCTTTAACGGGCTGGGTCCTGCAAGGGTGCGTCCTCCGTTGAAACCAACTTCGCCCCGGCCTGCTTTGCTAATTGATCTGAAACTACGCAGCCCTGACCTTCCTCGCTCTCGAGAACTTCGTCTTACGCAACGTGCCGGTTTCCCTTGTTCTTCCGAATGTTCAGGAGCTTTCGCTTGTCCGCGTGGGTACTCCACGCTACATCGTTGAGAGGCTCCTTGACAAAATCTGCACGCCAAGTCTTCAGCGCCTCTACCTCGCAAGTCTCTCGGAAACCGAGGAGCCCGAAGACTTATTCGCCGAGTCCTTCCTTCCGATCCAGCATCTCGACCTGCGCCGCGTCAAGGCTGTCCAGCTCAAGCCGCAGAGTGTTGAGATACTTCCCTCGGCGTTGTACTACCAGACCGGCCCGTTCAGCGAAGAGACGGAGATCCTCCTCTCGTGGACCGTTCAGGCTCGCGAGCAACTGTGGGGATCCTTCGCACTTCCTCGCTACTTCCAGCTCCACATCCCGTCCTGGATGATTGAAGCGCCGACCTCACAATTCGCCAAGTCGATTCACCGCGTCCTCGACGTCGTTTGGGGCGAAGAGTTCGAGGTCATCTTCCTTCCGTCAAGCGTACGCAACCGCGCAAACGTCCCGACCTGGATCCAGCGAGGCCTGCGCACTCTCTTCGACGAGTGCATCGACGCCGACATCTTGATTTACTTCTACGACGACACCTCGGAGGAGTCGTCCTTGCGCATGTCGGACGCCTTCCTCCGCTTCGTCAACAACCCGTCGATGCCGGACGAGAACCCCCTCATGGTCGAAACTCGCCGGTCGGGGGCGGGCAAGGGAACGACACCCAAGACAGACGAAGAGACGCTTTGGACTTTCGCCAAGAGCTTCGGAGAGATTGGAGATTCAGACGATGAGGACGACTTGGGCAACGACTTCTATTCAGATGACGAGGCCGAGGACGACGAGAACGACGAGTGGGCAACGGAGGAAGAGGATGTTGCGGTGTCGGAGTGAGCAGAGGATGAGGAGCAACGCTTGGCGAATCGGAAGGGGGCATCGTAGTGAACTAGCGCACTGCAACGCGGCAGGTCGTGCATGCCACAAATCGGTGCAGATATGCACCCGGCACATGACGGTAGCGCAGGCGAGAGACTTGCTCTTGGAGAGAATGCGAAATGCAAAGATGCGAAAGTCTACTCCTCATCGCCGTCCTCCTCCCCTCCGCCTTGCCGACTCTGCACGAACGCGACAGCACGCTCCTTGACCGCCTCAACACCGTCCTCGTCACCGAAGTCCTTCTCGAACGACAGCCACTTCTTGAACACCGACTTGCCCTTCTCTGCCAGTCAACAAGCAACGAAGCGGTCAGCGAGGCGGTCCGCAAAGTTGCCGAAAGAACGAACGCACTGCTGGAAAGGCGCTGCGCCAAGATGCGGTCGAAGAGCGCCCGAACGCCGACGACGTTCCGCTGCTTGATCTCCATGTCGACGTAGACGAACCACAGGTCGAGTCGCTTGGGGTACGAGTCGACGATGCCCTCAAAGATTGTTCGCCCTCGCTCGGCGTCGCCCATCTTGAACTCGAGCTGCGCAAACTTGGTGATCGTCTTGACGTCTGCAGAACGAGCGTGTGAGCGGCGTACTCGACTTTGACTGAGGAGCGGGCGCACGCTTGCGCTTCTCGAGACTCTTCAGACTCCGAGGAAGCAGTTCTCGCGCCTCGGCTGGTCGGCCGTGCGTGAGGTAAAACTGCGCGAACAGCGTCCAGACCTTCGAGCTGTGCGAGAACTTCTTGACCGTCTTCTTGAAGAGCTCTTCCTCCGCCTGCAAAGAGTAAGACGTCAGCTCAAGTCCGAGAAGGGCAAGCAGCGCTCGGACGCACCTCGTACTTGCCGGTCCGCTCGTAGATGTCGATCATGCGAAGGTGGACGGTCTTGGCGTCGTTTCGCTGCGCCGCCTCCTTGAACAGCGTTTCGAGCGTCGTCTCGTCGCCGTACGAGTTCTCCAAGTTTAGCAACGCGACCCAGACGTTCAGCTTCTCGCCCTCCTCGCGGAAGTTGATCGTCCTGAGCGCCCGCTGGCCAATCTCGCGCGCCTTGTCGAGCTGCGAGAGGCCGACGAAGAAGGCGATGTACTGGATCCAGAGGTACGACGAGTTGGGCGAGCCGAGCAGGAGACGCTCAAAGTCGGCGACTGAGGTAGGCGCCTGGGTGTCGAGGTCGCCTGTTCGGTCGTCGAGGGCGGTCAGGCCGTTCGCAGGCTTCTTGCCGGCAGCAGTCGCGGACGGCTTCGGCGCCTCCTCCTCATCCTCCTCCTCATCGCTCTCCTTGTCGGCCGCGTCCATTGCCGCATCCTCGTCGTCGTCGCCCCACGAGAAGCCCGCCTTGACAGCAAGCGCAGGAGCAGCCTTTGTTGCGGGAAGCTTGCTTGTGGAAGCGACCGGCGCCTGCGAAGATGGGAGAACCGAGTCAGGAATGCAAGGGCGGATGCTACCGACGCCCGCGCGAACGTACCTCCGCCTCGCTCATCTCCTCGTCGTCATCCTCCTCGTCAGAACCGCCTGCCTGCGCCTGCGCGAGCATGGCCTGGAGATCCACGCTCTCGCCCTCACTATCGCCATCCGCAATTTCCTCTTCGTCCTCATCCTCGTCGTCCTCGCCTGCACTGACCATCTCTTCCTCGTCATCGAGCTCCTCCCCGACCATCTTGTCGTCCTCGTCCTCGTCCTCCGATGCCTCGCCCTCGGGGAAGAGCGACTTCTTCAGCCCGAGCGAGAGCTTCTTCTTCTCGAGGTCGACGCTCAATACCACAGCCTTGACCTTCTGCCCCTCGCGCACGATCTCCTTCCACGACCGCTTCTCGTCGTCGACGATCTTGCTCTTGTGGCAGAGACCTTCGACGCCCGACTCGTCGAGACGGATGAAGACGCCGTAGTCCTGAATGCGCTTGATCGTACCGCGGACGACTTGGCCCTTCGAGAGGTTGGCGTCGACGAGAGAGATGGAAGTGGGAGCGGAAGCGTCCTTCTTGACGACAGCGGAGGAGCGGAACGACATCTCTATCTGCGACGAGACCTTGTCGACACTGCGGGTGAGTGCCAGTCAGTCGAGCACTCGAGCGAAGAAGCGGATGGAGGAAGGACGCACGAAAGGATCTTGCCCTCGACAAGCTGCCCAACCTTGAACCTCGGCTTCCACTCCTTGACATACTCATCAAACAGCTCCTTGATCAACACGCGCGCCGTGATGTCCCTCCCAAGCTCGACAAAGACACCGGCATTCGCGACGTTCTTGACGAACCCGCGAACCTTCGAACCGGGCTTGAGCTCGTCGACGGAGGTGATGGGTGCGTCGGCGGGAGGCGAGGCGAGAGGCTTGTCTTGCGCGCTGAGGACGCGCGAGGCGCGAAGCGAGAGGTCGAGTCGTCGCTGCTCGTCGTCCTTGGCGAGAACGACGGCCTGGACGTTCGTACCGACGGGGAAGAGCGCCTCACCCTTCTCGTTGACGAGGCTGTAGTCGTCCGAGAGCTCGGTGAGGGCGACGCGGCCGCGAAGAGAGGCGTTGCGGGAGCCAGCGAGCTGGACGAGTACGACGCCAGACGAGAGGCGGGAAGTGACGCGGCCGGGGTAGAGCGCGCCAACCTCGAGGCGGTCGAACGTGAGCTGCGGCTGCGATGTCGAGGCAGCAGACGAGGAGGCGGCGGCGGCAGCGGCAGCCGACTTGGACGGGACGAGACCAACGATGACGAAGCCCTTGTCAACGTTCTTCGACACGACGACGAGGTCCTCGAGCTTCTGGCCCTTCGCGAGGTCGCTCTTGAGCGTCTCGACCGAGACGCCGCGGTGGCGAGCCAGAGTCGGGTAGGCGAGGAGCGCCTTGATGCCGCCTTCGGCGAGCGAGAGGACGAGGTTGGTCTCGTGAAGGGCGGAGATGGTGCCGGTCGTGAGGGTGCCAACATCGATCGACTCAATGGCTGAGGAAGACGACGTCGAAGCGGCAGGCGCAGAGGCCTGACGCGCCGAAGCAACGATCCGACCGCTCGCCTGGTCGACCGAGAGAATCCTCACCGTGACGACCTTTCCAAGCGGGAACATCCTGCCGAGGTCCGCAACGTCCGTGAACGCCTCTGCAGCCTCCGCAGCAGGGATGAGCGCGCGGACGCCGCCGAAGAAGTCGACGAGGACGCTCTTGTCGAGGACTTTGGTGACGGTCGCGTCGGTGACGAGGCCGGGCTTGGCTTCCGCGAGGGTGGTGACGAGCGGGTGAGGGGTTTGGAGGAGCTGCTTCTTGAGCGTGAGGACGACGCGGTTCTTCTCCGGGTCGACTGAGAAGATCTGCCGAGGCGCTGCTGTGTCAGCTCAGCTGGGGGTTGATATGAGGGAAGGCGACGCACCCTCGCCTTGACCGCCTGGCCAGGCTTGAACTTCTTCTCCGGGTGCTTGAGCCTGATGTCCGCATAATGCAACGGCCAGACAACCCCATCGACGCTCCCACCAATACTGACGAACAGCGCATTGTCCCTCAGGACCTTGACGGTACCCTTGACTTCCTCGCCTACTCGGACGTCTTGGACGCGGAGGAAGGACTGCGAGAGGATGGAGGGCTGGAGGGAGAGCTGAACGAGGGAATCGAGAGGAGAGAGGGAGATGACCCGGGCGGAGTGGACGGTACCGATTTGCCAGGGGCCGGCTTTGGGAATTGTCGAGAGGTGGTCGTCGGTGATGCGGGAAATCTGCGCGAGCGAAGCGCATGTGAGCGGAGGACGATACTCGACGAACGGGAAACTGCACGCACGTGAACGAACGCCGGGACAGGCTCGTCGCCGACGATCTCGCACGTCAATCCCCACTCGTCATCGACCGCCACAATCTTCGCCTGACACTTCCTCCCGACGACCCACTCGTTCTGCAACCCCTTCAACCGGGACTCATCAAGCCTAACGACCTCGTCGCGCATCGACAACGCAAACTTCTTCGGCGTCTGGCTGATCGAATCCCACAAGATCCGTCCCTTGACTTTCTGGCCCTCCTTGTAGTGCTGGGCGATGTCCTCGCCCGCAGAGACGGGGAGGTGGAAGCGGTCGATCGTGCCGTCGTAGTAGCCGTGGAACTTGACGTTCAGGCCTTGGGGCATGACGGCTGTGACGAGTGCGGGGACGAGTTGGAGGGGAAGGAGGGAGGTGATGCTCGAGACCGAGTCGAGGGTCGTGGAGGCGATGTCGGCCCATTCGACCGCGACCGAGACAGTGCGCTCGTTCGAGTGAATCTTGGTCAGGCGGCAAACGACAATCTGTCCGACGTGCAAACCCTTCGGCACGAGTTTCTTCGCGTCGGCAAAGGGAAGGAACGCCGAGAGCGGCGGAAGGCCGAACGATAGGGTGTACCCCTTCTCCTCGACATCGTGCACCGCAGCCGGGAGGACAAACCCGCGCTTCAAGTCGCCCTTGGCGATTCCCTCGTTGACCTTCTCCGGTTCGACCGAGAGCTCGACGCGCCGAGATGAACGGACCGTCTCGTCCCCTTCGCGGCCGGCGAGTTTGAGTTTCGTAGGGTCGGATACGGCGGGGGGGGGGGGGGGGGCGATGAGGTACTGGCCAGTATGGAAGAGCGCAGGCAAACCTGGCAGTCCCTTGTCCGCCGCAACTTCGTCCTCCTCGTCGCTCTCCTCCTCTTCCTCCTCCTCGTCCGAGTCTTCCTCGCCGGCCTTCTCCAGTCGCGCGGTAAACTCGGAAGAGATGTTGGTGATGGGAATATGGCCGAGGAGCTGGTTCGGGAGCGAGACAATCACTTCGAGCGGGCGGACTTGGACAACCTGGCACAAGACCTTGGTTCCGGGGATCAGGCGCTGCGAACCAACACCATCAGCATTGACCTCACACACGCAGCGTTGAAGGGGCGCTACGCACCTTGTAGTTGAGGTGCTCGACGCGGAACGCATCCTTCGGGATCTGGTTTTTCGCCTTGACCTCGCCCTTGAGCGCGCGCTCGAGTTTCCGCCGCTTCGCCTTGCCCTTGTCCTTGATCACCTCGGTCTCCTTCTGTCGTTCACGGTCCTGCGCGAGGGCAAACACGCAAATCAGCATTCCCGCCTCTTGTGAAGCGTGCTGAAGCTGAACGCAGAAGAGGACGACTCGCGCACCTCGTCACTCCCGTCGCCCATAGCTTCTGCCTCGCCCTCGAGCTGCGCCTCCCTGACCTCGCGCTGCGTCAACCCCGTCCCTCCTCCTCGCGGGAAATCAATCTCGTCCGGCTGGTTCAACAACGACAGCGAGCTCTGCGTGACGACCGCCTTCTCCGGCTCGTCCTCGCGCTCTTCCCTCGTGCGCTTCTTCCCTCCCGCCGGTGCAGGCTTCGACGACTGAGTTGTTGAGGCTGTGCGTCGAGGAGGTTGAGAGGCAGAGGGCGCCTTGAACGGCTTCGAGGCTGCGCGCGGGCCGTGGGCCTGCGTCGTGCGTGTCTTGCCTGCCATTCTAGCACGCTACCAACCCAGCAGGCGAGGTCGAGCTGGTTGAGCTGATGCAGAGCCCAAGTCCGAGCGCGGCATTACAACCGAGTTGTATTCCGAGTTGTAATCCCTTGTCCCATTACAAACTGGTTACAACTCGGGTTGTATTCGTTCCTCATTACCCGCGCTCGCCTCCTTGCTTCTCCCTCACTCTGACTCGCTCTTTAACTTCGCTGGACCCGCTGCTACTCTGCTTCTACACTCAACTTGATTCTCTTGCTTGCTTAGTCAGCCCCCGCTCGACCCGGCTCGCTCACCTCATCCCGGTCCCACACTTTCCCCACCGCACACCTCCTTGCCCTCTCTCTCGCTCTCCTGCTAGACCACCTGCGCACTCATCTGACGCACCATGACCTCCTTCCCACCCCCCTTCACCCCGCGCACGCTCTCAATTCCGCACTCCCTCTCCCCCTCTCTCACGCCCACCACCCTCTTCGCACAAGTCTCCTCGCCCCCGACCGCCGCGCCCGACTCGCCCGTCCTCGTATTCATCCACGGCTACCCGCAAAACCATACGCTGTGGGCCCCGTTGATGCGGTGGTACGAGGAAGGGGGAAGCGAGGTGTTGAGGAAGTTTAGGGTCGTCGTGCCGGATCTCCCGGGGTGTGTCCGCCATCCTCAACAGCTCAGCTTGATCTCCACTAGCTAGGTCTGGGCTGATAGAAGGTTTGGAATCGCAGCTACGGCAAATCCCGCAAGGTCATCTCCTCGGACGGCTCGCACCTCGCCAACAGCAAGCGCGAAGTCGGCAAGGACATGCTCTCCCTGGTCGACGCGCTCTTTCCCTCTTCCCCACGTGTCATCCTCATCGGCCACGACCGCGGCGCCCGCGTCGCCTACCGACTCGCCAAAGACCGACCAGATCGAATCATCGGCCTCAACGTCCAGGACATCGTCCCTACGCCCGTGCAGTTCAAGCGACTCACGTACGACTCGACTCCGCGGCACGTCGCGACGTTCAGGATGTACCACTGGGTGCTCCTCGCTATGCCCTCTCCTTTGCCGGAACAACTCATCTTCTCGACTCCCGAACAATCAGTTTGGTACGCCCGGCACAGCCTCACGAGCTGGTCTGGACCCGCGGCCAAGGCGGTGTACGACCAGGAGTTGATGGATAGCTGGTGTGAGCAATACGCGGACAAGGATGTCCTCCTCGGCGCTCTGGAGGACTACCGCGCTGGAGCGACGATCGACTTGGAACACGACGAAGTGGACGGGGACCATATCCTCTCCCCTTTCTCCCCTCAACAGCCCTCGCGCCTCTCGATCCCGCTCCTCGCACTCTGGTGCCCAGGCCTCCAAGCGACCGGTTCCTCGATCCTCGCCGAACAAGAAGCGGGCGGCGTAGAGGGGATCTGGAAGGCCCGTGGACCGGAGGGGGACAAGACGAGGGCTAAGCAGGTCGAGACACCTGGTGCAGGACATTTTTTGCCGACCGAGGCGAAGGAGGAGGTTGGGAGGGAGATTGAGCAGTGGCTGGCGAGGTGGTTCTGAGCGCGACACATAGTGCAACGGCTGATATCGATGTCGGAGCTTGTGCAAGTAGTCAGTCAGTGCCATTGAGCAGCGTGTCGTTCGTCGTCGCCTTCGTGCGAGGTTGACCTTCGCAACTCGCGCTGGAACGTCCCTCCTTCCGCTTCCTCGCCCGGCTCGCTCTGGCAAAGCCTCGCACAGTGCTGTAGACACTCCCAGCTCACCTCGGCGCCCTCTTCGCTGTCTTTGTCGTCCCCGCACCTTCACCTCGGCTCGCCTCCACTCCGCCAACACCTCTTTCGCTCTTCCCACTCACTCTCGCACACCTTTGAGCACCCGCAACAATGACAAAGACAGTCCAAATCGACGCACACACCACCGTCCCCGTCCCCGGCTTCGGCGCGATGGGTGCGCACCCTCCTCCTCCTCCTCGCGCCTCCACATCCTACTGACGCGTTAAAACGCAGGCATGTCCGCATTCTACGGCCAAATCAACGACGACGAGTCGAAAGCTACTCTGCGCAAAGCGATCGAGATCGTGCGTCCCGATTCCTTGTCCTCCTCGAGAGCGAGTGCTGAGGGTTGGTGTTGGTGCGAGGACAGGGATGTACGTGCTGGGATACGTCGAGCATGTATGGGTGGGGACATAATGAGAAGATTATTGGTGAGGTCTTGAAGGAGGGGGACAACAGGAAGAAGGTGCGTACCGTCGTCGACACTCTCCTCGCAACTTCTGGGCTCTGCTCGTGCAATGCTGACGCCCCGCATCGCAGGTCTTCCTCATCTCCAAGTTCGGCATTAAGCAAGACGGCAAAGGCGGGATGGTCGTTGACGGTCCGTCCCTCCCACTCTCGCTCGTCCTCCTCTCCCACTGACTGAACCCTCGACTCGCAGGCTCGCCTCAGAACGTCATCGACGCGCTCGATCAGTCTATCAAAGACTTGGGCGGCCTGTACCCCGACGCGTACCTCCTTCACCGCGTCGACAAGAATGTGTGAGTAGACATCTTTCCGTCGTCCTCCCAGCTCCCTTCGGGTCCACTGACGGTGCAGCGTGCGCATTCTTCCACAGCCCGATCGAGGAGACCGTCCGGGCGCTCGACGCCCTCCGCAAAGAAGGCAAAACGAAATACATCGGTCTCTCCGAAGTACGTCTCCCTCCCTCCCCTCTCCCCGCCCTTTCCACTAACCTCTCACCCGCAGTGCTCGGCCGCGACCCTCCGTCGCGCCGCCAAAGAAGCCCAGATCGACTTCGTCGAGATCGAGTACTCGCCTTTCGAGTTGGTTATGGAGAGGAATGGAGTTCTTGAGGCGTGTAGGGAGTTGGGGGTAAAGGTGTTGGCTTATTCGCCGCTTGGGAGGGGTACGTCTGCCTTCACCTCTCCCAGCCAACAGATCTCGCCATCGCTGGCGCTAGACCCGTTCTTCTGATCGACTTCCGCCTCACCACCCACGCTTCGCTAACTCTCCCCTCGGCCTTCGCGCGCGCAGGCTTCCTCACCGGCCGCTACAAGAAGCCCGAAGACTTCTCTCTCGCCTCGGGCGATTACCGCGCCGCCTTCCCGCGCTACACGAAAGAGAACTTTGACCGCAACTACAAGATCGTCGAGGTGCGTCCTCGCCGCTCACCTCTTCCGGTCAAGGTCCCTTCTCGTGCGGGGAGGCACTGATGGTGGGTTCCTGTGACGCCGGCAGGAACTTGAGCGCCTGGCGGAAAAGAAGGGATGCAAGTCGGGCCAACTTGCTCTCGCTTGGCTCATGGCTCAAGGGGACAACATCATCCCCATTCCGGGCGTGCGTACCCACCTCCCTTCCACCTCCCTTCCTTGAAAGCTGACGAGGAGGAGCGCAGACCAAGAGCGAGAAGTACCTCATCGAGAACTTCGCAGCGAGGGAGATCGATCTCTCGGCTGAGGAAGTTGCTGAGATCCGCAAGGTGTGCGAGGAGAATGCACCGGTGGGCGATAGGTATCCCGAGTCGGCGATGCACACGCTCGACGGGTAGAGCAAGGCCAGGGAGACGTAGACTCGCAAAGTGGTGGGGTTGAAACGAATGTGAATTGTTCGGTACTGCTGCTTCTTTTTGCGACGCCGGGGGGATGTCTACCAAGGTATAAAGCGAGAAGAAGGGGAGTCGGGGAATCGAAGAAAGGAGAGGTGAACGAAAGAAGAGGTGGAGCGCGCCTACTCGCCCAGCGCGTCCCGAACCTCCTTGCGCCACTTCCGCTGCAGCGTGACGCACTCGAGGAAAATAGAGTACTTGGCCTGGAGGAGCTTGAGCTCCTTGTCGGACGCTTGGGGCGCGATAGTCGAGCCGGGGCGGGTCATGCGGATCTGCGAAAGTCGTCGCAAATCGTCAGCCTACTTCGCTGCAAATCAGCAGCGCATGCAACCACAAGAGACGCTCGACGCACCATAATGTCCCACAGCCGGTCCTTCATGCCATACGAGCTCTTCTCCGCCTCAGCTTGCGAGTCGAGCGTCTTGCGGAGCCGGTCGGCTTCTTCCGCCGCTGCCGCGCCGAGCATGGCACTGCCGAGGACGACGGATGCGGAGGAGGAGTAGGGGAGCTGGACCGGCATGTTGCAGATGTCGGCGATGAGGCTGCGGTAAATGAAAGTCTGTCAGCTCCCCCACGGGAATTATACATGCGCGTCTCGTAACCTGAGCAGGCCCGACACGCAATCATCTCAGAGAGGAGACTCACGTCATGAGGAATCGGTTCTTGACGAGTCTGTACACACGGGACAAGATGAAACAGACGTCAACCTCGCACATAAGCGCAAGCGGGAAGGCCTTCACAACCGTCGACGTACCCTCCACTCATAAAGATGCTCTCAACCTTGTGTCCGCTCTTGTTCATCTCGTCGATAATGTGCTTCGTCTGCAAAGCGATCGCCTCGCCCGTCGCGTAGTACCGGAGAGCGAGGTCGCCGATGGTCTTGTCGAGCTGCATGCCGATGAGCATGCCGCGCATGTCGACGTCGGCGAGGGGCGAGCGGTTGCCTGCGGAGGAAGCGTCAGTTATCGAGACTGGAGAAATTCAGGGAGGACGACATCGATGCCAGGAAACGGCGGCCGGCATCCGCGCGATCTCGCTCAGCCTCGAGAAAGGTCGACGCACCGTGCAAGTCCGGGTACAGGTACATGTCCCTCGTCAAGTAACTCATGAACGGGACGCCCTTCTCCTTGACCATCTCCTCGAGGATCTCGGTCAAGAGGGAGAAGTGGTTCGTGCCCTTCTCCTTCGCGAGCTGCTTGAGCTTGTCCGACGCGGGGTGCGTGTCGATCATGAAGTCGAGGAGCTGGCCGGTCGAGGATTGGCCGCCTTCGTTCATCCAGTCTGCGATCCACGTTCGTTTGCGGTAGCGTCAGCGGGCCGTCGCTACGCCGACGCGAGCGAGGAAGCGCTCGACGCACACCCAGGGAAGACAGCATGCTTGTATGGCCCCCAAACACCCTTGACGAACACGGCCTCCTCGCTCTGAACGATATGGCACGTGCTGGTTCCCGCGATAGCAGCAAGTCGGTGTGCGGCGTCATCGAGCGTCGTAGTCTTTTGACCTTCCATCGGTGCGGCGACCGTACCGATCCAGCCGGCGTACCTGCACGACCCGTCCTCAGCAAACGAGCGAGCGAGAGAAGGCGAACAGACTCACGCATCGATGACCGCGCTTCCGACAGCCGTTCCTTCCTTCAAGCCGAGCTCCTCAGCCGCCTTCTTCGAGAGACCTCGGCCGACGGGCTGGCCGGCGGTGAGGATGAGGCCGTTCTTGCCCGGGAGGCCGCCGACTTGCACGAAGTCGTTCTTGACCTGCGCGGAAGGCGAGATTGTCAGTTCGCGTCTCCAGTAAGGAGCCTGAGATGCAGGCCAGCTGCGAAACTCGAGCGCAACAAGCACGCGCGTGACCGACGACTCACAAACTCCTCCAACCCAATCTGCTCAAAGAACTCCCTGTTCCACCCCTCGCTCCCCTCGACGCCCGGCGGAACGTACGAGCACTTGCACCCGAGCGAACAGTTGGATCGGGCGAGGTCGCCGGTCGCGCGGTAGGTGAGCCAGTCGGGGAGGTCGAAGAACATGCAGGATGTGAAGAGGGAGGACGGCATGTGGTTCTTGAGCCAGAGCATCTGTGTGTCAGAGGAGTGGCAGATCACCGTCAGTCTCGCTCGCAAGGGAGTGGAAGACGGGATCCGCTTGCTTGGACGCACCTTGGGGATCTCCATCTCGAGCGAGATCGTGTTGCCGACGTATTTGAGCCAGGGACTGAACAAAAAGCGACGCGTCAGTCTTACGCGGCATGCAATCAGTTCGAGCCGGCAAAAGAACACCCGTCTCCGCTTCACGAAGCGAGACAAGTCTGTTCGCTAGGACTCGACAAGACTGCTGCAGACGCACCTTTGAGTCGAGTTGATAAGCTTGGCTTCCTTCGATGCTCGGTGGTCTGCGTGGACGGTGCAGCAAGGGATGAGCAGGGCGTACGCGGTGAAGGCAAAGGGAGAGGAATCGGTACGCACCCGCCCACAAGATGATATCCCTCACTTCCGCCTCCTTTGCCGCCTGCTCGCTACTCCATGAACCAGGCGTGACGGGCACAGGCGCTCCCGAGTCGAGCTTGGCGGCGACGAGCGAGCAAGTCGCGTCGAAGCCGATTCCGCGAACCTGAGCCGGGTCGACCTTGGAGTCGCGCAGGACGTCCTTGCAAGCGGACGAGATGCAGTTCCAGACTGTTTACATTGACGAGTAGCGCGCGAAGCCAGGTCAGCGCCGAACTTCGCCTCCTCGTTGTGGGGGTCGCGGTGGGAGGGGGAGCGTGAGGACTCACTCTGGGTCGAGGACTGCTCAAAGATGTCCTTGTCGCGGTCATCCCTCCACGTAGTCGTGTTGTACGTCGACTCTGCGACGATATCTCCCTCCGCCGAGACGAGCGCCGCCCTTGCCGACCCTGTTCCACTGCGAGCGATGAGAAAAGCGAACGGGTGAGCGGCGAGCGCTGGGACTGAGCGGGTGGGCTGACTGACACGTCTACGCCGATGTAGTAGCTCGTCGATGCAGCCATGGTCAGTCTGTGAGCTGTGCGAGCGAGCGTGAGCACGTCGACGAGGAGGAGAGGAGCGCCAGCCGAACCGAAGCGGCGACGTCACTGTATGCGAGAAAAACAGCACGGACAGCGTCGTAGGCGACTCTGTGCAGTCGTAGAGTCTGTTTGAACAATTGGGAAGCGGAACGGAGGTGAGAGGCGAAGCGGGAGGAGCGGACGAGGACGAGGTGTCGGGCGACAGTATTCGTTACAACAACGCTGACGACGTCGAGACACACTCTAGAAGTTAAAGGCGTCGAACGAGAACTCGGCGGGAGCCTTCGCCTCGACCCTCACCGTCTTGACGACCTCCCTGAACTGCTTCCGCTGCCTCTCCCTTTCCTCTGCGTCCTCGCCTTCTGCTTGGACCGGCGCGGGAGAGGCGACTCGGCTGGGCATGTTGGATGGCGGGAGTGAGATGTCGAGTTTGGTTGAGCTGAGGAGGAGAGAGTGCCGGCGAGTGTGGGCGCCGAGGAGAGAAGGTCGACAAGGGGCGGCAGAGGCAGAGGGCGGCGCGAATTGCCAGGTGCGCAGGAGGTTGAGAGCGAGAACGTGGCAACCTGTACAGGAGGTGACAGGGTGAGATAGCGTCAGCCAGGAGGGAAGAAGGTGGACTCACCCATGCGGCACAGGATGCGCGAGATGTGCAAGACAAACTGCGTAGCGAGAGGTCATGAGCGCGCTGCATGGCAGTAGAGATGTACGCTCGGCTCACGTTGAACTCGGTCTTGCCGGGCACGGCGATCGCACCCTTGACCGTCTGGAGCGACCAGCTCCGCAGCTGGGCGAACAGGAAGACAAGTGCCGGGTCTTCGCGCGCCGGGCTCGAGACGACGGGTAACTTGTACGGCAGGCGAGTGGCGAGGTCGGAAAGCGGTGTCTGCGAACGAGGCGTTAGTTGGAAAGGCGAGGATGGGAATGAGGGACGCACGACGATAATCTGTACCGCCAGATCCCGCCTGCCCAGCATCCACAATGCCCAGCTCCCAAGCCACCGATAGCCCTTCGCAAAGGCCAGCGGAACGACCGTCTCCTCCAGTAACGATCGCAAGACAGGTCCGTCGTCGCCCCCTTCGTACGTCCGCGCGAGCGCAATTGCAAGCTGGAAGTCGTCGAGTTGACGGATACAAACGCTGACGGCATCTTTGAGACTGCCGCCGAGGAGGAAGAAGGCAGCGGCGAAAACTGCGGGGAGGAGAGTTAGCGTTGAGAGAAGAGGCGTCGCGGGAGTCACTCACGGAAGCGCTGCTTGCTCATCAATGCAAACGCATTCTTCAGCGCCGCCGACTTCCACCTCGGCTCGTCAAAGTCGTTCGACAAGAACTTGATCATCTGGCGTTGCTCGGCGTGCCCGCTGGCCTGCTTCCAGAAGGTCGTGACGATGTGTCGCTTCTTGAGCGCGAGGTAGAACAGCATCGCCGAGATTGGGTCGCGGTCTTCTGCGTCGGGCTTGCTGAACTCGGTACGGCCGATCGACTCGATGGTGCGGACCTGGCGGAAAGGGTCCGAGTCAGCGGCGCGAGAGTAGCGAAACCTTCGGCGAGCTCACCAAGACCTCGGGCGACTTCAGCCACAGCGCGACGCCCAGCGTCCTCGCCGCGGCCCACGTCAGCTTTCCCCCGCTTGCCTTCGTGCATTCCTCGAGCAAGACGTCCTGGTTCTCGCTATGGAATGCCCAGACCATGTCGCGGTACTGCAGGCGAGGCGTCGGCTTCTGATTGCCGGAGGGTGTAGAAGAGGGCGGAGAAGCAGGCGACGTGTTGTAGAGGAAGAAGGATCGCATCGAAATGAGGAAACGGACGCCGTTGTCGTCGAGTGCGAGCGTGCGACTTTGTGTCTGCATGATGAATCGCTCAGCACTGTGACGGCCAGATCATGCGTGCTTGCTCACCTCGAAGACGGTCTGAACTAGGACGGCGAGATGCTCGTGGTCGAGCTTGTTGAGGCCATGAAGGGAGCGACGGCGCAATGCAGCCAAGAGTCGCGAAACGTCGTCGGCGGAGAGAGAGGGACGCGGTTCGGATCTATACAATCCGAGTTTCAGCAGCAAATCAAAACGCGAGGAGATGCTCGACGCACGAGGAAGAGGAGGAGCCGGAGGTGGTGAGAGCGGCAAAGATGTCATGCGAAGCGCTCTTCTTCTGCTCACGCATAATCAATCAGTTCACGTCGTCAGACGTGCAATGAGCCTGACGAACCTTGGTACTGCGATGCGGGTTTCGAAGGAAGGCGTCGAGCGTAAGCTTCTGCACGCCCTCCTTCATCGGCACGGGCGTGAGGTGTCCGTCCATCGTGAGCTCGGCTGCGAGGCCAACGAGCACTTTGACGACGACGTCGAAGAGGCCTGCGTAGCAGACGCGCATTAGCGGCTGACTCTAGGCGTTGAGCGAGTCTTGACGAACCTTGCAGGAGAGCCTGGAACAGCAGTTGAGGGTGATGGAGCGGCAGAGGGGCACAGAGGCTCGCCGCGAGTCGATGTGCGTCTTGATGGCCTGCGTCGAGCTTCGAAGAATAGAAGAAGAGGTGGTCTGCTGCCGCGACGGCGAGACCGGTTGCAAGCCAGCGGACGTTCGTGATGGGCGCAGGCAAGACGCTGCCAGGGAGCGGCGTTAGCGTCGGAGGGAGAGGAGCGAAGGAGAAGCGTACTCGTCTATCCGCACGGTCGCATAGGTCGTCCAGCTCGGTCGTCCTGTCAGGTCGTCTAGCCGTTGCGCACACCAGAGCGAGACCTCCTTTGCTGCCGCAACCGCGAGAGTTCGCCCGTCGACCGACCATTCGAGCTTGACGAGGGGGTCGCTAAGCGAGGGAATCGTCAGTGGACGGCACTGTAGAGGAGAACGAGGCGGTACGCACTCGAGTGCTTGCGAGAACTGCTCGCCTGAGCTGAATTCGGACGCCTTTGGATTCCAAATCGAGAGTCGTGGTCGGTCGTCGTCCTCGAGCGAGACTGCGAAGCGCGGGGAGGTTAATGGGAGCCGAACAAGCGAATTCAGCAGGAGACGCACCGAACGCCGACGTCCCATCCCAGCTGCACGCGATCGCCTGCACCTTCTTTAGTCCCGTCTTGACCGTCCCATCCGGGTACCACCCCTCGTACGGCTCGGACAAGCGCGTCGACCAGCGATGCAGCGTGCCCTCCTCGTCAAGCAGTACGACCGAAACCTCGTCGACAACTTCCAAGCCGGGCTCGATTGGAACAGGCGAAGCGAGGGTGTAGCGAGTCGCGCCCAAGTCGTGAGAGGGACCGTCCGTGAGGCTCTTCGACGGGTAGTGGTAGATCCAGGTGCGGATGACCGACTCGGAGGTGACGCCGACAATGGTCGTGCTGAGTGAGTCTTCGTTCGTGCGGACGACGAAAAAGGTCAGGGCGTCGTCCATCGAGACTGGTGACTTGGCGGCGGTAATGAAGCGTAGTTGACCCGAGCGGCGGAACTTGAGAACCTGGACCCGGTCGCCTGACGCAGATGCTATCACTCGACCTGCAAGGCTGTGCGTCAGTACGGACGAGCTCTTCGAGTAGCGGACACTGAGCGCACCTCCTCGCCATGTCGCGATCTTCGCATCAGGAGGCAGATGCGCGTCCGCTACGAATGATTCCGTCACAACCTCGTCGTCACCCATCTCCCAGCTTTGTATCCGCCCGTTCTCTCCCAGCACAAGAACCGCCTCGCCGTCTCCTTTCAGCGTCGGTCGAAGCTGGCGAATCCGGCCGACAACGCTGACTGACGGTGCGACAGGCGAACCGTGGAAGACCGGCTTCGTCGCTGCGATAAGTCGCGATGTTGGCACTGTCGCGCGGGAGTGAACGAAGGTGCCGCGGGAAGAGCGGCCGATGAGGTGGAACGAAGCTGGATCGCTGCGAGATGGGAGGAGGTGCGGGTAGCGGAAGTTGGGTAGCTCGGTCGGCTGGAAAACGTTCTCCTGCAGGACTTCCGTTGTCTGCGTCAGGCAGGTTGGTGGTCGGCAGTCGAAATTCTGCGGCAATAGTGGTCAGCGAACGCTTAGTTGCGAGACGATCGAGGCAAGCTCACCGAGACAGTCGTCAGGTGTACAGACCCGTCAGAGAAGACGGTCACAAAGTCATCCTCCGTCCCGCCTCGCTCAGGATGCTGCGTCCGCTCCATCGGCCGAGTCCGCCAGTACAACGTCGCGAGAGGGAGCTGCTTCGGCAGCGTCGAATGGACATCAAGCGAAGTCCATAGCGAAAAAAAGTCGGGTTCGTCGATCACGCAGCCCCAGACGCGGAAGACGCCGTCGATGGTCTGGGTGAAGAGGACTGGACCGGAGCTGCGAAAACGTGGTCAGCTATGTGACTGGGAGAGGTGATTTGCAGCGTACTCTGCGATGTCGTCGCTCGGACGCCACGAGACGCTGCGAATGCGGACAGAGTGGATGGCGCGAGAGCGGAAGGAGAGGCGGTTGGCGGATGTCGAGGATGCGGGGAGGACATTGATGAGCACGACGGTGCTGCTGGTCTGCGGATTGACAAGCCGTCAGTGTGAGGTTATAGCGTTGAAGCGATATGAGGACCAACCGGCGCCACCGTAGCGAGGACGAGTGCCGAGGGGGACAATCGAGCCAGCGAGACTAGTCGGTTCGGCCTACGAGGTTTCGATGTCAGCTTATCGCCGGAAAGAGGTGCCAACAGTCCGGTACGCACGGCAGCGACCCGACGCGCGTCCAGACCGGCAGAGCGCCCCGCTCGTCGAGAGACCAGAGAGTCGCTGCTTCACCCGCAACGACGATCATGCCTGCAGGTGCACGTCGTAAGCGCTTGCAGAGTCATCTGAGCCCCTGAACGCACCCTTGACAAAGTCGATGGCCTGCACGTCGTGCGACACAGCGAAACTCGAGTGGATCCGCCAGGACTGCCCTCGTCCGCTCGTCCAAACGGCTATCCGTCGCCGTGAGACAGCCGTGATCTGTCCGAAGGACTATCAGCGTCGAGTCGGTCATTCAAGAAAGCGCCCAAGCGACGTACCCGTCCCGAAGAGACGTCCACTGCGACCGCATCGACCTTTCCCTCGCCCGCCTGTCCCGGAAACGCCTCTTCGAGCAGCAAGCCCTGCACGAGCTTGCATCCCTCATCCAAAAGATCCACTCTGTCGCCCACGGCAGCCACCTGCGATGCGAGAACCGCTTCATCAGCTCCCACATCGGGTCGTCGAGGGAGGAGGGAGAGAACGCACGAGGACGGGCTTGTGGTCGAGGAGTGCCGCTGCTACCGAGTGAGGACCATTCTCAGGAGCGCCTACAGCCGACTCTTGCAGCACCAGCGATGGCATGCAGCGGTGTGTCGAGCGCGAACCTGCCGCTTCGTCCCTCTCGCTCGAACGAGTCACTCTACACCGCTGAACTGAGCGCTGCTTGAGCTGATCGTGCTCTTTGAGGACTCCTGAACCGACTGGAGCTGCCCATCCTGCTCGCGCTGCGGTGACACTGCCTCTCACACTCGGTTCTCTCCTCGAGATGGACGAAGCTTCCGAGGCTTCAACTAGCGGGCACGCGTGTCCAGGTGCGCCCGAGACACGTCACGGTACGACTCTAGACTAACGCAGACGTGCTGCAGGCTCTCCCTCGACTTCCGGCCCGCGCAAAGTCCCCCGACTCGATTCTCCCGCACCCAGCATAGCACGCGTTGCGACGGCTCCTCCGCTGCCAGCTGAGCTCGTGTGGATTATCGTCGACCTTGTTTGGCACGCCTTTCCGCGAGGCAAAGCCAAGCATGCCCTCTGCAAGATCGCGAGGGTTTCACGGATCTGGCGCGCTCCGGCTCAATACATCATCTTCCACCACATCACGGTCCGATCAAGGGACGACTTGACGCGCGTTGCCTACAGCCTGAGATCAAGCAAGACGACCGGCTGTCTGGTCTATTTCATCTCGTTTCGGCTGCTGGACTCGGGAATCGTGTCGCAGAGGAACCTCGTGTACCTGTACAATCTCTGCTCCGCACTTGTGCGACTCCAACTGACAGGGGATTACCATACTGTTGAGGAGCTTCTCTGGAGCCTCCCTGGATCCCGTGCGTCCCGACACATCGCATATCTCGAGCTTATCTTTATACAATCCCCTCGCCCGGATGACCTGAGTCGTCGCCCTTACCTTCGCATTGCGGAGTTTCCTTCCCTCCAGCGCTGGTACATTACCGCCCCAGACTCTATCGCCATGATCGGGTTCTGCGAATCCGGCAAGCTATACCTCAAGCACCTGTCGCTCGGCTCGCTCCGCAAAAACCGCTACCGCACGGATGCATTTGCCTGGTTTGCCAAGGTAGTCGACAGTTCGCGTCTCAAGACCTGTTCAGCCCCGCTTCGCCGCCTTGCCGACCACCTGAATAAGGCCTTGCGCGTCGGCAAAAGCCTAAAGGAGCTGTACCTCCTCGACGTCTTGCACGAGGACATTCCCGACAAGGTCATTGCCTACGTCAACTCGCCCGTCCTGCGCCTTCTTACCATCTCCACAGCTTCGAGCGCCGACTCCACATGCGTCAAAGGCAGACCCCTTCAAACCCTCCTCGAAGCCCTCGCCCCGCCAGGCAACAAGAGGCCGGCGCTTGAGATCGTCATCCTCGACTTTCCCTTTGACCAATCCAATTCGAGCCGGTGGATCTGGAAGACCTTTCTCTGCTGGGCGGGGCGGACCTCATTGCGCGAGATTCGCCGATACGACCCGGACGACAGTAAGGTCGTGCAGACTTGGAGGAAGAAAGGGAGTGCTGCGTCACCTGCGTGGAGGGTGCGTCGAGCCTTCAGGCCTGCCGCATCTTCGTTTGACCTCCTGCTCACATTCGCTGGGCCTACAGCTTCACAACGAGGAACGGATGCGATGATGGCGAGCCACTGTCAAGCTGTACTGTTACTGCTGAACGTCCCTGACCATAGCCCATTCACTGGGCCACACGCCGCAATCCTCGTCCTCGAGACCAGTGCCGGCGTTCTCGCTTGCCGCTGCTTTCGCAGATAGCTAGGATGCGCAGAGAGAACGGTCTCGTACGCCTCGACTGTATCAAGCTTTACGAAGAGTCCTTGGTTGGTGACAGCGCTGCAAACGCTTCGTGAATGCCTCTAAGAGGCATCGCTCCTCGCTGCGTCCCTCTCGCTCGAACAAGTCACTCGACATCGCTGGATTGGCTACCAGGGCTCTTGTCACCCCTGCTGACACTCGCTAGGCATCTTTCCTCGCCTCCCCAGCCTTCCCATGACCTCGCAAGCCCTCGCGTCGTCCTCCTCGCCCCTCCATCAACCAACCGAATCCGACGACCCTCCCGTCCTCAAAGATCCTACTCGTCCCCTTGCGCCGACAGGCAGAAATCCCAACATCAGCATTCCCCACCTCAGCCCGGCATCGCTCGCGCTGCTCAAGCACCTCGCGCAGACGACGGAGCGCTCGCCCAGCCTCGCCGACCGCGAGTTCTACGAGGCATGTTGGGGCAAGCCGAATGGGTTCGTCGTTGATGGAATAGGGTACATTCGCTCGAATTTCGACTTGCCGCGCACGCGGCCGATCATGGTGAGGGAGGACTATGTCACCCTGTACGCACACCTCGAATCGCTGCCCAACAAGCAGAACACCGACGCCATAGTCGGATACGGGTCTCCCGGTATCGGTAAGCTCGTCCGTCCGCTGCGAAAAACGACTGCTGATTCCGCGAACTTGCAGGAAAGAGCTGTTTCCTGCGGTACGCCGCCAATCGACGAGCGGAAGAATGCCGGCCTATCTGCTGGCTGCGAACGCCGACATCAAACCTCGTCATGATGACCAACGAAGGTCTGTTCGCCGTCGGCCCAAAAGTCCTCCCGACGCTCGAATTCCTCGTTCCTCCCTTCGTCCTTCTGGACGCGTGTGACCCGAGCGACGTCCTGCCCGCCGAAGTCTACCTCGGCCTGTCCTACCCGTCCGTCTTCATGTGCTCGCTGAACGACTCAGGGTATTCGGGTTACTTGAAGGAACGGCTCGCCCGTGTCTTCGCGTTCGACCCGATCCACCGCCACGAGGCTCACCAATACATGTGCGTCAATCTCAGTCATTTGGTGATTGGCATGAGCTGATTTAATCGATGTGCAGCACGCTCCTGGCGGAGCTCGCGTCGCAGGAGAAAGAAGCCCTGAATGTCCCACTCTCCTCCATCCGCCCTATCGCCACGCTGCAACGGCATACGACCCCCGACCCCCGCGTCCCAGACTACATCCGCAAGCTCATTGCCAAGTCATCGTCGCCCAGCACGACAGTCGATATTGACCCTCCGCGAACTGCCGACTCGCCGACTAATACAGCCGCATCGTCCGCACATCCGCGTTCCGCCTCGACAACGTTCAGCGCGACAACTCCTGCCGCCCCTCCGCGAGCCATGCCGAACGACACGACGCCTTCTGCCGGGCTTCCGCGACTCGCTTCCTCGCCTCATGCCGTCGCCGCTTCTGTCGCCGCTTCAGTCTCGTCGCCGCCTACCGCTATTATGCTTGCCACGGCGCACGACCTCCCTGGTACACTGGCCTCTCAGGCGGACTGGGAGTCGAGGAACATCTGCTCAACCCGTCTCGAGCAACTCCCGACCCATCTCCCGCTCTTACCGCACGTTCAAGCGTTCTGGGTCGAGCAGTCCCGGTTGAAGGACGTGTATACCCCTTTGGAGGTCTTCGGGAGCGTCGGTCCAACCTTCCGCGACATTTTCGAGGTCCCGAAGACGACTGGGAACCTGGAGGACGACTTCTTCGGCAGTCCAGTTCCTGCAGGACCGATCCACGAACTTGCGCCCGTGCTTGGCGCAAACTCGACGCCTTCGCCGCACACGACGCCGTCGGCTCAGCAGCTGACTGCATACCACCAGCATCTGTTCGAGGTTCCGATCACAAAGAAGCTCACCAGAACGCCGATGATGAGCTCTTTGTTGGCTCCCCTTGACACCTCCCCCTCCGCATCCTCCTTGGGATAGAGCTGCAGACAGAGCTCAGCCAACATCAACTTCTCGTCCTCTTGTACGAGCCACCCTCGATACTCGTCGTCCCGTTCTAGGATGCAGTTATCCGCTACTCCACCCTTGCCCACACCTGCCTCTTCTCCGTCACCGAACCCTGCATTGCAAGGCACAGAGAGACTGACGATCTTGTACGCCGCCCGTGCAACAAGCTTTACGAAGCCTTGTTGATAGCACTGCAATCGAATGCTGCAACGCCTCGCGAAACTCCTCTTCGCTCTTCGCTTACGATCTTACGCTCGAGTGGACCGCCGGTTCTGCTGTGTCCGCGGCGAAGCTATTGCTGAGACGATTCGACCGCCGCTTGACCCGCACGACGCGCCCGCACACCCGTCTGTCGTCCCCACGAGATGAGCGAACCAGGTCCTTCTGCTCGCCGGGAGCGCAGGCAAGGTGCGCGACACGCTTTCTGAGCCCAATGTGAGGCTGACTTCGCTCACACAGCCGTCAACTTGCCACGCGCCGCCAGACGAGTACCTCCCCCTCCTCCGATGCCTCTCGAGCCTCCCGAGAACACTGCGCCACTCAAGCCTGCGCCGAAACTGCCAGCCGAGCTGATTCAGAGCATCGTCGACTACGCCTGCGAAGACCTGCAACCCTCGGCGGAGCGGAAGACCTGTCGCAACCTTGCGCTCATCGGTCGGGACTGGCGCGAGATCGCACAGCGACGAATCTTTCGCGAAGTCGCTATCGCCTCAACCGACACTCTCGCACGAGCGGCAGCGATCTTCTCGAATTCTCCTTGCGCCGTCGGTCGGTTCGTTCGCGACCTCGCCCTCCACTTGACGCTTGAGGAACCGCGCCAGGAAGACCTCGCGCAGCTCTACGAGACCTGCAACGGGCTGAGCAGCCTGAACTTGACGGCGAATCACGAAAACATGTGCACGCTCGTGTCGTCCTTGCTCTCGACTCCGGCAGGACGCGCTGTCGGCGTTATGCGATTGCGACTCGCAGAGTATACGACTCCCGCCGTCGACCTCTCCATCTTTGACGAGCTCAACTCCCTTCCCAACCTGACGCGGTGGCAGACTGTCATTGCCGATGCTCTTACGCTCAGCAACTCGCGCATCAACGGCCACCTCTTCCTCACGCAACTTTACATCGGTTTCGCTCCCGTAGGAGATGTGGAGCGCGTTACGAGGCGTCTCGTCAAGCACGGAACGCCGCATTGGGACCTCTCCGAGCTCAGAGCGGGCGACTTGTGCTTCTGGCGACTTGGCAAGCAGGTGATCCAGGCAATCCGAGCGGCTTCGTCGATAACTTCTCTCCGGATCTTCGACTGCAGACGCGGAGACATCGACGACATCTGCGACATTCTCAACGCCTATCCCGTGCTTGAAAATTTCGACATCGAAGGCGAGATGCTCAGTACAAACGAGACGCAACAGCTGTTCGAAGCAATCCCGCGCTCTCTCATCACAGCCAACCTCGAGCTGGGTGGCACCTTCAAGACCGACACCAACCGCCAGCTCCTACACAACTTCCTCCAGATGCGCAAGTCTGCCGCTTTGAGACGCGTTCGCCTCCCCTTTCTGCGCTGCGCCGACTTGTGGACGAAGGACGTAAGACCCGACGGGTCTATCTGGAAGGTGCGTTACAGCGTCCTGTCACTGGAAACATTGACAATGCACTGACAGTCTACATCTGCAGCATGCGCGCATCCAGGAATACTCGACAACTGACGGTTGATCTCGCCTCGACTTTCCGCCTCTCGTGCAGCCGGTTCTCGAGTGTCCTTCATTTCCCAGTCTCTGCGCTCTATGTCATCACTGGCTTTGCGACAGTGCCCAAATGAACTCCTTCGCCCTCGACTCGCCTTTGACGAAGCTTGCTGTGAAGAGGCTGAACCGAGAGTCGGATGTCGCTGTTCGCATTACGACTCGGATTGATCGTAGATGTCCCTACAGCTTCAAAGACAGCCGCACAACGAGTTGGCGAGATGTGTCAGCTTCAGCGAGAGGGTGGAAGACAAGCTCGACCTTCTCCCACTCGCTCTCAACGCTTGCTGGCTCTTCCGAGGCTTTCGCAGACTTACCAGACACTCGCTTTAGCGGACTAACCGGCGCCGCGCTGCCTACGAGCCCGACACCCTCTCACTCGCAAACCAGCAGCGCCTCATCGCAACATGGTGCGTCAGCCAGTCGCAGCCCGTCTGGACGATAGCCAAGCTGACATTCTGCTTCACACAGCCCAACGGACGGCCTGAGCGCAAGAACGGCGCGCAGAAGCGCAAGGTGGACAAGTCGGGACTCGGTCGAGCTATCATCAACCGGAAAGTGAGGGCGGCGAGGGATGCGCAGGACCCGACTCTGGTGCGTTGCTGGGCTCCACACACGGGGTCAACAGTGCTGACGAGCCGGTCGAGCAGCATTCGTCCGAGATTGCGGCAGGCCTGTCCTCGGTTACTCAGGAGAACGACCTCGACGAGTTTCTCAGCACCGCACAGCTCGCAGAGACCGACTTTTCGGCTGGCGAGTCCCAGAAGTAATTCCACGCTATGACGAGGCTGACCCCTTCGATCCGCAGAGCGCCAGAACATCAAGGTCGTCTCAGACCCCTCTCTGAACGCCGCCTCGCACAACCCCTACCTCCTCACTCCCCAACAAGAAGCCGAGCTGCGAACGAAGCAAAACGAGAACCAGCAGCGGCTGCAGGTACCACGACGACCGCCTTGGACGAGGCAGATGACGACGGTTGAGCTGGAGAGGCAGGAGAGGGATGCGTTCCTTGAATGGAGGCGCGGGCTCGCCGAGTGCGTTTGACTGTCTCTTGCGTTCGCCAACGTCGAACTGACGCACCACGACCCGCAGCCTTCAGGACAACCAAGCCCTTCTCCTCACACCCTTCGAGCGCAACCTCGAAGTCTGGCGCCAGCTGTGGCGAACGCTCGAGCGGTCCGACCTGATCGTCCAGATCGTCGACGCACGGAACCCTCTCACGTTCCGCTCGGCCGACTTGGAGAAGTACGTGCTGGAGCTGAACGAGCTGGAGCGGCCGAGGGAGGAGGGGGAGCCGGCGCCGAAGCGGAAGAATTTGCTGCTCATCAACAAGTCGGACTTGTTGACACGGAAACAGAGGTGCGTCTCGCTCACGTTCCGAAGCCTCAGTACTTGCTGACCCTTTTCGCTCGACAGGGAGGAGTGGGCCGACTACTTCGAGGCGAACGGGATTCAGTACGCCTTCTTCTCCGCCGCGAACGGTATTGCCTTGCAGGAGGAGCGCGCGCGACAAGAAGAGCTTGCGAACGGCGCGGAGGAGTCGTCGGACGAGGAGGACGAGGACGAGATCCCGGGCATGAAGATCCCCAAGTCGGGCAACAAGCTCAAGGGCCTGAATGCGAAGCCCAAGACTGAGGTTGCACCGGCATCGCGGAGACGAGTGGTTGGACCGGACGAGTCGAGCGATGAGGAGGACGAGGATGACTCGGATGAGGAGTTGGCGAGCATCATGCGGAGGGGGATGGGTATCTCCCTGCCCGGCAGTGATGAGAGCGAGCGGACGCGGATCTTGAGTGTGCTGGAGCTGGAGGAGCTGTTCTTGAGCCATGCGCCCGAAGGTGCGTCTGCTCCTTGTCTTCCGGCTTCGTCGTGCTGACGAGGACTTGTCATGCAGTCTCGCTCGCCAAGGGGCACGGCAACGAAAAGCTTGTCGTCGGTCTCGTCGGCTACCCCAACGTCGGAAAGTCGTCGACTATCAACGCCCTCATCGGCGAGAAGAAGGTGTCTGTCTCGTCCACGCCCGGCAAAACCAAGCACTTCCAGACGATTCGCCTTTCGCCCGACGTCCTCCTCTGCGACTGTCCCGGTCTCGTCTTTCCCCAATTCGCCGCGACAAAGGCCGACCTCGTCTGCAACGGTGTCCTCCCGATCGACCAGTTGCGCGAGTTCACCGGTCCTGTCGAGCTCGTCACCCGCCGGATCCCGCAGGAGGTGCTCGAGGGCACGTACGGTCTGCGAATCACGATTCTGCCGGAGAACGAGGGCGGAACGGGCGTACCGACTGCCGCTGAGTTCCTCAACACCTTTTCTAGTGCGTCGCGCTTCTTCTTCTTCACCGGCTCATGACACGACTGACACTCTTTCCGTTCTCGCAGTCGCTCGCGGCTTCTTCACCGGTGGCCAAGGCAACCCCGACCAGTCTCGCTCCTCCCGCCTCGTCCTGAAGGACTACGTCAACGGCAAGCTTCTCTACTGCCACCCGCCTCCCGGCATCGACTCCGACGACTTCAACCGCGAGACGCGCGACATCGAGCGCCTGCGCGCGCAGAACAAGCTCAAGCGCAAGATGGCGCCCATGACTCGTGTCAGCCAGAAGTCGGACTACTACGTCCATAACCCTGCGGCGGCGGCGGCGGGTGCGCCCGGAGGTGGGCGACCGAGCGAGGCGCGTGGGAAGGGCCAGAGTGCGAAGGCGAACGCGCTTGACAACTCGTTCTTCGGCGCGGATGTCGGGAAGGCGGTCATCGCGGGACTGAAAGGGAAGAAGGTGAATGCGGCGACGGGAGGCGAGGACAAGAAGCACTTCAAGAAGAAGCGCGAGAAGCAGCGTTCGGGTAGGGGCTACGAGGTCTGAGCAGCGCCGCCTGGAACGCAGCCTTTCGCCCTTAGCCGTTCCGCATTCGAGAGCTCCCCAGCCTGCCCGACTTCTGAAGCTCTCGGCGCTCGTAAGCTGCGCTGATCCAAGCCATGTGCTGCGTTGCAAGGTGCTCGGCCGCTCTACACAAAGGTGAACCTCCTCTCACCGCTCTCGCCCTCCGCGTCAAGTCCACACATCCTCCTCGCATCCTTGGTCCCAACAATCCGCTCAACCCGCAAGACGTCGTACTTGGAGAAGAGGACGTGCGCGGAAAGCTCGCTCTCGTCGACGTCTGCATCGCCGGATGGCTGGAAAGAGGAAAGGGAGGAGGGCGCGGTGAAGGGGAAGGCGAGAACCTCTGGGTAGTAGAGCGGGTGGATGGGCGGTGCGTAGAAGACGAAGGTCTTGGCGCCTCGCAGGCGGTAGCTGTGCGCAGAGTCAGGTCACTCGTGAGCAGCCGAATTCCGCGTGAGATGCACGACTGCGTTGAGAAGTCTCGATACGCACCGACGGAAGAAATGGAACCGCTCCGTCACCAACAAGAACTTCTTCTTGCCCTGGAAGAACGCGCCCCGTGCCCTCGAAATTTCAGGCGTGTCGGAGTACTCAGAGATGGCTGCGAACGAGAAGTCGGAGCCGAGCTGGGAAATGTTCTTCTGGAGGTAGCGCTTGACGCGGACAAAGTCGAAGTAGGAGGGGACGAATATGAGGGTTTGGGAGGACGAGACGGCGGATTTGAGCAGGGTCGGGAGGGTCTGTACGGACGGCAGCTTCAAGTATCAGCTTCCTCGCTAGCAAGTGCAGCGGTAGGTTGTTCAGATAGAGCCCGCCGCACCTTGGACGTGAAGAACTCGAACCGCTTCTCGTCCTCCTCCCAAACCTCGCCACCCTCAAACCTGCTCCAAACCTGCCTCAGCCCCCTCGGTACCATCCCGAGCACTCCCTCGCCGTTATTCGGTGCTCGCGGGATCGCCCGAAGCTTGCCGGATCGGTTGTGGCAGGATCGGGTGAAGAGGGCGCGCAGTTCGGGCGAGTCGAGCGAGGAGAGGAGGATGGACTGGCGGAGGTGGGCGGCTCTGCGGGAAGGAGCTCATCAGCATGGACGAGGGAAGAGGGAGAGGTGAAAGTGACGCACTTTCCGTCGAGGTACCAGGGCTTGACGCGCGAGAAGTCGCAGCCGTGATCCTCCTCAGGCATCTTGTTAAGCCGCTCCATCACGAACTGCGGTAGACGATTGCATTAAGCCGCTCTAGACCGTCAGCGGACGGCAGCAACGGCACGACTGACGCCTGCGCGCACCTGAACATGCTCCCAGTTCTGCATGAGCATCACGTCCATCTGGTCGACGAGGAGGATTTCGATGGACGAGAGGAAGTCCGAGTCGCTGCGGGACAGGGGCAGCGCTCGCCACCGTCAGTATTCGGTCACCAGACGGAGCTAAACGGAGGGCCTGCTGCCGGACTCACCCATCCTTCTCGATACTCGTCCTCAATCCCAACGGACTCGCCACAATCACGTCCGCCTGATAAAACTCGCTAAACATTTTCGCCGCCTTCCTCGTCACCTTGATGCCGCAGCGGAACGTGTCATCAATGTTGCCCTTGAAAGTCTCAACATGATCGCGTGGGTACTCGTCGGCCCTTTCGACGAGTTTGTCGGAGGCGCCATCGGGAAGGGAGTATTCCGAGACGAAGCGAGGGTAGGATTCGATGAGGGAGGTGGTTGGGGGGAGGTACGAGACGAGGTGTTGGACCCATGAGAGGGCAGAGTTGCGGAAGGGCGTGAGGAGAAGGACTTTCGGGCGGGTGAAGGACTGGTCTTGGGTGTTGCGAGGGGTGGAAGAGGGAGAGGAGGGGTCAAGGGCCGAGCGGGCGAGGAACTCGTTATTCTTGAGGATGCGCGAGCGGGTCCTGCAGAAGAAAGCGTTAGTCTCCATCGCAGCTTTCAGTTCAGGCCCGGCGCACTTGAGCACGTGGTTCATAGCATGCATCGCGCAAGCCTCGCGAATCGCGTCATGCTCGTCGCTGCCGACCTCGACCTTCGGGAAGAGGACGTCCTGGCACGTCGAGAGCGTGCGGAGCCAGGCGGCCTGGGTCGGAGGAACCGAGGCTGCGGAGAGCGTCTACGTGAGGCTCGATTCTATAGCTGCGAAAGAGACGAAACGTACTGCGGCCGGACGAAGCGCGAAGTTTCTCGACCAGTTTCGCGTTGTACTGCAAGTCGCAGGCACGCACCAATCGTCAGCGCTTTTGCCAGGAGCAACACTTGACGCATATTGTCCAGCGACTCACCGCCTGCAACGCCTCCTCCTCGCCCTTGACCGCCGACTCGACGCCGTCTGGCCGCGTCCAGGCGACCTCTCCTGCACCGGGCAAGACGCTCTTCCCCTTGCTCCACTTCTTCTCCTCTTCCTCCAGCTGCGATACCTCCTTTCCTTCAACGAGCGCCGAGTTGGGGCCAAAGTGGGCCGCAAAGGGGTCTTTGGCGACGGACGAGGAAGGCGAAGGTGCAGCTTCGTCGTCGGAATCCGCATCCGAGAACGCCGCGTCCTCCGCTCCGACCTTCGCATCGTCCGTCTGAGCGTCCTCCTGCTCCTCAATCACCTCGGCCGCCTCGTCCACCTTGTCCGCGAGAGCCCTCCTCGCCCTCTCAGCACCCGCACTCGCTCCCTTCGCCTTCTTCTGCGCTTTGCGCGCAATGGCGTGCCAGTCCCGTGTCGTTGCGTGAGACACGGCTGGTCGCTTGCCCGTCGAGCCTGTTGGTCGTGCGGACTGGACGTTCAAGACCGTGAGGAGATTGAGGCGAGGGTCTGCGATAGGCTTCATCGCTGGCGGTCGTTCGAGGGTGCTGAACGGGGTAACAGGCGGCTGGGAATTGATCTAGCTCAGTTCCAAGCCAGCCAGAGCAGTGTGAGAGCGAGTTCGTGAGGTGTCGAGGCCAACTTGCTCGCTCGAGCTCACTCGCCAAGGTCAACGCGTTGACATCTCGCTCGTTCGACGCTGCTGGACTGCTCAGCTGTGTTTCTGCGTGCTATGGCTTCACAGTACTCGAAACTCAAGGTCGCAGAGCTCAAGGCGAGTCCGCCCACTCTCCTCATCGCCCCACACCTATCACCTCAACCCGATCCACCTCGCACACCGCACGGGCGGGCATGCGAACGAGCTCATGCTGACGAGCCTTGCGCGGAACAGGAGCTGCTGAAGGAGCGCGACCTCCCCGTGTCCGGCTTGAAGGCAGACCTCGTCGCCCGACTCGCCGAATCGGACGCTGCTTCTCCCGCCTCTGCCGAACCAGCCGACCAGTCTGCGCCCATCACCGACATCCCTGATGCAGATGCGGCAGTCGAAACCGTTGCAAGCGGTGGGAAGGAGGCGAACGAGGTGGGCGGGATGGGCGACAGTGTTCCTCCGACAGACGGGCTCAACTTGGCAGTCAAGCGGGCGTTGGAGGACGAGGCTGTCGAGGAGGAAGTGAAGCGGGTCAAGCGGGACGAGGAGATGGCTGAGGCAGTTCCTCCTGCGGCAGAGAAGGACTCGGCTCTCCCTCCGGATGCGCCCGCACCAGCGTTCGATTTGAAGCCTGTGCTGGGCGGAGATGTGCCGAACCGAAGCGTGATTGCGGAAGGCAAGGTCGATACGGAGACGCTGGAGAAGGCGGCGGCGGGGGAGACTGCGTTGAAGCACGAGGAGCCCGAGGTGCAGGAGGACTACGAGGAGGAGGAGGAGCCGCCCAATTACGACGACCTGGCGCTGAAAGAGGAGGATGGCGGGCGACCAGCGGACTTGTATCTCGACACGGTGCGTCAAGGCGCTCTCGGTGTTCCGCCTCGATTCCTACGAATCTTGAGCTGATTTCCTCCGTCGTCCATGAGCACAGATCAACCGCGCCGCACTCGACTTCGACTTTGAACGCCTCTGCTCCGTCACCCTCTCGCACAACCACATCTACGCCTGTCTCGTCTGCGGCAAGTACTTCCAAGGCCGCGGAAAGTCGACCCCCGCCTACGCCCACGCGCTGAACGAAGACCACCACGTCTACATCAATCTCGACACGCGAAAAGTCTACGTCCTGCCCGACGGCTACGAAGTCGACGACGCGAGTTTGGCCGACATCAAGTACCTCCTCTACCCGACCTTCACGCCTCAAATGCTCGAGAAGATCGACCACCAGACGCAGCCCGAACTCGACCTCGCGCGAAAGGAGTACTACCCCGGCTTCGTCGGATTGAACAACATGAAGCACAACTCGTACATGAACGCGGTGCTTCAGCTCCTTCTGCACGTCCCGCCTCTTCGCGACTACCTAATCCTCCAACTCGACCCCTCTTCTTCCTCCGCACGCCCAACCTCCGAACTCACAATCCGCCTCGGCCTCCTCGCGCGCAAACTGTGGAACCCGCACGCGTTCAAGTCCCAAGTCTCGCCGCACGAGTTCCTCCAGGAAGTCGCGAATGCGAGTGGGGGAAAGTTCAAGATTACGGAGCAGGGGGACCCGCTGGAGTTTTTGAAGTGGTTGTTGAACCAGGTGCATCGGGATTTGGGAGGCGGGAGGAAGCCCAGGTCGAGTGAGTCGCCCGATCCTGTTCAGCTTCGAGCTACCGAGGGAGCTGCTGCTGATTCAAGATTATGATCTCGTCTCGCAGGCATCGTCTACTCCGCTTTCCAGGGCGAGGTCCGCGTCGACGACCAGCAAATCATCAAGACGGGCGAGTTTGGCACGAAGCCCAAGTTCGATATTGACCGAGGTGAGTGTTGGACGCGAGCGAGCTCAGATCCGAGCACGCGCCTGGCACCCTTGGTCTCCGTTGGCAGCAGCCCCGAACTCACAAGCTTTTCGACCTCCCAGAAATCAAGTCGACCAAGACCCCCTTCCTCTTCCTCGCTCTCGATCTCCCTCCTCCCCCTCTCTTCCAGGACGCCGTCGAAACCAACATCATCCCTCAAGTACCCATCTCCGCCGTCCTCTCAAAGTACGATGGCTCGACGACGCGCGAGGACACGCAAGCAGGCGTGCTCAAGCGGAGCAAGATCACGAGGTTGCCGCCCTTCCTTATCGTCTACTACAAGCGCTTCTTGAGCAACCGCTTTTTGGAGGAGAAGAATCCGACTATCGTCAACTTCCCGCTCAAAGGCGTCGACATGAGCGAATGTGCGTGGGCCCTCCTCTTTCGCCCGCTCATGGCGATTACGCTGCGCGAGTATTGACTAGTTGAGTTTGCCTGTCTGGCAGATGTCGACTCCGCCGAGACTCTCGCCGCGCACTACGACCTGACCGCCAACCTCTCCCTCCAATCGTCCACCTCAACCGGCACGACCGCCACCTCTCCCTCAGCGGAATGGAAAGTGCACGTTCACCTGCGAAACGCCGAGAAGGGCAAGGAGGACGAAGGCGAGAAGTGGTTCGAGGTGCAGGACTTGAATGTCAGGGAAATCGAGAAGGGGATGGTCCCGCTTGCAGAGACGTACATCCAGGTGCGCCCGCTTCTCCTCCCGCTTTCGGACGCCGGAGCTGACGTTCGTGTGCGCCTGCAGATCTGGGAGCGACGAACACCGAATGGCAAGTGGGACGACTTCGTCAAGGTCGACCCGCCCAAGTCGCACAAGGCAAAGGCGGGCGGTGCGCCTCAGGCGAACGGGAAGAAGGCGGAGAAGCCTGCGCCGGCGGCGAAGTAGGTCTGCGTCGTAGAGTCCGCTATCGTAGCGAAGGAATCGACAACCTTCCCAAGCCGAAGCGAGTCGCAAAGCGAGCATTCATCTAACGACTCGCCAGAGACAGCGGTACAAGAACTGGTCCGCGTCATCAAGCGCTCAACAAGCGGCGGTCCTCGTGCTCCCTTGACTGTTCAAGCTAGGCAGACGCTTCCGCCTCCTTGCCTCCCTCGTCCTCCTCCGCCTCCTCCTCCTCCTCCTCCTCCTCCTCGTGCTCCTCGAACCACCTTCTCATCTCGTCGCACATGTCAACCTTGAGCGGTCCGCGCTCCTCGTAGTAGACGACCGCGATACCGGCTTCTTCGCAGGCGGCGAGGATTTTCTCGGTCGTCTGCTTGTTTGCGTCGGACTGGTCGTCGTCGGGCGTCGGACTGCAGTACTTTGCCGGCAAAGCGACGACTCGAAGGTTCGGCGGGTTCGTCCCAATAAAGTGGACGATGTCGAGCTCCTCGGGCGGGGGCGGCGGGAAGATGATACCCTTGAAAATGATGCGGTCCGTCTCGTACTCGATGACCAAGCCTGCAAGCGATTCGGCAAGCGGCCCGAACGGAACGAGGTCGCGAAGAGTGTAGACATAGACCGGGGCGACGCCGGGCGGGCATGTCGCAAGGACACGACCCAGCAGGATCTCGTCGCCTCCCGGGAGCTCGCCGCGTCCGCGCACCTGTAGCATCGTTAGGCAACGAGGGGAAGCTTTGAAACTCGCGAGGATCGGGCGGGCCGGCATTTCGTCGTCGATGAAGGGCGTCAGGAAGAGGGCTTCGAGGTTGCGAGCGGCGTTGAGACAGTCGCCGAGAACTGCGCCTGACGATCTCGAGTCAAGCAGCTCGAGTTCTGTGATGGGAAGAGGCGAGAGAGGGCCGCTGAGTCGAAGGGCAACGCTTTGCAGCGTGAGGCGACGGAGCTCTGCGAGGAGAGTTTGTCAGCGCGCTTCTGTGGGCAGGCGAAGTGACGCACTAGGGGCTTTCGAGAGTAACGAGAAGTCGAACGGTGTGAAGCGGTACGATCCGAAAGTGCGGTAGTGGCGGAAAGTGTGCAAGTTGGGGAGGTTGTCGAAGAAGACGTCGAACTTGAGTCCGGTCGGAGCATCGCCAAGATGTACGTGCACGAGTCGAACGGAGGGCATGACCTGACCATCCGCCAGCTTCGCAATGAAGGCTTTGGTGACCTCTGGCATCGACTCGCGGACGTACGAATATTCGACGAAGTTCGGGAAAAGGGCGCGGTAGGCTCGGTAGAACGCCTTGTTGGTGAACTGAATGATGTCCAGGAAGTCCTGCCATTCCGTCGCCTTGTGCTCCTGCTCGAGGAGAGGCGGAGCTGTCGCGTGGACGATGGCAAGGAAGAGCTCCTCTGGCAGGTCCTGGAGGCGCGCCGTGGCGAGGTCGGGCAGCGATGCGCTTCGTTTGGTATGGGATACGAGCTCAAAGCGCGGCGCAGGCCTGTCAGCGACCGGGAGGCGCGAGCGAATGAAGGGAAGGAGGGAGAGGAGCAGCGCCGGGAGGTCCGCGGAGGTCAGAGCGTCGAGTTGCGCTCGCCTGCTCGGTTGCGACGACTCTAGGGAAGAGTGAAAGCGTGCACAAAGGCGCAAGACCCGCTGCGACCCGCTCGAGTGAATCGACGGCCTAAATCTCCTCGACTTGCGACAACTGACCCTACTCCTCAAGCCGTCCGTCCTGCCTCAAAGCCGTTTCGACCTCTCCCTCCGCAAGACGACGGACAGGCCCCCTACTCATCCCAACATCGCAACCCGCTCCAGCTCCGCCCGCTGCAGGACGACCGCCAGCCTCGCGTACTCGCCATCGTCGTCCTCGTCCGCCGACCGACGGTGCCAATCGTTCAGGAAGTTTATCGTGCGGTCGACGGCCGCCCCAGTGCGGCACATGTCGACGTCCCAGTCATCCTGGACGTCGCGACGAATCCAGCTGGCGGCAAGGAAGGCGGCGTCGACGAAAGGCTCGATGGGGTTCGTGCTGACGGTGACGCCGGGGAAGTCGAAGTCGTCGGCGATATCGTCCAATGCATTGAGTCTGAGAGCTTCGTCGTCAGACCACAGCTGAACGTGACGAAGAGTACCGGGGAAGGAGAAGTTGGACTGGAGGTACGTGGCGATGGGCCGATGGTCATACAGATAGGGGTTCGCGAAGCCGAGACTCTCGACACGTAGCGAGGCGAGCGACGGGAAGCGCGCAGACGAGATGCCGCACAGCGCGCGGACTCCGCCTTCGTGAACGGTCGTGAAGGTGAGGCTTCGAACATGCGGGAAGTGGACGCCGTCGGGATATGCCGGTTCCTCGTCCGTTGCGTTGCTGAGTGGGCGGATGAGCTCAATCTTCATGTGACGAAGTGAGCTGGCGAAGGTTCCGGGAAAGGCAAGAGACTGAATGAGGTCGGGATACACGGGACCTTGGTAGAGGGTGAGCCGGGGAAGTGTTCGGCTGGTTGCAGCATCTGCTGCCTCGGCAAGAGAGGTGAGAGGCCAGTCCTTGGGCAAACCAAGTTCGGCCAGCAAGGGCAGCGCCGCAACGATGTCGACAAGACCTTGGCCCGAGATGGTGGAGAGACTATCCATCAGCCGGAGTGATCGGAGGTTTCTGCTAGTGCTGGAGATGCGCCGCAAGTCGCCCTCGGCACTGACGTTCGTGTCGAGCCTGACGAGCGACGCCAGCAGACGTCCCATGCCGACGGGCGCGTGCTTCTCCAGATCCCGCCAGCCAAGCCTGTTCGTCGAGCCGCGTTCTGGCAGAAGTTTGACAAAGCCTTCTAGCGAGAGGGACGCTTCGGTGAGATTCGGAAAGTAGGGGAGCAGAGCGACGATGGTGTCGAAGGTCTCGGGACGCTTGTCGTCGAATTCGATTCGGCTGAAAAGGGGACCGTACTTTGGCGCGATGTAGAGTCGGAATAGTGTCGACATCGTTCTGGAGACTTTGACGACCTGTACATGAGCTGTCAGCAACCGTTCTCTCAAGCTCGTCCCTACACGACAACGTACCTTGAAGCGAAAAGACGCAGACAGCATGACCAGCTCTTGCTGGGCTGAAAGAGCGCACCCACTGTGCTCCCGTACATGGCTGCGAGGTCTCGACAGTGCGTTGACATCTTGCTCGCTCCGTCCGGCAGATCGTCCTCGTACTCTTCCCGCTCCTCGGCATAGGTCTTGAGGTATCGATGCAACTCTGCAAGCCACTTGTCCTGGCGGTCGCAAAACTCGAGAATGCGGGCCTTGATCTCGGTAGGCAGGCCGTCGAGACTGGCGCGAGGAGGGGGAGAGGAGGACATGGCGGTGGGACGACGAGCGGGGCGACGAGGGCGGGTCCTGGATAGTAGTCGGAGCAGTTCTACTACGTTAGCAAGCGGCGCGACGCCTCGGACTCGACGAAGGCCAGACGCACCGAAGTTGGCGACGAGGGAGATATGCAGACGGGCGTGGACGGCGGGGGCGCGTGACGCTGCTCGTGACTGACTTGCCGGACTAAGCTGGAGCAGTACAGACGTCTCGTGAAGCAGTGCGGTCAGAGCGAGAGACGTGAACGAAGCGAACCAGCGGTTTCGCCTCGACAGCTCACCTCCTCGCTCACGCCGCGATCTGCTGGACCTGTCTGCACGTTGAGCTGGCCCGTGTGCTCTACAGTACCCGCCGTACTGTCCGTCGCCCGCTCACTGCGCCTTGTTGCCGAGCTGGGATTCCCTCGCCGCTTTCATCTGATGAGGGCATCACAGACGGGAGGACGCAACGAGGTGGGCTGAGTACCCGCAGACTGGGAGTGACGAGTCTTGCGGGGAGCATCACGGTGTCGCTGGTCTTCCAGCCGCTGCGCTCCGCTCACAGCAGGCTTGTCGACCTCCACCCCTTCCTCGTTCCGACCAACACACGCAGGGTAGGCCGTCGCGGAGTGCTCCTGCGACTCTCTGCGACTTTTGAGCCGATGCTCTACTCCCGGAAGCTGCCCGAGGAATGCAGAATCGGAGGTACTGCGAGTCACTCGCTTCCCTCAAACCGCTTCTCCGCCCAAGTCTCGCCTCAACCTCCTCATCCAATCGTCGCTACCGCTCTTGAGCTTGCCTCATTGCTATCTGGCCAGCAGGCAGGAATCGCTGAGCTGCGCACATGTCACGAGGGAACAGGTAACATGCTCGAGTCGCAGAGACTGATGACCATCCTTTCCGTCCTGCCCACATACCGCCTCCTCCACCTTCCCCTCCCGTCGCCTCATCCACCTCTTCGACTGCTCCTCAACACGCCTGCGCGACCCGCTCAAACTCGGCCTGCTGCAAGACCCTCGCCAACCTCGACAACTCGCCATCCGCGCCTAGTCCTTCCGCCCGCTCGAACCATTCGCCGAGGAAGTCGAGCGTACGCTTGATGCTTGGGCGGTGTAGGTCGTGTCGTATCGGTCCACCTAAGCGGATGTAATCGATTCGGTGGTCCGCCGAGAAGATAGTGGACGAGACAAAGTTGGGCACAATGCTGGTCGTGAGCTCGATGTGGCGGTCGCCGAGTTCTCTTCGCAGTGCGTTGCAGTCGAAGTCGTCCTGCAGGTGCTGCGGGTCGAAGAGATGGATTCTCTCGAGCCGAGGCATCTTGTATGCCACAGTCTTTACGGCCTCCTGCGTCGTGCTGATCAACTGTATGCATACCTGATGGCTGCAAATGACGAGCTCAACCAGCGCCGGGAACTGGTCGCAATCAATGCACTCCATGAACAACTCAATGATCTCCGGGAGGCCTTCGAGTTTGAGCGTGCGGACTTTCGGGAACTGGACGTCCTCGGGGTAGTCGAAGTTGAGGTCGAATGCTAGGTCGAAGGTGATGCATTCGATAGAAGAGGCGAAATGCTGAGCGAACCGCATGGTGCTGCCCACATCGCCGTTAACGCCGACCTTGAGCGACGTGATGGCGGGCAGTGGATGTTCGCCGCGAGCGCTCAGGAGACTGTTGAGCACGGGAAATAAGTCGCCATCGGTCTCCTCAATGACGAGGTCCCGTAGATCCGGCAATATGGCGAAGATACGGACCAGCCGCTCGTCGGCCCCGTCCTCGTGGTCAACGTAACCCAGGTGCAAACTCCGGAGGGTGGGAGCTGCGCTGCCGAGGTTGATGATCTGTTGACTTTGCGAGACCTCGGTTTTGAGGTACGTGAGCTGGCGAAAGAAGGACGCCAGGCCGAACGGTGAAGAATCCGTCAGCGCCGCCCACGAGATGCCGCCTGACTCGAGTCCGTCGTTCAGGTGATCTTCGAACCCTTCGACGGTGACGACGGCTTCGGTGACGTTCGTGAGATAGGGGAGGTTTTGGACGAAGCGGTGGAAGAGGTAGGGATCGTGATCGTCGAAGGTGACTTTTCGGAAGAAATGTCGTCGTCGCGGAACAATGTGGTGCTGAAAGAAGAGCGAGTTTGTCTTTGACGTTCGGACCTCCTGCAAGGACAGCATGCTTCAGCCCCAAGCTGGCCCGTGAGGGAAGACTGCACCGCACCTTGAAAAGAAAAGGAGCGGCGAGGACGCCGCTCTTCGTAATCGCGCCGTCAGACGCTGGCTTTTCCGCCGTGTCGACGCATGCCGTGAGGTGTTTGCGGAGCATCTTCCATCGCTCATCCTGTATCGCGCAGTGCTCGACGATGCGGGCCTTGACCTCTGTCGGTAGCCCTTCCAGTGTCGCGCGAGGAGCGGAGGGATTCGAGTCGCGGAGTTGAGCGGATGGAGAGATCATGTCGGGGTGAGCGTCGAGGAGGGTCGATGGAGGGGAAGAAGGTGTCTGCAAATGCAGTCTGTGTCAGTCTGCAAGCGTGAGTGCGGAAGGAAGATGAGAAGCCGGACGCACCGCGTCGGAGGCGGGAGACGAGCGAGGCTTTGCGGTTGCGTACAGCTTGTTTCGCGTGGAGCGTGCGAGAAGTAGCCAGTGACAGTATCAGCTCGCAAATGAGCCGGAGAGAGGCGAGCGAAACGTACAGAGGCAAGCCCGTTGACCCGCACCAGAGTTGGCTTCGAACCCTTCTCTTCCCGCTCACACGGCGATCGCTGCTCTGGACCTTGCTTTCCAAGGTCTGCTACGCTCACAGCTGTCTACCGCGCCTGCTCCCGCTCGCTTCCGTCCCGCCGTCGCCGCGGATCATTCTCATCACTTGAAGGTCACAACAGCTAGGAGGATGGAGTGAGAGAGGCTGCGGAGACCGCCAAACGGGAGGTTGGAACAGTGGAGGGGCCGTCACAGCTTCATGCCGCCCGAAGCCCGCGTCAACGGCATCTTGCTTCCCCTCCTCCTACCTACCGTCGCTCCCGCCTTCAACCCCGACTCGGCTACTGAGCGCCGCGGTAGGAACCGATTCCGGTTGAGGAAGGCCTTGCTGAGTCGGCGCGGACAGCCCCGCCGACCTCCGCGACGTTGCGACCCAAGTCCCTGCTTTGGAGTTGCTCGCCTCTCTTTGAACGCTGGCTGATCCGCTTCGTTCGCTGCGCTCAAGCTACTGATACAGTGGCAGGTCAGTGGAGCCCTAGTCTACGACAGCCACGCTCAGCCTTCGCTCTCAGCCGACTTCGCCTCGTCCACCTCGTCGTCCTCGTCCGCCTCGTCCGCCTCGCTCCCGCCTTCCTCGCCCGAGTCATCTTCGCGCTCGCTCTCCCATTCCATCGACTCCTCATCGTCCCCGGCTTGCTCAGTCCCGTACCCTTCGCTGAAATCGCCATGCAGCATGGCCTCGAGATCCTCCTCCGTCTCCGGCCAGGCCCCGCCCCACGTGAAGAGCCTTCCATCGTCGTCGCGCGGCTCGTCGCCGGTCATAACTGTCCACTCGCCCTTCTTGAGCTCCTGGCAGAAGCCCGTCTCGCGATCCCAGTCCTCGTAGTAGACGACCTCGATGTCGTTTTCCTCGCAAGCGTTGATGATCTCGTGCGCGGCGTACTTGACAACCTGGAGGTACGGGTCTTCTTCTGGGTAGGCGGGGTGCCACATCATGGGCAGGGCAACAGACTGCAGATTCGGCGGACTCGATTCGACCCATTCTGCGATCCGGCTGATATCGCTCGGCATGAAGCTGTACATCTCGCGCTCGTCTTCGTCCGTTTCGTACTCGACGAGGAGAGACATGACGAGGGCGCCAGCGAGAGGTGAAGGCGCGCCCGCCCAGACGGGGTGGACGAGGACGGTCGAGCAGTCGCTCGGGCACTTGTCAAAGAACCGCACAGCGTCTCGGCCGAGCGCATCCTCGAAGTCATCTTCGCGTGGCTGAAGCTGAACGTATTGGAGAGACTGAAGGGCGCTTGGGTCAGGAAGAACGCTCTTGATCCCGCTGCTGAGCGGCGAAAGGCAGAGCGCTGTCACGCTTGGAATCTGCGAGAAGAACTCGTTGACCGCACAGGTAGACGCGACGCGGCACTCGAGGAGCTCGACTTCGATGATGCCGAGCTGTTGGAGAGGAAGCGAAAGGTAAAGGAAGAAGCCGCTCAATCCGAGAAACTTGAGGTCTATCGGGTGCACGGTCAGCACAATCACGCTGCAAGGGTCGGAGACAACTCACGAAGGAGCTTGTCGAGCGCGTACATGTCGAAACTTGGCACATTCGGTTGACACTTGTCGGCGCCGAGGCGAAGGACGACGAGGAAAGGAAGGTTGCTGAGGATCGTGACGAACGACAAGGCAGTGTTCACGCCGAACAGGCGAAGGCAAGCGACACTCGCAAGCGTTTCACTTCGCAAAGTCTTCCTCAGCATCATCTTGACCGTTCCGCTTGTCGAGTCGACGCAGTACGGAAAGACGGCGCGGTAGATGTTGTGCAGGTTCCTCGAGGCTCCGCGAAAGCTCTTCAGGGCTGCGTGCCACAGGAGGGCCCTGCCCTCTTCGGCGGGAAGCGTGGGCGAGGCGAGGAAGAGGATGTTGAGGAGAAGATCGTGCGGCAGGTCCTGGAGGCGGGCCATCGAGGGGAGCGGGTCGGCAGACTGGTTAGGCGTTGTGCAAGTCCTCAGCAGCGGTGCAGGCTGGTCAGCAATGAGTGAGCGAGTGCGAGTGAAGGGAAAGAGGGAGAGGAGCAACTCGGGAGGTCCGTGGACTTCCAAACGACGAGCGAGCCAGATTTGAGCAGCTGTAGCAGCTAACGGAGAACGTAAAAGCACAGCGTAGAGTGCAGGACGGGCCGCGACTCGCCGAGAGGACAGACAACGCAAACCTCCTCGACTTGCGACTTGTCAGCGCTACTTCCCCGAGTCCATCGTCCCTCGCCCTGCCCGAGAGCGTCGTCGAGTCCGTCTACTCTGAGCCCTGCCCCTCCCCTTGAAATCACGCGTCATCCTCACCCCGTCATGGTCACCCTCTCCAGCTCCGCCCGCTGCAAGACGACCGCCAACCTCGCAAAGTCCTCCTCGCTGCCCGACGCTTCGGCCCGACGAACCCAATTGGCGAGGAAGTCGGCCGTACGCTTGACGGCCCGTTTGACGCGGTCGAAGTTGATGTGCTCGCCGTTGTCGACCGCTTTGACTAGGTCCTTCGGCTGCATGAAAACGCCGTCGATGAAGGGCGTGCTCGGGGGGTACGGCGTGGTATGGATAGAGGTGTATGGGTGTGCCAGCGAATCATGGATGAGGTCGAGGGTACGGTGATCCAAGTGTCGCGTCGAGTCGAAGATACGGATCGTCCCAAGAGGGCGCCCAGCTGATTTGAAGCTGGCGCAGAACGCGACGACCTTCGCCATCGACTCGTCCTCATTGAGTCGCTCGATCTCGAACTCCGAAAGAACAGGGAATTGCTGCGCGGTGACAGTCGCGACGAAGCCGTCGAAGCCGTCCATATCACCCACGAGGTGTAGGGTGCGGACCATAGGGAACAACACGTTGACTGGAGCTGGTGAGGTGTTGTGGAGTGAGTGCAGCGAGAAGTGAAGTTTTGTGAGACTGCTGCTGAAGAGGCTGGCGAAGAGCAGGGAGCCCTCGAGGTCGGAGGTGGCATCCATCGAAAGGCTGAGAAGAGGCGGGAGAGGATGTTGACGCCGGACCGTCAGTATGTCGGTGGCGGGATCTGGGAGGAGCTCATCAATGTCGAGTTCGCGGAGGTTTGGGAGACGTGCGAGCATGTCGATAACTTCCACGATCGCTGGACGCAGAGGATCATGACGCAAACGCAGGGTCCGCAGCGACGGCGCCGCATGCAAGGCCTCCTGGATGAGGGCCCAGTCATCGAAGAATCTGAGCTCCAGGGTGCCGAGCTGCGCCAGAAAGGCGACCAAGGCGCGTAAGGGGTCTCGCAGCAATGCCGAGATCGAGTCGTCGGTTTTTTGTTGCCGAGCCGGCCGGATGCCACCGTTCAGCACCGCTCGGTCGGCATTCGGCAGTTGCGGGAGGAGCAGGGGATCTTCCCGAGCAAGCTGGTCGAGGCGATTGATTCTTCGGAAGTGATGACCGAAGCGAGGGAGAATGTGTTGACGGAAGAAGGGACTCTTCGTCTGCCAAACGTGCAATTCCTGCAGGTAGCGAGGTTAGGACTGTCACGGGCTGTGAATATGCTCGCAGCTCACCTCGAAGCGTCTCGGCGCAGCTGCAGCGGACCACGAGCGTGACAGTCCGTAGACAGACGCAAGAGCTGACGACAATGGCGAAGACCACGTCGCAAAGTCCTGCCAGTGGTGGAGAATGTCGCTCGTCGCGGGAGTCGCGAAGGTAGCCTCGTACATGAAGTCGTCGAGAAGCGCCCTGCGCTGTTGCTCTTCATCGTCCACGATTGCACAGTACTCGACAACCTGCATCTTGATTTCGTGAGGCAGGTCCATGTTTTGGCGGGAAGGCGAAGGAGTCGGGTTTGGGGGAGGAGCGCGAGAAGCGGCGACAGACATGGTGGCGGGGCCGAGCTGCTCGGGCGAAGTTCGTGCAATTGCGAGAGCGTGATCAGTCAGTCTCCTCGTCGCAGGAAGAGGACACAACGCACGAACCTCAGACAAGACCAAGAGGGAGGAGGAGGACGCGGCGGAGGACGGGCGCCAGGCGCAAGTCTCTGGTGGATCGGTTGGCGGAAGTGGAGCGATGCACAAGCCTCGACAAGCCCTTACAAGCAGAACGAGCGAGCGGCGGAAGGGGAAGAACGCGTGAACGAGGGGGTTCGTCCTCGACGGCTCACCTCGCGCCGACACGCTCGCTTATTGGCCTCGTCACTATGTCTGCTGTACTCGCAGACAGCTTGTCATCGGCAGTCGGTGCTCGCGAACCGTCCCGATGAGTCGCGAACCGTCCCGATGAGTCGCCTTCGATCTCTCGACTTCATCATCGGAGGTTCCGACATCAAGGAGGAACTTGCGGGAAGAGCTGCTACGGAGCCGACACGACGGGGTCGAGCCGAAAGAGTCACTGCGCCATCCACCAGCTGCGCCGCTGCCTCGGCATGACCAGCCAGCCCTGCTCGACATTTGCTTGCCTCTGATGCTCATTTCCGACCATTGTGCGCCTCATGCTCTCAGCAACGCAGCAAGACCTTGCTTGCCACTCGCTAGAGCGTTTGACGAGTCGAGCGTGGAGGCGCCTAACATGCTCAAGGCGAGGGTAGATCTTGCCCTTGTCCCTCCGCCGCTCATTCCTCACCTTGTTCCTCCGCTGCTGCACCGTACATTGCCCGTGTCCATTCCAGCGCGACAAGCTACGCCCGCTCGTCTCTCACGGTGCCATCACGACCCGCTCCACCTCCGCCCGCTGCAACACCACCGCAAGCCTCGCATACGCGCCGATGTCCTCCATGTTTCTCGCCTGCGCGAGCCAGTCGTTGATGAAGCCGACCGTCTGCTCGACAGCGAGTCGGATCGGGTGGGGGTCGATCGGCCAAACAAGCTCCGCTTCTTTAGGAGGGCGAAGGTACAGCCGCTCGAGGAAGTTGTCGCAAGGCGCCGTCGTGATCTTGGTGTTGGGGTGGTCGAGCTCTCCATGGATGCGCTCGAGATCGGCGACGGAGAGGAAGGATTGCGGGTCCACGATCTGGATCTCGCGAAGGGGTCGACCGGCACGCTTGAAGGCGTCACAAAAGTCGAGGACGTCGTCGACTCCTTGGATGGCCAGGTCGCGACCGAGAACGATGAGGTGCGAAAGGACGGGCAGGTGCTGCGCCGACAAACCGAGGAAGAAGTCGTCCGAAGTGCCCGCCTCGCCGTAAAACCGCAGCGTATGGAGGTGAGGGAAGGTCGTGTTGATTGGGTCGCGAGCACCACCCGAGTTGGGTGTGATGGCGAGAGTGAGGTGAGTGAGGGTGTTGCGGAACAGATGGGCGAAGCGCAGGACGACTGCGATGTCCCAGCCGACAAAAACGCTGAAGTCCGCCAGTGGCGGAAGTTTTTGGCCTTGCAGACGGCCGATCGCGTCATTGAGCGCCTCGCTGTCGACAGTTTCCATGGCGAGCTCGCGGAGATTCGGCAGGTGTTGCAGAATGTCGACCAGGACGTTGCTGTCTAGATCTTCAGGGTGGTCGTGTAGATAGAGGATCTGTAGCGAGGAAGCTGCTTGGACGACTCGGTTGATGTGGGTCCAATCACCGAAGCTGACGTCCAGCTTGATGAGACGGCCGAGAAACCGTGCGAGAACGCTGAGCGGGTCCTCAAGCGACGCCCATGTCAGACGGTCGAAGGTGTTGGTCTCGGACAGGTGTTCCTCAAAACCACTTCGGGTTAAGAGGGCTGCGTCGACATTCGGAAGCTGAGGGAGGAGAAGGAGGAAGGCGTTGAACCTGGCACGGTTCGTCCCCAGCGCGTCGAATCTGACTACGCGGAAGTGGTGGGCGCAGCGCGGGAGGATGTGTTGTTGAAAAATGAAGGAGCCAGTTTGCGAAACGAGGAGGCTCTGCACGCACATCCCGTCAACATGTCAACGTCCTCATCAGCACGGCGGTCTAGAGGAACGCACCGAGAATCGTTCTGGAGCAGCCGCTGACGACCATGAGCGCGAAAGGCGGTAGAGCGAACCGATGAGAGATGGTCGCGAAGCGACTTTGTCGAGGTACTCGGCGAGGTCGCTTTTGCCTGGTCTCATCTCGTTGAGGTGGTCTTGGGTTGAGATGTAAGTGTGGAGATAGCGAGCGCGCTCCCTCCATCGCTCCTCAAGGGCGTGACAATGCTCGATAATCAAAGCCTTGATCTCCGCTGGCAAGTCGACGGTACGGCGAGTAGCCGGAGGAGGAGGACCGGCAGTCGACATGTCGAGGCGGGTGCGGCGAGTTGATGAGCTCGAGAAGCTGTATACTGACGTGTTAGCAGCTCGACTTCTCCGCGTTTGACCAAGCTGGACGTACTGAAAGTTGCGACGGCGAGACGAGAAGCGGGAACAGCAAGTCGTGAGCGGGAGGAGGCGGGGTCTTTCGGGGTGCGGTACTGGTCTCTGGCGAGAGTGTGCAAGCAGTGAAGGGCCTTTGCCTGCGGAGCGAGTGAAGCGTAGGAGGACAACCCTCGACCACAGCGACGGGTTGTTCTCGACAGCTCACTTCTCGCCGCTACCTCGCTTGCTAGACTCGAATCTGCTCTCTAGTGGGCTAAACAGACTGCGATCGACCCACCGACGCTTTCACCGCGCCCGCTCGTCCCGCCGTCGCCAATTTCTCTCATCTCCCCACCTGCGACCGGTCGTAGTTGGCAGGGCTACGGCACCAGGGGCTGCGCGCATACCGTCATGTCGCGACTACCGCCGAGTGACGGAGCACAACGAGCGCAACAAGGCTCTGCGAGGCCGTCGTCGCGCGGACACACCTCGTCCCCCTCCTTCGGCTCTGAACTCGCCTCGCCTGTTCGACCTGAGCGTTCGCAGAGACGGCCGGCAGGGAGTGGAATGACGCCGAGTCCAGCGACTTTGCGCGGGAACGAGAATGGGCGGTTCCCGGGACAGACGATGCAGGCTGGCGGACCCGACGTTCCGAGGGTAGGCGTCACGTCGGCGGGCGCAGGAGGCAACGGCGAGGGGAAGAATAGGCGGATGATGGACCAGCTGCGGGGCGGTAACGATGCGCCTGGTTCGCCGTCTTTCTCGCCAAATCCCGCCGCCTCTACCTCGTCAAACCCATTCGGCTCGTCCCTCTTGTCCCCCATCCCCGACCGTTCCGATACCTTCAACAACTTCGACGACGCATCATCGTCCTCCTCATCCCGCGCTGGCTCCCCCGAACCCGGCGAAGGCGATTCCCCTTCTCTCGTCGTACCCACCGCCCTTTCCGAAGCCATCTCTGCCTTCACGACTGCCGGCCAGCGACGCGCAGACGGTCGACGTGGCGGCCTCGCCGACCAAGGGTTCGACGTTCCTTCTTCTCGGCGCGGTCCAGGCGCGAGTGGCTCGTCGTCCCCCGAGCTGGCGCAGAAGTCGCCCGAGACTGCGAGGAGCGGCAAAGTCGCGCTCAACCCGCACGAGTACCCCGATACACCGGCGTTCCGCGAAGTCGACGACGTGCTCCGAAAAGTGCGCGACGAGTGGCCGGAGCTGGTGCGAGGGACGAGTCTTGCGGGACAGGCGGACGGTCAGGAGGACGAGGGCGACTTCGATCCCGTCTCCCTCGCACTGCACCTTCTCGAACCTGCACGACGAGGGAGTGCCGCCGAGCGGGACCCGCCACGAAGCGCGAATGGGACTCGACAGACCCTCCCGTCCTTCCTCCGCCTGAAAGGCCAGCTCGACCACGCCATCCGCTCCACCCTCTCTCCGCAGCTCAATCCGACGTCGTCCGGCAACGCCTACCGAGCCTACGAGTCGGCCATCACGACGCACAATGCGACTCTTGGCGCACTCACGAACGCGCAGAAGATGATCGCTGGGATGCGGACGGGTCTCGGCTCGACGAGGGAAAAGCTCGAAGGGACCGGTCGAGAGGGACTTGCGGGCATGTACGCGCGGATGGGCATGCTTGAGGAGATGGGCGGTATGCTCGACGAGATGTGCGTGTTGTCGGCTCGATCGCTTGTTCGCCAGCTAACTCTGACCTTCTCCGACAGCGACTCGCTCATGCGGCTTCCTCCTTCACTCGAAGCCCTTCTCGCGGAGAAACGCTTCCTCGGCGCCGTCGTCCTGCTCGTCCGCTCGATCAAGGCGCTGCACAAGCCCGAGATGCTCGAGATTGGCGCTCTTTCAGATCTTCGCGCATGGGCGGTGGCCCAGGAAGGCGTGAGTTCAGCTTCGCTCCGGCGGAGCGGGAATACGTTACTAACCGGTCACGCTCGCAGGTCGTCCTCGAGATCCTCATCGAGGAGCTGCACAACCACCTCTACCTCAAGTCCTTCTACTGCGACGTGCGATGGAAGAGTTATGCGCGCGGGCAGACTCAGCGTGCGTTCTCCCATTCGTGCGCCGTTCAGCCCGACTGACTTATGTTTGCATGCAGTGCCGCTCGTCGACTTCGGCGAGGATGCTGAGCCGACCCCATCGGCTACCGCGAGCCGCGAACCCAACACATCCTTCCAAGCGCATTCCTCCGGCCGATCGACGGCTCGACTACCACGACTGTCGAAGCTTCAGCGCTTCCTCCAAAACCTCGCGCTCAAGCCGTCCGGCGCCGACCCGGCTCTCGACGAAGCGTTCGAAGACCTGCTTCTCGATCCGGCAGATGCAGCGGACGGCGACGACGGACTTGGCGGGTCGCTCTCGCTCGGCGCAGGGGAAGGGCTGGACGGCTTCGGCGCTTCGGCCGCGCCGAGCAGTACGAAGGCGAGGCGGGAAGCGCACAAGCGGAGAAATCCCGAACTCGACTCCTTCACGTACATCGAGATGCTCATCGAGTCGCTCGCGGCGCTCGGCAAACTTGGGTATGCGCTGGATGCGGTCGGTCAGCGAGTGCAGGGCGAGATGTTCGCGCTCGTCGAGGCGACAATTGAGGAGGTGGAGGAGCGGTACGTCTAAAGGTGGTTCCGCTTGATGCAGGCGATGGATGCTGATTCTTGTGGAGGACAGAAACGACTCGAGCAAACCGTTCGCCAGTACGGTCGGTGCCGCTCGTCCTGCTTCCTCTCTCTACAATCCGCCGTCGCCTAATCCGAACGCCTCCTCGTCCGGCACCTTCACTGCGCTTGGCGCGTCCGCATCGGCTTCCGCAGCGGCAGCAGCAGCGGGAAGCTGGGCGACAGAAGGCGTCGCGTCTCTCCTCCGCCTCTCTGCGAGCGAGACCAACACGCTGGCGAGCAGCGTTGAGACGCTGCGAGACTTGTTCTGGACCCTGTACAGCAAGCTCGATGCGGTTTTGCAGGGCTTCCGGGTGTCGTACGAGGTCGCGAGCAGGATCTCCGAGGTGCGCTCGCCGTCTTCGCTTCGCTACACGGGACAATTCGCTGATCCTCCTCCCATGGCAGCGTCGGGACTTCAAGGATGCCTCACTCGTCCGGACAAGTTCGGGCAACCTCCTCTTCTCGCTGCTCGAGGTATGGAAGTCTGTTCAGCAGGAGGTGCGCCGCTTTCCTCCGCTTCCGACGGCACAGCATTGACGCTTTCCTCGACACCGCCCAGGTCCGCGCTTTGCTGCACGACTACTTGACCGACGACCAAAGCGGCACCGTCTCGTCGCGCAACCCGATCGTCAGCGTCAACGAGGTACTGCGCTTCCCGCGGCCTCGAGATGGCTCGAAGGTGCGTCTGCCGTCTTCGCCGCCGCTCTTCAGGCGCTAACCCGCCGTCCGCCCGCAGCAAGTTTTCCGGTTCGCCGAGTCGGACCTGCAGGCGTCGCACAAGCTCTTGAAGGACTACGAGGATGCGCTGAACATGGCGATCAAGGCGGCGGTCCCCGGCCTCATCACCGATGGCGCGCCATCGACAACTACTACCTCTGCGCTCATCGTCGCTTCGACAGACCCTTCCGCCGCAGCTGGCCGCTCAACAGGCTTGAACAATACGCACAAGGCGCTCGTTCCTGCCGACGCCTTCAACGTCTCCGTTCTCTTCGGTCCGACACTCGCCTTCCTCGACCGCGTCAAGGAGGTCATGCCTGGCGGTCTCATGGGAGAGGACGAGACGAGCGCAAGCACCGGCTTCAATGGCTTCCTCGACGAGTTCGTTTTGCGAACGTTCCTTCCGCAGCTGGAGGAGAAGGTCGCGAGCGTCTTCCACCAAGCCGTCGGTGGTATCGACGCCTTCCAGGAGGACCCGAACTCGAAGCGAGTCTCGCGTGTGCCGATCGTCCGGGTGAGTCCTGCTTCGTTCGCTGTTCTACTGGCTGGACCCTTGCTGACGCCGGCCTCGACAGTCCGTCTCGAATCTGATGCTCCTCATCTCGGCACTGTGCTCCATGCTCCGCGCAACGCCGTTCCACCGCGAGAACTACTCGCAGCTCATCGTCAGCGTCATCCACCAGTTCTACCAGCGCTGTTTCGAGCGCTTCAAGGGTGCGTATGTCTCAAGGAACAGGCCTACATGCGCTGACACGCCGTCCCGCAGACCTTGCCGCGCGCGAGACGACCGACAGCAACTCCTCCGCGCCATCCGGCTCAACGCTGGGACCGCTGAAGATGGCTGCAACGTGGGCGGACATGCCCGAGCTGCATGCTTGCCTGACCGAATTGCGCGGGGTGACGGTCAGTCGTCTCTCCCTTTCTCGCTCTGCCACTCATGCTAACGTCTTTTTCCGCAGCCCGGCGATGTTGGCCAGATGCGTCAGGTTCTCGCGAAGGAGACGAAGATCGAGCTCGACCGCAAGCGCAACGGCTTTGTCAAGGAGGACGACCTCATCAGCCCGAGCAAGAAGTTGTCGGCTCTTGCGACGCTGTACTCAAGTCTAGTGCGTGAGGCTATGGCAGCCGATCGAGAAATGGCTCACGTCCCGTCGCCTGCAGGATTGGTTCATCCACCGCGTCTCATCGCTAAAGTCGGCGGAGGGAACGCCAGCAGCTTTCTCGAACGGTTTCTCTGGCCCGCTCGGCTCTCAACGACCGCGCGAGAGTGCGTACTCGATCGCCAGCACCGACACCGGTCACTCGCTCGGCAGTCGCGAGATGGAGGACGAGGCTGGAGACGACCGACCGGAGGGCTTCGCTTTGCCGCTCACGAGCGAGATGACCAAGTGCGTCTGAACGCATCCCAATCAGCGCTGGCACTGACCTTCTGACCTTCGCAGGCCGTTCGAAGCGCTTCTTCGCTCGTACCGCCAGCTCGCCGACATGGTTCTGTTCACCCTTCGCCTCGAGATCCGCCTGCGCACGATGCACTACCTCGACAAGGCGACTCGCGACGGTGTCTACCAACTTGCGGAGGACATTCAGGAGCCAGATCCGAGCGTCGTCGACTTAAACAGCAACCTCGCCGAGTGCGACGAGATCGCTGCGAGCACGCTGAGCGAGGGCGAGCGGAAGTGAGTAGCGGGCGATTTGAATCGTTGGGGCGGGACTGACTGTACGGTTCCCGCAGGTCCATCTTCGAAGGCCTGTCGCTCCTGATGGACCAGCTTCTCGTCCACAACGCCCGCTTCATCCGCCTTGCGAACCACTTCGGACAAGCCAAGATGCTCCGCAACATCCTTGCACTACAGCAGAACCTCAAGAACCTCGGTGACAGCCCGCTCGACGTCGACTTTGACCGGAGCAGGCGGTTCTGGGACCTCTTCACGCTCGGTCCGAAGGTAAACCGCGCCGCGCCGTCTCCTGCCGGCACTCTCCGTCGCTGACGCTGTTGTCTCACTCCCGCAGACCATGCTGGACATGGTCAGGAAGGGCGAGGTCTCGTACGACTTCGACGACCTCAAGGCGCTCCTCAACCTGCAGTGCGGCGTCGACCAGTCCGGCAAGGACGGCTCGGCACCGAATGGCGCCTCTCTCGGAGCGAGCGGTGGTCCAGGTGACGTTCCCCTCAGCGGCGGCACCGACAGGAACCGGCGGCAGTACAACGAGTTCCTCATCGTGCGTGGGAAGGCTCTCGCTTTCGTTGATCGTCGCTTACACTTCTCGCGGTGCAGGAGCTCTTCTCTCTCGACCCGACGGGCGGCATGGCGGACGACTAGCGCGCTTTCAGTTCTTCTCTCGCTGGCGAAGCCGGTCGCGACTGTGCAAGCGATTCCATTCCACCTAAGCGTCTTATGTACCGTCTGCCGACCGCGCTCCAGTTGTCTGCTCTCGCCACTTCCGGTCCGTAAGTTCCTTGTTGCGCGACCTACTTGCGCTTCTTCGCCCAGTGTTGGCTCGGCAACGCAGTCCAGAGCATGTTCCTGCTAGCTCCGCGCTGCTGCTGAAGCTCGACAACGAGCGGGTTCTGATCGGGCTGAGAAGGGTGTTCGAGGTACTTGAGGAAAGCCGAGGAGATGGTGCCCCTTGTCTCGTCGGTGTCGCGGAAGAAGACGACCTTGACGCCGCCCTTCAAGCAGGCCGAGAAGAGACCCTTGACGCTCTGTCGGAGGCGCTTATGGACGTTGGCAGGGTGGCGCAGGGTCGAAGGAAGGAAGGCGACCTTGAAGCCCTCGCAGTCTGCCTCAGGCTCGAAAAACTTTCCGAGGCAGCGACAAAGCTTGACGAAAGTATCGCGCGCTTGGCCTTCGATGGCTTTGGGCGGTACGACGAGTTGGAAGTAGGTCGGAAACGGATGGGGAGGCTCGTCGAAGAAGAACTGGTCATCCGAGGCGTCCCACGAGATGAGAACCGCAGCGTCGGGCGAGAAGGAGCCGGCTGGCTCCCAGAAGTCGTACGGCAAGGCATAGGCTTCGGCCGGTCGAAGCTCGACGACCGTTACGCGGCTGAGGTCGACATCGCCAGACGGGAGGTACGCCTCGCTGCTTCGAGCGCCTTCCATCCAGATATCGCCGACGAAGAGATGACGCAGCGAGGGTGTGACTGAAGGGCTGAGTAGATCCGAGATGTAGCCGTCCTCCAAGGCGCGAATGTCGAAGAGCGAAAGGGAATGCAAGTGCGGGAAGACGACCTCCTCCTGAACGTTGAAAATCTCGTGGCCTTCGAGCGTGAGAGAGCGCAGTGCTACCAATGGAGACGTGTCAGTGAGGCGTTCCTCTGAATGAGCGAGCGCACGGGAGCTTACCCGCGAAACCCGCAATGCTGCTCAAGGAGGCGTCGCACTTGCACAGGCGGACGGTCTCGACCTGGCGAAGGGCGTGTTGCACGATGAGGAAGCCTGCCTGCTTGAATCCTGTCTGCCGGCGCCCGACAATGTAGTCGTAGAGACGGTCTGCTGCGAATCCCTTGACGTGCTTGAAGAGGTGACGGACGGCGCTCTTCGCTCCGAAGAACGACTCGGGATCTTCGAAAGCGGTCGGAGAAAGATAGGACCACAGAACGGGCTGAACGACGTCTTTGAAGGCCTTGCAGACGAGGCAGAGCGGTGCGAGGCGGGCGTGGTAGGGCGACCAGTCTTCGTCGAAGAAGTCACGCTGGATGTAGGAACGGAGGATGTCGAGGACAAGTTCGAGCGGGAGAGTGGCTGGCATGGCTTAGCGGGCAGTCTGAAGCGTGGGTGAGCAAGCGATGTGGTGAGGAGGAGGACAAGGGAGGACGGTCGGACCTCGTCGAGCGCCGGCAAGTCCGGCCAGCGAGCAGGCGAGTGCAAGAGATTTCAGGAGCGCTGTACAGTCGCTTGAAGCCCGCGGAACATGCTACTGACGCGCTCGCAAGGCTTTCATCGACTTGCGAAGGTCAAAGCGAAACGACGACGACGACCCGGGGCGCAGACAACGCATGCATTCCTCCGTTCTCTCAAATGTTGATGTACACAACGACAGGACCGTTCCCGGGCAAGTTGACGATCTGGTCGACGAAATCCCTCGCCATCGCAGCAATCTCGTCCTGGATCTCCTCCTCCTCGTCTTCCCTCTCCTCGACCTCGAGGCCAACGACATTGGTCCATCTACTCGGCTCCTCCGAGACGAGCGCGCCAAGCTTGGCTTCGACAGCGAGCGGGTTCTCGTCTTCCGTCGGCGAGCGGATGTAGTCGAGGAACTTTGCCGACATGGTCGACGACGCGTCGGATCCGCCGCGGTAGAAGACGACCGGGACAAAGAAGTCGAAGCAAGTCTGGAGGAAGAATCTGACCGAGGGCCTAAGCCAGGGGTTGAGGTTGGCTGGCGAGCGCAGGCGTTCTGGCAGGAAGACTGCCTCGAAGCCGCAGTCATCTTCAATCGAGTAGGCGATGTTGCGCACCATCGCTTCGAAGTACGGCGCCAGCGACTTGTCGGTGTAGACTCCGTCGGGAATGTTGAGCTGGAAGTACTCGGGAAGCTCGCCGGTTGGGTGGAAGCGAGTCGTCGGCGCCTGCCAGGAGAGGAGGAGCTTCGTCCGCGTGCCGCAAGGGCCCTCGGGCTGACGCAGGTCCTGCGGCAGGATAATGAGGTGCGAAGGGTCGATCTGGACGGCGTCGAGGCGGCCAAGGTCGAGCTTGGCGAGCGGCATGTACGTCTCGGCATCGTGGGCTTCGTCCATAAACTTGAACCTGCTGAGAAAGGTGTACTTGAGGTTGGGTGTGCAGCGTGAGCTGAATAGCTTGACGAGCGTCTCGTCGAGGGCAAAGATTCTGACAAGCGAAAGCGTCTTGATGTTGGGCAGGACGAGGTTGGGCTGGATCTCCTGGATGTGGTAGTTCTCGAGCGTGAGGTCGTAGAGGTCTGCTATAACCTGTCAGCCTCGCTAAGAGGGAACAGACTGCGAGACGCACTGGAGAACGAAGCGAACGCCGCCATCGAGACCGCTCCCCTCCCCAACCCCCTCAACTGGACGACCTCGACGTTGGGGAAGTAGAGGCGAATGATTTGAGCAGCCTTCTCGTCCGTGCGGTCGACCCTCCTGCAGCAAGGCCCCGCACCAACAAACCCCTTGACGCCCTTGTAAAGCTGGCGAGTTGCGCGGTTCGCCTTCTGCGGCGGGCGGCGCTTGGCGAGTTGGCGAGTCGACTTGAAGCGCACTGTCGTCCACAGGACGGGCTTGACGAGGTCTCGCATAGCCTTGCACACGCGGCACAGCTTCGCGAGCCTGGCGAGGCAAGCGGCCCAGTCATCGTCGAAGAAGTCGCGGGTGAGCGAGCGGTCGACGATGTCGAGGACGAGGGAGAGCGGGAGGAAAGCAGGCATCGTTCTGAGAGCAGTCCGTGAAGGTGCAGCTGTGTTGACGGGGTCGGAGGAGCGAGAGGAGCACAAGGGGACGGTCGGGCCTCTTCGAGCGACGGCAAGTCCGGCGAGGGCGGAGAGCGAGTGCAAGGGAGTGCAGGAGCGCGGTAAAGTCGTCGGCGGCGCAGTAAAGCCCCGAGTCGAGCATACGCAAGGCCTTCGTCGACTTGCGAAGGTCAAGCGGGGCCAGGAGGACAACTCGCTCGCGGTCTCGTCGACAGCAGCGTTCTCAAGCGGTCAAGCGAGCTTTACAGGTTCGTCCGTATCCTACTACACCTTCCGGAATCCCTCGCCGCCTCACATGCGCCCCTCGAGCCTTTCCCTGTCGAGGTAACGGCGAAACGGTTCCGAAGGTGAGGCGCCCATCTCCTCGTCCGCGCGGTACCAGCAAATGGATGGGTTGCCGTGCTTCTTGAGAGTGGCTAAGAAGCGGTCGCGAATCTCACCAAGACCGAAGTCGCGAACTGGCGTAGCGTCGGGATGAAGATTGTCCGGCAGGAAGAAGACTTTGGGTCGAAGGCCCCACTCGACACGGGCGGCGAGGCGGTGGACTGTAGCGCCAATGACATTGAGAGCAGTGTCGCCGCGGACAGCCGTTATGTCGAGGGAGATGCGACGGGCGTACTGTAGCTGGATGTAGGCCACGCCGCTGTCGACGCACTCGTCCGGGGGGGGGACGGGAGGGATAGGTCGCCGAAGTATGCGATCTCTGTGCGCAGGAGGGTAGGTACCGGGAAGTTCGGTGCGAAGGCGGCTGCGGCGGGAGTTGGAGGTGTTTGTCGGTAGCTGATCTCGAGCGCTGCGAGGCGCTTAAACAGCGCGACGTCGGAGAAGACGGCGGGCGACGACGTGCTCGGAAAGTCGAGCCCGAGGAGGCACAGGTGCCGCAGCAGTGGCGTAACGGCTGGGTTGCAGAAGTCGCGGATGATGTCCTCGTCAGGGCTGGTGAGGAGAAGCTCGGCGAGAGCGAGAGGGCTTGCTGGGCGAGGCGGAGGAACTGCGTACAGCCGGACTCCAAGGGCGAGAGAGGAGAGAGCTGAGCGATGCGGAGGTCAGCCTGGCGTCTCCAGGCGAAAGGAAATTGCGGCAAACCTGGATAGAGTTCCTTGGCGAAGTCGCACGAGGACAACGAAGCGTTGGCGCCGCCAACGAGGACAATCCTCTTGAGCGACGTTGACGACTCGGGGAGGACCCTGCCCAAGCTGTACGCGAGTTGGCCCGCGACGAGCGTCTGAACAGGTTGTCCTCGCTGCTCTGCCTCGCGCAACCTATCCCACACGACCGCCATGACGAGTTTTTGGCCCAGACGCGCACAGTGCCTTCCAGAGTACGTCTGACGACTCGATGGAACGCTTTGCAGACGAGCGCGAGGCGGGTGAGGCGTTGGAGGTGCTCGACCGCGCTCTCGTCGAGGCGGCGCGGGTGGGCGTAGTCGACGACGAGAAGCGTGAGTTCGAGCGGGAGCGTCGTCTGCATTGTCGGTTGAGCGAGTCTGAAGAATCTAGCCGCAGTCCGAGCGAGGTGAGGTGAGGAGTAGAGGGAAAGAGAAGTCGAGGAGGAGAAGGGCGACAAATTGCTGTCACTCGGCTTGCTTTCGCTCTCGAAGACGGTACGGTGACGATTGGAGTTGCAGAAGACTATGCATCCCCAACAAAGAACGAAAGAGGCAGCTCGACGAGATGTACCAACCCTTTTCTCCACCCCATCCTCCCACCGAGTTTGTTACACAGGGAGGCGGGGAAAGTGTATGATAGTCGGAAGACGATCTAGGACCTCTTCTAGGAGACACCCAGCGTGGGATGCGCGAACCGCCCGACTCGCCGCCCGAATCCCGCTCCTGAAAGAAGGGGATGAGGGCGGTGAGCCGGGTGGACGCGCGTGATGGCTTGGGGCTCTTGATGGATGATCCGGGGTGTGTGTGAGGGAGGAGGGAGGGGGAGGGAGCGAGAGAGAAGCCGAAGAGAAGCAGGAAAGAAGAAGCGAGTGAAGCAAAGCGCGAGCGACTGTCTCCGCGCCTACGCCCGCCACCTCGCGTCAGAGAACGCTCGAGGCCCGACGAGTGCGACGCATGACCCCCCTCGCGGAATCAATCGAGATCGCCTGGGAGGGAGGCGAGTTGAGGGTTCGATCTCGGACGCGGAATAAGTCGCACAACCTGCTTGTTTGGAATGGCTGTGGAGGAAATAACGTCCGTTGTGAAGGGTGGAGTGGTGTTTCGGCGAGGTGAGAGGCGAAGTTGGGAGGCGAGAATGGTAGACGGAGAGAAGCGAGGCAGAGGGTTAGCAAGATCAGAGGCGGCGTCGAGCAGCCCTCAGTCGAGATTGGCCCGTGAAACCGGCGAGTACAGGTCGTCAATGGGTAGCGAGATTGTCCCGGCCACTCAAAACGCTCTTGCCGACCACCTATCGCCCGTCCATACTCGGAAGACGCGGTTGGCGCGCTCTGCACGACCGGGCTCCATCGCTCGAAGCGAGAGGAGTTTTCGTTGAGACTTGGTCTCGCACGGCCATTATGTCCTCGACGCGTGGTGCGGATCGCGGATCGAGGGGATCACGAGCTGTGCTGGCTGAGACGGGGAGGGGCGAGGCGAGGGACAGATGGGGCGAGGCGGTACGAAGGGCGAAAAAACGCGATGGAGGCCTGAAGCCCATTGCACAGAAGAGTGAGCTGTAGAAAGAACGATCAGCAGTGCTCCAAGAAAGAAAAGAAGAGGAAGCAGGCCGGAGAACGCACGTCTACAGCTTCTCCTCCGACCGGGACACCCGAAAGCTGCGCCCATCCCGCCCGCGCCTCCCATCGCACAAAAAGCCGATAGAAGACGCAGCGAACGACCGCGACCGATGCTGTTGAATCTAAGCCACCTGAATGGCCACGCTGCCCCTAGAACCCGCACGCCGCGAGACGGACCAGTCCTCGAGGAACCAGTGGGCCCCGCAGCGCGCGTTCTCCTGGTCAAAGGAGACGAGGCAGGTGGAAAGAAAATGGCTAGGTGTGGGTACGCGAGGGAAGAGGGAGGGGAAGCGGATGGAATGGAGGAAAAGTTTCGACTGCGTCGGGAGGAGTCGAGCGGTGTAGCTGTCGCGGTTGTGATCGGTTGCTGCGGTGTTTGTGAGCAAGATGAGCGCGTTCACAAACCCGCCAGCGCTGTTTTGAGCGAGTACTGCGGGCGCAGAGTGTCGGCGAGATGGCGAGGTCGGGAGGAGCGACGACGGCACGCGGCGATGTGGGACTTGTCCGTCGGCGTAGCTGGAGCGTGTAGAGTCACGACGAGCTCGGTATCAGCCCGCCAGTGCGTGTGTGAGCCGTGGTGAGCGTGTAACAGAGGGAGAGGTTTGAGAGCCGCGAACGAGCGAACGGGTTTCGCGCAACAACTCGCTCTGCTGCACGACGCAGCGCACTGACGGACTCGCAAGGGTCACCAGGACACTCTGTGAGCACTGCCGATCCGCCCAGTCTTTCGAACGAGCCCGGTTGACCTCCTCCTTCCCCTCCTCGCGCCGTCACATCCCCGTCCATCCTTCTCCCGCAAACAGGACCCACGACGACTGGACAGGGCGACTGCTGGGATCTCTTTGACGCCCGAGACACGACCAGACGCGCGCTCGAGCGAGCTGGCGACGCCTGACGGCCCTTTGTTTCCTCGCTGCCCCTCATCGCCCGCTCGACCACCCGATACGCCTCGCAGGGCAGACTGAGGCGACGAAGCAGCTCGCGAGGGCCCCAGTAGTACCCTCTACTCCACCCGACTCACCCAGCGACCGTCGCCGACTCCCCATCTCCTTCTCGAGCCTCCCTTCTCTCGCTCCACAACTCGTCCGATGGCCATCTTCAAGTCGAAGCACAAGAAGAACGAGGGTTCGGCGTCGAACCGGGCAGACGCGACGGGCCAGTCTCCGCCCGTTGGTCCGGGCGGCTTCGAGCCACCTCTGCGCGACAGCGGGTTGAAGGGCAGCGTCGGAAGGTCAGGGATCCCTATTCCGTCTGCTGGCGGTGGGAGCGGAATGTACTCGTCGACTGGTTCGAACGGGTACGCGCCTCCCATCGGCGGGGCGAGCATAATCCCTCCTCCCATCGGCTACTCGAAGCCGTCGCACGTCGGCCCTCCTTCTTCCGCTCAACAAGCGCCTCAACCCGGTCCGCAACCCTCGTCGTCGCACACGGTCCTCTACCCCTGGTCTCAGCGACGCGTCAACCTCCTCCCCGCTCAACTCCTCCCCCCGCCTTCACCCGCCGACTCCCCCTCCGTCCCGCTCACTCCGCTCCTCGGCCCGCTCTCGCCCCTCCCCTTCCCGCGCTACGGCCACTCCGTCAACCCTGTCGCCGCCGCAACGCCCACAGGCGACCTCTACATCTTCGGCGGACTCGTCCAGAACAGCGTCCGCAACGACCTCTACCTCGTCCAGGCCAACTCGAGCCCAAACCTCGCTCCGTCCGGCGGGAAGAATAACCCGTACACGCCGCTCAACGTCGGGTTGATCGAGACGAGGGGTGAAGTACCTGGTCCGCGAGTCGGTCATGCGTCGGTCGGAGTTGGGAACGTCCTCATCGTCTGGGGAGGCGACACCAAGTCTCGACCTGAGGACAAGCAGGACGACGGGCTGTACCTCCTCAATCTTTCGACACGCGACTGGACGAGGGTCAAGACGGTCGGAAGGGCGCCGGAGGGGCGGTACGGGCATGCGGTCGCCATGGTCGGGAGCCGGTTCTTCGTCTTCGGCGGACAGACGGATGACGGAGGGTTCAAGAACGACCTGTGCTGGTTCGACTTGCAGAAGCGTGAGTCCGGTCGTATGATCTGCCGCTTTGCGTAGTCCCGGTACGGCGCTAACGGCTTCTCTTCTGTGGTCGGACTTGCAGTCAAGCAGGGCCAACCGTCCTGGTCCTTCATCGAGTATCAGCCTGGCCAGGTCGTTCCACCGCCTAGGACGGGCCACACCTGCGTCACCTTCGGCGACTCGCTCTACATGTGAGTGTCGCGCCTTGCTCGCATTGGGCGTGCTCCGGGGCATTCGGCCTCGATAAGCTCTCACTGGAAGCTTGAGCGCTGACACTCCTCGAATTGCAGCTTCGGCGGCACGGACGGCCAGTACCACTACAACGACACCTGGCAATTCGACCTCTCGACCTCGACCTGGACCGAACTCGCTTGCATCGGGTACATCCCCGTCCCGCGCGAGGGACACGCAGCGACGCTCGTCGACGACGTCATGTATGTCTTTGGAGGGCGCGGAGTCGATGGGAAGGATCTGGACGATCTGGCGGCGTTCAAGATCTCGAGTGAGTCGGGCGGTCTTCGCTGTTCAGCGCCGTCTCCTTGTGAGATACGAGCTGATGTGCGAATCCGAGCTCCGCGCAGACCACCGCTGGTTCATGTTCCAGAACATGGGACCCGCACCGACGGGACGCAGCGGGCACGCCATGGCGACGTTCCAGAAGAAGGTACTCGTCATCGGCGGCGAGAGCTACACGAGCGAGAAGGCCGACGACCCGTCCTGCGTGCATGTGCTTGATACGAGTGAGTTTCGACCAAGTGGCTTGCGCGCTCGCCCACCCTATGTGCTGGGAGCGTTGCTTGGCGAGTTCGTTAGCGGAACGCTCACAGCAGAACGCTCACAATCTGTGTTTGCAGCCAAGATCAAGTACCCTCCCGACTCGCGCCCTGTCCCTCAGTCCCAGCCCACCCAGCAGCCCGCTTCAGCTCCTCCCGCCCAGCCTCCATCTCAGCCTTCGCCTCCTACCGCCTACCCTTCGCAACTCCCGACGTCTCCTACGGGCGCTTCGACTGGCATTCCCATCGTCAAGCGCAAGTCGTCGATCCCCGTCGCAAGCGCAAACGGCTCGAACGGGCTCGAACGGCCCACCTCCGACCGCCGACGAGTTGCGGACGCGCGCTGCATCACCGACCGGCTCGACGAAGCGCGACCTCAAGTCGTCGCTCGGCGCCGCCGCAGGCGGTGCAGCAGCTGGCGGTATCGCGGCGGCAATGCTCAACGGTTCGAACGGCCCTTCGACCGCTTCCCCACCATCAGCAGCAGCTCCTCAGCAGAACGGCCGCCCGACTCGCCCTGCGCGCCCGGACGACGCCGAAGCCTTTCTCGCCGGGCGCGCGCGCTCGCCAACTGGCAGCCTGCGCGATCGTGAGCCTCGCATGCGACAGGCAAGCGGCGGGTCGGCGACTTCGGGCGGACCAGCAGCGAGCGGGACGAGTCCGTCGCTCGGAGCCGGAGGGATGGCGAGTCTCACGGGCGCTTTCGGGTCTCCGCCTTCGCATCCGCCTCATCCTTCGACGCCCGAACAACCCGCTTCGCAAGCGAATGTTCCTGCGGATGCCTTCTACTACCGCTCGCCTCAGCAGCAGCAGCAGTCTTCGTCGCAAGTCGACGAGGGTGCAGCGCGCGAGAAGGACGACAAGATCGCCCAGCTCGAGAAGGAGAAGCGGTGGCTTGTGCTTGAGGTGCAGAAGGCGAGGGAGCACGGCTTCGCGGCGCACGATGGCGGTGACGGTGAGAACGAGGTCTTGAGAGACGTTGGACCCGGTGAAGAGACGGACAACGAGCGCAGGTTGAAGGAGGCGTTGAGGGAGATGAAGCGCGAACTTGCGACGGTCAAGGTGAGCTTCGCATCTCGTCTAATCCCTTTCGACGGATCGTTCTCAGCTGGGCGGGTACTTGGGAGGTGATCAGCCATGCTTACCCTTGCGTCTCGCAGACCTCGATGGCTCAGCAAGTCGCCGCCGTCAACGACCGCTTCGCCAACTCCGACCGCTCTCGCACCGCAGCTCTGCAAGAAGCCTCGTACTACCGCGCAAAGCTCGCCGCTCTCGAGTCCGGCTCACCCTCCGACGTCGCCAAGCTCGAGCGTGACCGTACCGCCGAGCTCGAGAAGAAGCTCGCCGACGCCATCTCGGCTCGTTCGGCCCTCGAGGCGCAGGTCGCCAAGCTCGAGCAGGACGTCTCGCACCACCAGACGATGCGTTCGAGCGCCGAGGAGCGTCACCAAGCCGTTCTCGCCCGTGCGAATGACGCGGAGCAGTCGCATGCTCGCGTCCTTGGCGAGTTCAACGGACTGCAGAAGCAGGCGCACGAGAACGACCGCAGCCTCGCCGACCACATCGAGAAGCTCGCAGCACTTCAGACGACGTCGAGGCAGCTCGAGGGGGACAATGCGCGCCTCAAGGAGCAGGTCGACACGCACGAATCGTCGATTGCGAATTGGCTCGCCACGCTGGAAGCGTCCGAGGCTGCGTTGACGGCAGCTCAGCAGCGCAACGACGAGCTTTCGACGTTGTGGGACAAGGCAACGACTGAGCTTACCCAGCAGCAGCTCCGCGTTGCTGAGCTTGAGCACCAAGCTGAACAGCTTCGCATCGAGCGAGACGCCGCTCTCGCCAAGGCGGACGATGTCGAGCGCCAGCACCAGTCGACCCGCAAGGCGCACGACAAGGTTCACGCGCTCGCCAGCGGCGGACTGACCCAGCTCCTCGCCGCTCATCGCGACGGCCAAGCGATGCGCAATGTCGGCTCTCGCAACGTCGACGAGTTGCCCGCCGCTCATGCCGACCGTCTCCGCGCGATGGAGGACCAGGTCGCATCCGTTCAGCAGCTCCACTTCGACGCACAGTCGAAGCACGAATCTCTCGCTGCCGAACTTGCAGCAGCTCGCGAGCGTGAAGCCGGCCTCACCACCCAGCTCTCGCAACTTCGCATGCAGCTCGCGACCGTACAGGCGCAGCACTCGCACGCGATGGACGATCTCGGCAAGCAAAGGTCGCTTGTCGCTCAGCACGAATCGTCGGCTCGGGACATCTCGCGCGCTCGCGATGCCGCCGAGGTCAAGGCCGGCTTCCTGCGCTCGATCCTCGCCGACCATGGCCTCGCCGCGCCGACCGCAGACGAGATCGCAGCTCGCTTCCCTCCCATGAACGGCACCGAGTCGTCCGAGCAACTCGCCCAGCGCGTCAGGGAACTCGAGCTCGAGGTCGAGTCTCGCCAGCGCCAGAAGCAGCAGCTCGAGGAGCGGATGCGTGAGCAGGAGGGCGAGGTCTCGCGCCTGCGAGATGAGCTCGACACGTCGAAGGGCGACGTCGAGTCCGAGCACAAGGAGCGCGCCGATAAGACGCAGGAAGAGCTTGTCGCCCTTCAGGACCGCCACAAGCAGCTGGAGGCGACGCACCTCAAGGCCGTCCAGTACGTGAAGGGCACGGAGAAGATGCTGCGCCGTATGAAGGAGGTGCGTTGCCGCTCTGCCTCTTCTGAGTTGAGCTTGGCTGACTGGGTTCGTCCGCAGGAGCTCACACGGTACAAGGAGCGCTGCGAGGAGCTCGAGTCACCGCAGCGTCAAGCCGAGCTCGACGGCCTCCGCTCGCAGGTCCACGAGCTTCGCGGCTTGTCCGAGTCTTCGTCGCAAGAGACGCAGGAGCTCCACCAACGCCTCGCGGCTCTTCAGGCCAAATACCAGCAGACCGTCCGCCAACACGAGGAACAGTCCCACTCGAAGGTCAGCAGCCTCGAAGCAGAGGTTGACAAGCTGCACGCCGATCTCGCCAAAGCCCAGCACGACCTCGAGGAGACGCTCGCCGTCAACGCATCGCTTAACAAGGAGCTCCAGTCGGCGTTGAAGAACCCGGCGTCCCCTCGCATCGGCTCTGCGGCTGGCTTCACCGGCGGATCCGAGGATGTCGCTCGCTTGCATACCGAGCTCGAGCAGTGAGGACTTACGTCTTCTCTCGTGTGTCGCTCGTTGCTTACCTCTACTAACTCTCGCAGAGCGCAAAACAAGGCCGAATGGCTCAAGCGGGAGAACGCGTCTCTCGAGCAACGCTGCCGGACAGCGTGCGTGCCCCGGCGTTCCCTCGGTGATTTCCTAAACTGACTCTGTCACCCACGCGCAGTGAATCGAAGATCGCGATTCTGCTCGACCACATGGAGGGCGTCCAGAGCGACCACTACGAAGGCTCGTCAAACCTCGACCACGACCGGTCTGGGGAGGTTGACCACCACTGGCAGCAAGACCATCTTCGCCAGGAGTCGTCCGACGCGCCCTCCGAGTACGAGGCCGAGCAGCCGCAGCGTCGAGCGTGAACGACCGGATTCCCTTTACCTTTCTCTACTCTCGTTTCCTCGCTTCTTTCACGATTGATCGATACCCGGGCCCACCCTACGACCGCTCGTTCTTGCCCTTTGCTCCTAGCATACCCCTACCTTTCTTTTCGTCACCCCTCCTACGATTCTGCGCAACAACGAACTCGCTTGCCTCCTTTCTTGCGAGCGGTGTTGCGGATGTGGACAAACTTGCGACCCGTACTCTCGCGCGTATGTGTACGCCGCTGAAGAAAGGATGGAGGATTGGAGCCTAGAGAGAACTGGATGCGAAGCAAGGCGGCGAGAAGCGACAGCCGCTCACGTACTAAGGGGAGCACTGATGGAGGTGAAGGCAGCATTACACGCTAGATGTGCTGATACAACTGATTGTGGGCGGTCTGGAGGGTAAAGGGAGAGCGTGCCGCCTCACGCAATGATGTACACAGGATCTCGTCGACGACGAGGCGAGGGGAACGAGTCGAAGATGTCCACACGCTTAGTACGAAACGCGCGAGCGGCCGTCGTTCATGTTGTTCGAGACGTCCTCGACAAGCTTGTCGGCCTGCTCATCCGCCTGGGCGTAGTTCTGAGTGCCGCGACGAGGGCGTTCGCCGTCGACGATGTTGTCCTTGCGGACGCCGTCGTACTCGTCGTTCTCGAACTCGCCTGTACAAGAGAACGACGTCAGCTTCCGAGTCTAGCGAGCGAGAGGGGACAGGACGGACCGTCGCCGATCTGGTTGTCCTTCACAGACTCGTAGCTCTCGCCGGTGGGGGCGTTGACGCCCTTGTCGTCGGTGAAAGGTTCGTCGGGTCCGTCAAGGACGCCCTCGAGCTGGGTGGTGACCGAAGGGTCGTTGTCGGGGACCTGAGAGAGGGGAAGGAGGAAAGGCGAAATCGAGAAAGACGAGGCATAGTGAGATGAAAGGGTACGAAGCGGTAGTGGGAGTGTCGAATGAGCGCAGGCGAGGCGGCGAGGCGAAGCAGAGAGATGAAGTGGATGTCAGCAATCCATTGACGGCGAAAGAGGGGATGGAGGACGCACGATGCCCTCGTCCTGCTGGAACTTGTCAGAGTTCTGCATCTTGTCTGATTATTGGAGTTTGGTGTGGAAGCGTGAAAGATTGGCTGAGTGCGCGGTGCGAGGAAGAAAGAAGGAGAAAGAGAGGGATGAAGCGGTTTTGCAGGCTCTTGACCGCGCCTGTTTCGTCACCCTCCCGCTACGCGAGCCAGTGAGATCACTCTAATCATCGGACAGACGTCGGGAAAGCCAGCATCGGGAAGCAAGTCGACATCGCGCGCCGCGAGCACATCGACGCAATAGCTTCTGCCAATCGAGGCTTGGAGTTGGCAGTCTTGATTAGAATAGCTGTTCGCGGCGACAGATTGGCGTTCGCTGCGGATTGATGAACGGCTGCTGGGCGGAAGCGGCTGTCGATCGAAGCGAAGCGGGTCCGTCGAGGCAGGAAGAAGACGAGGAGCGGGCGGCCGAAGGAGCGTCACGGCGAGGCTTTGAATCGAAAGACGTCGGTGGTCCATCAAGCCCGATGCGAGAGGATCTTAAGAGCGTTCGGAAGTCGTGTGGAAGTCGCGAGGAAGCTGAGGGGTCGATCTGGCGCAAAGGCGTCGAGCCGGATTCCACACCGCGGAATCTACTTTGCCTCGCCCTTGGCCTGCTTCATCTTCAGCTTCTTCCGCTGCTTCTTCGACAGTTCGCCGCTTGGTGTCGATGTGCCGGACAGCGCGGGAGAAGCTGCCGCATGGGGTTCGACCTGCGAACGTCTCCGCTTCGTCTCGCTCGACTTGGGTGTAGCTGTGCCAGACTTGGCCTGTGGCGTCGCGGGTCTGGGCTGGTCGTAACCTGCGTGTTTGTGTCAGCTCAGAAACGATGACTTCGTCCGGCGACGCAGCGCACCTGCAAACGGATCCACCCCATTTCGCTTCTTCGCCTCGCCCACGCTCTTCGCCTTCCCCTTGGTCTTCGCGCTCGCCTCCTCGGGCGCCTCCTCAGCAGCAACACTGACGTGCTCGGCCTTGTCCACGTCCATCGCACCCTCCGCCTCGTCATCCTCGTCCTCGTCCTTGTCCTCGAGCAACCGCTCGACTTCTTCCTGCTCCTCGTCGGTGAAGCGAGTATGTGTGCCGCTTGGTCCAGCCGCAGCGGAGGCGTCGGTGTAGTTCGGATCGACAGAGGCGCGGGAAGAGGAGATGGCGGCATTGATAAAGCGGGAGGCGGCGGATTTGTCGAGTTGCATTCGGGCTGCAGGGCGTAGAGTGGGTCAGCAAGGGTTCTTCTCGGCTGCGAGAGAGCAGTACGAACGTCGATCTGCGGGCCCGTCCGGCGAGACGCCCTGCTCCGCCGACTTGAGCTTGCCAAAGTAGCCTTTCAGTCGTTCCTGTGACAGGTCGCAAAGTCAGCGGCCGTCCTACGATAATCTGAAGCTCGACGTACAATCTCCTGCATGACCGGATGCGTGCTTGGCTCGATCCCGGCCGTCTTGAGGTAGACTGTCCCGGCAAGCTCAGGAAGGTTAGCTCAAGTACACAACAGTAGGGCAGGGCGACGCACCCCATATCAAGTCGTGGACCACGTAGCTCGTCAGAACCTGCAGTCGCGCCTGCACGAGCGGGTCCTGGTCCGCGAGGACTTCATCAAACGGTTTGGCGAGGAGGGGTTCCAGGGCCGTCTCGAGCGAGTCCAGCGAAGTCGAGAGGGTCGCAAGGGTCGCAGAAGGGTCTGTGTCGGCCATGCTGAGCGTTTCAAGCCTTTTAGCGGGCGTTGTAGCGGTGCAAGCGGTTTGGGAGATGAAGAGGGACGGAGTCGAGTGGGTTGTCCTCGTCCACACCGCTCGCTTGCTCGATTAGACCCTCTCGAGCGCTCAGTAGGATGGTGAGCAGCGAGTGTCACTCCCTGTGAAGCGCGCAAAGCCGCTGACCCTGTTCTCCTCCCCCTCCACCTCGTCTTCCTCGAACCGACTCGACGCGCTCACACACCGCCTGGATGATGCTCTGCGTATGCTCAACTGCGTCCACAGTCCGAGCTGCGGCATACGGCGAACGCACAGATCGCGCAGCTCCACGCTCGTTACACCGGTGCGTGCTTCTCACCCGCTCGCCTCCCTCTTCCCTTCGCGTCTTCGTACAGGGGACTGGGGGCCGACGCGTCCTACCTGCAGGCACTGGACACGCCGACATCACGAAGTAGTGTGTCCGATTCGCTTGCCCGCGTCGCAGCAGCTCGCCTAACCTGCCTCCTCCTCCTCGCAGCGAGTGGATAACGAACCAGCACCGCGACACCTCCTCCTCCATCGTTGGACACCCGGCACTGCTGCAATACCTCGCGATTGCGGACGGCGAGACGACGGCGCGGACAAAGTTCGAGTTGACGGAGGTGAGCATCCGTCTCGAGATCCCATCCTCTTCCGGCTTGCTGACCAGCTCGCTCTTCGCAGAGGATGCTCCACCCGTGTGGACCGCCTCCGCCAAAGGAGGACGACTAGGCGTCGTGTTGTCTTGCTGTACTTTGTCATTGTTGCATTTTACCCTTGTGATTGGAGTCAATGCTGAGCAGTCTCGTCAGCTGCCTGCGCACCGGTAACCGAGCTTGAACGTGCATCGTTGGACGGTGAGCCGGGTGCCGAATGAAGCATTCGGAAGAACGTCTGAGCCTCAGGGATTCGCATGGACGAAAGGGCACGGGATCGTTTCAAGCGAGAGTACAAAAGCGAAGCGCACCATCCCTCTCCACCTACTCGTTCGGCGTCTCCTTCCAGACCTCGCTCTGCGAACGGGAACAAGCGCAAATGAATGCCTCAGCGTACAGATGGGTTGAAGGCAGCGAGCAACTCACGTCGATCTGCCAGCCATGTAAGAGCGCCTCGCCAGTCTTGGGGTTGCGACGAGTGACGGTAGAACCGTGGCGGGTGATGCGTTCGTCGTGACTGCGCGCACGAAGGTCTTGAATCGCAGTGCGGAGTGGTCCTGGAATCGAATCCTGGTCTGGCTCAACCTCTAGGCTGCTTGACGTCGGGCGAGCGTCTGGGCTGACTTCGCCGGCTAGTATCTCGGGCGATTCGTCGACTGTCTTAGCGGCATTCTCGATAGGCTGGTCCACCTCGTTATCCCCCTCTGATCCGTCTTCCTCGACCCCGACAGCCAGAGCTGCAGTCTCGTCGGCCGTTCCTTCTCCCCTCATGACCTTGTTGAGGAGGTCGACAAAGCTGGTCTGCTCAGACGCCGAGTCCTCGCCTTGTGCCGAGTCCGAGGGGGAGGACTTCGTGTGAGCGCGATCTCAGAGACCTTGTCGGCGCGTCTCAGTCGGTAGTCGATGGAGATGATGGGAGCTTTGGCACGCGAATTGATGAAGTCGAGGATCAAGTCGGGGACAAGATGCAAGTCTTCGGCGATAGGCGGAAACACAGCCTGCAGCTCGAGGGTTTCGAGCTGATGCGGGAGCGACTCGAAGAAGGTGGACAATACTTGTGTCGGGGCAGGATTGACGAGCGCCGGCGTCAGGATGCCGCAGGTCCGCAGCAGAAGGTGTTTGAGCTTCGGCAACCCACTTATGGCCGCCGTGATCGCGCCAAGCGACCCGTACAGGAGGTCGTGGCCGTCGAGATGAAGACAAAGGTAGTTGAGGGTCGTGAAGGTGGGTGTAAGACTTTGCAACAGCGCGAGAGTCGTTTGTTCGATGGGCGACAAGCTGATCTGACCCAGAGTCGCAGGGTTGATGGCGTACAAGACGTTCTGGAAGATGGTTTCACTGATGAGGCTGCTGTCGAGAGACGCTGCCGACCAATCGAGGTAAAGATCGCGGAAGCTCATCGGCGGAAGTCGACGGACGAGCGCATTCTCTGCAGTCAGCGCGGAGCCGTCTAGAGTGAGCAGGCCAAACGGAACGTTGAGGTGTTCGACACCGGGGACTGCATGCATCATGCGCATGAAGGCGTCACCGTCTGTGTACGAGTACGCTTCGAAGGTCACGATCTTGATGGTCGAGTGCTTTGCGACCGACCGAAGCGGAAAGAGAGTCTCGAGTAGGATTCCGTGACCCGAGAAGATGTGCAGCTCGCGCAAGTGTTCGCAATGTGCGAAGAGGCGGCCCAGGTCGCAGCAGTTCTGCACAATGACCTCCTTGTACCACTCTTCCGAGTCGAACTTGTCCTTCACATCCTCGTAGAGTTTCGGCCCCTTCGTGTAGAGCATCTCAAGCCATTTGGCCGTGCGCGGGTATTTGAGCATGTGCTGAAGCGTCTCGTCGCGGGTCGTCAAGTCGAGGTCGACGCGAGACCAAACCCAGGCGGTTCCACGTTCACGCCAGGCGCGGCAGACGAGGCTGATGCTGCGTCCGTAGTCGATGCGAGTCGGACTCGAGTAGAATGACCAAGTCTTGCCGTCGATGTGGTCGAGTATGCGGTCGAGGATCTCGGGAGGAAGACGAGGCGAGGGGAGGTCAGGCTGGCAGTCGGGCGTGTCGCGGCTCGTCTCGTTGGCGTTCGAGGACATCTCTGCTGACGCTGTGAGCGTGGGCACGTTCAGCGACGTCCTCACCACGGAGGTTGAACGGGTTGCTCACCTCGAGCTGATGAACCGGCGAGCAGAAGAAGAGGGCGATGCGGGGCGTTGCAGGCGGTCAGGTAGCTTCGGAAGACGCTTTGTCGACCGCTGACAGCAGCGACAGGCTCAGCGAGTGAGCGAGAGTGAGAAGCTGTGAGCGGGACGAGGGAGAGCCTTCTCGTCGACTGCGAAGACCTTCCCTCAAGCCTCACACAGCAGAACTAGCCCCGCTACAGCCTCATGAGACGTTAAATAATCTATGCTACACCTGCCAAAGTGCTACAAACCCGCTCTAAGTCTCCCCCTCCTGCTCCTCCCCTCTTCTATCTGTCCCTCGCTCTTCCTCCTCCACCTGCACATCCTTCCTCCCGCTTCCCCGCCTCAGCGGCCCTCCAACAAACGCCAAAACAGGCGGCACGAACACCGCCGACAACCCCGCCGACAACACCGTCAACGCTACCCACCCTTTCCGCACTCCCAATCCGCTCAAGATCTGTCCTGCGATGATAGGACCGACGAGAGCGCCGATGGAGAAGGCGAGGTTGAAGATGGCGAATGTGTGAGCTGTGGTTATGGAGGTGTGGGAGGAGGCGACGAGGGAGAGGTCGACTGTTGAGGGGGTTATGAAGCAGGAGATGGACAGGCCTGGTTCGTCACAACCCTCTCCGTCAGACCCAGGACATTAGAGGTTGAGGACGGGAGGGGACGCACCGACAAGCGCAAGGAAGAAGATGAACAGCGGCAACGGTCCGCGGATGATGAGGAGCGGGTAGACGGCGATCGAGAGCACGACGCCGGCTAACATGATCCATTTCGTGCCGTATTTGTCGGTTACCTGTGAGTGAGTGGGGACGAGGTCAGCAAGACAGAGGGAAAGCACAGGGGGCGGGGAGGAGCGAGAGGCGTACCCAGCCGGCGAAAGGCGAGCCCTGTAGATCAAGTCGAAAGCGTCAATTCAGCTGCGGACGAAGTAACGAGGAGATCTGCGTCGCGCGACTCACAAAGAACGTCGGCACCACAATCCCCAAGAACACCAACCCGGCGCCAAAAGAACTCAACCCATACTCCTCCTCCAAGTGAATTGTGAGTCCGGTATCTTGCAGCCCGCCTGCTATGATGCCGTTTAGGAGTGTGAGGAGGAAGGAGGTTAGAGCCCGGGGATGGCGGAGGAAGTGGAGGAATCCGATCCAGTGCGAGGGGATGCGGGAGTGGGAGGGTGCGAGCGTAGTATCGGAGGAGGTAGAGGAGGGAGTCGAGTCGGCGAGCGGGACGGGAATGCGTGCGTTGTCTTCCGCATCACCGGCGGGGATAGTCTTCTCCCTCTCCTTCTTCGGTTCCTCCACCCTAGTGTTAACCTCATCCACCCATCCAGGCGCCTCAAAACCCCAGACCTCCTTACCCCTCCTAATCCACTCGACCGCGCGATGTTTCTCCACAATCAACATCCTCAGTCCCAGATCGATCGCGACGAGGATGAGGGAGAAGACGAAGGGTGCGCGCCAGCCCATTCGGGCGTAGAGGACGCCTCCGACTGGAGGACCGATCGCTTGGCCGAAGGAGAAACCGATCATTACCCAGCCCAGGACTTTGCCGACGCGTTCTTCGGGGACGGAGTCGGTGACGAGGGCGCTGCGACGAGGGCGTCGGTCAGCTCGCCTCATCGAAGATCAAGAAGACAGACTCACAGTCCAATCGTCCAGAGCACCGTCCCGCTGAACCCTCTGCGACCGCCACAAAGCTCGTCAGTCTCTTCCCATGCAGGACGGAGCGCAAGGGACGCACTGCAATATCCGCGCGACAACCATCAACGCGTAACTGTTCGCCTCCATGAACATGATGACCGCTGCCAAGCCGCAAAGACCGTCAGTGAGAAACAAGGAGGGGGTAAGAAGGGATGAGGGAGACGGACCGCCGGCCATGAAGAGCAAGCCGAGCGTGAGCGGAATCTGGCGGTTCTTCCATCTCGCTCTGTGCGCCATAGTCGTGAGCTCTGCTGAAAGAACTGCTTCTTCGGCGAATCGCGAGCGCGAACGCACCCAATGTAAGCGACCGGCGGACTCGAGACGATCAATCCCCCCGCGTATGCCGCGACAAGCCACCCCGTCAATCCACCTATCTCGTCTTGTGTGTGGCCGATTGCGGCTAGTCGGAAGGGGATGACGGGGACGGCGAGGGAGTAGGACGAGAGGTCGACGAGGACTGCCGATTCGTTTTTCGGGGTCAGCGGGCTTCAAGGAGTCTGAGGGAGAGGGCAGGCATACCTCCGAACCCGACTGTCAAAGCAATGAACCACGTCGAACACCGTTGTCGCAGCAAGACGGGCGGCTTCTTCGAGTCGGGGATCGCGGAAGCTGCATCGTCGTTCGCCTCGCCCTTCTCGCCCCGCTTCGTTGGTCGCCGCGTCCGTAGCCACTGTGAGGTCATCCTCCACGAGTTCCTGCGTCGTTCGAAGCAGTTGTGCGAGCCGATGCTGTGAATCCGGCGCGAGTCTTGGACGCTGAACGAGAAGGGCGAGGAGAGCGATTCGGACCCCAGGAGAAGCGCTGGCGTGGCTGTTCAGTCCCTGAGAGCGGTTTTAGCGCGCAAGCGATGCAGAGCGATTCCAGCGATGGCAGAGAGTCGTTGCCGTCGTCGGAGCCGTGCGGTCGCCCGAGAGCCGACGAGGAGCCGCGCTCCGCTTACTCAATACAAACTCGGTTGTAACGGACTGAATACAACTTGATTGTAATGCAATGTCTCGAGGGGAGGCGTGACTCAGGCGGGTCCCCGCCCGCTTCGGCGTTCATCGCTGTCCGAGGATCCCTCCGGCTTCGTCACTCTCTCTCTCTCTCCTCCTCTCCTGTCCACTCACAAGCCATGGCCAGCCAACCACCCAAGTCAGGAATCACCGTCGTCTTCGCACGCGCCGTCGCAAAGCCAGGCAAGGGCGACGAACTCGAGAACCTCCTCCAGCACGCCGTCGCATCCGCAAACAGCGACAAGGAACCGTTCACGCTCGACTACCGCTGCGCCAGGCATGGAGACGTGCGTATCCGTCTTTCCCATCAAGCGAGGAGTTGAGCTGAACGCTGACCGGCTTGCGGGTGGACGCAGGAGTTCCGCCTCTTTGAGCGGTACAACCAAGACATTGGCGGCATCGACGCACACAGTCAGTCTCCACCACCTCTCCATCCCCTCCCTCTCCTGACTGACGGTCGTGCACCCGCAGAGTCGCAACCCGCCTTCCAGAACCTCGTCAAGTCGGGATTGGTCGCAGACATCGAGATCAAGTTCTACAACGAGATCCCCAAGCTTTAGTAGAGCGTAGAGGTGTAGACGGAACTGAAGAGCAAGTTTGTATGTCCGTGCTGGGCGAGAGGAGCAGGCCTCGAGGTCAGGAGCGAGCGAGGAGGAAGTGCGCCCATGCGACTGCACCGTCGGCTCCACGCTCGATCGAATCCGTCCTGACTGCCGCAGCACCGCCATTGCAGTAAGCTGGATGTACCGCGCGATGGCAGGAGAGAGCGGCGAGGAGAGAAATGAGCGAGGTCGAGGAGGGTGTTGAGCCCCTAAAGCAGCGCCGTCCGCCCCGATAAACCATCCCATATCCCCTTGCACTGTTCTCCACGACCCGCACACTCCATCGCGCAGTTCCCCGAGCCGAGTCGAGCGAGTCAGCCTGATGGTGGTCGAGCGAGGCGGCGAGAGAGTCAGTCGAAAGCGATGGAGCGGCCTGGCGCGCGATTAGCCAGCCCTGTCCATCCCACTCAAGTCCAGTAGCACCCTCGCAGCCCTCCCAGCGCCACCTAAGCGTGTGTGCCCCTTCCAACCCGCTCGCCCTCGACTCGCGCTTTGTCTTCATCACTTGCTCCCGCTCTCGCTCTCTCACTCGCTGAGACAGAGCGCGCTAGCTACAGACCGAGTTAGGATGCCACCGAAGAACAAGAAGGGTGCGAAGAAGCCGCTGAGGGACGACGACGAGTACTGGTGCGTTCTCGCCTCCCACATCTGCTCACTCTCCTCCCGCGCTGACGATGTGATTGGATGGGTGCACAGGGAGTCACTGGCGAACAAGAGTGGCAAAGCGTCTCCTGCCGCTGCGAGCTCGCCTGCTGCTGGACAAGGTGGCGCCTCACCCGCTGCTTCAGACTCGGAGGACGAGGGTCGACCTGTCAAGCGCAGCGGGAAGAAGGGCGGGAAGGGAGGAGGGGGAGGGTTCGCGAGTTTCGCGGATATGATGGTCGACGAGGGAGAGGAGGAGGACGAGCCCACTCCGGCGCCGCAGGTTGAGGCGGAGGAGGAGGAAGACGGGTTGTTGGCGATGGCTAAGAAGGCTGCTTCGTCCAAAAAGGGAGGGAAGAAGGACAAGCGGAAGAAGAACGCCGTTACGGACGACGACTACGTCTTTGATGAGCCTGCGCCCGCCGCCGCCGAGGAGCCTAAGGAGGAGGAGGTGGATCTTGCGGCGCCTAGGGGCGCGGTGGAAGTGAATGATGATTGGATGGAAGAGGAGTTTGGACCTTCGAAGGGGAAGAAGGGGAAGGGCGGGAAGAAGGGCGGGAAGAAGCAGCAGCAGCAGGCGACCGAGGCGGAGGATGCGGTCGAGGAAGTGACGAAGAAGGTTGAGGAGGTCAAGATTGAGGAGAAGAAGGAGGAGACTGCGCCTGCTGTTGATGCGGCGGACGAGGACGAGGAGGAGGGAGGGGAGGTAAAGAAGGTCTTGTCGAAGAAGGAGAAGGAGAAACTCAAGAAGGAGAAGGAGAAGGTGCGTTGGCTTTCCCTCTTTCCCTCGACTTCGTTGGGTCCCGTCGCTGACATGTCAACGCGCTCGCAGGCAAAGAAGAAGGCCCAAGCCGCCGCCAAGAAGGCCTCCGAGCCCGCCCCTGCCGCCCCCTCTCCCTCAACCGAGACTCCCTCCGCCTCCGCCGCCGCACCCGCAGACGACGCCGCCGCCGACGAAGGAGGCGACGAGCCCTCTTCCTCGAAGAACAAGAAGAAAAAGAAGAAGAAGGCCGGTGCGGCTGAGCCCGTTGAAGAGGCGCCTGCTCCTGCAGCGGGTAAGAAGGGCAAGGGAGGTGGAGGACAGATTGCGGCGTTGAGGGCCCTTATGGAGGCGCAGCAGAAGGCGAGGGAGGAGGCGGAACGGGCGGCGGAAGAGGAGCGGAGGAGGATTGAGGAGGAGGAGAAGAGGGCGGCGGAGGAGGAGAGGAGGAAGGAGGAGGCGAGGCAGGCGAAGAAAGAAAAGGAGAAGGTGCGTTCGCAGTCGTCTCGTTCGCGCGCGGGGCATTGAGCTGATGAAGTGCACGCTCCGCTCGCCCGCAGGCCAAGAAGGAACAGCTCAAGCGCGAAGGCAAGCTCCTCACGCCCAAGCAAAAAGCCGAGCGCGCCGCCGCCGAAGCACGTCGCCAGGCGCTCCTCGCCGCCGGAAACGTCACCATCGCCGGCCTGCAGGAGAAGCCCGACCAGGGCCCGAAGAAGGTCTCGTACGGCAAGCGTGAGCGTGCGGGAGGTAAGAAGGCGCAGCAGACGGAGTCGCCGGCTGAGTCGAAGCCTGCGTCGCCTGAGCCGCCGAAGGAGGAGGTCAAGCCTGCGCCTGCCGCCGCGGAGGAGAAGAAGGACGAGGAAGACGAGGAGGATGTCAAGGACAGCTGGGATGCGTTGTCTGACGAGGAGAAGGAGGATGTCAAGGATAGCTGGGACGCGAGCAGTGACGAGGAGGACGAGAAGAAGGAGGAGAAGCCTGCTGCAGCGGCGAAGCGTGCGCCTAATCGCGTTCCTCTCTCTCGAGCCAGCCTGACGCTTCCACCTCTCGCAGCCGCCGCAAACGGCAAGGCTGCCGAGGCGAAGGGCAAGGCCGCTGCCAAGCCCGCTGCCGAGGAGTCGTCAGAAGAGGAGGACTCGGACGAGGACTCTGACTCTGGCTCAGACGACGACTCGGATTCGGACGACGACTCGGACGATGACAGCGAGGAGGAGATGACCGCCGTCGAGCGGCAAGAGGCGAAGCGCAAGGCCGAGGCCAAAGCGCGCCGTCTCGCTCGCGACGAGCAGGCTCTGGCCGAGCGGAGCACGGAGAACCTTCGTTCGCCGATTTGCGTCATCATGGGTCACGTCGACACGGGCAAGACCAAGCTGCTCGACAAGATTCGTCAGACGAACGTCCAGGAGGGCGAGGCGGGAGGTATCACGCAGCAGATTGGCGCGACCTACTTCCCGATGGACGCCATCCAGAAGCGGACGCGGGTGCTCGGCGACGTGCGTTTAGTCCGCTCTTCCGAGACCTGTTCTCGCTCGCTGACGTGTATTCGCTTCACAGGACGACCTCAAGGAGTACAAGCTTCCCGGTCTTCTCGTCATCGACACGCCCGGTCACGAGTCGTTCACCAACCTCCGCCAGCGTGGTTCTTCGCTGTGTAACATCGCTATTCTCGTCGTCGACATCATGGTGCGTCTAGCTGGAGCAGCTTGATTTCTCGCAGAGACTGACACCTGCTCGCGCCGCAGCACGGTCTCGAGCCGCAAACGCTCGAATCAATCCGACTGCTTCGCGAGGGCAAGACTCCCTTCATCGTCGCGCTCAACAAGATTGACCGACTGTACGGCTGGAACGCGATGAAGGACGGCGGTTTCCGCCAGACGCTCGCCCAGCAGGAGCGCCCGGTTCAGCGCGAATTCGAGAAGCGTCTCAACGAGACCGTCGTCGCCTTCGCCGAGCAGGGTCTCAACGCCGTGCCGTACTACGACAACAAGAACTTTGCGAAATACGTCTCGCTCGTTCCGACCTCGGCGCACACCGGCGAAGGTGTTCCCGACTTGCTCATGCTTCTCGTCAAGCTCACCCAGGAGCGTATGGCCAACAACCTCATGTACATCTCGACGCTTCAGTGCACCGTCCTCGAGGTCAAGGTCATCGAGGGTCTCGGTACGACGATCGACGTTGTGCTCGTCAACGGATACCTGCACGAAGGCGACAAGATTGTCCTCTGCGGTCTCAACGGCGCCATTGTTACGCAGGTTCGAGCACTGCTGACGCCGCAGCCGATGAAGGAATTGCGCATCAAGGTGCGAAGCTTCCCCTTGCGGCCGTTCGATGACTTGCTGACCCGCCGCCCGCGTCTGTAGGGCCAGTACGTCCACCACAAGCAGATCAAGGCGGCGATGGGTATCAAGATCGTCGCGCCCGACCTCGAGAAGGCGATCGCTGGTTCGCGCCTGCTCGTCTGCGGCGAGGACGACGACGAGGACGAGCTGCGCGAGGAGGTCATGTCGGACCTGACGAACCTCCTCAACTCGGTCGACACGAGCGGACGAGGTGTCTTCGTCCAGGCGTCGACTCTTGGTTCGCTCGAGGCTTTGCTCGAGTTCCTCAAGTCTGACGCTGTCAAGATCCCGGTCGCCGGCATCAACATCGGTCCTGTGCACAAGAAGGACGTCATGCGCTGTGCGACGATGCTTGAGCGCGCGCCTGAACTCGCCGTCATCCTCTGCTTCGACGTCGCGGTTGACAAGGACGCCGAGCGACAAGCGGAGGAGCTCGGCATCAAGATCTTCAAGGGTGCGCCCGGCGTCGCTCCCTACACGCATGCCCTCCGCTAACATAGTCGCCGATGCAGCCGACATCATCTACCACTTGTTCGACCAGTTCATGGTGTACAAGCGGGGCGTTGAGGAGAAGAAGGAAGCTGAGGCTGCCGGCAAGGCCGTCTTCCCGTGCCGCCTCAAGATCCTTGCATGCTTTGCCCAGCGTGACCGTGCGTCTCTTCCGTCCTTTCTCGCACGTAGCGAATCGCCTGACGAGTTCGACGCCCTCAGCCATCATTCTCGGCTGCGACATCCTTGACGGAACGCTCCGTATTGGCACGCCGCTGTGTGTCGTCAAGACCGACCCGAAGACCAAGAAGAAGGAGGTGATCTCCCTCGGCAAGGTGTACGTCCGCGCTGCGTCCGGTCCTGATCTCCGGTTTGAGCTCACTCTCCATGTCGCTTCCTGCAGCACGTCACTCGAGATCAACCACAAGTCCAAGGACATCGTCAAGCGACACGAGGTCGGTGCCGGTGTTGCCGTCAAGATCGAGCACGCTGCGTACGAAAGCGCGAAGCAGTACGGCCGTCACTGTGCGTCCACGCTCTCGTTTCCGCGCCCTCGCGCTCTTGCTGACGATCAACTCCCGCAGTCGACGACAAGGACGAGGTCGTCTCGATGGTCTCGCGCGAGTCGATCGATGTCCTCAAGGACGTCTTCCGCAAGCAAGTGTGCGTATAGACTCTTCTCCCGCTCTTCCGCCGTCTCCCTTACTGACTCATAGCATCTGGCAGCTCGATGGACGAGTGGCGACTAATCAAGGCGCTCAAGGGCGAACTCGGCATCCCTTAGACCACTCGTATCCGCGTTGTTCTCGTCTCGTCTCGTTCTCAGCCGTACCTGCATCTTGTTTCTCTGCTTGTCTCGTTTCGCCCCTCATCCTGCATTGCACAGTAGTCTGGATCCGCAACTCGTCATGATCGGGAAGCTCGAGTTTGAGGTTGCCTACTCTCCCTCCTGCTCTTCACACTCGCCCGCACACTCTCGCCCGCTGAGCCCGCTTGAGACTGCTTGCACCCTTTCAGACCCATCGGATCGATACTAGCATGCCCGCAACCCTCGTAACGCTCCCTACTGAGCTCCTCATCCTCATCATTCGACTCTCCCTCCCTCCCGACTCCCTCGTCCTCGATGCCGCCCAGCTCCGGCGTGACGCTCTCCTAGCCATCTCCTTCGTCAACAAGCGCATTCGCCATCTGACGAAGCCTCTCCTTCGCGAGACAGTCATCCTTCGCTCGACCACCGAAGGCAAGGCAGTGCGAGGCGCCTCGAGAAAGCTGCGCGCCCAGGCTCGATCGGTCGTGCTCGCCATCCCACACGAGCCTTCGACGTACTTGGAGATGACCGGATTAGCCATAGTCGAGACGCTCCCGTCAGTCCGACACGCCTCCATCGCTGGCTACTGGATCGGGTTTCCGCTTGGAGAGACCAGCCCGCTCCGCCGTGAGTCCTTCTCCATCCTTGGAGGTTTGAGAGGGCTGACCTTCAAGAAAAGCAGGCCTGAAGACTCTACGCCTTGCCAACAGCATTTTCAACGTCACGCTGGCGTATCCTTTGCGAGCATTCGCACTGTCGCACCTCGCACTTGTCGGCCTCATCCGCGAGCCGCCTGGCTTCCACGAGTTCATTCGCCCCGAAAACCTCCCGGCCCTTCGATACCTTCGCGTTTCCGGAGGAGCAGACGCCGCCATCGTCTTGTGGGCCGCTGAGCTGCTCGAACAGCTTACCGCATGCCAGGTCGGCCTTTGTGTATCTACAGGATGGAGTCAGTCGCACAGGCGTTACGCGAAAGGCCTTGTGCAGGAGTTCAGCTCCGCCCTCGATAAGACGCTGTTCGAGTTGACGACGGCCATCAACGACGAACCTCAGCCGGACAAGATACGCTACCTCCTTCTTACTGGCCAACGGAGGTCCGATGCACTCTCGCAGCTTCTGGCCATGACTCCGTTAGTCCTCACCTCAGTCTTCACCTCGCTCGACGCCATCTTCATCCCTCGCCAGTATCACAACCAATCCACCGAACCAACCAGCAGCATTTCCGACGTGTCAGCAGGCGGACTTTTTGGGGAGCTCGAGCGCGCACGCGCAAAAGTCGTTTGGATCGAGGACTCGGAGGCGGACTTCGTCCTGCCGGACTTTGAGCGGTACCTTGCGGAAAAGGAGCGGGAGGCGGCGTAGACAACTCGCAAACAACGCCTTGCAAACTGAGTGCAATAGCTGGTAGTCCCAACGAAGCGAGTTGCTCGTCGTGAGGGTGTCGAATAGCTCTCTGCCTCCTGCTCTTCACTCGCTCGCACACACTCACCCGCTGAGCCCGCTTGCAAACGCTCAATTTTCCCAAAGCGACAGTCTCGCACGTTGACTAAGCCCGCCATGCTCGACAAGCTGCCGAACGAGCTACTCCTCCTCATCATCCAACCCGCCCTCCCCCCTCATGACACGCTCTCGCCGAAGACCGCAGGGCGCCGCCAAGCGCTGTTGACGAGTCTGTCGCGGGTCAATAAGCGCCTGTGCAGCCTCGCCAAGCCGCTTCTGCTCCAGAGCATCGTCGTCGGCACCCCTCGCCAGGCGGAGTTGGTTAGCAAACTCCCGAAGAAGCTGCGCGTGCGGGTCGAGACGGTCGTCTTCCACATCAGCACCACGTCGCTCGACGACATCGACCCGTACGACGAAGACGACGTGCCAGACTTGCTTGTCGGAACGGAGGCCCTCGACGCCCTCGTTGCGCTGCCGAAGGCCAAGCACGCGCGATTTTACGACTTTGGCGACTTAAGCACCGAGCATATGACCTGGCAGACTCGTCTCGACTTCGATCTGAGCGCAAAAAGTCCGTTCATCGGTGCGTCGCCCGCCCGAATCTCGGCTGTTTGGCGCTAACCTCCTTACTGTATGCGATAGATCTCGACTCTCTTTTCCTGTCGAACTGCAAGCTGTTCTTCGCTGGGCAGGGCCATGTGTCGCCGTTCGCCCTTGCGAAACTCGCTTTCGTCGGGAAAACCGTTTTGATGAACGCCGGCATCGACAAGTTGTTCAGATGCGACACATTGCCAGCTCTCCGAGTCCTTCGCTGCGCAGTCTTCGAGTATGGCGAATTCGGCGCATGGGGTACGAGCTCTGGAGCGTTGAACATCCCGGCAGAACTCCTTACGCAGATGGAAGCGTTGCAGCTCAACTCCCGCCACGCACACACTTTTCCCGCGATATCGTCCAAATCGACCCGTATGCTCGTTGATCTGGGCACCTGGAGTTTCTATGAGGACCTGCGCGGCGCTGCGTCTAAGACGCGTTACATCCGGCTCACATCGGTTCACGTAGATCGCTGGTCGAGCCCAGCAGCGGACGTCCGCGACCTGCACAACCTTTCCGCCGCGTTCATACATCGCGATCTGCTTCCGGACACGGTTGAACCGAAGAACCGCGACGTGGCGTTTGCCCTCCTCGACGCCGTCAAGCAGACACCCGCTGACATCATCTGGACCGGCTCGGACGACCACGCCTTCATCCTTCCCGAATTTGAGCGGTACATCAAGGGGAGGCAGTAGGAGTCGGAGCGAGGATTGCGCTTGACTTGGAATGCGACTTGCGACTCTTGAGCAGGATTTCGGCGCCGTCCTCCCTACGTCTCCTCGAGAGGTTCGGCTCGCTATCTGTCTTTCTTTGTACGTCGAGAGAACGCTCGCTACGAAAGGAAGCCCGCGAAGCAAGCCTGCCTTGACCCTCGCACCATCGACCGCCTCTCTTCCTCCTCCCGCTCACTGCCTGCACTCGCTCACCCGCTGAGCCCGCTCGAGACTGCTCACACCGCTGTGCAACAACTCTCGAAACTACGCCAGCATGCCCGCATCGCTCGGAACGCTCCCGACGGAACTCCTGCGCCTCATCATCGAACTCGCCGTCCCGCCCGAATCTCTCGTCTTCGCACAAGCCAAGCGTCGCCGCGAAGCTCTCGTTCCTCTCAGCCATGTCAGTAAACGGTTCTGCAGCGTCGTGCGGCCTCTTCTTCGCCGTTTGGTCGTCAACACCGTCGTCGACTCGAAATCGGCTCGGAACGCAAAGAAGGAACTGCGTGAACAGGCTGTCGCCATGATCTTCTGCACACGTCAGTGGGAGAAGCCAGAATTCTCCGTCGCCTGGCACGAAAGGATGATTCTCGCCGAGAAGGAGTTTCCCGCCGTACTCGGTGCCCTGCCTTCCGTTCGGTACGCTTCATTCGTTGGCGCAGCACAAGACAGCCACAGGACGCCTGTGTCGCTGGTACTCGGCAGCAACTCTCCTTACCTCAGTGCGTCTTCGGATTGTCTCCTGGTCGAGAACTCGCACGCTGACCTTTCGTTCTGACAGACCTTAAAGGTCTTCACTACCAGAACTGCACGACTCAAGTCACCGTCTCTACAAGCACCGGCCCTTACAGCTTGTCCAATTGGCTCTGGACGGGGTCCTGCTGCACATCAAAGCTTTTGCGGAGCTTCTCCATCCGACGACCTTGCCGGCCTTGCGATGGCTCCGCCTTGCCGGCTGCACCTCCAAGGCAGACATCCTGGCAGACTGTGCGCCGCTGCTCGCCCAGTTGATCGCCTTCCAGCTGGACGAAGTAACGGCACCGTCCAAGACCCGGGACGGCATCTCGCTGCGCAAAGTCTACACTGAATGCGCAGACAAGCTTCTCGTGAACGCCTGGGATGCGCGCGGATGGCCGTCGGATCTGGTTCAGTACGTTCTCTACGACAGGCCTGACTGGACCAACTATTACGGAAGCCTCGACGCCAGCTTCGCAGATTATCTTCCGTCCCTTCAAGCCGCCTTCATGCCGCACAGCGTCGGACAGAGACCGCAGAGCGTGTTCTAGAGAACGCCCGCAAGGACCCGCTTGAGGACTTTCTCCAATGCATGGCGAGGCGGAGCATCGAGGTCGTTTGGGTGGACGAAGCCGAATACACCTTCGTCCTTCCCGAATTCGTACGCTACCTCGAAGCGAAGCAGCATGCGTAGCAATCTCTCCCAGCCTGTCTCTTGCTTGTGCAATCAGAAGGACTACCTTACACTCCGTCTCCTCTGCCTGCCCTTCTCTTTTCCCCTGCCCTTCCGCAAGCTCTACTCCTGCTTCCCCTGCACTACCAACGCCTCAACCCGCTCGACGTATCGCGCGAGCTTCGGATCCGCCCGCCACGAGTCGAGCATAGAGTGCCAGTCGGACCACCACCAGCGGTGGGTTTCGGCGTCGCGTGAGGAGGAGGGGAGGAGGTCGAGCCACTGCGTCCCGTTACCAGGCCTCGTCAGCCAGAGAGAGCAGTGAGAGAAGGGAAGAGGGAGAGACGCACGGGTTTCTCGACAATGTAGTGTAGGACCGCCACCCCGTCTCCTCCACACTTCTCGTTCCTCTCCCTGCCCTCTACCTTCCTCCCCTCCCCATCATTCGAGAACCACAGCTCCGGATGCACCCATCTAAGCGTCTTGATCGCATTGAACCTCCAACTAAGCGGCTTCCACCTCCCTTCAAACACTTCCGCTAAGAGGTCCTGATCGGGGAGGGCCATGGACGCTATGGTGGGAGATGTGTGGAGGTAGTTGACGATTCGGGAGTAGAGAGAGCGAGAGGGGGAGAGGACTACGAGGCCTGAGTTGAGGAGGGTGTAGGTTCGCTTGGAGGGGAGGAGGGGGAGAGGAGGAGGTGGTGAGTGAGGGTGCGATTGAGAGTAGGTGTAGGCGCAGTTCTCGGGTTTGCTGCCGCGTGAAACTTGTTAGCACACCTTCAGAGCGAGAGAGTGAAAGCGGCGCACCAATCAGGCTCGTACCAGTCCTGGTTGAGCGGGTTGCATACGCAGGAATGGTTCGCGGCGATCCAGTCGGGAGAGGGGAGTACATCGGGGTCTTCGAGGAGCGAGTCAATGTTGCTGAAGACGGTCATGTCGCAGTCTAGCAAGACGACGCGCTGCGCGAGTCTCCTAGGTCAGCTGGAGAAGGAGGAAAGGGAGTAACTGGGCCGTACGTCGTAGTCCTCGAGCGCAAATGCCTGCAGCTTGCTCCAGGTGTCCTTGAACCGCTCCGCAATGAGCGTCACCCCGCCCTGTGGCTCGAGCAATTCGATTCGGCGCGTCTCCATTCCGAGCGTCTCGAGGAGGTCGAGGTGTTCCGAGGGGAAGGAAGGGGTGGTGAGCACGACGAGAGGGTAGCGAGTGTTGACTTGCTTCATCGTGTGGTCGAGCAGGAGCTGCACGGGCGTGTTGAGATGAGTTGGATCGAGAGTGTGCGATCTGAGAAGGCGAGAGAGACGTACGAGGCCTGGGAGGTAGCGGGCGTTGGTGAGGAGGGTGACGTAGGCTCGTCTCCCTGTGTTAGTCTGTGCAGCCATGTCTACGAGTCTGGCGAGTCTAGCGATGGAGCGCGAGGACAGCGAGCGAGAGGACGAGGCGGAGTTCGACGCAAGCGATCGGGCTCGCTTCCAATCGAGATGAGACAGCGTTGCGCGCGCCGAGACGCCGAGGAGACACGTCCGCTGCTTCATTCTCGCCGAGCCAAACCTTCGCTCGACACCGAGGACGACGACGGCGACGAGCTCACTCTCGCGCAAAGGCTTACAATCAGCTGTATCGGCGAATACAAGCAGAGTGCACTGCTCGTGTACTGCTCGTGTACCGCTTCGACTGCCGCTGCGACGCACGCACCGCTTCATCTTCGCCGCAGCACCAAGCATCTTCCTCGCGCGGACCACATCGAACACCTTGTCCTCCGACCACCACCTCGAGGCGAGACGAGACAGCCTGGCTGAGGGCCAGTATGCCCTCGTCACCCACTACAAAGCGCCACCGCACCCTCTCGTCCATCTCGTCTCTCCCGCCGTTCATCCCGCAGCGCACTTCGCGACACCCATCTCGCCTCGCCCTTCTCGTCTTCCTCGGCGCGGCACTCGCTCTGACGACCTACGTTGCGAATGCGAAGGGCGGAATGCGGGTGTTGCGATCTGGAGAGGCGATGGAGGAACCGGTATGGCCCATGGAGGGAGTGCGAGAAGAGGCTGTGATGGGCTCATCAAGAGCGGATGAGGGGCTGCGAGGCGGACGAGCGCATTCGAGCGTGCGTGTTGGAGCGCCCACAGGGGCGCAGAAGCAGCGGGAAGCGGTGCGAGTTGCAGGAGAAGCGAATCTGGCGGACGTGCGGTTAGGCGGTCTCGCAAAGCCTGCACGACGACCCAAGACGAAGCAGTTGCCAGTCTGCAAGAAGACAGTGCTCTTCCGCTTCGCCGGTGCGTTCACTCCTCTTCTCCTCCGTCTCGGCGCTCACCCTCGTCCTCTCGCAGGCCGGCACGGTTTCGGTTCCGAAGTCTCTCTCCTCCTCCGCGTTGCCTCAGTCGCCCACCACTACGGCTACACCGTCTTCCTCGACTCTACATCCTGGAACTACGGTTCCTGGTCGTCCTACTTCTCCCTCCCTCCCTCCTCCTCCTTCCCTGCCTCGCCCTTCGCACCCCTCGATCCGCACGCCCCGTGTCGCCCACCTTCCCCACAAACAAAACGCTACAAGCTCTCCCTCACGCCGGACGAAGCTCGCGCATTCGCGCTCCACCCACTCGAACTCGACGCCTCGTTTCGCCCGAATTGGGCAAAGAGGAACCACGTTTATTGGTTACGGGATGTCGATGGGTTAGACGCGACGTTCCTTCGACTTTTTGTCGACCAGTCACAGCTGGAGGAACTGCATCGGGCAGATCTGCGAGCGTTGGAAGCGCTCGAGGAGGGTCAGGAGAGACCGGCGTTCCTTGGTGCGGAGGAGACGCTCCCTCGTGTCTTTGAAGACGCATTCGAGCGGATGAGTAGGCTAGTCGGGCAGGCTTGGACGCCGAATGAGGAGGTAAAGGCGATGGTAGGCGAGTTGGAGAAGCGGTTGGGCGTGAGCGGCGCGGAGAATCCAGGGAAGGGGAAGAGGCCGGGCGATTTGCTTGTTGGCGTGCATGTTCGGTGCGTCCTGACCACCTGATCTCGCGACGGAGAAACCAATGAGCTGATATCCCGGCGCGCTGAGCAGACTCGGCGACAAGTTCCTCGAAGCCGACCGAATCGGTCCCGCCTCGCTCTCTCCCTCCTCGTCGCCTCCTCCGCCACCAGAGTCAGCACCAGGTCTGACCGACGACTTGACAACGTCGTACTACGCCGCCGCAGTCGGCAGTATCAACTCGCTCCTCTCCCTTCCCTCCTCCTCTCCCTCCAAGTCGCCACAGACAACCGCAGACCGCATTCGCGCCCTCTTTGCCCTCTCAGCTCCCTGGTCTCGCATCGCCTCCGAAGAAGACCAAGGAGAGTCCCGCCCGACGCTGGCGCTCATGTCCGACGACCCGCATGCGGTCGAGGCGTTTCGGAAACATCCTATGGGAGCGAGGTTTAGGGTTGTTGGGACTGCGGAGATCGGTGCTTCGGTGGTGGCGGCGCAGGAGGAGGAGAGGGAGAGGCGGGGGAGGAGGGGGAAGAGGGATGGGAGGCAGGAGGTGATGGAGAAACGGAGGCCGGAGTTTGAAGGGGTCGGTGTGGGTGGAGGGCGGGCGGGGCATGGAGCGGGAGGAGGGCATGGGAGGATGCAGGCTGTTCCGAAGACTAAGGCGAGAGTGCCGGATGGGTTTGTGCGTCCTGCTTTCCCCTTCGCTTTATCTTCCTGCGCTTCCGTGCACGAGAGACGAGGCTGACGCGATCTTATGCTGGTGCGCAGAACGAAACAGCCTTCAACCGCCTCCCCCTCTCGACTCGCATCTCCTCAGCTCGCCTCTTCGTCCGAGACCTAACAGTCCTCTCGTCCCGAGCCGACGCGCTGGTCGTCACTGGCTCGAGTAACGTTGGGAGATTGATGATGTTGCTTTTTAAGGCGCGGAGGAGGGAGAAGGGGGAAAGGAGGGGGGAGGTTAGGAGTTTGGATACGAGGTGCGTGAGGGTTTTCGCTTCAAGCCTGTCTTGCTGCTCCTCCGGTACCGGAGCGGGACTGACTGTCGAATGATGTCTTGCTCACAGGTGGTTCCCAACCGCTCGCTTCGCCTAGCCTCCGACTCGACTCTTCTTTCACCTCGTCCTCCCGCTCGTCTCGCCTCTCGACTTGCGGCTCTTCTGGCAAGCGCTCCCTCGTCGATGATACCCCAGCTCAGTCTCTACCTGTGTTTCCCCTCGCACATATTACCCTGTTGCAGTCTCATACCTTCGTCCTCGATGGACGTCGCGCTCTTACTCTCTGTCGATACTGCCGCAATCGCACTCGGCTGGTTCCGTCACACTTTGTCGGACGCTGCAGAGGATTGCGGACTCGCAGAAGTGCAGACGGCGAGAAGTTGACCTTGGCAGGAGGCGAAGTTGCGCTGTTGTCCTTCTCCCACTCGCTCACCTCGCTCGCCGGCCTGTTTGAGCATTGAGACCGCTTGCTATACTCCCAAGCTTCCTACCGAATCGCTGTGCCAACCTAGCGACGCCCCACGACTGAACCTGTACGCTTCATCACTTCCCCGTCTTGTGGGCTCGCTGACACCTCGTGGTCGCGCGCAGTCCGCCCGTACAAACGATCAGCATGCCTGTACTACCTACCGATATCCTCCAGATGATCTTCGACGAGCTTGACGCCCAGATGACGCTTCAAACACCGAGGGACGAGGCGGACCGGCGTCGTATGGGGCTGAGCCTGAGCCTCGTCTGCCGCGCATGGCGACAAGCGGGCACGGCGTTCTGCTGGCGGGTCTTCACGCTGATGGCGCGAGACGAGGACGACGTCGACTGCGGCTGCTTCGACCACCTCCTCGACCATCCTCACTTGGCGGCGCTCGTGCGGACGCTGTACGTCGCGTGGCCGCGGTCGGACCGTCCGATATCGCCCATGTCTGCGGGAGAGGCGAGGTTGAAGGAGCTCCTCTCGCTCGTCACGGGCGTCGAGGTGCTCCGCTGAACGAATCCGCGCCGAGACGTCATGCGCACCCTCGTTCGCGACGAAGCCGACGATACGCCCGCATTCAACTTTCCCCGCTTGCGCAGCCTCGACTTCAGACAGTCCTCAAAGCACGGCGAGCCCGAAGATCCAGCCATCGACTCCGCCGCATTGTGTGTCTTGCTCAAGGCTGCGCCGCGGCTGGAGATGATCAATGTCGACTGCACGGTCGACGCGGAGCCATACGGCGACGACTTCGACATCAATTTTCTGCCGATCAAGCACGCCATCATCAACATTCGCGGCTTGAACATCGCCGTCTTCGATGTGACGTCCCTTATTCTGCGCGCGCTCGACTCGGCAACCACGAACTACCTCCGAATCGGTAACGTGCCTTTCGGCCGGTACTTCTTCGAACTGCTCGAGGACTTGGAGAACCTCCAGCACCTCGAACTTACGTGGGAGTACGAAGACGCCCTGGCCGCCTGCTTGCCGCATGTGCAACCGATCCTTCGCCACCTCCCGTCCCTCCGCATTCTCAAGATTGCTGTCCAGCTCCCCGACGATGGCCTCGACGACACCGACGAAATCTCGCACGACATCCTGGCAGCCGTTCCTGTCCAGGTCAAAATCGCCGTCCTCAGCCTCAGAGTCGACAATATCGAACAGGGACCCTTGGCGGATTTCGCAAGAGCCCGGCGAGACACGGCACTGAATTCGCTGGTGGTCGTCACGCCTCTTGCGCGCATCCTCTTCGAGAAGAAGAGGGTTGGGAGTGGCTGGGTCTGGCAGGAGATGGACCGGCGCATGCACAGTGAGAGAATGTTTCACTTCTGCTGCGCTCTCCGCAGAAGTCGCTGAATCCCGCTTCTCATGCAGCTGACGATCCGAACTCGCAAGACGGATAGCTGACTTCGTTCGGAAGACCGCTCATTCCTTTCACGCACCCCGTCCTGTGCGTTCTCTTCCATATCTTCCGCTCTACTCCAGTCTCGAAGCTGATCGTACTCGTGTAGATCATCCCTCCCGCACCCTTCATTTGCCAAGGCTCGCATCTGGCACCCAGCTCCCCCACTCGCTTCGACTCCCCAGTCCGTCAGTCGAGGGACACGTCGGTGATGATGGGTCGAATTCTCATGGGCGGAATCAGTTGCTTTGCTCCACGTGAGGTTGTAGGGCAGCAGGATTGGAAGGGCGTTGATTTACTGCGCAATTGATGCGAGATGCCCAGGACGCGCCATGGAGCCTCGCACAACGTGTCTGCAATGGCTACGTCAGCTGGCCGCTTTGTACGCCTCGCCAACATCTCCTCTTCAGACGGCTACCCCGTCCGCGCGTCCGCAACCATTCCCTTACCTTTGATCCTCCTGCATCCCTCGCTTCCGCCTCGCTGCTGCTGCTAGGGGTCTCGAGCTATTCAGACGACCGCTTGAAAGTGCCTTGACTGTCTCGCCAGTCCCGCGACGCCGTCCTCGCTCCTGGTGAGCTTCATCTCGCTTCGCAGCGAAGAGCCGTCATCCCCGCTGACGACGCCTCTTGCAGCTCAGCAGACCTACCGGTATTGGACAACACGACCCTCACGATGGCCTACCTGCCCCGCGACATCCTGCAGATGATCTTCGACGAGGTCGAGAACGACCTGCCCCTTTCATTCGAGAGTATCCGCCTGGTCTATGGCGCACGGCGGGAGACAGGGAGGAACATCAGTCTAGTCTGTCGAGCTTGGCGAGCAGGAGGGACGGCCATTCGATGGAGATACCATGACATCGACTTCACGTCGCGAACCGCCGAACGCGATGTCCAGCATCTTCTCTCGCACCGCGGTGCCGCTTCCTCCGTGCGATCGCTCCTCCTCTCGCGGGGACTAGGAACACCTGGATCCCTTGACGGGGCCGACAGGGATGTCGTCGAGCTCCTGCGCAAACTGCGGAATCTCGAGGCGCTTCGGTTCTATAACGCACCGCGGGATGTCCTCGAGGACTTCGCCGACGACGACGCACGCTTGCACTTCCTCAGCCTGCGTGACTTGACTGTCCATAACTCGCCCGCAGAGGGTTCCGACTACAAGCTGGCGGCGACGGAGACGGCGGGTCTGGTCCGTTGCGCCCTTCGACTGAAACGACTCTCCATTACCGCCGACGCACTCATTGATATGGAGACCGACGACGAACCGGAACCACATCCGCGACCTCTCGAGGAGGTCGACCTTGACATCCGAGGAGACGGGCAAGCCGTCACCGACGTGACCTACACGGTCCTTCGTTGCGCCGAACCTGCGCGGCTCAAGTCCCTAACTGTCAAGAACGTCCCCTTCTCCGCCTCCTTCTTCGCCAACATCAGTACCATCCGCAACCTTCGCCAGCTCATCCTCGTCTGGCCGACGGACGATGCATTCACCTGCTCCGCTCCGCACCTAATCTCGGCCATCAAGAATCTGCAACACCTCCAGTCAATCGTCCTCCTCTACCCAAGCTACCCGACCTACGCGTCTTCCGCCCTCAGCCTCTCCAACATGGTCCTCGCAATGATTCCGGCTACAGCCCGCTCGGCCTGCGTCTCCCTCGACTCCGACTTCCACTCGGCTACACAAGGCCCTCTCTCTTCGTTCTTCACCGGCTGTCGGGATCAGTCGCCGCTCGAGGAGCTCGTCGTCTCCGACTTGCATTCGACGCGGTGCTTCCGCAAAGCGACCCGGGGCGGGCGACCGATGTGGCGTGATGTGGGCGGGCTGGAGGCGGTGAGCTGCTGTGAACCTTCTCCGCCAGGGACTCGGGCTGATCCGCTGTGCCGCAGGTCACGACTTTCGACGCGGTACGCATCAAGCATCTTCGTACATCCTATCCTTCCTCTTTCTTCCATTCAGGTGACTTGGCTTACACAGAGATCTCGCAGTTCTGGGCATGCGATAGAACAGCGGCATCGCACGCTTCCTTTCGCCTCGACTTTGTTCATCCCACCCTCACGCCCTTTCTTCCTTCCTCCTCATCTCCGACCTCTTGTCGCCGCGTACATACATCTCGCAAGTCGCATCTGTCTTCTAGGGATCGCCCACACATCTGCGACTGTAGGACAGGTCTGCGCCTTTAGCCCGCAAAAGCCACCTCTTCACGCCTCCTCAGTTTCTTTGCGAGATCCTGCGCAACGATGGCAAGGCGCAAGCCTCTCTGAGAGTCCCCTATCCTTCGCAAGCCTTGCGATAGCTCCACGACGACATGCTCGCATGCTCGCACCTTCGCTGCGCTCTTGACCTCGCACCTGCTCGTCACTGCGCAAGTTTCGCTGCCCTACTTCATTCTCTGCGCTTTTAAGGCTTGTCTCGACGCTTCCGTCATCGCTCGCCGTGCCCCGCTGTCTGCTTGCCGTGTTCTACCCCCACTCGGTGAGTTCGCATCTTCGTGCTCCTGCTCGTCGACGGCCGCCTAAAGACGCTTGCTGACTCACTGGTTCGTACAGAACAACCGTCGCCTCCCATCCAGCCGCCCCGCCATGCCCGACCTCCCGCTCGACGTCCTCAACCTCATCTTCCGAGAACTCGACGAGTCTCTCGACCCAGCCAATCATCCCGTCGACTTAGAACGACGACGCACTGTCGGCCGACAAGTCAGCTTGGTATGCCGCGCATGGCGGCTGGTCGGCACGAGGCTCTTTTGGAGCCATGTCGAGATTGCCGACATGAGGACGAGGAAGGCCGCCTCGCTCGTCGAGCATCTGATCGCCCATCCGAATGCAGCGGGCTGCATTGGCCAGCTCAGCATTGCCTGGCTAGACTCGTCGACGTCTCGCGGACTCAATTACGCGGAACATCGAGTCCCGTCCCTCCTCCGCCTCTTAAACTCCCTCTTCGGCCTCTCGCTCTTCAACCCGCCGACTCTCGTCATTCGGTCTCTCTCTACCAACGCTCCTATTCGTATCGCGAGCCTCGAGTACCTCAACATCGAAGGAATCACGAGCGAAAGCGACGCTGCTACACCGTGCGTCGAAGGCGCCGACCTCCGTACTCTCCTCTCTCTCTCACCCACTTTAGCAAAGTTCGACCTGCGATGTGCCGTAACCAAGCAGACGTCACCGGCAGCGTCACCGCCTCCCATTCGTCCACTCGAATCGGTCGACATCCGCTTCACCGGCAACACGCGCGACGTCGCCTTTGCTACGCAGACCATTCTTCAGAGCGCCAGTCCTGGAGACATGCAGCAGCTGGTCATTGCCAACGTACCTTTCGCGCCGTCATTCTACCGCACCATCGCTACCTTCCACGGGTTGGTCGACTTTCGCCTCGCATGGGAGTTTGAGGACGGCCTCGCTTTCTCCCTCCCGCACATCGTCACCCTCATCCAGCGTCTGCCCTCCCTCCACCTCCTCGGACTCATGTACAAGCACGAGCCGGCTGTCCAAGACGATCACGATCTCTCGAATCGCCTGCTCGACCTCGTTCCCTCCACCCTTAACAGCGCTGTCCTCACCCTTGCATACACCTCACTCGACTCGGCGCCGATGGCGCGCTACGCACGCGCGCATCTCGGGGCGGGACCTCGGGAATTCGTTGCGCTCACGGAGGAAGGCGAGATCACGTTCTTTCAGAAGGAGGACGAGAACGGCGTGCTGAGGTGGGAGGAGGTCAACAGGGTGCCGTTAAAGGGTGCGTGCCGCATCCCGCGGCATCTACTCTCCCGGAACTGACTTGTGTTCGCCTTCGCAGACGGCTTCTGGCGGATGTAGCTTTCGAGGCGTTGTTCTCGTCGCTTGCAAGCCAGCGATTGATGCCAGCGCTTCGTTGCCTTGGCAACGTGTAGAGTGTGCGAGGACCAGGTTAAAAGTTCGTCTTTGCGAACATTCGAAGCGAGAGTTTGCCATTCCAAGCTGTCGAGACTGAGCGCGCACACTCCATCCTCCCTCTCCTCGCTATCCTGCCCCTACCTCATCGCCGAGCGCCCGACTGTTGAAAGGACAGCGGAGAGCGTCAAATCTCACTCTATCGAAGCGCGAGAGAGAAAGCTCGAGGACGCACTGTTGGCCTGGACGACGTCCTCGACAGCCTTGTCGAGCTCGTTCTCCTTCGCAAAGACGTCCTCGAAGTCCTTGGCGCGGGTCGAGCGCTCGCCCTCGACGATGTGTTCGCGGCGGACGGCGAGCGGGTCATTCGGGTCGCCAAACTCCTCTGCGGGCCGGGCGAGCGACGTCAGCAGGCGTAGAATGTATGTGGGGCAGAAGACCGCACGCACCGGCAGCAGGGAGAACGTCCGCGTCCTGCATCTCCTCCTCGTCCTCCTTGTCGCGGCCAAGGACGCCCTCGTCGACAACGTCGCTGTGGACCGGTGCGATGACTTCGCCCTTGTAGTCCTTCGACGAGTCGTTCATCGTGCTTGACAGCGGTGGAGAAGTAGTCGTGTGAGAGGAAGTGAAGGGCGGGAGGGAAAGAGGCGTGCGTCAACTGGTTTGTCGTGCAGCTCGCGTCCCTGTGAGCTTCTTGCGGGAGTAGCAGCCGGTCAAGGAGAGTAAGGTAGCATGGAAGCCAGATAGGACGGCGCAGCCAAAGCGAGAAGGCAATGGAGACCATCCGGACGACGAGGACTCGCTCACCCGCATCGATAAGCCAATGAGTCGATGTGAATGCAGCGATAAATGATGGGAGAATGTACAGCGTCTCGTTAGCGCCGCCTCATCCGCCAAACGGATCTTCCTCGACGCCGTTCGCGCCGTTCGCCTTCTCAAGCGCGAGGAGCGCAAAATGTCCGCCGACGACGGGTCGCGAGATGAAATAGATGGGCCAGTCGAGTCCGTCGCGGCCGGGGAAGTTGGCGGTAGTCGTTTCGTAGAGGTCGGGGAAGGCGGCATCGACTTTGCCGGCTTTGAGGTAGTCGACGAGGAGGTCGATGAACAGCTCGCGTCCCTTCTTGTCGGTCGCCGAGGCGGCTGCGAATACTTCCCAGTCCGTCTGCGGGACCGTGAAGTCAGTCACTGGCAAAAATACTATGAGCTCGCTCGCACGCCGTTCGTGACGGGTGCCGCAAGTCGAGCACAGCATCTCGTCCAGCGACTGACTCACCTTCGTCCACAGATGCCGCGAGTCTAGCGGGACGCCGTACTTCTGCGCCTTGCCGGCATACCAAGCACTCTGGTCCTTGTACAGCTGGCGGTCGAACAGCTTGAGGTTGAGGAGACGATCTCCGAAAAGGTTGTCTGCAAACGATACAAAGTGACGCGGGTCGTAAGACACGTATTTCAGATCGACGAGGAGCAGAGAGCCGACACGCACAAAGAGTACCCCACGAGCCGTCGTCCTGGTACGCCAGTTTCGCATGTCTAGCTCCGCCCGTCTCCGTCATCGCCAGCGCCGTCCACTCGCGCACGTACGCCTACACGTGCGAAACTGTCAGCCCAAGTTGCGACGCCGGAAAGAGCGAGAAGAGCAGGCGCACCTCGGCCACTGCTCGATAGTGAATGCTGTCTGTCCACCTCCCAACTCCCTTCGCCAACTCGCTCATCGCGCCTGCGAGCGGGAAAATATCAGCGAGAACAGAGAGAAATGGAAGGAGAAGCTGCGCTCACCAATCCCGACGATAGCCTTAACAGCGAGATTCGTCTGGTTCGAGAGCGTCCCTGCGAGAGTCCCGCTGACATCAGCACTTCCGCTCAGCAAGTCAGGAGCAGTACAGCACCTCGACGCACCGGCGAAGTCGTCCGTACTGAGCTGCTCGGCCGGCACGAGACCGTCGTCGGTGAGGAATGTTGTCCAGGACTTGAAGACCTCGTAATGCTTCTCGACCCAGGGCTTGTCGGCGGTGAGCTGGAAGTAGGCGAGTGCCATCCTGCCCGAGGAGCGAGGGACACTCAGCAGGCAAGCACGGCGAAAGAGAGGCCAAAGGGACGCACCAGAGCATATTTCCTGCCTCTTCGACCGGCATCGGCTCGTCGTTTCCGCTATTGTAGCCCGTTGCGTTTGGGTACGTCCCGAGATCGTGGACCGGCCATCGATTCGGGTACAAGCCCGAGTGGGTGTAGATGAGTATCGGTTCGAGGAGGAGTGCGAGGAGGGTCGGGTTCGTGTAGAGCAGGATCGAGTGGAGAGGGAAGATGACGTCGATAGTCGACATGTCGCCGTTGCTCGAGATCTCCTTCATGTGAGCCATTACGCCCTCCTTGTCCTCCGTCACGCCAGTCGTCAACTCGAACGTCGCGAACGCCTGACGAGTCGAGAGCTCGACCAGCGCAGCGTAGTTGTCGCCTGAGACGCGCTTGGCGTCTCGTCGGACTTGCTCATCGAAGCGTGCGGCTTCGCGGAAGGTGCGAGGGAAGGAGTACTGGAAGTAGGAGAAGGCGTCGAGTGGGCGGGAGAAGCGGGTCGTCCAGAGTCCTGCGAGCGGGATCTGGCCTTCGGGGGTGACGAAGTTCTGCGCGAGGAGAACGAGTGAGCTGCGTTTCCGAAAGGCGCTGGAGAAAGCTGAGTCGGCGCACAACGTAAGGATGCCGGACGTGCCCGATCGTGAAGACCGCGCTCGGCCTGGTTGATGTGATTTGTACGGAGAAGCCGAAGACGGGCTGGCGGTCGCCCATCTTCCGGTAGGCGGCATCGTGCGTCCCGTCGAGTCGGCCGTGCTTGACGAACGTCCTGCGCAACTCGTTCGCCTCGCCTGATCCGCCGACGGTCTCGCGACGCTGCAAGGGAGCCAAGTCAGCTCAGTTCGCTGCCACATGCCGAGTTTGACGACGCACCAGCTCAGTCGCGAGGACCGCCTCGCCCCACTCCGCCTGTTCCGCAAACTCGCTGAAGACGAGCTGCTCTCGTCGCGAGACGGCATGCACACCAACGCCCGAGCCGGAAGTATAGGTCCAGGTCTGCTCACGGAAATGTCAGCCAAGTCGAACTGAACTGAGGAGACCTCGGGGACAAACGAGGTTGGCGTTCGGGTCGCCTGAAGCCCATTCGCCGGAGATGTCGGTATAGACGGAGATGGTGTAGTCTCGAGCTGCGTCGGGCTCGACGTCGATAGTGAGGTAGGAGAAAGGGAGCGATTGGCGAACGAGGTCGTTTGGCGTCACGGGAGAGAGGAAGGTCGCCTTGAACGTGACGTTTCCCGCCTCGAACGAGAAGACCGACTTGGTCGCAGTGTACTCGAAGGCGGTCTGACGGGCGACTCGAGCTGGACCGAGCGGGCTCTTCGCGTCAGAGAGGGGAGCGCCGAGGAACTCGTAGGTCGTGCCGTCGATGCGGATTAAGCCTGCCCAGGACAGGCGGTAGTCTCGAAGAGAGCCTGGGTAGTGGACGGGCCAGTGCCGGGCCCAAGAACCGGCGAGGCAACCCTTCGATCCAGCGTCACCGCCCGTGGGAAGGAGGGCGTTCAGGTCTGCGCAACGAGCATCTGTGAGCGCTGCATTGAAGTCGTTTGCGTAGCCCGCCCTACTCACATGGTGACTTGACTGCTAGCGGGATTGCAGGTGGCAGCAGCGGCGAGAACGACGGCGAGTGATGAGAATCGTCGAGCGGGGAGAACGAGGCATCGGCGGCGAAGACGGTTTGGCTGGCGGGTCTGGCCGTCGCCGTGTGAGCCCAAAGGAGTGTGCAGAGCAGCAGCAAGCCCGGTAGCATCGCTGTGAATCGCTGTTCGCAAGGAGAAGTCGGCCCCACCGCCTCGCTCTCATCTCCGCCGGAGTCCGTGGAGTAGTCGACGCTAGCCAGCTCGCTCCTGACGGCCTTGCTCTCCCTCCTGCAACTCACCCTGATGCTGCTTCGACGCTGCTGTGCCCGCCACGCTTTGAGCGGAAGAACTGGGCGCTGTCGCCGTCGCGTCTCGCTGGCTCGGCCTTCCCAAGCGCAGCGAAAGGCGTCCACCCTCGCCTGCTGATGCGCTCCGCTCGCATGAGCATGTCCCGGGACACATAAGCAAACGTGCTGGGCAATCGAGGGCTTGTCAGGGTCGCGCGAGACGAGGCTGGACCTGGCCGAGGCGAGGAAACTGTTCACCCGGCGGCAGTCAGCAGGCGAGGAAGGAGCAGGTCGCAAGGTGGAGCCCCGCTCAAAAGGCCTGGAGACCCCGGAAGATGGGGCAACGAGGCGGGGGGAACAAGGATGGTGCCTGAGCGACACACGCCCGGATGTTGCCCTTCCTCCTCCTCCGCTCTGGTCCTCGCTCGCTCTTCTCCCACTGGTTCTTTCGCTTTCTCGCTTTCTGCATCGACAACAACACCTCGCCAAGCATCCAGAACACCCCGCAGACTCAAGGTGCGCGATCGAGACTCCCCGCCAGTCAACTTTTCGTGCGGAGAGGCGAGGGACGACTCAAACGTGATCCCACGTCGCGCAGGCTCCCTCCTTCTCCTCCCACCACCACTGCACGACACGCACAGCGCTATGACAACCCGGCTCGACGTCGAGAAGGAATCCTCGCTCGCAGACGACGAGTACGGCGCTCACGTCGTTCGCTCCGACACTGAGCTCGAGAAGGACGGCGGAAACCTCGTCCTCCAGGTTGAGGATGCAGCAGCAGCAGGCTTGAAGACCGCCAAGGACGGACGAACTATCCTCGTACCTCAGCCCAGCGACGACCCGCGCGACCCCCTTAACTGGCCGGAGTGGAAGAAGCATGCGATCTTGATCATCGTCGCGCTCGCTGCCTTTGGCGGAGACTTCCAATCTGGTGCGTCCGCTTTGTTTCGAAGCTCGTAGACGAAACGGGGCTGACCTCCGCCCTCTCCTCCCTTCCAGGCGCCGGTATCCCCCTCCTCCTTTCTCAGGGCGAAGAATGGGGGCTATCGCCCGCGAAAGTGAACGAGGCTGGAAACCTCAATGTTCTCCTGCTAGGCATCGGCGGCCTCGTGTGGATTCCGCCACTTTGTAAGCCTCTCTGCGCCTTTCCCCGTCCTTTTCACGGCGTCCCAGCCGTCCCTTGTCCCCATTTGACGTCGTTCTGCTCCGCCCCTTATTGCCACGACTATAATTGACCCTGCCGTGCTCTCGCAGACTTCTGGGGCCGTCTTCCCGTCCTCTTCTGGACCCAGCTCATCGGCACCTTCATGGTACTCGGCAGCGTCCTGGTACAAGACTTCAACGCCTACTACGCCCTCCGACCTCTCACCTCGCTCTTCCTCACGGCCGGACAAACGATCGGCTTGACGTTCGTCAAGGGTGAGTCGCGTTTCGCAGCGACGGGGATCTCCTCCTCCTCCTCCTCCTTTGTCGTCTCCCCGAACGTGCGCTGATCTTTCCTACACGTTCGCAGACATGTTTTATTTCCACGAACACGCTCGGTTCGTCCAGTTTCCACTTTTAAGTGCGAACGACACTGACACGAACGCGTTTGTTTACAGCAAGATCGGTCTTTGGGTGGTCATCTTCCTCTGCTCGCCTTACTGCGGTCCTTTCTTCGGCGGGTTCATCGTCTCAGGACTCAACGGCGCATGGCGACCAGTCCTCTGGGTCGTCTTCGCCTGGAGCTGCTTCGTCCTCCTCCTCGTCATCTTCCTCGCCGACGAGACGTGGTACGACCGCTCCCTCTCCGTCCAGCCGGAGCGACCCACCGGCGTCTACGGACGATTCTGCAACCTCGTCGGTATCACCGGAATCCGCCAGCGCGCCTACAAGCCCAACGCCTTCCCCTCGATCATGCGCCTCTTCGAAGTCTTCACCAAGCCGACGCTCTGGATGGTCTTCGTCGTCTACGCGTGAGTTTTACGATCTTTCTTATCGACCGCGCACGACGGGACGACGTTGAAGCCGAGCACGAGCGCTGACGATTTCCTTCTCCTCGACCTTCTCATTTTCGCTACCTCTCGACTCTCGCGCAGTCTTTCGTTCATGTGGGCCGTCGGTATCAACATCACCTCCTCCATCATCCTCGCGACGCCGAAGGTCGCCGGCGGCTACGGCTTGACTCTCAAGCAGACGAGTGTCGTCTACCTCACTCCCCTCGTCGCGCTCATCCTCGGCGAGGGTATCGGGCACGTCGCGAACGATTGGATCGCTAATCGCTATGTTCGCAAGCACAACGGCGTCTTCAAGCCCGAATGCCGTCTATACATCTTCCCTTTCGCTTCCATCCTCATGATTGCGGGCCTCGTCCTCGTCGGACAGGCCCTGGCCAAGGGCTTGAGTGTCGGCGCTATCGTCGTGGGCTGGGGGGGCTACGTTTTGGGAGTTATGGTGTCGTCCGTCGCGATCACGGCTTACATCCTCGACGTCTTCCCATCCGCCTCAGGTCCGTTCGGCGCTTTCCGTCCTCCCCTCTCCCTCCTCCTGTCTCCGTCTTCGTCTCCCGCCTTCTCCTCTTCTTCTCTCTTGTCTCGTATCACGCTGACGCCCATTTCTCTGCCCTATACCGTCTCCCGCCGACTCCCCTTTCGTTCTCCCAGGCGAAGTCAGTGCCGCCGTCAATCTTTCGCGTACGATCAGCGGGTTTTCGGTAGGATATTTTCAAGCTCCGTGGGGCGAAGCCGTTGGATACGACGTCTCGTTCGGCAGTGAGTCGCGGTCCCCGTTCCATCCCCTTTGCCTCCTCCCGGTTTCCCTTCGCCTCCTTCCTCTCCTTCTTCTCCCTCCGTCTCTCTAGATCAATAGCGCACTAATACGATTCCCTCGCAGTCCAAGCCGCCATCGTCGCCTTCGCCATGGGACTCGTCTTCGTCCTCATCGCGGTCGGCGAGCGGATCCGCAAGTTCGGCGGTCCCCTTCACTTCGCCAAGCACCAATAGACGTCGTCGGCGTCAGAATCTAACCCTCTCAACGAGGGGCCTGTCAACCAGGCTTATCCAGAAGTCATGAGCAGTTTGTCCGTGTTGTCCTTCCTCTTTCTCCTCCTTGTCGTTCTTCCTCCCGCTTCTTCTCTTCTCTCGGATATCTACGGGTTCTCCTAGGTCTTTAGTTCCTCCTGTCGTCTCTCACATACGCATCAAACACCACCAAACTGCTTGTTGTCTTCTCTCCTCATCCCAACTTCGTGACGAATCATCCTGAATGTCGTAGCTGTCAACCGGCTCGACGAACGTGCAATCTCAACGATCGAGCACATCTCTGCGTTCGTGCGATGAGAAGGCGAGGACGGAGGCTTTTGCAGCGAGGAAGGCGAGGAGCTAAACAAGCGAGGGAAGTTCTACAGGGAAAGGCGAACCGAGCAGGTCGTCTAGGTACAACAAGCGAGAAGAACACACCTCCTACGGCCGACGACTCCTCTTGCGCCCGCCTTCGCCCGCCTCGTGCAGCGGAAGCGCCTCTCCATTCGTCGCAGCCTTCTTCTCGCCCCTGACGCCCCTCCTAATCGCCGCGACCCACTCACCCAGATACGCGAGGACGAACAGCTCAACAAGCGTCCAGAAGACTCCCCTCACCGCACGCGGGACCTCCTCCATCCCCAACGTCGCGCGGTACCATTCTCCTCCTTCCTTGATGCCCGTGTGGATTTGGACCCAGCCGAGAGCGAGAACGGTCACTCCGAGGAGGATGTGAATCGCGCGGGCTAAGGAGGGGCGCGGGCGTGAGAGGGAGGGAGAGGAGGAGGTAAGGGCGGAGGGGAGCGTGAGGTGCGCGAGGTAGCCGAGGAGGAGTTGGAGGATGACGAGGAGGAAGAGGACGAGTCCGAGGCGCTGTGCGAAGATGAGGGAGGCCTCAGCGGCTTGCGTCGAAAAAGAATCGCTTGTTGTTGGGTTGGGAAGGTCGACGCACCTGGTGCAAGTCGGCAAAGAGGTTGCCCGTCTGGCTGACAGCGAGCGCGAAGGCGGTGACCACCATCGAGGCGGCGAGGAGCTGGAGAGCAGCGTGAGGCGGGAGCCAGGCGAGGCGTTCCCTGCCGAAGCGGGCGGTGAGGATTGCCAGCGGGACGAAGATGGCAAAGGCGAGTCCGCCGAGCGCAGCTGTACAAGCGACGTCTTCAACACTCGGACTTACTGTATGAGCAGGAGGACGCACCGTGGGCGATGAAGATCCTGCGACGCCTCCTCGCGGCGGCACTCGGAGGCGGCGCTTGCTGAGCCTGCGGCGGCTGAGTCGATGTCTCATTCGCGGCGACAGCGTAGGCGGCACTCATATCGATGCTCGTAACGCCAGTCGGCTGTCAGGAAGGAGTGTCAGCTTAGCCAGAGACTTTAGGCGGATCGCGCGCACCTGGTCGTGCTGGGAAAATGTCGCCTGTCCTTCGTTCGCCGTTCCCGCATTGCGCGAACTCGACGCGTAGATCAAGTCAAGTGTACCGCTGCCCAATGCAGCGCTCGTCACGCCCTGCGCGGTCGGGTACGACGAGCCAGGGTCCACCAGGCGAGTGAAGGCGACGATCGAGAAGGGCGACGACGAATCGGAGGTCGTCAACGCGGGTACGAGGGTGTAGAACGCCGGGGTACTCGTGCCAGCGCTCGAAGAGGCGAGGACTGGCATGGCGTGTCCTCCGAGAGCGTTCGAGTTCGGGAGTCGGTGAGAGAGGGTCCAGTTGACGGACGAGCCGGAGACGGTTGGCCAGGCGAGGAGGAAGTCGGCGTCCGCCATGGCCTGTCGCGGAGAACGTCAGCAGGGTCTAGGGAGAAGGAGCGGACGACGCACGGTGCCATGACCGACCCCGAGCCAACCCACGGAAGTGGGCGAGGTCGAGCTGACGTTCGCGACGTAGAGGGCGTGCGCTGTCCGGAGGGATTCTCGTCAGTGCCGAACGCTAGTTACAGCCTCGTGGAAGTCGACGCACTGCCGTTCGAGATGATGGAGAGGTCGAAGCGCGGAAGCGAGATTGTGCCTCCTTTCAAGGACGAGGAGGATGAGGGGAAGACGGCCGCGACTTCGGGGCCGGTGAGTGCGGCTGCGTACTTCGCAGCCAGTGCAAGAACAGTCGCAGCAAGGAGCAGCATCGCTGAGCGAGTCCGGGAGAGTGGGAAGAAGGAGAGAAAGAAAGGAGTAGCGACGGGAGATCTACGACTGCGCAGCCGGGATGTGTCCCGTTCGCCTGGTTCGATGCTCTGCGGTGGCTGTGCCGTGCTCTGCTTGGCCTTGCTGCGAGAGCTCCGGCGCTCTGTCAGTCGAGAGATCAGGTGAGCGTCCCGAAGGGCGTTGGAGGGCGGCAACTCCGAGTGGAGCGAGCGCGGGCAGAGTGTCTTCGTGCGAGTGCCGCGAGGCGAGGGTAGCAGCGTAAGCACGAGTGCATGGGCTCAAAGCTCGATGCGAGGTCGGAGCGAGGTCGCGGCGAGTGTAAGTGCCGACGAGGAGGAGCGAGTCGGCGGCGACGGCACGCACGCCGGTCAGACTCGGACAGCTGGTCAGCGAGACCTCTTGAGTGGTATCGTACGTCTCAAAAAAGCAACAGAGTGTGTTGCGGTGTGTCGACGAGGGGAAAGCAGCGTTCGCGGTGGTCGTCCACGAACTCCAACCGCTCGACCTCGCTTGATTGCTTGCTAGAGGACTGCTTGGGCTGCATAGGCTACTCAGAAACCCACCGACTGCACCCACACCGCTTCATGAAGGCCTGAACGCCCGCGAGACCGTCATCACCTTCGACCCCACCTCTCCCGACTCAGGCGACTCTCACGGCACGGCGAAGGCGATAGGCGGGTTGTGACTGGACTTGCAAGGTGTGTAAAGTTGTCAAGGTTGCTCTCCAGGAGCGGCGTGGTACCACGTACGAGTACGGCGTCGTGAGGGCATACCGAAGTGGATGACGGGTTGAGGAACGGCTTCACGGGGCGAGCGAGCTTTGCGGACGTCCCAGGCAGACTAAACACAGAGGCTCATCACAACGCGCTCAGCCCGTACTGACATCGTACGGCGCCCGCAGATGGTCGGCTCTTTCGTCTTTGCACTCACGTACCTCCTGGGCGGCATCACCTTCCTCCCGCTCTGCCTCGCCGTCCTCCTCGCCTTCTTGTACTACACCTCGCCCGTCGTCCGCGTTCCTCGAAAGACCGGCATTCCCGACCGCGCGGCGAAATCGCACTCGACCGCTTCGGGCGAACAGGAAGACGAGGTTGAACCGATCAACGTCTACCGCGCAGGATGGCTTACCGTTCGACGGACGTATGAACCGCTGAAGGTCGGGAACGACGGGACATATGTCGGGATGCTCGCCTCGGGCTACCGCTCCTTCATGGACAACCGCTCTCGAGATCCTCGACGCTCGAAACCAAAGGACCGCTTCTTTGCCGTTTTGAAGCAAAATATCCTCTTCCTGTACGAGGGCGAAGACCAGAACGAGTGTTGGGCGGCTATCGAGGTGTCGGCGCATGACATCGTCATCTTCCCCGAGGGCAACATCGATGGCGAGTTGTATGTCAAGCGGACGGCGATCCAGCTCAAGCCGCGTCGGACGGAGGAAGAAGCGGAGGATGCGACGAGCCCGACGGGACATGCGCAGTCGGAGGAGACGGCTTACGACCTCGAGACGGGGAGGCCGCTACCTTGGTTCATCTTTGCCAAGGTCAACTCTGACAAGGAGGATTGGTGCGTTCCCTTCCTCTTTAAAGCGAGCAATTGATGTCTTGGGATGCTCACCTAGTGCTTGCTTTTGCGAGCTCGCAGGTACCACTCCCTCCAGCTCGCTTCCCGCCTCGGCAATCCTCCCGCAACGACCAGCATCGCCCGCGACCGCGCCCTCTTCGACTCGGAAGACATGGCCCGCCTCGTCGAAGCGATCGACGCCCAGCCCGACTCGATCCCGATGCGCTGGTTTAACGCGCTGATCGGCCGCATCTTCCTCTCCGTCAACCGCACCTCGTCTCTCGAGAACTACATTACCTCACGCATTGTCCGCAAGCTCAAGCGCGTCAAGCTCCCTTCGATGCTTTCCGAGATCCAGGTTCGCGAAGTCAACGTCGGCGCGTCGGTTCCGCTGTTCAGCAAGCCGATGCTGAAGGACTTGACGGCCGAAGGCGACGCGAGTATGGAAGTGCACGTCGCGTACGTCGGCGAGGCGCGCGTAACGATCGAGACTGAAGCGACTGTCTCGCTCAGCTCGCGCTTCAAGCCCTACACCGTTCGACTCGTCCTTGCCGTCGTCCTCAAGGAACTCGAGGGCACCATGCTCGTCAAGATGAAACGGCCGCCCAGCAACCGTATCTGGTTTGGTTTCACCCAGATGCCGAAGATGGTCTTGTCCGTCGAGCCGGTCGTCAGCGCGAGGCAGATCAAGTGGTCGATGGTCACAGGTCCAATCGAGTCGCGCATCCGCGAGCTGGTGCGTTCCGCCTCCTGATGGTACAACCGCGAACTCATCTTGCTCCATGCAGATCATGGAGTCGATCGTCGTCCCGCACATGGACGACCTCTCGTTCTTCTCGACTCTCGCCGAGCCTCTCTTCCGCGGCGGCATCTACGGCGCCTTTCTCCGCGCCGACAAGTCGACCGCTTCAGCAGACGAGCTTGATGCCCCATCCGACAAGAAGAACGAAGTCGACCCTTCGACAGACGGGCCGGCCGAGGAGGACTTGGTCGGCGAAGCGACGCCGAGTGTCAGCAAGGGGAACGAGGTGAGGGAGGCGGTATCGAGCGCGACAAAGGAGAGCGGAGCGCAGCTTCGTGCTGCTGCGATGCGGAGACGGCGTTCGAGCGAAGGAGACCGGCCGCTCGACCTCACACCCATGTCGACATCTCCCGCTGCGACACCCTCAGCGAGCGCTCCTCGCTCGCCTTCTTCTGCTTCGTCGAGCGTAACGGGCCTCGCGGGACTGAGCGCGAGTCTCGCGAGCTGGAGGGAAAAGAACAGCAGTTCAACGTCGATGAACGGGTCGAGCGGGACAAGCACGTCTCGCACGACCACAAGGTGGTTCAGCAAGTCCTCAACGCCGGTTCCCTCCACCTCTTCCGCCAGCACGACTCCCGCTCCTTCCGTCCGTACCAACGACTCGACAGACTCGATCGCCTCCGCCTCGTCCGCTACGACCGCGACCGGCGAGACGTCCGCGCCTCCGCATCCTGAGGTCTCAGCGAGTCAGCTAAGGGATATCTTGGCAAAGCGGGCGGAGGAGCGGGATCGCGAGAGGGAGAAGGAGCGCGAGAAGGCGGCGGCTGTGGCGGGTGTGCGGTTGACAGGGTGGGCCTGCCCCCGGCCGAGGCGGTGGAGGGTGTGAAGGAGGCAGAGACAGATAAGAGGGAAGGCGAGGAAGGAGATGCTGCGAGCGAGGCAAGGACAGACCAGGAAACGCCGCTCCTGCTGAACGACTCGTCTCTCAATTCCTCGACACCTGCCTTGGACTCAGCGGCGACTCCGAAATCGCCAGCGCTCCCGAACCGTCCGTCCTTCGTCAAGGCTCTCCCGACGCCCCCGCCAGCTTCACCCGCCGCGTCCACCACCTCCCGCGACGCTTCTCTCGCCGCCCCTCCTCCTCTTCCTCGCCGTCATTCCCCCTCTGCTTCCGTCGACTCCGCCTCCACCTCGACTACCGCCTCCACCGCCTCCTCCCTCCTCGCTTCCTGGCGCACCAAAGTCCCTACCTCAGCCACCGAGCGTTCCGAAGCCCTCTCAGCCGCAAAGGAGAGCATGAAGCGCTGGGGCGCGAATTGGGCTGCGAAGCGGGCGCAGGCGCAGCAGGAGAAGGAGGAGCGCGCGAAGAGGGTCGAGGATTCCGATAGGCCTGTTGGGGAGAGTCCGGAGAAGGAGCGTGGTGGGAGTGCGGGGGCAGGCGAGGGGAATGGTGGTGGGTATAGGGACTATAGGAAGGGGAAGAGCGTGTCGAGTGGAAGAGGGGGAGGGGGGATTGCGGATTACTTTGGGACGAATGGCAGCTCCGACTCGCTCGTCTCGCCCAAGACGCCTCCTCGCTCTATCCCTCGCGCCTCAGTGACCGCCGCCTCCACACATCCTGCAGGGCAGCTCTCGTCATCCGCGTCGTCCACCTCGTCTGGCCACTTTGCCCCCTCCTCTCCTTCCGCCTCGACCGCTCTCTCCACCTCCTCCGCACTCGCCAACTCCTCACCCTCGACATCTCCGGCGAAACCTTCGATGCTCGCTAGCGGACCGCCAACGATGAGTGCGGGAGCAGGGTACGGACGGAGGATGATGACGCTTCCTGGGATCAGAGACGAGGATAAGAGGAAGAAGGTTAGCGAGGATCATCTTGGTGGCGGGGCGGCGGCGCTGGCTGCCTCTGAGGGCGAGAAGGCGAATAAGGCGGAGACGGAGGGACCGGAGGTGAAGGAGGAGGCGACCTCCGCAAGTGGAACTCCTCCGGTCGAGACGTCCGCCGAATCAGCCGTCGCAAGCGAGTCGTCTTTGCCGGCCGAGGACGCGGAGACAGAGCGGGCGGACGTCGCTTCCACCGCTTCAACTGTCGAAGAACCGCAATTTGCTGTCGACGAGCCGGTCTCGTCCTCCACGACTGCCGAGCCACCCGCACTTCCTCCTCGCGACTCCCAGCCGATCTCTCCTGTTGTCGAAGCCGACGTCCCAGCCGCTCCGCCTCTCCCACCGCGCAAGGACGCCGTCGACCCGCCTAAGGAGGTTGAGAAGGCTGCGCCGTTCGCCATCGAGCGGGACTCGACCGCGAAGAATGTACCGCCTCTCCCGCCTCGCAACTCAGCAGCGCCCGTCGCGTCGTCGGAACCGGCTGTACAGGGCTTGAAGGAGGATGAGGCGGACGAGGCAGGATGGGGCCTCGACAATGAGGTGGTGGTCGAAGAGGGTCAGTCTTAGCGGCGGAGTGTCCAGTACTGTCAACTACTCGCACTATCTGCGTATGCATGTAGCGTCCAGGTCGTTGCGAGCGAGCAGGAGAGCGAGAGTTGCTGAATACAACTTTGTAATGTAGCGAATACAACTCGAGTTGTAATGCCGCGACTTGCGATTGAGGAAGCTTGCTCCGTCAACACTCGCCGTCGTTGCTCTGGCAGTGCACAGGAGCACGCGCAGTTGCTTGCACACGTTCACACAGGCGCACACATACGCGAGCACCCTCTCAGCCTCGCTCGCCAGCCCTCGTCCGCTCTCTTCGCGCGCGACTTCGGACGAACAGCACTCGCTCTCGCCCTCGCCCACCTCGAGCCATGGCCGTGAGTCTTACCTGTCCTACTCACTCCCACACGCGTGGAAGGGCGCGCGAATACGCGTGCCACAGCCGGAGACGTGTGCTGACCTCGTTCCGAACCCGAACAGTCGACGAGCGCCTCAAAGTTCCCGACGCCCTCCGTCGACGGCGCAGACACACTCTCGGACTACATCCCGCAGTCGGCAGAGATCTCGCGCGTGCCGTCGACCGCCGGCTTCAACGACACACCTGCGCAGGCGAGCGCGGTCGTGAGCGATGAGGACGACGAAGAGGAGGACGACGACGAGTACGACTCGGAGGGCGACAAGGTCATGAAGCCCGTCAAGGGAGGGAAGAAGCGGGAGCGCGCGCAGGCCAAGAAGGAGGCAAAGCTGAGGGTCAATGCGACGGTGGGTCTCCGATGCCTTTCTCGAAGCCCGAGGCCGTATGAGGGGCACACGCTGACTTGACTCTGTTCTTTCACAGCTGCAAGCTCGTGGCGAAGCGCAGGAAGCGCTCAAGTCGGCCGACTCGATCAAGCGCTTCACCTACCTCCTCGGCCAGACCGACCTCTTCAAGCACTTCTGCGACCTGAAGGTGCGTACCGAACCCTTACTATGCTTGAGATCGCCGTTACTGACACGAATCTCGCTCTCACAGGCGCAACGTGACCCTACTTTCGCCAAGTTGCTCGCCGAGGCAGAGAACGCTGGGAAGGCCAAGGGCCGGTACGTTGCTCCCCTCCTTCTCCTCCTTCACGTTACGCTGACAAAACGCGAAACTGCAGACGAGGCAAGGCGGCGCAGTCCCGTGGCCGCAAGTCGGAGAAGGAGGAAGACAACGAGCTTCTCCAGGCAGAGGAGGGCACGGACGGGCTTGCCGAAGGCGACGGTCCCTTCGTCTTCACCGAGTCTCCCGCGTGTGCGTCAGCATTGCGCTTGTCCGCCTCAGTTGCGCAGCGGCAGCTGACGAAGGATATGCCTGCTCTTGATGTGCAGACGTCAAGGGCGGCAAGATGCGCGAGTATCAGATTCAGGGTTTGAACTGGATGGTCGGCCTGCACTACAACGGTATCAACGGTATCCTCGCCGACGAGATGGTGCGTTCCCACGCTGTCCCCATCTTCGCTTCCCAGCTCACCTCCTCCGCTTCGCAGGGTCTCGGCAAGACGCTCCAGACGATCTCGTTCCTCGGCTACCTCAAGTTCATCCGGAACACCCATGGCCCGCATCTCGTCGTCGTGCCCAAGTCGACTCTCGACAACTGGGCGCGCGAGATTGACCGTTGGGTGCCTGGGTTCAGCGTTGTTCTGCTCAAGGGCACCAAGGAGGAGAGGGTGAGTCGCGAGCGCAGCGTACGATTTCGTCTGCCTCGCGGGTACTGACGAGCCTCTTCGTCGCGTGTGCGCGTTGCAGCAAGAGCTCATCCAGGACCGCATCCTGCCCGGCGACTTCGACATCTGCCTCGCCTCGTACGAGATCTGCCTGCGCGAGAAGAGCTCGCTCAAGCGCATCCCGTGGGAGTACATTGTCATCGACGAGGCACACCGCATCAAGAACGTCGACTCGATGCTCTCGCAAATCGTCCGCGTCTTCAAGTCGCGCGGTCGCCTCCTCATCACCGGCACGCCTCTGCAGAACAACCTTCACGAGCTTTGGGCGCTGCTCAACTTCCTCTTGCCCGACGTCTTCTCCGATGTCGCCGACTTCGACGCCTGGTTCGACAAGCAAGGCGACACGTCCGACAAGGCCGTCGAGGCTGCCTCCACCGAGGCGACCGCTCCTTCGACCGCCGACGCCGCCAAGGACGCCAAGGCGACCGAAGACGCGTCGAACAACGTCGTCAAGCAGCTCCACTCTGTCCTCCGCCCCTTCCTCCTCCGTCGCGTCAAGATGGACGTCGAGAAGTCGCTGCTCCCGAAGAAGGAAATCAACGTCTACGTCGGCATGACCGACTTGCAGCGCAAGTGGTACAAGATGATCCTCGAGAAGGACATCGATGCGGTCAACGGCGCTGGAGGCAAGAAAGAGAGCAAGACGCGCTTGCAGAACATCGTCATGCAGCTCCGCGTGCGTACCCCTCTTTCCCGCTCGCTACTGCTCGTGCTAAGGGCCGTCACGCGCAGAAATGCTGCAACCACCCTTACCTCTTTGACGGGGCCGAGCCCGGTCCTCCGTTCACGACCGACGAGCACCTCGTCGAGGCAGCGGGCAAGATGGTCGTCCTCGACAAGCTGCTCAAGAGCATGAAGGCCAAGGGCTCGCGCGTCCTCATCTTCTCGCAGATGAGTCGTGTGCTTGACATCCTCGAGGACTACTGCTTGTTCCGCGAGTACCGTGAGTTTGCGCCGAAACCTTTCTCCCAGACACCTCGCCTGACCGATTTCTTCCCTCCGCAGAGTACTGCCGTCTCGACGGCGGCACGGCGCATGAGGACCGCATGGAGCAGATCGACGCGTACAACAAGCCCGACTCGGAGAAGTTCATCTTCTTGCTCACGACTCGCGCCGGAGGCCTCGGTATCAACCTCGTCACCGCCGACGTTGTCGTTCTCTACGACTCTGACTGGTGCGTCGCGGTCGTCGGAGCTCCATTGCTATCAGCGCTGACCGCGCCGTCGTGCCCGCAGGAACCCGCAAGCCGATTTGCAGGCGATGGACCGCGCCCACCGTATCGGCCAGACCAAGCAGGTCTACGTCTTCCGCTTCGTCACGGAGAACGCGGTCGAGGAGAAGGTGCTCGAGCGTGCCGCCCAAAAGCTCCGCCTCGACCAGCTCGTCATTCAGCAGGGTCGCGCTCAGGTCAGCAACAAGGCTGCCAACAAGGACGAGCTCGTCGACATGATCCAGCACGGCGCCGACAAGATCATCAACTCGTCCGAATCGATGGCCGTCGCGGACGACATTGACGAGATCATCCGTCATGGCGAGGAGAAGACCGCCAAGCTCAACTCGAAGTTCTCGCAGCTCAGCTTCGACGAGCTCCAGATCTTCAACACCGGCCCGCAGGCGACGACGACGCAGTGGGAGGGCGAGGAGTACGGCGGTCGCAAGGCGGGCGGCAAGCCCGGTCTGCTCTGGATCGAGCCGTCGAAGCGCGAGCGCAAGACGACGACCAACTACTCGATCGACGAGTACTACCGTGGACAGCTCAAGGGCGGCTCCGGACGGCCTGGTGTCCCGCGTGGACCAAGGAGGCCTCGTCAGGTCGCGACCGACGACTTCAAGTTCTTCCCGGCACGTTTGCAGGAGCTTCAGGAGAAGGAGCAGCTCTACCACAAGGTTCGTTTGCACGTCCTCGCTTCCTTTGACTTGCGCTGACACTCGCCGCTTCCGAAGAAAACGAAGGGCGAGCAGGCCCAGCTCCGCGTCGACCCGAACCTCACGCCCGAAGAGCTCGAGGCGGAGCGCCAGGCCGAACAGGAGGCGATCGACGAGGCTGAGCCGTTGAACGAGGAGGAGCTCAAGGAGAAGGAGGAGTTGCGGGAACTCGGCTTCGACACCTGGCACAAGCGCGAGTTCCAGGCGTTCATCCGCGGCATGGAACTCTACGGCCGGTGAGTTCCGGCACACTCACACGTCGTGCGGATGTGAGCTGAGTGTGCTTTCTGCGCAGCGACAATTACGAGCTCATCCATCGCGACTTACCGACAAAGACGATCGAGGAGATCAAGGAGTACGCAGACGTGTTCTGGACGCGTTACCAAGAGATTGAGGGTCAGTACAGTCGCATTTTCCCCGAGCTGCAAATGCTGATGGGGACCCGCCCGCAGACCACGAGCGCCTCATCGCCAAGATCGAGAATGCGGAAGGCCGTCGCGACAAGGAGGGCGCGCTTTGGGGACTCATCAAGCGCAAGGTTGCAGAGACCAAGTACCCTTTGACGCAGCTCAAGATCGTCTACGCGAATCAGACCAAGGGCAAGTCGTACTCGGAGGACGAGGACCGCTTCCTCGTCGTCGAGCTCGCCAAGTACGGCGTCGGCAAGGACGACACGTACGAGCGCATCAAGCGCGACATCAACGAGTGGCCTGCGTTCCGCTTCGACTGGTTCATGAAGTCGGTGCGTCGCCGCCTGCTTGGACTCGAGCCGAACAGCCGTGCTGACCTTCCTCCGTTTGACAGCGCACGGCTCAGGAGATTGGTCGCCGCTGCCAGACGCTCACGAACCTGATTGACCGCGAGTACAACCCTGGCGAGGACGGCGACGGCCCGTTGACCGGCAAGGCGCGCCGCGGACGCAAGTCGACGGCGAAGGACGGCGACAATGCCAGCACGGCGAGCGGCGGGCGCAAGCGCAAGGCTCCTGGGGCCGCTACGCCGGCTCTCGGAGGTGCCGACGACGGAGCCAGCAACGCGTCGGCGTCGAGGGCGAGCACGCCAGCGGCTGGCCCCGCGCCGAAGAAGGTTAAGAAGTGAGGAGGGAGGGAGACGAACGTGCGCTTGTTCTGTCCGGTCCGTGTCTGTGTTTCCCTCTATACCTGCTTGTAGACTGTCGTGCTCCTCTCTCGCTTGCTCGATGCAAAACATACAGTGTTACAACTTGCAGGCTCAGGTCACGGCCGCTGCTCCGCCGTCCGACTTCGATTCCTCAGCCTCCCTTTTCTCGAATGTGCATGCGGCGGTTCGCCTGCTCGTGGCGATGATGCGTCGACGACAAGGACGACGGCGGCGAGTTTGCCTTCATCGCAGGAGCTCGCGGTCAAGCTTCGGCCGGCTCGCAGCGCAGCAATCGAAGCTAGCTGGGGTGCTCCTTCTCGCGCCGCACGCTTCGCCAGAAGGGATGGTGCAGCAGGCGGACGAAGAGCCGCACGTTCAGCCTGCCAGTCTCGCCTCTTCGTTCTTTCGACGGCGGCGAGACTGCCTCCCTCAGCCGCCAATGAAGCTTCCTTGGTGCGCGATAGGCAGCGCTGTCGCAGGCTCGTAACCGCAAGTCTACGAAGGGGTTGGGTCGGCGAACGATGACGGAGCTTTTGCGATTTCAATTGGCCGTTCGAAGCTGTCGGCGGTGTGGCTTCTCGCGGGAGAGTCAACGCTACTGAAATCTGCAGGAACGTGCAGAGTGGCGCAGGAGTCGTCCAGCAGCGCCCAGGAGACGCCAGCGACGAGCGATGCCTGCGAGGGCGGCGACCTTCACAGGCGGAGCGGAGGAGAACACGACGCAGCATTGCGACGGCGCGACGACGTCAGGCTGGCCAACCAGCGACCGCAGAAATCGGAAGCCGTAAGTTGGCAGCTCCCTTAATGACGACGCGGTAGCCGGCTGCGTTCCTTCGATCAGCGACATCTCTCGAGGCGAGCTTCTGTTCGAACGTTTCTCGCTCGCCTCTCTCTTCCTCCTCCGTCGCCACTTTCTTCTCTTCGACATCTTGTGTTGCCATGCTCTCCCGCGCCCTGCTTGTTTCGACGTTGGCAGCCGTCGTTCGCGCGGCTGAAGGGGAAGAGCCGGAGAGCGGTCCTGGCCACTGGTCGAGGAACGACAAGATCCTCATTGCGCATGGTCAGTCGCTGCTCTGTCAAATATCACGAACGTCTAGCTGACGCCGCGCTCGCAGCCGTCTTCGGTACCCTCGCCATTGTCCTCCTCACTCCCGCCGCCCTTCTCACCGCTCGAATCGGTCGAAGCAAGAGGGTTCCCTGGCCACGCCGCCCTGAACGGACTTTCTGTCGTCTTCATCATCATCGCCTTCGCTCTTGGCGTGACCGTCGTTGAGGGCGAGTTCGGACAGGACTTCCACCGTGCGTTTCTTCCCTTCCTGCCTCCTTGACCCACCCATGAATCCTTACGCACGTCTCGCAGACTCCCTTGGACTCGCACTCCTCGTCCTCTTCCTCGTCCAGCCACTCCTCGGACTGGCGGGCCACTTCTGGGCTCGCCCTTCTCCGCTCACCTCCGCCGCGCCTTCCTGGGGACTCCCTCGTCCCAACCCTATCCGCATCCTCCACATCCTCCTCGGCCTCACCATTGTCGGACTTGGCTACACACAAGTCATCAACGGCCTGTACATCGAGTGGCCGAACAAGAGCGAGGCCGCAACAGAAACGCCTCTCGCCGTCAAGATTATCTTCTGGATCCTCTTTGCGCTCTTCATCGTCGCCTATGTCGGAACTTGGATTGCGCAGGCCATTCGCGGCCGCGGCCGCGAAGGCAGGGCGTCGTTGTCGTCGGCCGCCTCGTCGAACAACGCACTCGTCGGTACTCCCAAGAACGCTGGAGCACGCGACATGTCGTCCGCCAACGTCTAGATCCTCACTAGATCCTTACACATCTTCACTGTACAGATATGCCTCGTGAGATCCCCAGAGCGTAGAAGTAGCTTCGTAACGACTTTACAACAACATGCGTGAATCGCGTCTATGCCTGCTCGATAGCCTTCTCCAGTCTATCCGCCGTCTCCCACAATCCTTCCTGCCGCGAGAGTTCGACCATCTCCCTCAGCACCTCCGTCCGCCCGCTCGTCTGCTCCGCCGCCCTCCCTTCCTCCGTCCAGCCAATCCGCTCCTTGAGCCTCCGCAGCCGCAAAAGCCGCTTCTCGCTCGCCGCCCTTTCCTCCGCGCTAAGACGCTCGTCATCGCACGCCTCGCAACAACACTCGAACTCGAACACCCGCAACATCTCCGCCTTCCTCGCCTCGACGCCCTCGAACTCGAACGTCACGTTCAAGTAGGTCCACGTGAGCTCTTCGCCGGGAGAAATGTCGCGCAGAGCGTAGAGGCGAGTTGAGTTGGTCGAGGGATTCCAGGCGGGACGGGAGAGGGTTGGACGGCAGGAAGAGTTGAAGCGCGAAAGGAGGAGGAACATGCCGCCCGTCTCGCCGGTCGTCCTGCAGAGTACTGGTCAGCATGCATTGCGCAGGGATGGCGGGAGGCACGCACTGCACGGCATTCGTCGCAAAGATTCCGTACGCCGGCGGAAGTTCGGGTCGAGTGTTGGCCAAGTCCCAGAACTCCTTCCGCTGCTCATCCGTTTTCCAGCTCAACATGGTCCGAATGGCTTTGTCGAGGAACTCCTCGAGCGTTTTGGGCTGTAGGAGAGCGTCAGGTCAGCTTTCATCTCCTGAGAGGGCGTGAGAGGACGAACCGGCTCCTCCTCCTCCTCCTCGCCTTCTACCGGCGTGGGACCGCCGCCAGAGCCCGACTGCGCCCGCTGAAAGAGGTACGCTTGCAACGGCGCGTCCAGCGTGAAGAGCGGCGGGTCGTCGAGCACCAAAGTTCCTCGAGCGATGGGGACGCGAGCGAAGGCGCCGAGGAAGCCTGCGGGCGTCTCGCGGATCTCGAAGAGCGGCTCAGCAGCTGCTGCTAGCGTCTGCGAGCCATCTTGGCCAGCCATGCGGAAGTGAGGCGGAAAAGCGGAGCAAGAGATGAAGGAGGACTCCTCGACGAGGTGAAGCGACGGCTACCTCGTCGTGAGGGGTCTTGTGAGTGCAAGCAGGAAACAAAAGTGCTTTAGAGCACGAAGGGGCAAAGGAATATGCCGAGGAGCGGGAAGGCAGGCGCGCCGAGGACCGCAAAGGAGGCAACAACAGCGGGATTGCACGAACCGCAAGCACGAACGAAGGCAGACCAACAGCACAGACTTCCATCAGCCGCAGGGACTCCATCAAGCGAGGCCAGCCGCCTCCATCTCGTCGATGCGGCGCTGCCGCTCTTCCTCCTCCATCTCCTCCTGGATCCTTCTCAGCTCCTCATCGACCTCGTCCTCCTGTCCGGCGCCGTCTTCGTCGTCGTCGAACACGCGACCGGACGGCTGGGCGCCGGCACCGTTCTTGCCCTTCTTGCCGCGTTTCTTCTTCCCGCCGAGCTGCTCCTCGTCCTCCGCCTCCTCCTTCTTCCTGCCCTTGCGCTTCCGGCCGCCGGCGTGGTGCTCGCCAGTATGACCAGCGGCAGCTGCAGCTTCCTCTTCGGCGCGCTGGCGCTGGATCTTCTCCATCGGGTCCTCCGGTACTGGTCCCGAAAGGTCGACGCCGGTAATCTCGGCGATAGCCTCCATGTCTGCGGGCGAGAAGCATGAGTGCGAGTCGGAAGCGCGAAGTGTGAGAGCTCGATGTACTGATACGCTTGCGGCGGTCGAGCGCAGCCGTAACGAGCTTCGGGTTGAGCCTGTCCTCGCGGTTGAACTTGCGGCGGATCTCGTGACGGGTGCGGTGCGGGAAGAGGAGGGAGATCATCTCGAAGTTGGTGTAGAATTGTGAGATGGCCTGCGAGACAAGAGGAGGTGAGCGAGAGATGCGCCGGAGAAGCGATCGTACGCACGTCGTAGAACAGCTCCGTCTCCTCCTTGGACCAGCGGCCGCCCTGCTTGCGCTTGCTGTAGGTGCTGCTGTTGACGAACCGGTCGCGAGCGGATTCCTCGATGACCTCGCGCGGGCCCTGCTCTTGGTCCTGCAGGGCAGAAAAGCGTCAGCAATGGAGAAGACGTGGACGAGAAGCGGACGCACCCCGCCTCCTCGGTCGATCTGGAGACTCTGCTCGTCGAGCACGAGTTGACCGTCGATGATGCGCATTTGCGGAGCGTAGTGCATCTCGGCGAACCCGTCTTCCTCCTCTCCGTCTCCGTTCCGCGACCCGCCTGCATCGCTTCCTTCGCCATCGTCATCGCCGTTGACCGACGAACGCTCCATCTGTTCGTTATTCCCAGTCGCGCCCTCGTCCTCGTCTTCCTCCATTTGACGCATGCCCATCGCGGCGAAGAAGTCGTCGTCGCCGTTCGCTGCAGGCGCAGCCTCCTTCTCCTTGCCCTTGTCCTTGTTCTGGGCTATCGCTGCGGCCGGCGTATTCTCGCGCTCACCCTCCTGCGCTTCTCCTTCCTCGTCCGCCTCGCCTGCCCCGTTCTCAGCCTGCTCATCCTCCTGCTCGTCGCCGCTCGCCTCGCCGCCCTTCGCCCGCTTCTTCATCTTCTCGCGCTTGGCCTTCATCCGGTCCTTCTTACGATCCTTGGCGCGCTGCTCGAAGAAGAGCGTGCGCTCAGAAGGGCGGCCGATAGAGACCTTCGGGACGGGGTCGGCGAGCATCGCCATGAGCGTTTCGCCAGGGTCGACGGCCGGAAACTCTTTGGCCTTCTTCGCCGACTTCTTCTTCGACGCGTTTTCCTCACCCTCCGCACCGTCCTCGTCGCCCTCGCCTGCTTCCTCCTCCTCCGCACCAGCCTCTGCGTCCTCATCGTCCGAGCCGAAGAGCAAAGCGTCCGCCTTGCCCTTTTTGGACTTGCGAGCCGCCTTTTTGCGCTTCTTCGGCTTGCGCTTATCGTACTCGTCCACCTCGTCCTCCTCCTCGTCCGCCTCTCCGCCCTCGCCGTTTGCCGCCGGCTCGTCCTGCTCGTCGTCGACGGGGATGTCCTTCGGCTTGCCCTTACCCTTCTTCGCGGCGGGCGCCTTCTTCGGCACGGCCTTCTTTATCGTTGCGGGCGCCTTGCGCTTCTTCGCCGGCGGTTCAGCCTCGTCCTCCTCCTCCGCCTGCGCGCCGTCGCCTTCCGCTCCGTCCGCTTCAGCCTCTCCCGCATCTGGCTCAGGCGCAGCCTTCTTTCCCTTCCCCTTACCCTTGGCAAGCGCAGCCTTCGCCTTTGCCGGCACACGACCCTTCTTTCCCTTTCCCTTCTCCTGCGCAACTTCAGCTTCGCCCTGCTCCGCTTCCGCGGCTGCTTCGGCAGCAGGCTCCACCTGAACATCCTTCTGCGCCGTCCGCGGCCTCTTCGGGCTACTCGGACCCGCCTCAGCCGCCGCCTCCGTCGGAGGCGGGAGACGCTTCGACGGTCCCGCTACAGGCGTGGTGTGCTGAGGAGACGTCTGCCGCACAGGAGAAGTCTGCTGGCGTGAGGGGGAGGTATCGACCGGCGGTTCGGAGGGAGGGCCGAAGGCGATTCCGCGCGAGGGAGAGGAGGATGCGTCGCCGGTTAGCTCGGTTGGGCGGATGCGGGTGGGCGATTTCGGCGGAGAAGAGGGCTGGGACTGGGAGGGGAAGACGGAGGTCGCTTGTGTAGCTGTGAAGGCGGAGGAAGAGGGATCGCGAGGGGTGAAACCGAAGGAGAACTGGGAGGGCTGGGACGAAGCGGCGGTCGATTGTGTAGGGTCCGTCGGCGCGAAAGACGCTGCAGCTCGTCCCTGCAATCCACTCGGACCAGCCTTTGCCGCACTCGCTCCGCTCACAACACCCGCCGAACTACTCGCCGCATTTCGCGCAATGCGCGCCTCGTCCGCATCCTCGTCGAGCGGCGGGAGGGGTGCATTGGTCGTCTTGGGTGTCGGTCCAGCCGTCGACGACGCGACAGAGCTCTCCCTCGCTGACCTGCCTGAAGGGGGCGGCGGGTTCTTGCGCTTCGGGACGAAGCGCTGGCCGGACTTGTCTGCGCGGGGAGAGCGGGTCAGCGGGCTTGTACGAAGCTGTAGACGGCTGTACGCACTGATTCGCCCGGCTGTCGACATTGTTGGCGGGTTGCGAGAGCGAGAGAGGCGAAGTCGAGTTGTTGACCGTTGACCTCGCCCTCTACAAGCTCGAGGAGGCTAGCTGGACAGCCGATGCTCGCCACAGACACTTTTCAGGACGACGTATGCGACCAGCAGCTCAGCAGCGAAGGTTGACGACGCTCTCGCTCGACTCGCCAATTCTCATCAGTTCCCGACTCGAAGTCGCGCACCAGGCGCTGGACAGATGTCGTAGCAGGCAGAAAGCACCGTCGTGTCCAGATGAAGCCCTCAACGGAGCGCTGGCGCTCGGAAAGGAGCGGACGGCCGGATGGAATACAACAACGACACTGGAACGACCCGCACACATCCCTAGTACTGCACGCTGTAGCCGCTCCTTGGCGCTCCTCCTTGCGCAAGCGGTCGGTGCGTTGGCACAGGCTGTGGCGCCTCGTCCTCATCCTCACGCTTCCCGTCAAAGCTCCTCTTGTACTCCTCCCACAGCTCTTCCGGCTCCTTTCCCCCCAGCAGTTCCCGCAAATGAGCTCCGTCGTTCCACGCCGCGTTCTGGAGTCTTCGGTTGAGCTGCGGAATCAAAGAAGGGTTGCTGGTGCGCCGGGAAAGCCAAGCGAGAAAGAATCCCTGCGTGACGAACAAGCGTAAGACTCGCGCCTATCAGGATGTGAGAGCCGCACCCACCGTCCGCTCGTATCCTGCGTCCCACTTGTCGTCCTCGCCGGGTCGCTCCCTCCAATGCGGCGGCGCAAGTCCCGCCTCACCTCTCAGCCAGTCTGCGATCCCCTCGATCACGCCGCCAGGTACCGTTCCCTTCCCGTTGAACTGAAACGCATGGACCAGCTCGTGCACCAAGACGCCCATCACCTCGTTGGCGACGCGGTCTCCGTCGCCCTTCGCATTCTTCTGAACGTCGGCGAGATACGAGAGCGAGAGGTGGACCTCCTTGTGCTCTTCGTCCAGCTTCGAGCCGCAGGTGTATGCGACGCCGTCAAACTCTTCTAGTATAACCGTGACAGACCGGATAGGTGGAGGAGGTTCGTGAGGCGAGGGGTAAAGGCGGGAGAGGACGGTCGAGCAAGACGCCTGTAGTGTCTGGTCCACGGCAGGGGGTGTGCCGAAGAAGGCGGAGCTGCCTGTAATGTCAGGCGCCAGAATGAGCCAGCAGGACGGCTCAAGAACCGGAGAGACCACACACCAGGGTGAGCGATGTCGTAGCAGCGAAGGAGGAGCTTGGGAATCGGGTGAGCACTCGATGGCGGCTCGGTGGGCGTAGGAGCCATCTTTCGGTCAGGTGTACGAGCCCAGCGAGCCTTTCAGCGAGATAGAGTGAACAGACGAGGTCGAGGAGAGGGTCAAAAAGGTTGGCGAAGACCACGACCGGCACTCGTCAGCTGAGGCAGTGAGGACGTGCTAGATCGGATCAAAGGCTCTTATCATTGCCGTACAAGCCGCCTTCGTCCCGCCCTACCGCCGCCATGCCCTCCCTCACCGCATCCTCGAAGTTCATCGCTCCCAATTCTTCACCCGTCAAACGACCCGCCGAGCAAGCAGACGAAGCGCCAATGGCAAAGAAAAGTCGCACACACGCTTACCAGGCCAACCCGCTTGGGCTCAAGCCGCTGGGGAACCTGCTGTGGGCGCCTGAGCATGGCAGGACCCGCGCAGAAGGACTTGGGAGACTAGGGGTGCTGCCGGACGAGCTGTTGCTCGGCTCGGTGTTCAGCTTACTGGAAGGGGAGGATTTCGTGCGGATGGCGGGAACGTCGAAAGCCTTCTTCGCATGGAGCTGTGTCGAGGGAATGTGGAAGGGGCTGTATATCCAGGTGCGCCTGCTCTCCCGTGACCCTGACGAGCTGCGAAGCTATCTTACACATATTGTCACGATCGCAGAGGACGCAAGGACTGCTCTTGCGGTGGTGGGGTTCCTGGCGGGCTTCCTACATCAACTCGTTCATCCGCCCTTCCACCGAATCCTCCCCCGCCCCGACTTTCGAGCATCCCCTCCCTTCGTCGACCATCTCGACACCGACGCTCCACTCGGACGTCCTCTTCCAGCCCGCTCTGTGCGCCGCCTTCGACGCCTGCTCCATCTTCCGTTCCCCTTCTTTTGTCTCTTCCATCCCTCGCATGTCCGGCAAAGGCCTCTCGCCCGCCTCTCTGCCCGCCGAACCCGTCATCCTCACCGACCTCATGAGCTCATGGGCCGCCATGTCTCCCTCCCCTTCTCGTCGCTGGACGCTCGACCACCTCGCTCGGCGTTTCCCGACGCAGCGATTCCGCGCCGAAGCGACCCTCACGACTCTGCCCAACTACACACTCTACCACGACAATTGTCCTCAGGATGAAAGTCCACTTTACCTGTTCGAATCGGAGTTTGTGCGGAAGACGGAAGGGTTGGGCGGACCGAGTTTGGGAGAAGACTACGAGGTGCCTCAGTGCTTCTCGGAGGACTTATTCAGCGTGATGGGCGACGAGAGGCCCGACTACCGCTGGTTGGTGAGCCACTCGCGGTTCTCACACTCTTCGCCTGCGCTGACGAGCTAACGCAGATCGTCGGACCTGCCCGCTCCGGCTCAACCTGGCACGTCGATCCGAACCACACCAGCGCCTGGAACGCGGTCACAGTCGGCGAGAAAGCCTGGGTCATGTTCCCGCCGGACGTGACGCCGCCGGGTGTGTATGCGAGCGAGGACGGTGCGCATGTCGAGGCGCCGCTGAGTTTGGCAGGTGCGTTGGCGCTACTCAGCTCCTCTTCTGCGGGTTCAAAGCGGGCAAACGGCAAAGAGCTAGCTTTTGACTGCGGCTTTATGCGCACAGAATGGTTCATCTCGTACTACGCTGCTGCCAAGGCAACCTTCGGACCGAAGGCGAAGGACCCTAGTAAGCGAGGGAAGATGCGCGAGGGGATCTGCCGCGAAGGCGAGATTCTGTATGTCCCGAGCGGATGGTGGCACAGTACGTCCCGAGGCTCCCTGTTCCTGCCTCGCTCTCGCTGACCTCGACGTTCCGCTTCCGCCTCTCTTCATTCGCAGTCGTGGTCAACCTCACTCCCGCCATCGCTGTCACCCAAAACTACGTCTCGCACCGCGAACTCCCCGCCGTCCTGCGCTTCATGCGTGACCGGCCCTCGCAAGTCTCGGGCTTCAAGCTGCGCGACACAACTTCCTCCTCCAACGCCTCAGAACTGCAGGAAGGCGGACTGGACGAGGACGACTGCGACGAGACGGGCGGAGGAAAGGTGTTCGGTCGGTTCGTCGAGGCGATGCGAGGAGCTGGGCGTGCGGAGATGGTCGACAAGGCGCTCGAGGAGATTGGCGGGATGGAGCGGCGGGTCAAAGATGCGGAGGGGAAGAAGAAGGGAGGCTTGTGGACCTCCTTGAAGCAGGAGGAAGGGGAGAAGGCGGAGGAGGGGAAGAGCGAGGGCGGCGGCTTCTCGTTTGGATTCGGTCTTGGCGACGGTGAGCTCGACGACGAGCTGGACTTGTAGGCGATGCAAGGCGGCTCAATCCTGAGACGCCTCTCTTGAGGATGGACGAGTACTTTCCTCGAGGTCTTGCTCGTCGCATCCGCTTTCGTTGGTCTCCCTCGCTCGCCTTCTGAACTTGAGAGCGTTGTAGCTCCCATTGCAACGGTCGTTACCCTTCTATCGCTCGTTGACAAACCTCACTCCATGACGAGTGCCCCTCTCCCTCTGCCAATTCACGCGACTTGGGCTTTTCTCGTCGCTGGTTGTGTGCTGCTGCCCCAAGCTGGCTCGGATAACGCTTGCGAGACAGCTCGCATCGGTCACCCGCCGCCGCATGCCTGGCCCGCCGTCCTCTCCCTCGACGACCTCTCCGACGCCGAATGACGAACACCACAGCGCGACGCAGGGCGATGGGGCAGCCGAGTCGCCTTTCTCAGCTGCTGCACCTTCCCTGACTCGCCCGCCACTCGCGCGACTGAGCTCTGCGGACGCACACCTTTCGAGAGGCGCCCCGCTCCTCTTCGAGTCCCTGACGAGGGCGACACTCCCTTCGTCCTCGCTTACGGAGTCGAACGCGTCGTGGGTCGACTTGTGCAGAGCGGATGGGACGCAGTACTCGCCGCCGAGACCGCGACAGTCGAGCGGAATGGAGCGGAGCAAGAGTACCGACGAGGGCAGTCCGGCGAACGCGAGGGCGAAGACGAGCGCGGCTTTCCTGCCGGGTATGCGGAGTCGGAGATCGAGTATAGGGAGCTTGCAGGGCGTTCTGGGAAAGGAGGCCGGAGGAGCAGCTCTCGCGCGAAGACGGAGCAGTCTTGCAGCTGTGCCGCCGAGTCCGACGGGGCCGACACCGCGCACAAAGGGCGAGTCCGAGGTCAACCAGCTGAATTGGAGCGCGAAGTGGTGGCCGTTCGCAGTGGTGGGCCCGTCTGGCGAGTCGGCAGGATCCGATGTTGCAGCGTCTCACTCGCCGAAACCGCCTGCACCACCCAGCAAGGACTCGCACGACGCCTCGCGCAACATCCTCTCGCTCTTTGCGGGTCAGAAGACGGTGGACGAAGTGCGGGACAGGCAGGAGGTCGTCGCGCGGGATAGCGACTCGCTCGAGGCAGAGCTGCGGGACGCGACGGCGGACCAGCTCGACTTGCCTTCCATACCTTCCTCACGGTCCGCCGAGTTTGTCGCGCTAGAAGCGGACGAGATGCCCCCGGACCTCCCGCCGAAACGACTGTCCCTCGACAAATCCCTCCCACCTTCTCCCTTCGAACCCCCCTCCAGCACGAAAGGCGCCTCCTTCCTCCCCTCTCTCTTTGCTCCGACCTCCTCGTCTAGCTCATACGACACAGCTACTGCAACCTCCCTCTCCTCGCCGGCCAAGAAGTCCGACTCGCCCATCTCGCTTCTCTCCTCACTCACCATCTCGAACCCTTTCAATTCCTCCCCCGCCTCTTTCTTCTCCTCCTCCGCCAAATCGCCTACATCACCCAGCTCTACTCGTCCGCACCACGGCCGGCACTATTCAACTAGCTCGCACAAGAAGCCCCGCGACGAAGATGACGACGGTCCGACCGCTACGCCTGCAGAAGTCGAGGGAATGGTTGACAAGGAGGACCGCGAGACCATTCGTAAGGAAGAGGCGGAGGACGCCGAGATCTTCTCGATGCTCAAGGACAAGTATCGCTCGCCGAAACTGCCGCTCGTGTTCTGCCACGGGTTGTTCGGTAAGTCGTGCTTCGCGCACTCCAGCGACTCTAGGTCTATCTACGCTCTAAGTTGCTGCAGCGCATGTAGTAACCGCTTACACGGGTCCCGCGCAGGTTTCGACTACATCGGTCCGGCCGGCCTCAAACCCCTTCGCTTCTCCTACTGGGTCGGCGTCGAAGAAGCGCTCGCCGCGAACGGCGTCGAGGTTTTGATCGGCCGCGTGCCGGCGAGCGCGTCGATTGAGGAGCGCGCAAAGGTGTTGTGCGAAATGATCGGGGAGAGATTTCCGGGGAGGGAGGTCAACTTGATCGGGCATTCAATGGTGCGTTCGTGGTCTATGGCCCTCCCACTACAGTGCTAACCTGGTCTACGATGTACAGGGCGGTCTCGACGGTCGCTACGTAATCTCCCGCCTGAAGCCCATCAACTTCAAGATCCGCTCGCTCACGACCATCTCCACCCCGCACCGCGGCTCGTCCTTCGCCGACTACCTCCTCGAAGACGTGTTGGGCGCCGAGCGGGTCCCTACGCTGTTGAATACGATGAAGGCGCTGGGCGTGCCGGGCGGAGGGAAGGCGTTCGATGATTTGACGACGTACGTCCTGCAGCTCTTCCCTTCCCACCTCCACCTCGCTCCTCTCACCTAGAACGCTCCTGACCGATTCCCCACCACAATCGCAGCACCAAGATGGCCCGCTTCAACGAAGAGACCCCCGACGACCCGTCCGTCCGCTACTTCTCCTTCTCCGCCGAATTCACGCCAAGCTGGTCGAACCCGTTCCGAATCCCGTGGGGCGTCGTCTACGAGCGAGAAGGGCCGAACGACGGGTTGGTGTCGGTGGAGTCTGCGAGGTGGGGTGATCATCGGGCGACGTTGCACAATGTCAATCACGCTGGTGCGTCTCGCCTACGCCGTTTCCTTCCTTCGCACCTCTCTTCAGTGAAGGGTGATGTTGACATTCCGTGAGCGCACAGACCTGATCGGCTGGAAAGGCGTCGTGCGATACGCCTTCGCCGCCTGGTCAGGCCACGAGATCCGCTACGCGCCCGTCTCGTTCTTCCTCGGCGTCAGCGAGATGCTCGCCGACGAGGGGTTCTAGGAGGAGCTATAGAAGGCTGGGAAGGAGCAGGGGACGGTACATAATCGACCGACGTTGTTGTCTGCACTACGACTCATCTCTTCGACTTGCTTTTGAGTCGCCCGCTCTCGCTTCGTGTTCACAACGTCGATGGAGCATCGTATGCTGTCTGACGAGCGTCCGTGACGGAGCTCAGCAGGAGAATGGCGGACTGGCGACTTTGTTCTCCTCGTCTCGCTCTGCTTTTTCCTCGAAATGCCCCGCGTCCTTGTCGACTATATCAGACGCTATCTGATCAGCCTGCAAGCCTCAGTACGCTTACGGTACGAGCCACCTTTGTCGTCGTCCTCCTGCGCTCCACTTCTCCACTTTCCGAACACCTTGCCACCGCTCACACACGCTCTGGCTGCTCGCTGGCATGCTCAGGAGCAGCAAATTGATGCCTAGACCTGCGACGCCAATGCCCGCCGCTTATCGCGCGCGCCACGACTCGACACGGACCCGCCGTTGTCGACGGTGGCGAGGTGGGGCATCGCTCGTCGTCGACAGCTCGCCCGGGCGTGCAACAAGGCTTGATAGGACGGAGAAGATGTTTTGAGTACGCTGGTGATCTCGCCGGACCCGCTCGCTGGGTGTGACTGGGAGTCGACTCCCCTCTTCTCCTCCTCGACGGGTGGATCGCTCGTCTTGCTCTCGCTCGCTCGCTTGTCGCCCGCCAGTCAGTTCGGTCCACTTCAGGTGCGTTCGCAGTCACTCTCACAGCCTGGACGACCCAGTTAACACGCTTGTCGCGCATACAGCGACCCCCCGCTCGTCCCGAGTCCGCTCGCTCTGCTCTCAGCCAGCTTCCGACCTCGCAGCTCGCTCCGAACAAAGCCATGGTCGCCGCGCCAGAGACCCAGCACTCGGCCAACCCCGCCGCCGCTCCCGCCGCCGCCGTCCACACGCAGCAGCACGCCGGTGAGGGGGTCAACAAGCTGGGCCAGGGGCAGGTCAACGGTGCCGAGCAGGGAGAGCAGCAGGGCAAGCAGGGACAGTCTGAGGGTGCGTACATTCTTTCTGTTGGGCGTTTGAGCGAGTCTTGCGGGTTGCAAGGGCTGTTGCGGGCAGGCATGAAGCGGGTGCATCTCCGGACGGAGGAGACACAACTTTTCCCCTGGCCGACGAGGGCGCGTGGGAAGCGAATGGACGGCTCGCATGGGCTGAACAAGGCGACTGGACGTGTGTGCATGCGCGTGCGGGCCGGGGGACCGCGGAGCGAAGTGCCGGCGAGCTGGGCCCATCAAGTCCGGGCGGGACGAGAAGGTGATTGCGCCGAGTGCATGCGCGCGCCTCGTTATCGCTTCGAGCATGCCGCTTCGAGCATGCCGCTACGGAGTCAGGACTATGGCGGAGGCGGACTCGAGGGTCGCTGCGGGCATGCGACGAGGATGGGGGTGTCGGCGGGGTTGCTTTCGGATATCCCTCAAGCCGCTTCCAGCTTGTTCCGACGCGGCAGTCGCTTACTTAGGATCCTCCTCTCACAGTCAACGGCTCGACTGGAGCGCATGGCGCCGCCGCCGATGCCTCGACCAACCTCCCTCCTCCCGATGTCGCTCGCAACATCCCCTGCCGCTACTTCCCGCTCGGCCAGTGCAAGTACGGCGAGCACTGCATCTTCTCGCACGGCATTCCCGGCGTCTCGGGCTCGCCTGGCATCCCGCCTTCACCGTCGGTCGCTTCGCAGATCGCGCCCGCTCAGCAGGGAGGCCAGCCTCAGCCGCGGGCCCAGCCGCAGCAGCACCAGCAGCAGATGCAACAGCACCAGCAGCAGCAAGCTCAGATGATGGCCATGTCGATGGACCAGGCGGCGTACGCGATGCAGGGCATGCCGATGTACTACCCCGAGCAAGGCTTCGAGTACGGCTACCCTCAGCCTCCGTTCGGAGGTCAGCCCGGCTACTACTACCCGCCTCCCTTCGGCGGGGAACCCTCCCGCCGCGGCGTTCCAGCAGCCGTTCCCGCCTCAGCCGTACTACGGCGCTCCTGCGGTCCCTTCGCAGCCGATCATGCCCGCCGAGTCGCCTGTCGCCGTTCCCGTCCCTGCCGTCTCGCCTCCCGCTGCTTCGTCGACGCCCGAGTCGCAGCAGGCCGCACCTCAGGCGTCGACCTCGCCTGCTCCCGCCGCCGAGACGACCGCTGCCCCTCAGCCCTCGACTTCGGCCGCTCCGTCCCCTCCCGTCTCCACCGAGTCACCGCAGACGTACCCGACCTACTCTGCGTACCCTCCCGCCGACGGCAGCGCCGCCTTCGTTCCTCCCCCGCCTCCTGTCGCCGCGACTTCGCCTCAGACCTCGTTCGGACCGGACGGCGTGCCCCTCCCTCGCCCCGCCCCTTCGCTTCACACCTTCTTCCAGACTTCCACACCTGTCCCTCCCGTCCCTGCGTCCGCCGCCTCGCCTCCCGCTGGCGCTTCGCTCGTCCCCGCCGCCGCACCGATCCCCCTCGCAGCCAGCATGCCCGTCGCCACGCCTAACGGTTTCCCCAAGGGTCTCGGTCGCGGACCTGGCGGACCTCGCCGCGGCATGCCCGGCGCCGCAGCAGCTGCCGCCGCCGCGGCCGCCGCTGCAGGAGCGAACGGTTTCGGACCTGGCATGGGCAAGCGCCGCTCGTTCCCTGGCCCGCGCCCGCCTTGCTCGTTCTTCGAGGCGAACCGGTGCAGGAACGGCGACGAGTGCCCGTTCGTGCACCTCTTGCCGGACGGTACCGATGCGCGCGCACTCGGTCGCGGCATGATCGGCGCGGATGGCAGGACGGATCACCCCGAGGCGAGTGGAGGGATGCCGCCCGCTTGGTTGGCGACCCAGAAGGCTGTCAAGACTGCCAACCACACGGCGAGGAAGCAGCTTGAGAATGGCGCGATCCTCAATGGAGGGTACTCGTACCGCGAGAGGATGACGGGACCGGTTGCTGCGGGGCCGCAGGGGATGCAGCAGCAGAGGAGGTTTGAGGAGGAGAGGGCGAGGCACTTGCAGGCGATGCAGGCTGCCCAGGCTCAGCAGCAGCAGCAGGCTTCGGCGACTCAGCAGCAGTCGTCGGTTGAGGCGGGCGCCGAGCAGGCGCAGTCCACCGGCGCTCCCGTCCACCAGCAACCTCACCACGCTCACCCGCACCCTCAGCACGTCCACCACCAGCACCAGCAGCGTCACTTTGGCCCCGGCGCACACCGCGCTGGCTCGCTTCCTCCCGGCTCGGCCGCCCCTCAGCTCGTCGCCGCCATCAACGGCTTGACGCGTCGCATCCCGCCCGCCCACATGCACCAGCAGCAGCACAACGCCCAGCACCCGGCTCAGCCGCAGCAGGCTTCCGCTCCCGCTCATCAGCAGCAGCCATCGCAGCAAAAGTCCGCCCAGCGCGTCCCGTCCGGGGACGAGTTCCCGGCCCTCTCGCCCGCTGCGCCCCTCTCGCCCGCCGCCGAGAAGGACGGCTTCGTCGCCGCTTCCGAATCGTCGCCCGTTGAGCCCGCCAAGGTTGAGGAGAAGCCTGCCGTTCCCGCCGAGGCTGTCAAGTCGCCCTCGAGCGAGACCGACGGCTTCGTCATGGTCTCGCACGACGATGCCGCCGAAGCACCTTCGTCCGCCGCACCCGCCGAGTCCGCCGCACCCGCACCGACGCCCGCTCCCGCTGCGCCGCCCAAGCTCCTCGGCGGATGGGCTTCGGCCGCCGCTCGTGGCGCCAGCGTCGTCGTCCCCGAGAAGCCGAAGCCGACTCGTTCGTTCTCGCCGATGAGCAAGCCCGCTAGTCCCGCCTCGGCTGACGTCGGCGACAAAAAGGCTTCGACCGACGCCGCCGCGCCTGCAAAGAAGGACGCGAAGAAGGACGACGACGGCTTTGTCAAGAAGGAGGGCAAGAAGAGGAATGGCGGGGCGAAGGGCGCCAAGCACGGCGGCGCGCCCGCTGCTCAGGTCGCCATCAAAGCTTGAGCCTGTCTCCCTTCCTCACCTCGATACCCATCTCCTCGCCTCATTCGTTCAGTCTGTTCCCACCACACTCGTTTTCGATACTCGCCCTTGCGCTTTCGCCGCTGTCTTTACCACTACTTCCTTTCCCGACTTCGCCTCCGTGTCCTACATAGCATCAGCACTTCGCCCCAAAAGAGCCGCCTTTGTGCTCGCCCTTTCTCGTCGGATCCATCCGCATCTTTCCCTTTCCTTCGTTGCCCTGCGCGGCGCTCGTCGTTCAGCCTGTGTTTCGGTCTCCCTCGTCGGTGCGGGAGCAGTGTGTGTGGAGCGGGAGTTGCGGAGGAGCGGTCTACAGTGTAGCAACGTTGCATGATCGATTGTTGAGCTCGAGTACTGCGCCCGACGAGAAGGCAAACCAGAGAGAGACATGCGAGTTGCAAAAGGACGACAACACGGGCACAGACTGCGGAACAACAAGCGGGGGTATGCATCCGTCTTCTCCTCAGTCAAGCAACATCGCCAGCTCCTTCTGCCGCTCCTTCGCGAGCTCAAGCTTGCTGAGCGTCCGGCCGACGGACATGCTGCAGGTGGGAACTCGTCAGACAAGCAGTGAGCGAAAGGAAGGACGGCAGAACGCACTTTGCGAGATCCATCTTGCGCTTCTGAATCTTGAGCATGTTCGCCTCGATCGACTTGTCCATGATGAAGCGGATCGTCTGGACGGGCTTGGTCTGTCCGAGGCGGTAGATGCGGTCGACGGCCTGGTTCTCGACGGCGGGGTTCCAGAAAGGCTCCATCAGGTAGACGCGGCGGCCGGCGGTCAAGTTCAGCCTGTCGGGATGGATCGTTAGCAGGAACGGGGAAGACGGAAGGACAAAGGCGGCGCACCCGACACCACCGGCGCGAAGCGAGACGACCAAGACCTCGCAGCGCGGGTCCGTCTTGAAGGCGTGCATCGCGGCGGCGCGCTGCTCGCGGTTCATGCTGCCGTCGAGGCGGTCGTACTGGATGTGCTCGGCCTCGAGGGCGTCGCCGAGACGGTCGAGTAGCGTCGTCCACTGGGAAAAGACGACAGACTTGACGACCTCGCCTTGCACGGGCTGGAAGCCGGTCACAGGTGCCTTGCCCACGGGCGACCAGCTCGGGTCGTGGTTGGCGGAGAAGGGGTTGCACTGCGAAAATGGCAGCAGGTCGGCGAGCAAGGCACTGCAAGCGACAGCGAATCAGCATCGGTTCTGCGCGACACGAGCTAGAGACGCACCGAGTCTTGGTGCTGTGCTCGAACAGGCGAGTAGTGGACGCCTTCTTGGCTTTCTTGCCCTTGGTGCGAATACCTGGACCTTCGTCGGCAGACCGCTCGAGTGCGCGCTGGAACTCGCGCGCGCCGATTTCGACGGCTTCGAGCGCAGGCTGGATCTCCGCTTGACAGAGACGGCACTGCGCCTTCACGTCGCTCTTGACATCCGGCCAGCTCGGAGCGATGAAGCGCTTGAAGCACGGCGCGCAGAAGACGTGCTGGCAGCGAGTGACGACGCAGGGCACGTCCTCGTTGCCCGGACCAGCAGCGTCGTCCTCGGATGTTGCAGCCGAAGTCGACGCCGTCTGGGTAACGACGGCTTTGCGACTCTTCTTCGCCGGTTTGCGGCCGGCCTTGCTGTCCTCCTCGTCGCCGAGCTCCTCGACGTTTGCCCGCGCGAAGGAAGGCATGGTGCTGCCACACTCGGAGCAGTCTCCGCCGCCCGCATCCCGCATGAGGGCGAGAAGCTGGATCGCGCGGACCTTCGAGATGCCATGCTTCTCGATGGTGGCGGCGAGGCTGCCTCCTCCTTCTCCTGCTGACGCGGCGCGATCCTCCGAGTCTTGCAGGAGAGCGGGGTGGACGCAGATCTGGCGGAGCTTTAGCAGCTCGGTCAGGATCGAGCAGAAGTTCTTCATGACCGAGTCGGTTTCCTGCAGCTGCTCAAAGTCGTGCTTGTACCGCGAGTGGTGGCTGGCGTAGAACGCGCGCTCGGCTTCGGTGAAGTTGAGCAAGACCTGCTTGTGATCGACCGGCGGAAGGGACAAGATGGGCTTGCCCTCCGAGTCCTTGGTGTCCTTCGTGCGTCGCAAGGCGAGGTATCGCATGATAACCTTGAGCCGCTCGCTGGCGAGGTCGTCTCCCTTCTGCGCGAGGACGCCAATGTACTGGTTCCAGACGTGGCGGTCGGTGAAGGGCTCGAGGCGGATGAAGCGGATGAGGGAGAAGATGTCGTTGAGCGAGTTCTGGAGGGGCGTGCCGGTGAGGCAGATGCGGCGAGAGGTCGACAGCTCGCAGGCGGCGCGAGCCTGGATCGTCTTGTGCTCCTTGATGATGCTGCGCAGCGGGGGCGTCAGTCGCAGCTGGTGTGAAACGAGGCAGACAACGTACTGAGCTTCGTCGAGCACAACGCGGTACCACTGAACGGCCTGAAGCGCGCTCACCCCGCTTCCCTCAACCCTCTTCCGCTTCCGCTTCGCCTTCTTCGGCTTCGTCTCCTCCTCCGCAACCGGCGCACCCGGCGGGCGAGTGAGGATCTCGCCGTTCGGGCCGAATCCGTAAACCTCGACGATGCCGTCCTCCTCCTCCGCCGCTCGCTTCGCCGCAGCCTCTTCCTCGTCCTCCCGCTCTTCCTCGGCCCGGACCTGCTTCGAGTACTCGGTAGCAAGGGTCGCAAAGGTCGTGATGACGACGTCGTGGTCGGCGAGCTTGATCGGGTCGTCGCATCGGCCGGGACCGTGGTAGATGTAGATGCGGAGCGGGCTCTTTGGCGCCTTGGCGGAAGGAGCCGACTTCATGGACGAGTCGCTCGTCGTGCCGTCCTCGTCGCTCTCGTCGGCAATGCGCATCTTGCGCTTGAGCGCCTTGATCGGCTTCGCGTCGTCCTCGACCGTGAGCGTCTTGCCGCCCGCATCGTCGACCTCGACGATCGCCGTGTGCTCCTCGAACTGGCTCTCCCAGTTCTGGACTGTCGAGAGCGGACAGACGATCAAGGTCGCCCTCGAACGGCAGACGAGCTTCTCGAAGCGCGACTGGACCGCCTCCTCCTTCTTCTTCTCGCGCCGCTCCTTCGCCTGCTTCTTCTTCGACGCCGCCTTCGTAGTCGGCGCAGGATCGGCCGCTGCCTCCTGAGCGATACCCCACAGCTGGCTGCGGAACTCGCCGACCGCGACCGCCTTCCCTTGCATATCCGATTTCTTGACCGTCTCGTCGAAGCGCGGGTCGAGCTTGTCCTTCTCGAGGGGCTGCTTCGCCCATTCGCGAGCATCGCTCAGGGTCGAGCTGACAAGCGAGATGACGACAATCGTCTTGCCGAGACCCATGTCGTCGGCGAGAATGGCGCTGCGGGAGAGACTGGGTCAGTACAGGAATGGCAAGTCGAGAGGAGGGGGACGCACCCTCTCGCTTGAGGCGGCGGTCTCGCACCGGCGATATGCAGGTCGGTGACGAGATTTTGCCAGCCAGTCGGTCGACCGTACGGGTCCGAGATCCGCTTCCACAGCGAGACGACGGTAGGCTCCTGGCCTGGCCGGTCTTGCGGCGGGACATCGATGAGCTTTTCGCGGTCGAGGAGGAACGAGAGAGCCTGCTTCTGATGAGGGTAGAGGGGCGTCGAGACAATGGGAGCTGCGGGGAAAGACCGTTAGCTCGGTAGGAGAGCGACGTGCGGACGCAACGTACGAGGCGTGACTTCATCGAGATCCGTTCCGCTCTTGAGGTTGAGGAACACCTCTTCAACCTGCTGCTTCTGCACATCGACTGCCTTCGCCACCTTCGTCGCGTTCAGTCCGCTTCCGCCGTACATCCCGCTAACAAGCGCTTGCCTCCGCCTTTCTGCGTCCGCCCCTCGTCCACCAACTCCAGGAGCCGGGTTGTGCGGATTGACGTAGCGGGCGTTGTTGTGCTGAGCGGCGATGTAGGTGATTGGGTGTTGCAGCCAGAGGGGCGGGTGAGCGTTCTCGAGGGTTTCGGCTACCTTCTCGACGTCGAATGGGCGAGCGAAGAGTAGAAGCCGCAGCTTGAGGAGGCACGGCTGCGAACGAGATCTGGTCAGTGCAGCTCGCTCAAGGGAAACGACCTAGACTCACGTTAGTCTCCCCTCTTCGGTCAACGAAAGCCTCGCAGAAGATCTTCCCGTTCCCTCCCTTCGTCACGCCAGTCCCGTGGTATCCATCGCCGAGTAGCGGTCCGAGCACGTCCGCCGCCTTGTAGTCGACAAAACCGAAGACTTCGTGCTTAACCGGCGTGATGAGGCGGAGCATTTCGCGCCAAGCGCCGCCGTTGTAGGTGCGGTCGTCGCGGAAGATGTGGACAGGAAGAGGTACGGCGTATCGCTCCTTCGCGCGACGGTACTGCTCGTTCAACGTGTCGAGCTCGTCGATCGTCCATGCGCGGCCGTCTGGTCGAGCTGCCGGTGGCGGTGGCGGCGGAGTGATCTCGTCGACGGGTGTCAGGACAAGACCGTACGTCGTGACTTCGCCGATGCAGACTGGTGTCTCGTCAATGACGAGGTCGTCATCGTCGGACGGCTGGTCGTCCGCCGTCAAGTCGAGCACATCCTCCCTAGCCTTCCCCTTCGCCGGCGACGAACCGCTCGACACCTGCGCCTCGTAATGCTGTGCGTGACCGTTCTGCGCGGACCGTGCAGCCTGGTCGAGGGCGACCTGGGTCTGGTGAAGGAGCTTGGCGGAGCTGAAGCCGGACCCTCCGCTCAAGGCCGCGGCTGACGACGCGTTCGGTCGAGGACGCTGGGGTGACTGAGAGACCAGGTAGGCGGAAGGGACGCGGGAGGAAGAGGCGGACGAGATGACGGGAATCCTGCCGAGCGAGGTGGAGGGGACGACTCGAGGTTGCTGGACAAATCCGCCACTCGAGCCGAATGCGGCGGACGGTGCCAGAGTCTGCTGAGTGGTCGTAGGCGTCATTTTTCCCGCATAGCTCGCGAAGCCGTTCGACGACCCAACCTGAGCGCCGTAAGAAGAGCCCCTCGACGGACCCGCCTGGGACCGCCCCGCTGACTGCGAAGCGCCACCAAAGCTTCCCTGCGAGCTCGCTGCATACGATCCAAACCCTCCCGCTGCCCCAGACGCCATCCCTGCGCCCGCTGGTTTCTCATCATCAAGGTAAGCATCCAGCGCCCGTCTGGCCGCTTCGCTCTGCGTGACTGCCGGTCGCTGCGGTTGTTGAGGCGGCGGAGAGTCGCCTGTCAGGTCGAGCGTGTCTGCCTGTCGAGCGGGAGCTGTCGAGGGCACCGTCGTCCTGCAGGTTGATGCGGCGGTCGCTGTCGACGGACGCGGCGCGAGAACGGGGTTGTCGTCCTCCTCGAAGCCGTTTGCAAAGTCCATCGTGCAGCCCGTGCACTCGCTGCAGCCCTTGCGAGCGAAGCGGAGGTGGCAAAGGTCAACACTCTCCTTTCCTCGGCAGCATCCGTCTCCGGCGCTGACAAAGCTTTCTCAACCACTTGCCTTGTTTCGAGACGGCTTTCGGCTGCTCGTCCAGAGCATACTGCAAGCTGATGTCGAATGTACAGCGGAAGGAGCGGAAGGAGCCGTTGTGGAAGAGAGCAGGGCGCGAAAGAGCAGCGCAGAGCCGTTGTGAAGCGTTATGTACTGGGTCGATTGCAGAACAGGAACTAAGTTAGTGTGCCGAGAAGAACCTAAGCGTGTTGCTGCTTCGCCTTGAGGTACCGCACGAACTCGGGAAGGACGAAGCTCGACTCGAACTCGTCCGCCCAAACAATCTCGACGTGCCGCCTCGCCATGGCTTCGAAGAACTCCTCAAGCGGGTCATCCGGCCCCTTCGTATGCCAAGACGGCGGTCCTTCCTTGACGGTGAGCGGGATGAAGACGGCTTGAAGAGCGGGAAGAGAGTTTGCGAAGCTGGCGTCGAGACTGCCATTGATCCAACGAGGCGAATCGTACAGCACGAAGCGAGCATTGACTGCTGACTTTTCGTACACAATGTACTTGCTGGCGAGCAGCTTGTCGCCGCACGAGGTGAAGGCCTGGAGGAGCGAGGCTGCGATACCCTTGGCCGGTCCGGTAGTGTAGACCAGTTGCAACGCAATCAGCTGATCAAAAAGCGATGTGCAGCATGCGAGGATATTGACGTCGGAGGAGAGGTTGGCGAGGAGGAGATACCGTAGTGCCGGCAAAGTGGCTGGCGAGAAAAGACGCTGATAGGCCTTGGTGAACAGCAGGTGCCCTCCGAAAGCGAGATGGACGAGCTGAAAGGGGCGGAAAGTCGGAGTAGCATTGACTTGGAGCGTGCAGTTCCTGAGGTAAAGACCTGCAAGGTCTGATTAGACGACCTCAGCCCTCTGTCTGGCGCTCCGAGAGACGCCAAAGACGCACTGTTGAACGGAGACTCGCTGCTGAGTAGCAAAGGTACAACTGTCTTGTTAATGTCCTGCAACGCGCCAAAGAAGGCTGCATAGCGGACGAGGGGAAGCGCAGCGAGCGCGGCTGGAAGTTCCTTCTCCGCCAAGATCGCCCTGACGTTCCAGGGCAGAGAGACGTCTGGCTTCTGCCACTCATGGGTGCAGAACACGACGGCCGAAGCCTGTTCACGCAGTTCCTTCGGTGCGTTCCGAGCCAATTTCGAGTCGACGATGGCGTTGACGACCAGAACACGACGAAGAAGGGGCCGCACGACGCTGCAGAACCGTTTGCTGACATGGCTGAGAGGTACGAGAGCATCGTGACGGCACTTGGCTGTGATGAAGACGAGAGATTCGGGCGGGACGGCGAGTTCGATGATGAGGCGAAGGAGTTCCGTCGGGAGCGTTTCGAGCGATGCGGGCATGCTGTCGTAGTTTCGAAACTTGTTTCAGAGCGGTGTGAGCGGTCTCGAGCGGGCTCAGCGATTGAGCGGGTGCAGGCAGTGAGCGGGAGGAGGGAGAGAGCGGTCGACGCCGCGAGGGTCGCGGCAGGCTCGCTTTGCGGGCTTCCTTCCAGTGCGAGGCAGACTCTCAACGTGCAAGAAAGGGCGCACGGCGAAGGAGACTCTCGAAGAGCCAAAGTGAGGACGAGGGCGCTCGAAGTCCTGCTCAGGCGTCGCAAGTCGCATTCCAGTTCAAGCGCATTCCTCGCTCCTGGCCCTACTGCCTCTCCCTGATGTACCGTTCAAACTCGGGAAGGATGAAGGCGTGGTCGTCCGAGCCGGTCCAGATGATCTCGGCAGGCGTTTGCTTGACGGCGTTGAGGAGGGCAAGCGCCATGTCGCGGTTCTTCGGTTTAACCTGGTCCGGATGGAGGTCGCGATGCATAAAGGCGGCTGAGAGGTTCTTCAGGCCGGGGACGACCGCTGCCGCGCTCGACCAGCGACCTGCGTGAACGGATGTGAGCCGGATGTATCGCGCCTTAGACGCAGCGCCGGTGAAGTCCTGCCAAAGGCCCCACGTGCCCAGATCCACAAGAATGCGCCTCGATTCGAACGAGTGTGCGGGAAAAGTGTGTGCGTGGCGGGAGTTGAGCTGCAACGCTTCCATCTGCATGAGGAGTTCTGTCGGGATGGTTGACGCTCCAGAGCTCGTACCCCATGCGCCGTATTCGCCAAGTTCGAAGACTGCGCAGCGGACGACTCGGAGAGCTGGCAATGTGTCGCGTCTGAATAACTTGTTACCGCCGCCGTTTATCAAGACGGTTTTCCCGACGAAAGCGAGCTTCGCAAGGGCGAACGGCGACACGCAACCCTGCCCAGCGAAGAACAGCTTGCAGTTCGACAGGAAAAGAGAGTCGAGATCTATCGCATAAGGAGGTTAGCGCCAAACAGGCGAGATTCGGGCGGACGACGCACTGACGAACGGACTTTCTGCGCTCAGATCGAAGTCGAGCTGAGTCTGCCAGGTCATATGCTCGGTGCTCAAGTCGCCAAAGTCGTAGAAGCGGGCATGCTTGACCTTCGGCAGCGCAACAAGGGCGTCGAGGGCCTCCGTTCCGACAAGCAAGTCTGGCACGTCGTCTTCGTCGTATGGGTCGATGTCGTCGAGCGGCGTGGTGCTGATGTGGAAGACGACCGTCTCGACCTGCTCGCGCAGCTTCTTCGGAAGTCGGGCGACAAGTTTCGCTTGGCGAGGGGTGCCAACGAGGATGCTCTGGTGGAGAAGCGGCTTGGCGAGGCTATACAGGCGCTTATTGACCCGCGACAGATTCATCAACAGCGCTTGGCGGCGCCCGGCGGCCTTCGGCGAGAGCGTCTCGGCAGATGGGAGAGCGAGTCGGATGATGAGGAGAAGGAGCTCGTTCGGCAGCTTGTCGAGCATGGCGGGCTTAGGGAGCGGGCGAGACTGTCGCTTTGGGGAGATTCGGCGTTTGCAAACGGGCTCAGCGGGTGAGTGTGTGCGAGCGAGTGGAGTGAAGGATGAAGAGTGTCGTTGCAGCATCCCATGGCGAAGGTTGCCTCTCGTTCTGGCAAAAAAGCGACTGAACAGCAATGACTACAGCAGCAGCTACACGGGACCCCGCTTCGCCTTGATGTACGCCTCGAACTCGGGGAGAACAAAGTCGTCCCCGAACCCAACCTCCCCATGAATCCATTCTTCCAGCTCCAGCTCCGGCCCCGCCAAATACTCGATAATCTTGACGCCCTTTCCCTCCCACGCAAGCCTGAGCGAGTCCTCGGGGTTCCTGCGTATGTTCCAGCAGCGCTTGCGCAGAGGCAGGAAAACGGCTTCAAGCCTGGGCATGGAAGGAAGGGGTTGCCGCCACCAGAGAATGCAACGTCGAGCGAACGAGTCGAGACTGCTGTCGTGAAGATGGAGATACTGAACGTCCTGGATGTAGCGGAAGTCGGCGTACATGCCGCAGAGCGTTGGCGTGGTCGAGTTTAGGTACGAGCGGGGGATGGAAAGTCCGGCTTCTTCGATCTGGAAGAGGTCGAGCTGGCTGAGGAAAACCGGTTCGAGTTCCGGGAGCGCAATGATGCGCGCCGCAACGCTGCCTTTGTATGTGTGATTGGGCGCGAGGCGGAGGGAGCGCAGGTTTGGAAGAAGTCTGGGGTTGAGCAGCTCCTTGAGGTCCGTCTTGCTGTAGAGGTAGCCACCAAGGGCCAAGCGGACGAGCCGGAGAGGTGCAGCCAAGTCGAGATTGCGCAGCTCCAGTAAACCGTGGGTAATATGGAGGGAAGTGAGGCCTGCAAAAGCGCGGTGAGCTCAGATATACCTTCTTGGAGCGCAGGAAACTCACGCTCGAGTACACTAGACTCGGAGAACTCAAGAACGAGAGTCGAGCACGTAAACTCCGTCATCTCGGCTTCGTCGTCCCGAGTGTCTTCGATGTCGATCGTTGCCGCATAGACCCATAAGTGCTGGACATTCGACAGCTTGTCAAGGACCCCCAAATCCTCCTTGACAGGGTCAAGCGGGTCATGTGGAATCACATGCAAGTCGAAAGACTTGGGCGAGGGCGAATCGTTGTCAACCGTTCCCTCATCGCTATAGTCCGCCGACGTGCCGTTTGCAGAGTCGTCATCGTCGTCGCCTAGTTCGTCGACTCCATCCGCCGCATCCTCGCGGTTGCCAGAGCGCGGTTCGGCAGGACTGGCAGCCGCATCCTCATCCGCCTCAGCCTCTCCGTCGAAGCCGCCCGGGTCTGAGCCCTCGCTCGGTTGCACTCCCGGTACAGGCACCGTCCCATGAACGTGCACGTGAAGGTGTGTTGCGAGCGAAGAGAGGAGGGTGGGCGCCTGATCGAGTGCGTGCCGCTGACGAGGGAGCGCTAGGGCGAGGAAGCGCCATAGAGTGGGTTGGGCGCAGCGTCTGATGCGCTGGTTCACTAGACACAGCCGTGCGAGCTCCCGCCAACTCGGCGCCGCTGAGTGAGGGCGAACGGCGGAGTATTGGATGATGGCGGAGATGAGCTCATCTGGGAGCGTGTCGAGCATGGTCTTCGTATGCCTGGCCCCAAGGCAGAGCGGAAGCCGGACCAGCAAGGCCGCGAAGAAGCGAAGGGAGAGAAGCAGGAGAGAGAGCGAGTTGACCAGGCAGACAGCGACGCTCAGTTCGACAATTCGTCACGAGAGGCGGCATTTGCGTTACAAGCGACTCCAAGAGACGACAACCTCCAGCAAGCTACGCGGAAGAGCGGCTGATGTACGCCTCAAACTCGGGGAGGATGAAGTCGTAGTCCTCCGCCTCGCACCAGACGACCTCGACGCCGCGCGCGGTACATCCGTCATAGAAGGACTCGGCAAACTCGGAACCCTGGTGCGAGCGCTCGACAAAGACGGCCTTGAGGTACGTCAGCTTGTCGAGGAACTTGTGCTTGTACGAGATCGGGTCGTGCTTGACGACGTGAAGATACTGGATGGGCGGGAACTCCCAGACATGCTCGTCGATCATGACGAGAGTTGGCGTCGACGTGGCGGTGTAAGACTCGGGAAGAGGGCCGTAGCCGAAGTAGGTGCGCTGGCCGACTTCAAGGAAGTCGAGTTGGTCGAGAAAGTCCTTCGGGATCTTCGGCAGCTTGAGCCAAGGCGTCTCCATTGCTCCCTCCTCCCTGCGCACAGGGCCGATGCGGAGCTGGCAGAGGTTCGGCAAGACGCTCGGCGAGAACAGCTTGTAGAGACTCGTGGCGCTGTAGAGGAAGCCGCAGAGAGCGAGGCGGGTGAGCGAGAGCGCGCAGGCCGAGGCGAGGTTGCGCAAGTCGAGGACACCATTCATGATGAAGAGCGAGTCGAGATCTGCGGGTCGAGCGGTGAGCATGCGGGCGCGTAAAGGGATGGCAGCGAACGCACGGCGCAGACTGCTGTCGTTGCCGAAGTCGAGCTGAACCGTCGAGAAGGCGAAAGGATCCGACTCCCATGACTTCTTCGCCTGGCCAACCACAACAGCCTCGGTGCGCACGAAGAGAGTCTGGACGTTGGGAACTTTGGCGAGGATCTGCAGGTCCTCCTCGACCGGCTCGGCGTGAAATCCCTGCTCCGGCTTCGCAGCAGGCTCGACGATGATAGAAAGAGTCGTGACTGCGTCTGCAAGGCGGTTCGAGCTGGCTTCGAGGTGGTCCTTGTCGGCCGGGAGGGTGAGGCGGAGGTCCTGCCAGAGCAGACGCATTGCGCGCTGTCCGACGGCCTTGTTGACAAGACTCAGACTCCGAAGCAACCCGTAACGCGCCTTCTGCTGCACCGAGAAGGGCTTTGTGGCGGGTGAGGCGAGGTTGACGATGCGGGCGAACAACTCAGTGGGAATCGTGTCGAGCATGAGGCGCGCAGTTCGGGGGCAGTCTGACGGTCTGTAGGCTCTGTCAAGCAGCAGTACGAGCGGTTCTGAGCAGTCGAAGCGAGGTGTCGAGGTGGAAGGTCAGCTTGGACGAGGGTCTTCATCAGCGAACAACGATGCCACCGTTCAACAAGCGCGAGCGGACCAGTGATGCCTTCCAGCAGCGGGTTCGTCCACCGAAACACTTTCTACGCGGGAGAACCTAACCACGAGCTGCTGTGGTCGCAGAACAAGCGGTGGAAAGGACCGGGAGGTGGGGACGAGGTTGTGACTGACCCAGCGATGCAGGAGAAGGCGTTGAAGGCGTACATGGTGCGTACGAGCTCTCCAAGCTGCTGACGAGCCGCGCTGACTCATCCGGGCGACAGCACCACGCCGTCAAGGTCCTTCACAAGGCCGTCAAGAAGAGCAAGACGTTCGAGCTTCAGAAGCTCACGAGGAAGCTCAAATCGACTCGGTGAGTACGAGCGAGCTGTGCTCTGGTAGCTGCGACTCACTCTGCGCCGCTCGCAGCGAGCCGAAGGAAGGTGCCGTCGACTCTGCTCTCCTCGCGGACCTCGAAGCCCAGCTTGCTGCGCTTAAAGTGCGTTCCGATCCATTTTCGAAAGTCTAGCATTGCTTACGAGTATACTCCGACCCGCAGAAAGTCGACCTGAACTCGATCCCCGTCCACATTCTCGCCTCTCGTCTCCCCAAGATCCACTCTCTCCGCTCCGCTCCCTTCTACCCCTCCGTCACAGCCGCCATCCCTCCCTCTCCCTCGAAATGGGTTGACCTTGACGCCCAATCGGCCGAAGGAAAGGCCCGCAACCGCGTCATGGCGAACAAGGCGATTGCGGAAAGCTGGGACGAGGTCGTCCGGGCCGTGCGGAAACGCTTGGGCGAAGAGGTCGAGGCACCGGGCAAAGATGTCAAGGGCAAGGCGAAGGCGAAGGAGCAGGACGAGCAGGGCGGGTTCTTCGAGGAGGAGGAGAAGCGGGAGGCACCCAAGTCGAAGGGGATCACGATGGACCCGGGACGGCTGGCGGCCATCGAAGCTGCCTCAATGGAGAACTCGGCGGACGAGGCGGAGGAAGCAGAAGCAGCGGAGCAGGCCGAGGGGGCAGGAGAGGACGTCAGCGAAGTCAGCCCGGACAAGCTCGCGGCGCTCGAAGCTGCTTTCCTGCAGGGTCGTGGCGATGACGATGACGGGGAGATGAGCGAGGACGATGGACCTGTCTTGGGCATTTCGGAGGATGAGGGCGAACCTGCGCAGCAGGAAGCGGAGGAGGAAGTCGAGGACGAGGAGGAAGGAAGTGACGATGAGGATGAGGTGGACGAGGATGAGGCCATTCGGCGTGAGTTGGCGGCGCTGGAGGACGGCGAGGGCAGCGAGGGAGCATGGTCCGACTCGGCTGAGGAGGAGGACGCAGACGACGACGGCGCATCGGTCGCGTCCGACTCGTCTTTCCCTACCAAGTCCGCCAAGCGCCGCCAACCATCTCTCTCGCCTACTCCTCCGCCTCGCCCCGCCAAGAAGGCAAAAGCCTCAAAGCCTCTCACCTCGTCAGCCTTCCTTCCCACCCTCGCGAGCGGCTACATCGGCTACGACTCGGACGACGAGGACGCGAAGTGGCTCAAGCAGGCGGAGAAGGAAGACGCGAAGGACCGGGCTAGGAAGAACCGTCCTGGTCAGCGGGCGAGGCGAGCGTGCGTTGCCTTCAGAACGCTGGTTTTTCGCCCTTGCTGACCTCGATCCGTCCCCACAGGATGTGGGAGAAGGAGTACGGCGAGAAGGCGAACCATATCGTCGTTGCGAACGGCGGCAAGCCTTTGTCGGCGAAGGAGATGAAGGCCCTGCAGGAGAAGGAGGCTGCGCGGCGTAAGGACGGACGCGACGGGCGTCCTCGGCAGCAACAGGACCGGCAGCAAGGGTTCAAGCGCGACGCAAACGCTCAGCGACCACAGGGTGGTCGCCCTCCGCGTCCCGATCGCCCTCAACAGCAGCAGCGAGACCGCCCAGCTCGCGACGCCCAGCCTCGAGCGCAGGACCAGGGATGGCAGACGGCGCCAAAGAAGGCGGATGCACCCGCGGAGAAGATGCATCCGTCGTGGGAGGCGAAGCGGAAGGCGGCTGAGGCGCTCAAGCTCAGTGCAGTGAGCAAGCCTGCGGGCAAGAAGATCGTCTTTGACTAGCGGTGCAATCTCAGCTCGCCGTGTGCTTGTTGCGAAACGACATTGCGGAGTTGCAGAGGGCGGTATACAGGATGAGCGGGTAAAAAGATGGCAAAGAAAGGACATGAGAGGGTATCGCTCGTTCAGATCGAGTTCCTGCGGATGGCTTGGCCGCGACGCTGCTTCTTGCTCACCGCGACGTCTCCTTCGGTGCCCGACGGCAGCTCTCCCTTCGTAGCCCACTCGTCGAGGAGCGAGTTGGCGAACTCGGAGCCGACGTCGAGGATCTCGCCGAAGCGCTTGAAGTCCATCTGCGGAGCGAGATTCGTAAGCAGGAGCTGAATGAGGAGCACGAAGCTGTGCGCACCGTGCCGAACTGCGTGACGGGCATGCGCATGTAGAGCACGCCAGGAGTCGCCTTGGCCTCCTCGAGCATCTTGACACTCGAGACGCTGCGAGGGGAAGTCGTCAGTCTTCAGCGTGCTTGCGATGGGAATGACCGCGCGCACTAGGTCAGGCGCGACTGGATCTCCGTGATGTTGGGGATGTTGACGGGCTTGCCGAAGGGATTCCAGCGCTGGAGAAGAAGAAGCCAGCCGGAGATGGTGTCGCCGTAGTTGCGCGGCGAGGTATCGTCAACGGAGCCGACGTCGACCGCAAAGACGGAAGCCGCGCCTTGCTCCAGCATGACCGACACCTGCGGATGGAAGCGAAATCAGCTTGTGCGAGCGGGAGGGGAAGAAATTTCGACGCACCGGCAGGTTGTCGACGTAGCCTCCGTCGACGAGCATGTCACCTTCGTCGCAGAGAGGCGGCAGGAGACCGGCAAGCGACATCGAGGCTCGGACGTAGCGCCAGGCGTAGCCCGACGTGTGTACGTCCATGCGCGAGTGCGTGATGTTGGTGGTGTTGCAGAAGAAGGGGAGCCACCTGTGTGAATCGGGTTAGCGTGACGCATTCGGGGAGCGCAGCGAGACGCGACTCGCATGTCTTCGATGTGGGTACCGTAGAACGACTTGTAGATACCGCGGTTAAACTCGTGGCCGGTCGTGTAGGCGACGACGGGGTAGGTCAAATCGGTGAGGATACGCCAAAGCGTCGACATGCGGCCACTGAATCGCTTGGCGCGGCCGTACGTCGAGACGAGGTCGCCTTCGCGAGCGTAGAGACCGCCGACGAACGCTCCGATGGACGTGCCGCCGACCATGTCGACCGGGATGTTGCGGTCGTGGAGGGCGCGCAGAACGCCGATGTGCGAGATGCCGCGAGCTCCGCCACCACCGAGGACGAGACCGATGGACTTGCCGCAGAGACGACGAGCGAGACGTGCAAAGTCGTTCAGGGCGGGTGCACGCTGAGGTGCTGGTCGGGGCTGCGTCTTCTTGTACTTGCTGATCTGCAACTCGACGCGTGCGGCAATCTTGCGGAGTGCGACGACGGCCGCAGGGTCGTGCAACTCTGAGCGGTTGACTTCGGGTGTCGCGCCGAGCATCTCGACATGATGGTGCGCGTGGACCCACGGGCGACTCTTGAGCCAAGGGCGGGTCGTGCCGGGAACGACGTTTCGCTCGGCGTGCAGGAGGACGAGCTCCTTGCGAGCCGTCGTCTTCATACTGACGAGAAGCTTCTCGTGCTCGCCAAGCTCAGGGTCGGCACCTCCGTCTGCGACGACGAGGATACAGTCGGCTTGTCGGATGCACGTCTGAGTCCATGGCGCCGAGACGGCAGTGTCGGCGACATAGAGCACGATACGGTACTTCTGCTCCGTCTCGGCAAGCCAGCCGGCGAGCTTGAGCTGACCCATCTTGCTGAAAGCGTGACGACCGAGGACCTGCATGACCGTTGCCTGGTTGAGGTACGAGGTGGGCGCCCCAATTGTCTCGAGCGCCTGGTGAAGCTTGGCGGCGAACTCGGAGACCGGGACATGTCGGTTCGTAGGGAGGATGGCGACGGTCTGCCATGCGAGGGATCAGCACGACCAGCGAGCAGGGAGGGAAGCGGCAGCAGGGAACGCACCTTGAGGTTGAAGTTGTTCTTGCCCATCGAGCCGTCGCCCATGCCGGGCATGCCCAGCTCTTTCGGCAGTCCACCCGCCATCTTCGCCTCCCGCGCAACCTGCGTCCTCAGCCTCGCCGCGATGATCCTGCTGATCTGGATGGTGACGAGTGGGTGGCGGACCGAGATGGCGTTGAACAGTGTCATCGGCATCCTCGCGAGCTCGGTGTCGCGGATGGCGTGCAGAGTTGAAGGGCGAGGCGATGCGGTGATGCAGTCGAGTTCGCCGACAGACTCACCCTGGCCGAACTCTCCGTTGACCTGCACGCCGCCGCCTTGTCGCTCCGTGATCGAGCGCAGTCGTCCGTTGATGACCTGTGTGAGCAGATGTCAAATCTGGGTTAGCGTCTAGGCGAGCGGGAGACGCACGATGTAGAAGGAGTCGGCAGGATCATTCTCTCGGTAGATGACCTGACCGGCGCTAACGTGCATCCAGTCGAGCGCAGAGTCGATATGAAGGACTGCAAGATCAATGTCAGCTGCGGCGGGAAGGAGTGAAGCAACGTTCGAGACCTACCGAGCGGCGAGAGAAGGCTGATGAGGCGCTTTGCGAGAGTAAGGAGCACGATGGGTTTGCGGTCCATGATCCGCTCGAGCGACTTAGCGGGAAGGAAGCCGACGTAGCATTCGGTCTTGGCCTTGATGTCGACGTACGAGGGGAAGCCGGAGAGGGATGAGAGGTAGCCGGCGATCCCGCCCGGACGGACGGTGAAGAGGTGGATCGACTTGGTCTTCGGTTGTTGCGGCGGAGGTGCGGAACCGCTGGCCGCCGTCGAGGGTACGGGCTTGCGGACCGTAGTCGGACCGGTGGCGCCGACGCCTTCGCGGAAGGACGAGCGAGCCGACGACATTTTCGGGCGAGTCGTGCTGCCGGTCTTCGAGCCGTGCCTGCCGACGGCAGGTCCCTTCAAAGGAGGGTCGTCGTCGTCATGCGAAGTGCGCCGCGGCATCTGACCCCTAGCTGCCTGCGCCGACTCGGCCTCCGGCATACTGACGTCGAGGAAACCTTCGATGACGAAGTACAGGCCCGCGTTCTTCTCGCCCTCCTTGACGAGCACGCTGCCCGTCGGGAAGTAGAGGATCTCGACCTCGTTCTCGAGGTCCATGCTGGCGAAGCTGCCGACTGCGCCGGCGTCGCGTCCGTTCTCCTCGCGCAAGGCGGAGAAGCCAGACGAAGTGGACGACTCGTCGTCGTGCAAGCCTTGCAAGCCGAGGAAGGAGAGCGAGCCGAAGGACGAGTTGAAGACGGCTTGGTCGCGCAGACTCTTGCCGTTGTGGTGTTCGTGTGGACGGACCATGGGCGAGGCGTCGACCGAGTGAGAAGGCGTGACATGTGGCTGGACGAGACCGATCGCCTTCGAGATGCACTCCATGACCGCGTCGCGCAAGTCAAAGTCGCGCTCCGAGTTATCGTACAAGTTCGAGGTATTGAGGCGCTCAAGGCGAGGGGTCTGGATGACGGTGCTGCCGGCTCCGCGCATGTCTTCCGAGACCGTACTCATCGTGAGCAGGTCGCCGGCCTTGCGCGAGAGAGCGGCCGACTTGGCGCCTGGCGGAGCGGGACCAAGAGTCCGCATGCGGCTCTTAGGCGAGGTGGTGAAAGACGAGCCGGGTTGGCGGTACTTGAGGCGGACTGCGTTGTCGGACGAGTGCTCGTCGTTCGAAGAGTCCCAGAAAACGCCACCCATGCGGGGACCGGCGTACGGCGTCTCGAGAGGCATGTTCAGGCGCCTGGCCATCGCTCCTGCACGGTGACCTTGGTGTCCACCCTTCGCGTCGCCCTTCATGCTTAGCACATCCCGTCGCGAGCCGAAGTAGTCCTCCCTCTGCTCCCAGTCACCGTTGCCTTCCTCCTCGCCCGGCCCATCCAGCTTCGTCTCCGGCACGAACCTCGCCCTCAGCCGCTGTATCCCGCCCGATTCCCAGAACGCCGGGGGAAGAGGGTAGCAAGCGAGATCGTTGATGGCTTGCTCGGTGCGGACGACTTCGCGCGTCAAGCCGAGGTACTTGTGCGCGGTGAGGAAGGTAACGCGCTGGAGGCGGGTGAGGATGACTTGGACGATGTGGCTGCGGAAGCGACAACGAGAGTCAGCTTTCACTATCACAACAAGATCTAGCGGAAACGTCTGGCGACGCCATTCGCAATTGCAGCGCGGAGCAAGCCGAACTCACGCAGCCGCGTTCGGGAACTTTTTCGTAAGCCTCCTGAAAGCCTCAGCCGGGATGACCGCGAGCGTCGTGTCCGTCGCAGCCCTGGCAATCGTCGCTTCCTTCGCCATGCTCGCAGGGCCAGTCGACTGCCGTCTCTTCGCATGCGCGTGGTGGTGGTGGTGCTGGTGATGCGCGTGAGGCTTCTGCGGGGGCCGGATGCGAGAGCCAGAGGCGGAGGAGTTGAGGTGGGTAGGAGCGTTCGGGCGGGAGGTAGCGCGAGGGCGAGACGAAGAAGCGGCGGAGGTAAAGGAGAGACCGGCAGGGCGGCGGCCGAGAGAAGACTTGCGAGAGCCGGCACTGCCGACGGAAGGGGATGTGGGCGAAGTGAGCGGGGGCGAGAAGAACCCGGTTGTCGCACCGAGAGCGGGCGAGCGAGCGAGCGAGGGAGTCGTGGCGTTCGAGCGAGAGTCCGAGGGCGCGATGGACACGTCGAGGTGGTCGAGCCTTCCTCGGTCCTCTTCGACTTCCGCTCCGCTCATCGCAAGTGTCGACTCACTTTCCTCGCCTGCCGCAGTCGCCGCTGCGCCTTCGTCATCCGCATCCTCAGTCTCCTCGCCCAGTCGCGCCGTGTTCGTGCTGTTGTAGCCGGGGAAATGCGGGCGAACAGGTCGTCCCGCGCCGCTTGCCGACCCGCCCTCCAGGTCGAACGCCGAGACGTCCGCATCCCGTTCCCTCGCCGGTGACGGCCCGCCCTCATCCGATGACTCCTCCGTCCTGACCTGCTCCTCCTCATACCGCATCTTGACATCCTCCGTAAACAAGCTTAGAATCGTGAACAAACTCGAAAGCGTTCCTCCGCTCTCGACGCAATTCAACAACTGCCACTCTTTGCCCTCCTCGTCCTCTTCCTCGGTCTCGTAGCCCTCGGTGGCCGCTTCGTCCCCATGCTGTGCGGAGGGGTTGCGCGCGTAGACTTCGACTCGGCCGTCGACGACGATGTAGAAGGACTTGTCGCGGGAGAGGTCGAGGGTGTCGCCTGCGACAAGGCGGCGGGTTTGGAGATGTCGGGCGAGCTCGTGGAAGACCTGGAGGAGGGAGGGATCAGCGAGATCACTCATTCAGCGGCTTAGGTTGGACCCACGGGCTTCTCAAGGTAGCCGAAGACCTTGATTGCCGAGACTGCGTGAAGGGGATTAGCGAGGGTCGACGGGAGAACCGAGGAAGCAGACTTACGGAACTCGTCGAGGTAGTTGTGGAAGCCGCTCGACGCCTGGTCTGTTGCGAGGTCCGGATGCCTGTAGATTTGCAAGGTGAGTGCACGCCCGCAGAGCGACATCTACAAGTTCTTATGCGGTGCGAGCGGAGCGTGTTCACTTGCCGCCCCGCAAAGCTCGGCAGGCTCGTTCTCCGGTTTGCGCATTCTTCTCGAGAGCGCAAGACAAGGACTCACAGGTCGAATCCCTCGTTCCCTTTAATGCGATTCCCTCCGGGCAAGTCCCTCAACTCGGTATACCTATTGAGGTACCTGACCTTCCAGACATAGCTCGCGACGGTCGACACGAGCAGGAAGAAGGCGAGGAGCTTGAGGAAGGTTAGGTGGAAGGTGAGTGAGGCTGAGTAGTGGATGAGGGAGAAGGTGGATGCGGGGAGGGTGAGGGTGAGGAAGGCGATTGCTCGAGCGGTCTGCGGGTGCGGTCAGGGTCAGCATGCGGTTCTGAATGAGCTGTGCGCGGACTCACAAAGTGCACGGCGGTGTGTGCGAGGAAGTAGCTCAGTCGGGAAATGAGGTCGAAGAGGGTGCGCAGGTCGTTGGCGAGCGATGGCGGCGCCGGTGCAGTCCCGTCCATCGTCGTCTCAGCAGTCCTCACGAGCCTCAGCCAGTCCCAGCAAGTCCAGTCGAGCGGTGTGAGCGAGTGGAGAGCGGAAAGAAAGTCGACGCCGTCACCTCGCATACAAAGCGATCGCGTTGACAACTGTCGTGTGAGCTGGCGAGGCGTGCGATGGACTCTTAGAACGCTGCTAGGGACGGCGCAAGTGGGCGCAAGTCGAGCGAGCCGAAGCGGGACTCGTGAAGAGACGGCAAAACGAGATAGAATTGACAACACCCTTGTTCGAACGACGCAAATGCACAGGCTCTTGACCATCTATCAGTCTACGCCTTCTGCGTAACGACGTCCTCGACGATCCAGCCGGCGCACTTGCGGGCGAGCGAGGCGGTGTGGGCTGCGAGGAAGGGCGCGTTCGTCAATACTGCCTCTCCTTCTTGCATCGTCGTCGAGCGGTGAGAAGCGCACGGATCGAGTCAGCGAGAAGAGCGGCGCAGACTCACCGTCACTGAGCACAAACGCATGCGGCATGCCCTCCTCGCACCTCTTCCTCCTCTTCCTGCCCTCCTCGCCAAACTTCTCCTCCAACACCTCCTCAACCTCCTTCACCGCCTCCTCCGTGACCCACCCATCCACTCCCTCCGCAGCCCAATAGATCCAAACCTTCCCACCATGTTCCCTCAGCGCTTCACGATCCAGCTCCGTCACTTGCGCAAGCTCGTTGCGCGCCATGACGAGTGCCGCAACGACCGTTTCGGGCGATGAGACGAGTTGAGTGGTCGTTTGTGCGCCAGAGCCGGATTGGCCGGTCAGGAGCGAGACAAGGCGCGAGGAGAGGCCGGTGGGGAGATAGGAGAGGGCGGAAGTTGAGTAGAACACGGGGCGGAGCGCCCACGAGGAGAAGAGGGGCGAGAGACGTTTTCCGTTGGGCGTCTGTGCCATGTGCGAGATGGTCGGGAAGAGCATGTGCAGGGCGAAGACGTATTGCGGAACTCGCTTGAGGACCTGCGAAGAAGACAGGTGAGCTGGCAAAACCTGGACAATGAGCGAGTCAGGCGTGCCTGCATGCCAATCCACGACCCAATAGAGTGCCCCAGTATGACGAGCTTGGGCGAGCCCTCCCCTCCCAGCTTGTACTCCTTCGCGAGCTCCTCGACAAACGAAACCTTCGCGTCGACTTGCTCATCAAGCGTCGCCTGGTCCTGCGGCCTAAAACCCCGTTCCTCCTTGTACTCGGGCGTGTGTCGCAGGTGCCCGAGCGCGGCCATCTCGGTGTAGTCCCTCAAGTCGAGTGGGAGCGAGTCGCGGAGGGAGGTGAGGAAGTCGCGGTAGTAGGAGACGAGGCCGGGATTGCCGGGGATGAAGAGGATGAAGAGCCGCGCTGGCTTGTCGGCAACTATGCGTTCGAATCGCAGCAAGTCGGCAGGGAAGCGCGCATCGTCCGTCGCCGGGCCCATCCTCACGCTGGTCGTGGGCTCTGGACCTGGCGCAGGCGGCGCATTGAAGGCAGGAAGGATTGTGTCTGGCGCTGCGGTAGCTGGTGGTGCCAACGACGGCGACGGAAGCGCGTTCTGAGCGTCGGGCGTCGCGGTCGAGGCGGTCGAAGGGAGAGCGGCTGCGAGACGAGGGTTGACGCGCCCGCGCTTGGACGGCGCGCGGTTCGGCGAGAAGTCGAGTTCGGGAAAGTCGTTGTAGTGCACGCTCGTCTGAGGCTTGTGACCCTTGCGAGCTGTCGACGGCACGTTGAGCGAGGATGACGGTGCGGGAGGAGGAGGCGTCGTCTCTGCGCTGGACGACTTGGGCGGCGGTGGAGGCGGCGGCTGGGCATTCAAGTACGAGCTCATCGCGACTCGCAGCCTCGTACGGAGCGACAGCGTGTTGGTGGAGCAGGCGAACCCTTCATTGCCAGGGTCTCCCTCGTGTCACTCGCTCGCTCGACAGTTTTCCCGACCTGTGCTATACTGACATGGCTTGCAGATTGCTCTGAAGCTGGATAGAGCGCGACCGGCGTCGCCCGCTTGCTCGCCGCTGTCCTGGACCCTTCCGACCGCGACTTCCCCATCGAGGGGTTCCACGACATCTCGACGGCGTGTGTGCGGGGCTCGATGGAACGCTAAATATTGCACGCGGGTCGGTCTCGTCCCGGGCAGATGGGCGCGCGGCCGAGCGAGATCCGGTGGAGGACGCACGCTCGTCGGCAAATCTTGCTCCTTGTCCTCCTTCAACATCGCTTGGAGCTGTTTCTTTTCGACGATGCCGCCTGATCGCATGAATCCGACCTACCACTCGCTTGTCGACGAGGCTCCCGTCGCCCATCGTCGACGCAAGACGCAACCCAGCAGCCTCTCCCCATGGCGCTGCTGTGCTTGGTCGGCCGCCGTCGTCGCCCTCGTCTGCGGCGCAGGCATCGCTTTCTTCTTCTACAAGGTCTTCGAGGAGGCATACAGGATGGCCGCAGCACCTCATCGAGTCCACCATGCGAACGAGACGCTCCTCTTCCAGGGTCCTGGAATCGCCGACAACGAGTCGCAGGTCGTGAGGAGCTTCTTCGGTGCAAATGACAAGGGCGGTGTGGAGAGATTCGACCTGAAGGCGGCGATTTGGGCGAAGGTGGATGCGGAAAGTGAAGACGAAAAAGGTGCGCTTCTCTCGCTTGAGCTGGATTCGCTGTCAAGGTCGCTGATCCCGCCTACTCCAATCGCAGACGAGACATGGACGTTGCTGTATTCCGAAGATGTTCTGAAGGATGTCGAGATCACCGCCAAGTCGCTCAAAACGACTCAGCGAGTGACTCTTTCTCAGTCTCTCCTGTGCGTGCTCGCGTTCTGCACCATCGCCTACCTACCGCTGACCGCTGATGGGCTCTCGCCAGCTCGCGCCTTCTCGACAGCTCGAAGAGCCGACTCCAAGCCTCCTTCGCCATGCTCCCCTCGTCTTCAACTCCCGTCGACCCCTCGCTCGACTTTCACACCTTCCGCTCTTCCCGCAATGCGACCAACTTCGGCCGCGACCCGCTCAATCCTCTCGCTCCCCTCTTCCCGGGCCCTATCGACTCGAAAGATCTCCTCAAGCGCTTCTTGGGCAACTCGGCGGTCCTGCAGACTCTTCTCCGCCGCTCAACTGTTCGCAAAACGAACGGTACAGACGGGCAGAGCGAGAAGGAGGAGGTTGTGCAGATTGTGACGAGCTCGATCGTGACGATGGCGAACGACTTTGCCGTCTACGACTCGAAGGCTTTCAACGCGAGTCTGGTCGAGCGCAACCAATTCCGGGTGCGTTTGCAGTCTCTCTTCCCCCATTCATCGAACTCGGTTGATGCTAGCTCCGCTCACAGGCGCTCTACTGCACCGGCGACACCTCCTCGAATCCCGCCTGCACCCGCTCTTTCTCAACCGACGGACACTTCGAGAACCTCATCGAGTTTGACGACTCGGCCGGCGGAGACCTCTCGACGGCTAAGAGGCAGGGTTGGCGCTACGGGTCGTTCTTGACTACGCGGTACGGAATGGCTGGGCCGAAGGATCAGATGCGCGTGAGGGGCAACGAGACGGATGGTGCGTTAGATTGCTCCTGCCCATCGTCGCATGCTCGCTGACGATGCGCGAATGTAGACCTGTCGTTCGACTGGCACATCACCTGGACAGCCGCTTCTCCTCTTCGACTCGCCGTCGCGTCGCCCTTCTCCATCGCCTTCGAAGCCAGCGACCCCGACGAACCGGACGTCCACGAGATGGCAAGTAGCCAGGACTTCCTCGACGTCGTTCGTAAGTTGAGCCGAACCTCCGGGCAGACGTTCAAGCTGACCTCTCACCGACAGACTCTGCCATGGGACACCACGTCCGGCCCGACAGTCGCCCTCTCGCTCGTGTCGCTGTTCGTGCCGTCGGAGCTGTCGCCGGCTTCCTCCAGGTTCCGTAAGGCTTTTGCAGACCACCTCACTCGTGGGATATGCGTTGACGCCCAACCCTCCCGCAGAATCGACGCTCACTACTGGTTGACCCGCTCGCTATCGACCGGCATCAGTCTTCCCTTCGAGCTCGCCTACACTACGCTCACAGCGTCCGACCTCGCCCGCGACATCATCAAAGCGTTCATCCGCCGCGCCTCATTCTTCGACTCGGTCCTCCTTCCGACCATCCTCTTCCTCGTCGCCGCCTCAATCCTCTGCTCACAGCTCAACTTGTTGTGCGGTCTTGTTTGGCAGTGGGGCGGACCGAAGGGGCTCGTGCCGGTCGGGCTGGAGAGAAGGAGGCCGACGCATTCTGAGCGGGCTAGCCGGCGAGCGGATGCGCAGCTCGACTGGCGCCTGCGGGTGCTGGCGAGTCTCTTTAATCAATCTCTACGTCGTGGCGCTGACGATGCCGTAAACAGCTCGGAGTTGCGATCGCCGTTCTCCTCGACTACGGACCTTCGCTTCCGCACATCTTAACGAGCTCGTACACGCCGCCGTCTAATGATGCCGCCTACAAGCTGCTTCCGCGAGACCTCCTCACGCACAACTCGCTCTTATACGCGATTGAACTGCTTGCGAAACTCTCGCAGGTACGCTTCGCTTTCCGCTGTCCGGCTTTCCTGCGCCTCGTCCTGCGGAACTGATCGCTCCTTCCGCACTCAGGTCCACCTCAACTACCGTCTCCACACCTTCGCCGGCACACACCGACTCTCCGCCATCCTCGTCCTCCTGCACTCGATCTGCGACCACGGCCCGACAATCCTCACCTCGTTCTTCGGCTCATGGGAGGCGCGACCGCCGCTCTACGTCTCGGACCTCGTCGCGGTTCTTCCCGAAGCTGTGCTCGCTTGGCAGGCGGTGCGGTATTCGGCGGTCAAGCAGGAGGAGGAGGAAGAGGAGTGAGTGGAGTAGTATTCCACGTGCTAAGCGGTGTGGGGATAACATACAGAACCTTGACGCGCTACCACCGTCGGCTATGCACGAAAACCTTTGTACTTGTGTCGGCGCCCTCGCTCACCGCCTTACCATCGACAACAAGATCCCAATCCTCATACAGCTTGCTGAACTTGGGCGAATGCTGGCGCTCCTCCAGACTCTTAGCCAACTTCTGCACGTCGAGAGGCTCCGAGTAAAACATCTCGCTCTTCTTCTTCAGGTCGGCAAGCTGGATGACCTCCAAGTCTTGTCTTGAACGCCGATAGCCTTCGACGGCAGGATAGAGCCGCGCAACAGCTGCTGGATTGACCCAGTCCCGGGGCAGGTCGCTCTCGATACCGTAGAGCTTGAGGAAGTCTCGTAGCATGCCCTGCGCAGGAAGAGGCTTGAGTAACCTGGGTCAGGCGGAGGCAAAGGAGTCTGCGTACCTCTTTCTTGTAGCTGTCGAACGTCTCCTGGACCTTGGAGCGTGCTCGCTTGAGGCACTCGAGACATTGGCAGTGCGAGTAGCCCGAGTGATGGCCGTCCTGGCTGTTCACCTCGCCCACATCCTTGAAGTAACCTGCCTCCGTCAAGAGCCTGCGGATAACAGCGTCGCTCCTGGACTCTTGCGGGCACTTCTTCTTCTCTTCCTTGTCATCGCAGTCAGCATCGTCTTCCTCCTCGGCGGAGTCCTCCTCATCCGAATCATCCTCGTCCGAGTCTTCCTCGTCGCTATCCTCCTCGTCGTCAGATGAGGCCGTGCGGAGTTCCCAGTCGTACTTGATTTCCCTCCAATCCTTGGTAGCTGGGAACAGCTCGTGCCAGCGCGGGCCGGGGTTGGCGAAAGAGCGGCGCTGTGAGCAGTCCGAGCAAAGGATACTGCGTGTGAACTCGCGATCCATTTCGATTGCCTGCCCACGCCGGAACTTCCGCAGCTGATACAGCTGGGTCTGCCAGAACGAGTAGGGTTGACCGCTCATCACGGAGTCGGCGGGAAAGTCGTTCAGAAGGCGAGCGTTGCGGAGCTGCGCGAGCCAGACGAGAGTTGGATGGGCATCGGGTATCTTGCGAGCCGCTCGAGCCGCGCAGTAGAGGGATACAACCCCGACAAGGTTGCCGTAGACGAGCGAGGGGGACATGTTCCGCGGGAACAAAGAGACGAGGGGGGAGACGGGGGTGGGCGGGCGCGCACAGCTCAAGCGCTCTAGTCTAGACCTTGGGCAAGCGGGCGTAGGTGCAAGTCCCGCTTAGCAGCAGCGCGGCATAGGGAGAAAGGATTCGAGGAGGAGTTTGACGGAGGTGGTCAGGGCAAAGCCTGGTCCGGTCCGCAAATCATCGTCGCTGCTTCTCGACGAGGGTGACGTGCATTCTCCTCTAGCTCAAAGTCAAAAGCTGGAGAGCGACCGGAGGCAGGGTTGAGTCCGTTTCGTTCTCGGCCTTCGCGGAAACCGACAGAGAGTCGCTCAAGGAGGCGAACACCGTATAAGCTGAGATGCTGAGCGATGGTGTTGCAGAGTGGTGTATCGGAGCGATTGGGACAAGATTGGTGCGTGGGGAAGCGCTAGCAGTAACTGCTCGTTGCGAAAGTGTAGACCTTCATCCGCCTGTCAGCGCCTTCGTCCACAGTCTTGCCATCCATCACCAGATCCCAGTCCTGACAAAGCTCCTTCAGCGGGTCCTTGTCCGCTGCAGCGTCGCACACGTTGGCAATGGCGCGCAAGTCGAGAGGTTCGGAGTAGGCGGTTGTATCACCGTCTTCGCTGTACCAAGCCTCGACGCGGCCAAATATGCCATCCCTGGGCTTGCTCGTTGAATCTCAGAGCTGCGCTGTGGCTGCTAGGTTTTCCTCAGCATCGCAGTCATTGAATCGGACCTGGAGGTTGTACGGCTTCAAGAATTCTTCGAGTTTCTGTGCAAGTCAAACATCAGCAAATGCACCGCTGACACTGCTGGCAGAACTTGGTCCTGCGCACATCTTCCCGACAGTCCTTGTTGAGCCTCCAGACTGCCCGTCGAGCTTGTCTGATGCACCGATTGCACTTACACTCGGCTGCTCCTCTTGCGGGGCCGGGAGAAGCGTCCGATGCTTGCGTCCTGTCTGGCTGGGTAGTGCTGCCGGAAGCTGCGGAGGTCAGAGCTGCCTGCTGCTGGCCCTCCTCAACTGTGCCTTTAGCGCAACTCTTCTCATCCTCCTCGCGATACGCGGGGCGATCGTTAAGCTTCCAGCCTTTGCTGGGCGGAAACGTCTCGTGCCACCTTGGCAGCGGGGCGTCGGGGGTGCGCGCATCCCAGCAGCGAGAGCAGAGGATGCTGCCGACGAGACGCCGCTCCTCCTCGACTGCCGCTCGCCTCAGTTCGCTCTGCAAGGTGTTCAGGCGCTCGACCCAGACGGAGAGAGGCTCCTTGTGAAGGACGGCATCAGGCGGAAAGCGGGAGAGAAAGTTTGCATGCTTCAGCCGCCGGAGCCAAGCGAGAGTAGGGTGCATGGGAGGAGGATTGGCAGCGATGCGTGCCGCGCACTGAAGGGAGACGGCTTGGACCAATGTGCCGTAGACGATGGCGGCGGACATCTTGAAGGTGCCGCACGCGGTGGACGAGGGAGAATGAGAGGGAAGAGGCGGTTTGTAAGAGGCGGGGCGCCGGCAAGCTAGCAAGGGGTCGAGGGCGGCGGATGCCGGTCGAGGGGCAGCTCAAGGCAACCTCCGAGCCGGCTGGGAACGCGCCTTGACTGAGCAGCGTGTCAACGAACAAGCGATGGGAAGCGATGAGAGCGAAGCAGCGAAGTGGGCAAGCCGTCTGGTCGGAACCGCAAGTCGTCCTGCGCTCGGCTCGAGCTCCTGGCGCTGTGGTGTGCTTGCGCCCTGCGCGAAGCGCCTAGCAGTGAAGGAGAACGACGCGAAGAGGAGAAAGACTATCTTGGCCTTCTCAAGTCGAGGGCAGCGATACGAACTGTCCGTTGAGCTGCGTTCGGCGACATTACACTCCGTCCACGAAGGTGTGTACGCTAGTAAGACGAGTTGTACTCGTGTGCATAGACGTAGACCTTCGGGCTGATGTCGGCACCCTCGTCCACCGTCTTGTCCTCGAAGACAAGGTCCCAGTCCTCGCACAACTCCTTCAGCGGCTGTTCCTCCGCTCGTTTCGCCCACTTCTCCAACACCGCCTGCAGATTGACCGGCTTTGAATAGACCTCGACAGACATGTCGATATCGCACGATCCAAACACCCAGCCGACCCGACTGCTTCCCTCCTCAAGGTCGACCTCATTCACCCCTCCCTTCTGCGGCGACGCCTTGTACAGACGACACACGCTTGCCAAGTCGCCATATTCACTCCAGCACGAGTCGATTCGAAGCCCGTATCGCGCGACGAAGTCTCGCAGTTCCTGCAAAGACAGACAGAGTGAGCGCGCAACGGGGAGCCAGTGGAATCACGAGCGGACGTACTTTGCTGTCAGGGACGCAAGTGGGCTCTTGAAGCGCTTCCCTTGCCTGCCAGACACACCTTGGGCATTCGCAAGCAGGGTAGCGAGGCGGGACGTTGGTCCGCTCAACTCCTCCTCCCGCATTCTCCGCAGCGGCAGCCTGAGCGTCTTCCTTCTTGTCTCTCCGAGTCCGAGCAAACTTGTCCTTCGGCCGCGCCAAGCCCTGCTCATCCGCACGCACGCACTTCTCGTACATGTCCTTCTCATGCCCGTACTGCCTCCAAGTCGTCATCTTCCAGCCGCGCCCATACTCCTTGTCGTGCGGGAACACCTCATGCTACCTCGGCCCAGGCCCCGCCTCATACTTCGGCAAACACTTTGCGCAAAGGATGCTCCTCACGAGGCGTCGCTCTTCCTCCACTGCAGCTTTGCGCTGCTCAGCTTGTACCGCCCGCAAACGCTCAAGCCAGACCGAGAACGGCTCGCCGTCGATCAAGCTGTCGGGCGAGAACTGCGAGGCGAGCTCGTCGCGGGAGAGCTCGTACAGACGCGCGAGAGTTGGGCTTATGGGTGGAGGGTTGGCGGCGATGCGTGCTGCGCATTGGAGGGAGACGGCATTGACTAGTGTGCCGTGGACTAGGGACGCGGCCTGCATCATCACGGCGAGTGCTGGTGATGAGGCGGGAGACGAGGACGGCAAGAGCGCGAGAGGAATGCGCGGACGCGCGTTGAACGACGAGTGTGCGCGAGGTTGAGCGAGAAAGATAGCCTCAGAGCGGATCGAAGCGAAGGCTGGTTTGTCGGCAGAGGCGAAGGTCGAGGTGACGAGGTGACGAGGAGCGGAGTTGGCAAGCCTGGTCGGAACCGCGAGCTGGCGAGCTCCTCCGCTCCTGCTGGTACGTTCAAGTATGAACAAAAACGATTGCAAACCCACGCACTGCAGTATATACGATACCTCCTCCTCCCCATCCCTCCTCGAACCGAACGCAAGTTCACTGCTCCTTCTGCGCCTTCTGCTTGATCTCCGCCGCCTCACCCTGGCGCTGCACGCCGACTCCGTATTCGTAGACGAGCGAGCCGCCGAGGTAGGCCGAGTAGAGGAAGAGGGGGATGGCGCTGCTCGGGGTGAAGAGGGACAGGTCAATTCGGAGAGATAAGGCAGGAAGGGAGGAGAGAGGGACGCACGCGGCGGAGAGGAGGGCGTTGAAGCGGGGGAGGATGAGCTGGCTCGACTGGCGGCGAATCCACCTGCAAGGAAGCCGTGTCAGTGAGCTGTACCGATCTACCGGATAACACGCATAGATCGTAAGCGCCGGAAACGGCCGCCTCACCAGTTGTACGTCGCAATGCCGATGACGATGTCGTTGAGCGTCGCATGCGTGAGCGTGACCTTGAGCTTCTCGCCCGCAATGTCCTTCTTGACCGCCGCATCCGCAACCGTCGCCTTGACCGACTCCTTCTGCTTCGCCTGGCCGGTCCACATGCCGTAGAGCTCTGCGATGCCCGTCGCGAGCGTAGGGAGGGCGAAGAGCAGGCCTGCGGCGCCGGTGTAGTGCGAGAGGGTATTAACGACTGCGGCGGGAGGGAGCAGCTTGAGGTAGGTCAGGCCGGAGGAGAGGGCAGGGGCGATCTGGAGAGCGTCGAGGCCGAAGGAGATGGAGAGCAAGCCGATGGGCATGTGGACTACGGAGGGAGGGTCAGCGAAGTCGAGGGGAGGGACAGTGGACGAGACGTACCGGTTGCCGGGTGGAGCGGGTGTCCCCACGACTTGACCTGCCCCATGCCGACCTGGGCGACGGGCGTAGCGACGGCCTCAGCCTTCTGAGCAGCGGAAGACATTCTGCGACGAGGCGATCAGCGGGACTCGAGCGAGGAGGACAGCGACGCGTGCGCACCTTGTTTGTGTGAGTCTGCGTAGTCAGTCTCGAGTTAGAGCAAGTGAGTGGAAGCCAAGTAAGGCGAGAGAGCGAGCGAGCGAGAGTTGTCCTTTTGCCAGGCGACGTCAACGGCTCGTCTCGATCGTCCGGAGCCTCCAGAAGCGAGCATGGACGCGAGACGGACGCAAGCTGATTGGCGCAGAGCAGCGCATTCAGCCCAGCGCGTCGATCGCAGCGGGTGCGCGTCCTTCGAGTCGAGCAGGCGAGTGAGGACGGGCGACGAGGAGAAGGAGGTGTGTGGGAGTCGTTTGAGCGGATGTGGCGGTTCAGCAGTAGCCTCAGAGCAGCTGCAGCACCTGTCAAGCATGTTCCAGCGTTCTCCGCCCGCATCGAGGGTCGTCGTCGTCGCCCAACGCCCAACTCGCTCGTCTCGCTCCGCCAACTCGCTTGCCCTGCTCAAAGTCGCTCAGGCTGCTCTCGGACTCGCTCTAGACGGATGGATAGACAGGCTATGTGACCACAGGAAACGGAGCACGCACAGCGGCGCGGTGTAGAAGTAAGTACGGCTCGAAACGACGCAGTTGAAGGGGGAGGGTTATCGAAGCAACGAGGGGACCTGACGGGGAACGACTAGAACAGGAACGACAGATCCGCCTCCACCCCCTGCATGCCCTCCAACTCTGCCCGCACCGCGTCCAGCGAAAGCGTCAACCCTCCTCCCTCTCCCGCTCCGTCCGTCTCCATCCCCGCTCCTCCCTCGCCCGCGTCCAGCCCGAGCGATCCGAACAAGTTGCGGTAGAACTCGTCGTCCATCCAGGCGTCGGTCGGGGCGGGCGCTTGGACGATTGCGGGCTCGAACGGCGCGTCGAGTGGAGGGAGGTCGAGGGAGCTCTTTGAGGCGTTCGAGGGCGAGGTGGAGAAGAGTGAGGAGGGATCGTAGGTCGCGCGAGGGAGCTGAGGGATGGAGAAGTCGTCGAGGGAGGAGGACACGCTCGAAGCGGAGCAGTCGAATCTCGACGAGGAGGGCGTCGCGAAGAAGGATGCGGCGATGGGTGTCGGCGCGGTCACGTCGCCCAAGACGGGGACGTCGGGGAGGAAGAGCGGCTGCTGGACAGACGGGTCGAGCGGAGGAAGGACGAGATCCTGCTCGGCATACTCGACCAACGAGCTCCCGCTCGAACCGAACGACGAGCCCGACACGGTCCGCCGCTGCTGGTGGCCGTGCATCGGCGCGCGAATTCTGCTCGCTGGCGTCGACGGGACGGCCAGATCAGGGCGGACGTACGGCGTGCTCGGCACCCGTCGCTCCTTCTTCTTGTTCCGTCGCTGGCGCTGATTCGCGAACTGCTCGACTCGCTCGTCAGCTCCCTCTTCTAACGGAAGAGTGGAGTCGTACGCACCCACGTCAACACCTGCCTCTCCGTCAACCCCGTCACGTTCGCCAACTCGCGACGCTCGCCCCGCGAGACGCTGTCGCTCGCTTCGAACGCTGCTTCGAGGATCGCGAGGACTTCGGCGGTGAATTGCTTCGGGCGGCCTGATGGAGGTGACTCGGGCGCGGGAGGAGAGGAGGAGTGCCGGAGTTGGGCGGCGCGGACTTCGTCGAGGATGCGCAACCGGATGTTCTGTGTTTCGCGCTGATATCGTTGGCCGAGCGCTCGACTCAAGGCGAATACCATTCCCTCATTCGGTCCTGCGAGCTGGCAGGCGGCGACTTCGTAGGTCCTGTGCAGCTCCGCGGCAAGGGCCATCCGGTACTTCTCGAAGATGCGTCCGAGCTGCTCGACAGCGAATGGCGTACAACCCTGCTGGTATAGCTCTGTCGCTGCTATGCCGCCGACAAGCGGGAGGGCAAGGCCCGGTGTAGGTGTGGCGTCGTTCCGTGCTTCTGCGCAGAGACCCGACAAAGCCTTGTGACGAAGCAGGTCGTCGGCGATATCAGCTAGTCGGCCAAGCACTGATGGATCCATCGTAAGGAGGAAGGGACAAGGCAGAGACGGTGAGGGGCCAAGAGGCGTTGCCTCACGTCCTGCCGCTCTGGCCTCCTGTGCTCGCGCCTCTTCCTCTCCCTTTGTTCCTCAATGGCTGCCGCTTTCGCTTTCTCTCGGTCTCTCACGAACCCATCACTGCTCAATGTCGACTTGCTCGTACACGCTGTTGCACGACCTGCGAGCTTTCGAGCGCACCTACCTCGCCGCGCTTCGAGATGCTACGGTCGATGGCATACTCGTGAAGGACTGGTGCGCGCTCCTCGGCAGGATTCAGAAGGCCTTCAAGCTTGGCGAACTAAGCAGCGACGCTATCGCCGTGGTGCAAGGTGTTGTGTGTCGGGTCCGCATTGTGGCCGAAGGAATGGCCAATTTGCAGGCCAGTTGCGACACGACCATCATCGACATGGTACGGCAGGCAAAGTCGACGCTTGACTCGACGAAGGATGGGTACGAGTCGGGTCCGGGTCTTGACGCAAAATCCCTGAGCCGAGACGCCGACTCCTTCGACTCGTTGGACGACCCCACCACCTTCACCCCGTACCGGCAATGGTTCCTCGACCACTTCTCGAACCCGTACCCGTCGTCGAAGGACAAGGACGCGCTGCTCGAGCAGGTGACGGTGCACACGCGGCGGCAGCTCGACACCTGGTACACGAACCAGCGCCGGCGGTCAGGCTGGCACGCCCTCAAGCGCAAGTACGGGCGCATCTCGACGTTGCTCAAGCGGATCGACGAGGCGGGCCAGGACGACGAGGAGATGCAGCAAGCGATGAAGGAGGTCGAGTGCGTCAGGGCGTACTTCAAGAACGACCGGCAGGATCACGTCCGTGACGAGATTCGCGAGATCATCAGCCAGGGCCGTCCGACGACGTCGACGAAGCGGCGGATCGAGTCGGGCCCGGCGAGACGAGTCGGCGGCAAGATGGCGCGTCCTCAAGCCCATTTCCTCGATAACCCTCCTTCGACGCCCGCGCCCCTCATGCCCGGCTCGTGGACACCCTACCCCGTCGGCCAAGACGAGGACGTCTTCGCGCCGACGCCTACGACTCGCCTGGAACTCGCGCCTCGCCTTCCCTTCGACTTCAGCTCGCCCGACTCCTCCCGCCGCACCTTCTCCGGATCCTCCTCTTCTTCCACCGACTCGCTCATCTCCTACGACCCCCTCGACCTCCCCGTCTCCAAAACCGGACCCGGATCCCCTCCCGCCTCGTCGTCGCTGCTCAACTTCGACGGCCGCTCGACCTTTGTCCACTCCAGTCCCGCTCGCGCCTCTCGCCATTCTCCCCGCCGCGGCTCGTTCGTCGTTCGCAACAGCGTCTACCCGACTCGCCCTCACCCGTACTTCTGCACCGTCAACGAGTTGCCGACTGGTTCGTCGCTCGCTCGATTCGCCTCGTCCTAGAAACAGACACTCCGCCTCGTTCCTTTGTCCTGTATTCATCGTCCTTCGTCTTTCCTTGTGTATCACTTCCAAGCAGTGCATTCGTCTATCACCCCAGTCGAGCCAGAGACTTCGCCTCGTCGTCGCCGCCGGAAGAGAAGGAACGGCTGAACTCGCCCTCGCTCATCCCGCTCACATCGCTCGTCTTGACCGCTGCAACAGCTTGCTAGGCTTCTCTGACTTGCTACAGCACTCCATTGTCACCTCACCACGCCTCACGAGCTCGCCGTCGACCCTCGCTCATTTCGCCGGCTCACTTTCACACGACCGCGACAACGGCATGGAGGCGGAAGAGGCGCTCGCGGGCAGTGAGGCAGCGGCAAAGCAGGCCTACTTGAACCCTTGGGTGATCGTCGCTTCCTCATCCTCCGCGATCTCAGCGAGGGTCTTCACCCATCCTCGTGCGTCCTGCTCCTGCTCTGACTCGGTTAAAGGAGCTGACAGCTCTTCCACAGTGGATACGATTCGGATACGGATACAGACGGCTGGACACCCGGTGCCGCCGCTCAGGGAGCTCGTTCCTGCGCCGAGAGTGAGGGGACTGTATGCCGGTGCGTACGGCTTCCTGCGCTTCGTCGACCATCTCAGCTGATCCAGGAGAGCTTGCAGGCCTACCCGTTGCGATCGGTTTCTCCGTACCCGCTCTCTCCGTCTACCTCGCAACCTACGAAGGTCCGCCTCTACTCCTCGTTCCGCCTCTTCCTTCCGCTGACTAGGGCTTCACACAGCCTCAAAGCGATACTTTAGCGAGAAGTTCCTGCCGCAAGACCGCGAAGCGTCGCTCCTCCAGCAGATCCCGGTTTTTGTGGCAGCAGGAACTGCGGCAGAATGTGCGTGTGCTTGTCTCTTCCGCCCCTCTCTCATTACTGACGCTCTTCGCCCGTAGTCGCGTCCGGCGCGATCTGGACACCCCTAGACGTCCTCAAATCCCGCCTTCAGACCGGCCGAGAAGGCACCTCCGCCGTCGCCCTCACCCGCAAGATTATCAAGAACGAAGGCTGGATGGGCCTGATGCGAGGGTACTGGATGGGAACTGCCATCTTCGTACCCAATATCTCGGTGTACTGGTGTATCTACGAGTCGCTCAAGATGCGCTTCATCCCCAACTACTCGTCCTACCGACCGTCCTCCGCCTCTTCGCCTACCTCCGCTCAATCCGACTCGCCTTCCATTTCTCCAACATCCTCTGCATCCGCCGACACCGCCACCGAATCAACCGGCATCCCCGTCACCCTCCGCTACACCCTCTGCTCCGTCTCAGCCGTCGCCGTCGCAGCCTGCACGACCTCGCCAATCGAAGTCATACAAGCGCGGTGGCAGACATCAGGAGGGACTGTCAAGGGCGGTATCAGCCAAATCGTGCGGGACTTGTGGCGGCAGGAGGGAGCGAAGGCGTTCACGAGGGGGTTGGGCATTCGAGTGGCTTATGCGGTGCGTCTCACTCGCTTCTCGTCATCGCGTACGTCCTTACTAACCCATGCGGCTGCAGATTCCGGCGAATGGCATCTCCATGACGATCTACGAGTCCATCAAGCGGTGGAAGGGACTCAGCTAGACTTCCTCCTCTTCCTCGCGCACTGAACATTTCACCACTCTCTGCAGATATAGATATCATCGTGTTGTCAACAGTAGACGCCTCGCAATAAATGCTCCAGAGCACTTAGACGGCACAGCTGGTTCGAATGGGTCACGATGCTGGGTATGCTACAAAACGGCTCCAAAAGGTATACCGCAGGATGCTGAGGAGATACACGACTCATCGACCACGCAACGCCTTCGCCCGCACCGCCGTCGCTCCCATCGCCCGCTGACCCCTCATCCTCCGCAGCTTCATGCCCTTCCCTTCCTTTCCTCGCGCCTCTTCCTCCTTCTCCAGCTCAAAATCCTTCGCCTCAGGCATCGGGTACCACTTCCGCTTCTCCGTCGAGACCTTCGCCGGCCCGCTCGCCTCGATTCCGCCCTCGTCTCCTCGCCTGCCATGCCCGACGACATGCGCAGGATGCATCTCCCTCACGGGTATGTCCGCCGGCCTTCCTCGTCCCCTCTCGCCCGCTCCGCCCTTCCATCCCCTCGCAGTCATGGCCTTATGAAAGTTCCGCGCCTGCGCATCGTTGATCTGGTGTCGCGAAATAGCGAACGAGGTGGAGGGTGTGGCGGGTCCGACGCAGAGGAGGAAGCCGAAGTGTTTGTCGAGGAAGGAGGGTTGGAGGGAACCGATGACGGAGCGGGGGTCGCGGAGGAGAGGGGTGGGAGGGATGTAGGCGGGTCGATCGTAGCAAGCGGTCGTCTCGACGCCCCAGATTGACGCCCTGCGAAACCTTCTAGTCAGCTCAACCTTGCTGAGAGCTCGAGAAGAGAGCGAGACTCACGAAACCGCATTATCCTGCACCTGCAATCCCCTCGCATCGCTCAGAGCGAATGCGTACCCGAAGTAGCCGGTGTAGCTCGACAACCTGTTGCGCACGATCTCGCTGCCGAACGGGATCTGGTGGTCGCCGGCAAGCTCGTCGGTCGACCAGGCGCCGGAACCTGTCGAGATGCCAATGCGGATCATGGCGGAGGCGGCGTGAACGCGGTTCTCTCTGTATCGTCCGCGGAGGGCGGCATCAGCTCTGCACTGTTAGACAAGCACAAGCCGAGACCTGTCCCTCTGACGTACCTGACGACAACTCCGCCCAACTCGCCCGCCTTCGCCTTGACCCTCGGATTCGCGACCAGCGCAATCCCGACGAGCATATCCCGATCTCTCGCGACGACCGTATTCTGGTACACCTGCGTCCCCTGGGCTCCTCGCAACGCGATTCCGACGCCCGAGACGTCCCTGACCGTGTTGTCCGCGACAGTCGAGTGCGCGCAAGCGACGCTGATCCCGTCTGTCCAGGTGCCGGGACGTTCTTGGCCGAGGTAGGCGGGCGGACCGTCGCGGAGTCGGCGAAGCTCGGATTGGAGGAAGGCGTCGAGGGGTGCGGGGCCGGAGGTGTGGAAGACGTTGTCGGTGATCGAGACGTCGCGGCAGGTTCCCTTCTCGCCCTCTGCGCACATACGTCGTCAGCCGCATCACAACGAGGATCAGGGACCGAGCGCACCGGAAGCATGCAAGACAGCGTATCCTCTCGCACCCCAAGCGTTGACGGACGTGACCTCCTGCGCTCCCTCGTTCCCTCCAACCTTGATCAACGCATCTCCTCCCTCGACCTCTCCCATCTGTTCTCTCCCACCATCAACATGCAAGTTCCGCACGACGACGCCTCGACACGCATTGCAGTCTGCCTGGATGGCGGTCGTCAAGTCGCCTGAGAAATGACCTTCGACGTTCTCGATCACGAGGGTCGCGCGAGAGTGGTCTTCGGGGAAGCCTCGGGTGTAGATCGCTTGGCGGGCGGCGGTGAAGGTGATGGGAGAGCCGTGAGGGTCGATCTGCGAGCGGGAGGGAGGTTAGCGAAGTTCGCCTCGCGCTGTCTGGAGCAACCCAACGCACTGAGACCTGCGCGTACGGGCACAAGACGACCGCAGTTCCTGCTCCGCCCGTCCGCAATAGCTGGTTCAGCTCCACTGCCGTTGCCGAGTCGATGCAGTCGGAAGGCGTCGTGAACGGCGTCTGCTTTGCTGCGCCTGCGAGCGGCAGGAGGAAGGCGGAGAGTATCACCAGTGGGGAGCGGAGTCGGCGCTGCGCCATATCGAAACGAATTGTGGGTTGGCGAGAGCGGGAAGGTCTCCTGGGAACGAGTCGCAGACGCCGCCAAGCACGCCTGTCGGACCAAAGTTCTGTCGTCCAACCTCGGACGTGCGTGGAGGCGCCTCGCGAGACCTTGTGAGAAGCGACCGTAGGCGAGCAAGCGAGCGCAAGGTCGCAGGAAGAGCTGAGGAGGGGGAGAGTTCGAGTCGAGCGGCTCTGTGGCCGGTTCCGGGTCTCCGCCTGCGAGCTCGAGCAGCCAGTGAAGCTTGTCTCGCCCAGCCTCCTTGTTCGAAGGTCGCCGCTGTCCTGTGTGGGTGTAATCAAGCGCAAGGAGGAGGCGGGCCGTAATGAAGCAGGATTGGGGATGGGCTGGACGTGATGGAGGGATCGCTGGATCTACGCGCAGGTGCTGGAGAGGACCATCCAGCCCCTCGACCGGGCGACGAGGGCGAGACAAGCAAGCAATTATGAGGAGGCGCAGTTGAGAGGATCTGCCTTCCGCTCGAGGGAACGGCTGGCTTGGCCAGAATGCGGGCGCGCCTGGTCTGCCTCCACAGAACAAGGATCCTCGCCAGCCAGCGAGACGTCGTCGTCGTCGCTCCTTCCAAAGGCGGCGGACGGCGACCTGCCACCCGCTCAGTTTCCCTCGTTCCCCCGCTCTAGCAAAGCTGCCGTCATGCAGACGTATGCCCAGGACAACGCTTGCTTGGACTGTGCTCACCATTCAGCTCCAGCGGAGGCGGGTTGAAAGGGTTGTCGGTCAAGGGGAGCTGCCATCGTCGCCGCATCCTCGCCATCGCGACACGGGACAGAGAGACGGGCTGCTGGTTGACGTGCGTGGGCAGACCTGATCTCGCTCGAGTGCTCGCCTCTCGTCCACCGCGGGTTGGTGTCGCTACTCTCTCTCTCTCGTCCCGGACGCTTCGAGACGACGGCTCGACCTCTCTTGCGATTGCCGTGCAGAGGCAGATTAAACGAGGATCTACGTCCGACGGCAAGGCACAGACCGGCAGCGGAGGCGGGTGTCTGGCCTCGACCGCCCGTCCCCCTCAGACACCTTTGGCGTCGTCTCTGCCCCTCGCGACATCCTTCTCGCCTGCACCCATGGCTGCCTTGCCTCCCGGGCGACCGTTCCCTTCGTCCCGTCACTCGAGGACGCTCTCTCTCCCTCCACCACTCGCAGCGCACTGCAAACGCCTCGCGCGACGCAGCCTCCAGCCCCCTCCGACTTCCTCGGACATCGTCTCTGCCCCAGCTCACATCCCCCTCGCCGCGCCGCCTTTCATGCCCATGTACAAGCCCTCGACGGAGACGACGCCCGCGCGGCTAGTCAAGCTCCCGCCCTCGCCCAGGCAGCGCCGACCCTCGACCGGCGTCGAAGAAGACCTTTGGACAGGTCTCCCTTCCACCGTCGCTACGGCGCCGCGAACGTCAGCACCCTCGTCGCCCAAGTCGTCACACTCGGCCTCGCACAAGCAGGAAGGGTCCAAGTTTCGCCGCCGCCTCCAGCGCTGGACGCACGGCGGTTCGCGCGACCGCCTCGACTTTGGCTGCGCCGGTGAATGGACGGACGGTCCCGCCGACATGGTGAGCACACCGCCTTGCTCTCTGCTTCGTGGTCGATGCTGACCTGGGCTTGCCGTGACGCAGAGCGACTCGTACTACAACCGCTATCCAGGTGGCGCGAACCGCGCTTCCACCTCGTCGTCCGAAGACCAGCCCACCTGGACGCACTCGCGCGGACCTTCGACGTCGTCCAACTTCTCCGTGTCGACCGCCGCATCGTCCATGCCTCCCTCTCCAACCCTCGGCTGCACTCTCGAGCTCCCCTCGCCCAAAGCGTCTCGTGTCCCGCTCACTCCCCGAACGGCGCACCGCAAACGCATGTCGGACGAGATTGCCGGACTCGACGCCGTCAACGAGTACTTCCACCGCGTCAGGCTCAGCCAGATCGAGGAAGACGTCGCGGTCAGTCCGAGGGGGAGCAGGCGCGAGTCGACGATCCGCGCGAGCTTGAGCACCGTCAAACCGCCCAAACGCGAGTCGATGGCGTCGCCCGTCACTGGGCTTGCGATCTTTGGCGACGACGAGGCCGACATCGTCTTCGAGGGCGCCTCGCTCGACCGCTCCGCCGACCAGCATCCGTCACTTCACCACGCTCGCTCGATCTCGCACGACCTCGAGATCGAGTTCATCGAGACGGGACACACGACGTTCACGCCGCTCACCTTCAGCGACGACGAGGAGGGCGACTCGAGCACGACCATCATCATCCCCGAAGACGTCCTCCTCTGCCCCTCACGATCGTCGGTCACATTTGATGCGGCGGATGCTACGCCCTGCACGGTCGCGACGTTCGGGACGAGCGAGTCTGCCGAGTCGTGCGACTCTGCCCTCTCCGCTTCGACCATCAAGCCTCTCACGCTTCAGCGCTCGCCCATCCCCGAGCACGACATCTGCCCGGCTCTCGACGAGCTCTCCGAGTACTTCAGCTCGAGCAACGACCTCCCAAGCCTCGCGACGTCGTGCGCCTCGTCTGCCTCGTCGTCATGCGGCGACACCTCAGACTCGGGGTACTACTCGAACGACTCGCGCGCGGCGTCGTTCAAATTCCCGCCTGTCCATCAGCGCTTCGCATCGGTTCCGTCGCTTCCGACTCCGCGCATTCAGCAGACCCCGCTCGTCAACACGACGAGGCACAAGCGCGGCGCGGCGAGCTTTGCGGCGGCTGAGCGAGCCAAACTCGTCGCCAATGGCCAGGCGACCCCGACCATCGCGGAGCGTCACGTCTGCTACGAGTGGATCTGAGTGCGCCCTCCCCTCCATCGACAAAAGAGCCAATGTGCTCGCCTCTCCTCCTCATATCCCTTGACCTGTATCTTCCTCTCCTCCTCGCTCACGCACATGCCTGTCTCCATAGCCGAGTCGTACCAACCGATGTAGCTCTAATATGCCTCTGCGCAATCCTTGCATGCTCCGTCTGGCAACCCCAGCGAGCCGTTCTCCCTCTTCCTCTTCTCCTTATCGTCCCCTTCGAGCGGTCCCGCATCTTCCGCCAGCGTTCTCCCGAGACGAGCGGGTGTCCGAACTGGCGCGTGAAGACTTGCTTGTGTCACCGTCGACCGCGTGCGGAAAGGGTGTTGCAAGAACTTCTCCCTCCATCTCACGAGGCAGGCGGACCCGTGCCAAGCCAGCGGGCTCGCGAGTCGCCTGATAGCGTCGCTGACGGTCGTCCGACGGATCTCTCCTGGGTCCTCCGTCGCTCGCCGCTCCGCCGCTCACACACTTTGCCCTCCGTCCTCGAAGACAACAGCGACCAGTCGAGCGCTCAACAAGAGTCGAGACGCTTGACTTGCGGTCGTTGCCTGGAGTGGCAAGGGCACTCGCACGCTGGCCAATCGACCCGCGCTCTCGGCTGCCGCTCTCTGCGCCGTTGTCCCGGATCAACCTCGCTCGCCATCCTCTTTCGCTCGTCTCCTGCGTGTGCTCTTTGCTCTGCGGCTCTTTCAGCGCCGATTAAACTCCGCCCTCCTCGCGGGCTGCGCGCACAGGAGGCTACCCCGCGCAAGGCCTGAGCCATCCTCTCTCCGAACCATTCTTGCACTCCCCTCGACTCCCTTCCTCCTGCGCCCCGAACGATACCGCCTGCGATGCTCGACATTCCTCTTCTCTCCTCCGGCTAATTCCCCGGATCCGCCGCGTCTCATGCGACGATGCAAAACGGAGCTGTCGGATCCTCCGCCATCCTGTTCGCACGGTCAACCATCGGCGCACTGGCGGGGTCGGTGATGCAGAGTGGGCTACCAGAGCTCCAGTACTCGACGGATCTGACTAGGGGAATCGTTCCGAAGGTGTGCTGCTTCCTTGAACGTTCTGCGAGGAGGGGAAACTGACCTTCGTTCGGAATTGCCGCAGAACATCCATTCGCACAACGACTGTACGTTGCGTTCCTTCAGATAGCGAAACGCAATGGGCTGACTTCGCCTCTCGCAGACTGGCGACAAGTGCCGCTCTTAGACGCCCTGAGTTTCGGCTGCAAGAGTGTCGAGGCGGATTTGCACCTCGTGAACGGCGAGATCCTTGTGAGTTCTGATTCTCGTTCGTCAAGCACACTCCTCATTGACGCCGGTCTGCCCCGCAGGTCGGACACAAGAGCGTCTCGCTTTCCTCGCCTCGAACGCTTAACAGCCTTTACCTAGGTAAGCGAGTGTCGCTTCTTTCGGAGAAGGACGATCGCAGCTGACCCTTCCGCGTTCCAGACCCGCTGCTCGAGATCCTCCAGATGCAGAACCCGTCGTCCGACTTTCCGGCAAACTCCACGGCCGCGACTGTCAAGTGAGGGTACCTTCACCAGCCAGTCACTCCGCCCACTGATGATTCCGCTTCGCAGCGGCGTCTTCGACTACGATCCCGAGCAGTCCTTGCAGCTCCTACTCGACTACAAAACCGACGGTCCTACCCTTCACCCCGCCGTCATCTCCGCCCTCGACCGCTTCCGCTCGCTCGACCTCCTCACCACGTGGAACAGCGCCACTTCCTCCCTCTCGACCCGCCCCCTCACCGTCGTCTGCACCGGCAACTGTCCCCTCTCGCTCGTCAACGCACAGCAACCCCTCCGCGACATCTTCTTCGACGCTCCCTTGAACGACATCGGCAACTCGAGCTACACGTACGCCAACAGTATGATGGCGAGCACGAGTTTGAAGCGGTTCACGGGCTGGATGAACATGCTCGATATAGATGATGCGCTGTTTGCGAAGATCCAGGGGATGGTGCAGGCCGCGCATGCGAAGGGGATCAGGACGCGTTTCTGGGAGACTCCCAAGTGCGCACACTTCCTTGAGAACCACTCCCGAACGCGGCTGACCCCACTTTGCGCAGCTGGCCGACCTTTGTCCGCGACAACACCTGGCGGACGCTCCTGCGTGCTGGCGTCGACTGGCTCAACGCCGATGACCTCTTGGCGGCATCGCAGATCTAGGTTCCTCATGTAGACTTCCCTCTATTGTTGTAGACCTCGAGCCTGTAGCACTAGACGTTGCATTACTCGCATGCAAGGCGGCGACGAACGTTCTCAGACCCGTTTCAAGCGTACTCAAGTTGCCCGTCCGCTTCCCTCTTACTCCTCGTCGCCGAAGAACTGATGCTTGCTAGGCTTGACCGCCTCGCTGCCCTGGAAATCGTGCGCGCCGTCCTTGACCGCCTCGCTCGCCGCCTGCCGCTTCGCCTTCTTGCTCTTCTTTTTCTTCTTCTTGCGCTTCTCCTGCTTCGATTCGGGCTGCGTCGGGAGGAGACGGAGGGGCTCGTCGTCGTCGTCGTCCTGGAAAAGGGTGAGGTTCGAGCCTTGAGACTTTTCGAGGCCGACGTCTGGCTCTGGCTCATCGTCGTACTTGAACTCCTGCCGGTTCGCACAAGACGAAGCGTCGTCAGATCTGCCTTCCAATATCGCAGCTCGTTCGAAAGACGAGGCTGAAGACGCACCCTATCCCACATGTCGAGGACCAATTCAAGCATCTTCTCCTGACCCACGTCCAGCTTCTTCTCCTTCACTTCGCCCGCAATCGCCTCGTAGAGCTCCTTCCAGTCATCGGAGTAGACGTAGCGGTGCGGTCCGGTGTAGCGAGAGGCCGCTGAGGCGGGTTTGGCGGTGGGCGAGGGAGTCGGGTAGGGGTCTGCGGGCCGTCGGGGAGTGTGTGAGCGATGCGAAGAAGCTAGAAAGGCAGTAAAACACACCTTGCGTGTCGGTCGAGGCCATGTTGGGCGTGTGAAAGCGAGGAAAGCTGCGAGGACGCGAGCGAGTGTGAGCTTCTGTGCGGCATGCAAGCAGCCTTGCGACGCCGTGCGCCGCCTACGACTGCCTAGCTTGACTCGGCCTCACTCACCTCGTCCGTCCTTGCCTTGTCCCGCTGCGAGCGAGTGAGTGGAAGGAGGCGAAGCGGTGGACGCGATGTCAACAGGCGGATGTCAACGCACGACGACTCCCTCTTCCGCCCTTGCGAGCACTCCTGGCAGCCTATCAAGCACTCTGACGTACTTCTAAACCCTCTGCAGACCCACGAACGCGCCCAAGTCGCGGTGAAAGCGGGCCGACCTTCGCAATCCTCTCACACTCGCCTCTTTCCCTCCGTCTCCTCACTCGCTCCGACCAAACATCGCCCAGTCGCGCTCAAACAAGTACTTTTGACAAGGTAGAGGCCCTCCGGAGACCTGGGCGGCACTCACACGCGCTCGAATCGCTTTCCTGCAGCTCCTCACCCTCTTCGTCTTCGACTCGACTCGCCTCACTCGTCAGTCATGGCTCGCAACAGCACTTCGAAGGGTGCGTCGGGCTCCTACTCGCGGAGGAAGACGCGTCGAGCTGATTCACTCCGGTTGATGCGCGCGCAGGTCCTCGCTCGTCCTCGCCGTCCAAGTCCTCCTCCACCGCAGGAGAGTGCGTCCCGCGTCCGTTCCCCGCCTTTACGCGTTTCAGGGACGCTGATAGGCTTAGTTTCCGGGCTCGTGACACAGCAACCCCGGCCTCTCCGCCTGGCGCGAATTCTACGCCGTGCGTCCTCTTCCCGCCTCCCTCCTCGCGCGCGCAGCTGACTCGCTGGTGACTGGTCGAACAGCGCGAAGCCCCGAAGATCAAGGCCGAGACCCGAACATGAAGGGCAGGATGGTGCAGAAGAGGGTGTCGACGCTGTACAGGGTGCGTTGGCCCTCGTCCGCTCGCTTGCGTCTCGCGCAGAGGAGGAGCTGAGTGGTGGCGTTTGTGACACAGAAGTGGAAGGAGGAGAAGGAGAAGGCGAATGAGTAGGCGCCGCAAACTCTCGTCCTCGAGCCCGTCTTCCGATCCCGTCCCTCCTCTCGCGTTGTCGTAAGCTTAGCTTAGGTTCCCTGTCTGCAACATGTTGTAGCTCTCACTCCTGTCGAACCCTTTCGAGCGGACGCGAGCCGTGTGAGGGAAGAAAGAAAGCGAAAGCGAAGAGTCTGTCGAGAGCAGTCCAAGTCGACCATCCTCTCGCTGATTAGTTCCGGGTGCTGGGGAGAGGTGCATTGCATGAGTGAGTGGCGAGCGGGGAGAATACAACAAGAGCCGAAGACTCGAGGGCGAGGAGAGAAGGCGTCGCGAGGGGAAGGCGCTTTAGAAGAGCTGCGAGTCGACGAGGGAGTCAACATTACACCCCAAGCTCGAGCCAGACATCCGCACAAAGTGCTCGTATGCTAGCGAGAGCGAGGGAAGCAGCCGGACTTACAAGCGAGAGGTATCCCCCGATCATCAACAACCCGCCGAGGGGCGTCGTCGGTCCCACAATTTTCGTCCAGGCGCCCATCCTGCGGGACTCCCAGCAAACAATCAGCTTCTCACCCGCGGCGGCGTGGAGACAACTGAAGCGGCGAAAGAAGACGCACCGCTCGCGGTAGAGCAACAACGCAAAGATCGAGCCGCTGAACAGGGTCGTGCCGGCTATGATGAGCGGTATGGCGATGCGCTTGGAGTATGTTGGGTGTTGGGAGATGGCGAGGAGTCCGACTGCGCCGCTCGAGTGGTGTCAGCGAGAGGAGCGGGAGGAGGGAAGGGAAGGGAGGGGACGTACTGCCGTTCATGATTGCGTAGTGGCTCGCCATCGTCTGTCCAAACAAGGTGAAGCGTGAGCATCCCGATCAGTTCAGTCGTACCAACCCGCCGAGGAACCTCCTCCTCGTCGGACAGGTAGCAAGTTGAGACTCGGGAAAACGCACCCAAGTCCCCGCCTTCTCGCCCAACCTAGGACCCAACGCATGCGCTCCAAACGCGCCCGCCACAATCCCGCTCGAAGCTGTTCACGCCCAGCGCACCCGATTAAGGTCAGTAGTCGCCGAGCGGGGAGAAAAGCGAGGAGGAGGGACGGACTGAGGAGGGCACCGGCCTTCCAGGCTAGAGTGGAGGTGGTTGAGAGGAGGGGCATGGTTATGGGAGTTCTGAACGGTTGGAGAGTGCGAGGAGAGAGGCGAAGAGAGGGAAAGTGATGAGGATTGAGAGGAGGGAAGAGGGGGCGGTGGGCTTCGCGCGGACTTGTGAGCGTTTGCAGTAGCTTCAGCGGGACTAGAAGACAGGCCAAGCGGTCCCCAATGAGCGAGCGGTGCGAACGGTAGGAGGACGAGGGTGGAACTCGCTCAGTTCCTCTAAGTTGACGATCCTCGCGAACGGCAGCAGAACAGCTTCACTTGTCTCTCTGATCTCGCACAACCGCCGCAAGGATCACGCAAAGAACCGTCTCGTTCCGTCGTCCCTCTCAGACCGTCCACTCCGCCTATACACCGAAACCATCCCTCACTTTCCTCCCGTCCATCCTCACGCGCTTCGAGTGACCAACCGTCCCATCTCCCGCAGACAACAGAGCCGGAACAGAGGAGCGAGTGAAGGGCGTCAAGTCGGATCGGAAAGCGAGGGAGGGGGAGCAGTCGAAAGGGAGGCGGAACAAGTGAGGTCGGTTTAGGTGTCAAGCGAGAGGAAGAGTCGAGAGGAAGAAGGAGGAGGAGGCGTCTTTGCGTGGGTTCATTGTCGAGAGGAAAGAGAAAGGAGGGGAAGCGGAGGAGACAACGCCGGGTATCGCTTAGCGAAGGCGGCTGTTTCCGAGCGGCAGGTCAGCGAGGGTGAGAGCATTACGAGGAGTATTGGGGACGCACCGGGCCTCACGCTCGGACTCGAGGAGAGCGAGGATGTCGTTCTCACGGACCGGGCCCTTGACGTTCCTGCAAGCACGTCAAGTACATCAAGTCAGCTTCGCCGCACCGCGGACAGGGAGCAGACAGTCTAGGGCGGTTGCTCACCGGACAATGGAGCGGGTCGCGTCGTCCATGAACTCGACGCGGACCTGGGTGACACCACCGCGCGAGCCGGTGCGGCCGAGAACCTTGACAACCTTGGCGAGCTTGACCTGGGTCTTCGAGGTAGACTCCTGTGTGCGTTCGAAGGGGTGCGCTGGTCAGCTCCCGAGTCCTGCGCGAGTGTGTGGGATGTTGCGAGAGGGGGGTGGTTGGTGGTCGAGTCGCTGTGTCGCAAGTCGTCGCGCATTGGCGGGTCCCGTTCGACCGACAGCGGTTCCCTCTGCACCTAGTTCATACACCACCCCACCCAGTCCCCCTGCGCGTGCCCTCGTTTGCCCGTGTGAGGGGTCGTCGAGTGCGAGCTCGAGCGTGGGATGATCTCGACGAGGAGGGGTCGGGGGCGGGTGGTTGTTGGACTGGCGTGTGTGTCTGGTGTGGTAGAGTCTGTCCAGAGTGATAGAACTTGCCATTGTTGCGGGTGGCGACGAGGTAAGAGCGGGCAAAGCGTGGGCTTGTGGCTCGCTTCGTCGCGCGCCTCGAAAAGCCTGCGCCGCACTCGCTCGCCCTTCTCTTGCCCCGCACCTCCTCAGCCATGGCGTCGACCGACTTCTCGCCTGTCCCCCAGGCAAGTTCTACACCTCCCCAGCTACACACCCGTCCAACAGCGACTCGCCCCCGACCCCGCGACATCGAGCTACACCCATGTCGAAAAACGGACCCCGACACCGCCATCCCACACCACACACGCTCACTGGGACTGCGAGGGGTGGACTGGATGGAGCTGCGAGGGCACACGGATTGGATGGGACAGGCGCGGACACGCCAGAGCGAGGGACGGCCGAGGAATAGCGGCCTCGAGGGCGTGGAGCTAGGGTCAGGCTGCGGGGCAGTGCTGTCACCGCGCGCATCGCTCAGGGAGGATGCTCGAGTGGAGTGAGAACGTTGCGGGACTTGGATTGAACGTGTGCGGGTGTCGGAACGGGCGGGGAGTGCCGGACGAATGCTCGGCCAGACCTTCGACTCGAGGAGGAGAGGGTCAATCAGCATGGCGGGGGAGACGCACGAACGGCGCAGAGAACAGCACCAGCTGACACTCTCGTTCTTCGCCGTCAAACAGGACGTTCTCGCGGCCAACGCCAACGGCATCCTCCTCTTCAACAAGTGGGATGCCTCCGAGGTCGAGGTCAAGGACATCTCGTTGACGGACTACATCCAAGTCCGCAACTCGATCCTCCTCCCTCACACTGCCGGACGCTACGCGACCAAGCAGTTCCGCAAGGCTCAGATGCCCATCGTTGAGCGCCTCGTCAACAGGTGAGGCACGACGCTCTCAGATGGGGCCTGGCGCAGAGATATCGTGGTGCAGCGCGAGACGGATGAAGATGAACGGGGCGAACGAGAACGCTTGGCTGACTGGACCTTGTCGCCCTCCTCCTCCACCTCGTCTTCCCTGCGACCCTCCCCTACAGCCTCATGATGAACGGCCGCAACAACGGCAAGAAGCAGATGGTGTGTCGCAAGCCCTCCTGGCGCCAGTCCTCAAGCTGACCTCTCGTTTGGCGCAGGCCGTCCGCATCGTCGCGCACGCGTTCGAGATCGTCCACCTCCTCACGGACCAGAACCCGATCCAGGTCCTCGTCGACGCGATCGTCAACACCGGTCCCCGCGAGGACTCGACCCGCATCGGCTCGCAGGGTACCGTCCGTCGCCAGGCCGTCGACGTCTCGCCCCTCCGTCGCGTCAACCAGGCTATCGCGCTCATCACTATCGGTGTTCGCGAGTCGTCGTTCCGCAACGTCAAGAGCATCTCGGAGTGCCGTGCGTCTCGAGCCGTCTCTGCGTTGGCTGTCTGTTCGAAGCCGAGCGATGAGAGCTGATTTGGCGACCACGAACTCGCGCACAGTCGCTGACGAGCTCATCAACGCGGCCAAGGGCTCGTCGAACTCGTACGCCATCAAGAAGAAGGAGTGCGTCCCCCCTCCCCTCCTTCCTTCTTCCCATCTCCCATACTGACTCGGGGAACGTCCACAGCGAGCTCGAGCGTGTCGCCAAGTCCAACCGTTAAACAAGCGATTGGAGTTTTCTGGCTCGGGGTGCGAACGGGAGGAGGGAAGAAACGGATCCAGGTTTTGGGGGCGGGCGCGCGTCGTGCGAAGGGAAATTCCGAAGGAGGGGAGCTCGTCCTCCCTCTCTCTCTCTCACCCCGGGAAGTTGTACTTTGTCGAACACCCCCCGAGTCCCCTTCTTTCTCTTCCGGACGCCCCGACCCTTGCTATGGCCTTTTTTCTCTTCCCTCGACTGGTCCGCTTCGAGTCCCTCCTTTGGCTGCCTGCTAGCTCTCACGCTCTCACTCGCGGTCGCCGGGTAGCTACAAGCTTGGATTGGCAACAACACGAAGACGAGCGAAGCTGCGCGCGACTAAGTACTGAACGAAAGCGGGCTAAGCCTTGCGAGACGAGAGGAGGGAGGAGGAGGAGTTAAGCGTCGGCGTCGGAAGCGGGCTTCTCCTGCTCGGCCTTGCGTTTCTGTCTCCCACACCATCGGAACAAATCAGCTCGCATCGCTCGGGACGAGACCATGGGCCGAGGAAAGAGGAGTGGAGAACGCACCTTGTAAAGCGCCGACAAACGCTTCTGGACCGTCTTGCCTTTCATGCCGGGGTACTTCTCCCTCAACTTGACGGACTCGACCTGCTCCCCTTACAACCCGTCAGCCCGCGGGGAGAGAGGGGAGAGGGGAGGAGGACCGGGACGGACGGCGTAGAACGAGCGCCAGGCGGAGAAGTTGGGGTTGCTGTGCGCAGGGAGGTAAGACCGCAGTCTGCCAGCATCCATGAGAAGCATTTGAGACGAAGGCGAGTCCGGACGCACTCTCCTGCGGCCGACGAGGACTTGGACGGCGAGGACGAGCGAGGACCTGCGTGTGCAGCCGGAGAGGGTCAGCTCGACGCGTCTCCCTCCACTCAAACAGCTCAACGCACCCTTCGAAGTACTGTTGCGAGCCATGGCTGACGAGTGAGGCGAGTCGAGTCGAGGAGAGGGTGAGAGGAGCTGCAGGAAAGCGAGTCGAGCGCGTATGAGTGCTGCCCAGCTCTCCGGAGGGCCTCTGTCGTGTCGGACGTACTTGTTTGTGCGCGACTTGACGATATTTGGTGGGAGCGAGTGGAGGGAAGGAGGGAAAGAGGCGAGCAAGAGAGGGTTGCGAAGGTCGACCTCGCTTCAACCGCCAGATGGGCGCGTTCGTGGGTTTGCAGAGGGTGTAGAAGTGCGTCCGAGTGCTTTATAAGCTGTCGCTAGTGCTCGCGCAAGGTCGTGTGAGAGGTTGTCGTGCGTTGACATTCGCCCGTTGACATCGCGTCCAGCGCCTCGCCTCCTTCCACTCACTCGCCCGCAACGAGACCAGGCGAGGAGGCTACTGGTGAGTGATAACGTCTGAAGCTGAGCAGCTACAGGCGCCACACGGCGGCGCATGGCATCTAGCCGCTTGACGAAGGGGCTCATCTCTCGCGTCCTCGCAGCTTTCCTCGCTTCCACACGCAGAGCATGCCCTCGCCCGACTCTCACAGTCCGTCCGACCACACGCTTGTCCCTGTGCGCCGCTCATACCCTCCCTTCCCGCCCGCAGACCGCTCCCTCCCCCTCTCCTCGCCTACCAACCAGTACTCCGGCCCCGGCAAATGCGTCTACTCCCTCTCTTTCCAAGCTTTCTACGAGCGCGAGGCTGAGAAGATCAGGCAGGAAGGGAGGGCAGAGGGGGAGGAGGAGGAGGAGGTGTTGCAGAGGGTGATGGAGCAGTGGGATGAGGTGCGCTGGCTACCGCTCGACGTGTTGGCCCGACGCAGGGGAATGGTTTGGCTGACTGTTCGATACGGCGTTGGCGACAGATGTATGAGCGCTCGGACGAGCAGGGCAACGAGGATCAGGCGGGTGAAGCGGCGCAGGACACAGCCCAGTCGCTCGTGCAGCTCAAGAATCGCGACTCGAATCGGTCGGCGAAGCACGAGCAGAAGGCGTCGACGAGCGGGAAGAAGCGCAGGAGCTCGACGAGCGCGAGGGCGGACGAGGCGTCGAAGGAGCCGGTGCGTCCTCTCCCCTTGCCCGCGTTCTCAGCTGCGCCATTTCCAGGTTCGACGCTGAGATGTCGGACCGGGTTGGTCCCGCAGCGTTCTCAGCTCCCTCGCTCCAAGCCCTACAGCCGCAACCCCTACCCGACCTACACTCACACGACCTCCTTTCTCTTCCACTCGTCCTGGCACGACTCCAACACCTACATCCACTCGACCTCGTTCTCCTACGCGGGCGGCCCGTCGTTCCATCTGCAGAACTTGTACTTCTCGCTCGGGACGAACTACCGGGGCGGATGGGGAGAAGCGGGAGGAGATAGGTGGGCCTCGTCGGATGTTTGGTACGGCCAGCATCGTCAGAGCGATGCTCGCGAGTCGGGTGGGAGGAGTGAGAAGAGTGGAGAGCTCGTGAGGAGGAAGTAGAGGCGAGGAAGGGAGAACGCGCTTGAGTCGAGGCGAGCAGAGGAGCGCTTGAGAGGGTAGAATCGCTTTTGCTGTGCATTGCATATCGTCGTTCATCCAAGCTCCCATTCAGCCGAGAGATGCGCTTGGAATCGAGGAGGAGGAGGAACAGAGGGATCGCTCCCTTTCCTCCACGCGCGTCGACTCCGCCACGACCTTCAAGCTCTGCCCTGCGTCTCTCCCGAGCCCACAAGTGCAATACGAGCGACTGCAAGCACCCTCGTTGCAAGCCCTCTCGACTTGAGAAGGCCGTGTCCCTCCTCCTCCTCGCTCCTCTTCCACGTCGTCTCGCACGCCTCCTTGCCCACCCGTACTGGACTCGATTCGTCGAGATGAGCGCAGGAAGGGAAAAGCTGTCACCATCGCCGAGCTTGTGAGCGGGGTTGCGCAAAGGGCGAGCGGGATGGTGCAAGCTGGTCGAGGTCGGGTGAGGATCGTGATTCGAGGGCGTGGTTGCTGGTTGTCCTTGTACTTCACTCTGCCAGACTGTGCTCACTGCTGCTACTCTCACTTCCCTCCCGTCTCTCTCCTCTCTCCCGCTCGAATTCGGTGCACGTGCAGTCAAGTCCCCCCCACTGTGCTGAGGGTCAGGTGAGGATGAGTTCGGCGCTGTACGACGCCGCGCTGTGCTCGGTCGACTTTGCGCAACTGCTGCCCGGCCTCTTCAACCGCGACGACAACCAGCACCGCACACCCTCACCACCACGTCGAGCGAAGGACGCGACCCCGCACCGTGCCCCAAAGACCACTCCGCACGATCACACGGCGACGGCGACGAGGAGCGAGGACACCGGCGCAGGGCTCATGGCAAGGAAGCATGCGCACACCAACAAGGGCAAACACGACGGCAAAAAGGTGCGCACACTCTCCTCCGAGACCGCACCGCGAGGCAGCGAGACTTTTCTCCATCGCACGCACGTTGGACCTCGGAAGGAGTGGAACTGGGAGTGGGCGCAGGTGCTGACGAGTAGACTGTACACAGGCTGGCGCAAAGGCCAAGTCGAACGGTGCGACCCGGCCACCCAATTCCTCGTCCCAGCCCGCTCCTCCTCCATCGACCGCAGCCGGCCTCACAGCAATAGCCTCTCCCTCTCCCTCCTCGTCGTCGTCGTACCCGCAAACATTCTACAACGACGACCTCAGTACAGCCCCGCTCTTCCCGCCCGCGTTCAAAAGGACAGACAGTCGCCCTTTACCGCCGCTCGACCTCGAAGACCGGGATCTCGACACGCGCTTTCCTGCGGCTTCGAACTCGCCTGGCTCGGCGGCGCGGGATGTTGCGGGGCGGATACACCCGGCGGATCGGGACGCGGACGGGCGGCTGAGCTGGCGCTCCGCCGACGAGGAAGACTACTCGTACGACTCGAGTCTGTCGAGCTCGCTCTCCTACTCGGACGACGACTACGACGAAGATGCGGATGAGGAAGACTCGGGTGGTGGAGCAGACGACGAGGAGGATCTCGAGGAGGAGGAGGACGACTCGGATGAACGACGACCGTTCCCCGACCCCCGACTCGCGAAACAACAAAAGTACCTCCGGCGCTCTCCCGGCGACGACGACAAGCTGGATGTCTCTCCCCCGACGCACGTCGAACACGCTCACCCGCCTCGACTCGACACCAACCTCGCAATCTCGCACATCGCCGCCGTCCGGTCAGCGTACGCAACACCGCTCGACTCGCCTCTCGTCTCGCCTTCGCTCGTACCCTCGCACAAGACCTCTATCCTGCCCGTCCCTTCGAACCTCCCTTCTCCGACATACGACCACCCCTCGCACTCGGTCGACGAGGGCCACTACACCTCACTCCCTAACTCGGGCGTCGAGCGGACTTACGTCCCTCCCTCGGCCTATACATCAGAAGTGTCCGACTCCGAGTCGGAATCAGACTGGAGAGGAAGGAACCGTCACCCCCGTCTGTTATGGCGCTCAAAACTCGACCCCTCCTCTCTTCGCGTCTTGGACGCCCACCACGCGCGTGTCCGCGGTGGACCCTTACCCCGTCTGGTGGTGGACGAAGAGGGGAGAGTCGTGCTGAGTGCTAGTGGAGTCGAGAGGGAGCGAGAACATGCGGGCTTGGAGGAGGGGGAGGGGAAGGAGAGGGTGCGTAGGAGGAGGGGGAGGATGGACAAGGAGGGAAAGGCGAGGAGTTGGAGCGTGGTCGGGAGGAGGTGGAGTCGCGCGGTCGAGAAGTGTGGGCTGTGATCGCGAGCGACGCTCGTCCTCTCGCTTGTTTCTTGGGTTCCCCGTCAAAAGTACATAAACCTCGCCCCGTTTCGTTTCTTCTTCGGTTGTGTGACTCCCGAGCATCTCTCTTCTCGCTTACCCACGCATCCCATCAGTTCAATCAGTACCCGATTCCCCTTCCTCTCTCTCTCGTAGCCCGTCTCGCACTGCAACAAGCATATCCCGTCGTTCCTCCCCCAAAACCCACTCGTTGCACCTCTACGAGTTCTGCTCCTCTTCCTCTGTCGCGCTCGCCCTCCCACCCTCGTGCAACGCGAACGTACTCCCCGCCCCTACGAGCGCCAGGAGGACCATAACGACGAAGACAAAGTTCCCGCCCCAGAGGCGGTGGGAGACGGAGAAGGCGAAGAGGGAGGAGGCGGTGAAGGGGCCTAGGGCGCGCATCAATGACCTGCACACACGAAGATAGTTAGTTGAGGAAGAGGGAGAGGGAAGGGAGGGGGGAGGGACGCACGCGACCATTTGGGCGACGCCGTTCAGTGTGCCTAGGAGGCGCTTGGAGGGCGCAGAGTCGGTTATGTTGAGCATGTTGCAGCCATACGACATGTTGGCGCTGCAAAGTTGAGCGGGATCAGCCAACGCATCCGTCAGAGCTCGAGGGAGAGAGAGAGGAAACGAAACGCACATCGACTTGAGCGCCAACATGACCACCATCACGGTCCAAACTTCCCTACGTCCCCTCTCGCGCGCACACCACCCCATCACCGGAAAGAGCGCAAACACGACCGGCCACAGGCTCATGAACGTCCTGTAGAGGCGGACGGTGCCGAATCGTTTTTGGAGCGGCGGGAAGAAGAGGACTTGGAGGGCTACGGAGAGGAGGCCGTTGAGGGAGAGGGCGAAGCCGATGTCGGATTCTTTGAAGCCTGCGAGGAGGGAGGGAGAGGGGTTAGGAAGGTTGGAGTGTAGGAGGGGAAGGGACGCACCTAGGCCGCCGATCTTGACGGAAGAGTAGCAGAAAAGGATGAAGAGGGCCTAGGAGGATGCAAAGCGTCAGCGGCGTTTCACGGGGCTAGGCTGGAAGGGACTCACGTCCAGGCCGACCGTCTCCAGCGCGAGGAGCGCCTGCGGGCCAAATGCAAGGACGTCAGCAACACGTAGCTGAAGCGGTCAAGGCGAGCGAACTCACGTAGGTGACGAGCGACGCCCATACTCGCGGCGTGAACAGTTCGCGAAAGCCAGGCGGCTTCTTCGCCTTGATTGCCGCTCCCTCATTCGCCACCTGCTCCGCACTCACACCTCCCTCAGCCAACCGAGACGCGCTCGCCTCGCGCGCAGGCGTGCTATATCCGCTGTCCGTCCCCTCGTCCTCCTCAAACCGCCTCAGCTGGCCTGGAGGAGCTGGCAACGTCGTCGAAGTTGCCGCAACAAAGCGCTGATGTCTCGACACGCTCTTCCTCCATTCTCGGTCGCCTTCGACAGGGGCGACAGGTTTGACGGGCTTGAGCGATTCTTCGAGGAAGAAGAGGCCGACGAGTGCGCCGAGGAAGGGGAAGAGCGCGCCGACGAAGCAGGGGAGGGCATAAGGGTTGTTGCGGAAGAAGGTTGAGTGGCCGAAGAGGGAGGGGAAGTTGTCGGCAGGGTGGGACAGGTAGCCGCCCAGTAGAGGTCTGCGCAGCTAGATCCGGTTAGTACTGGCTCGTAAGGTGAGGATATGTTGAGCAACGCACCCAATGATGGAGCCTATGGACCATGCAGGCGGGAGGAAGGAGAAGGCCCGACCTTGATTCGACTCGTCCGTGATCTCGCCCACGACAGACTTGATCACCCTGCGAGCGCGACGACATCAGCCCATCGTTTGAACGTTCTGCGAGCAGATGCACGCACGCCACGTTCCCGTTCAGCATGCCGCCAACACAGCGAGAAACCACGAGCATCCAGAAGGACTTGCTGAGGCCGAACGAGACGATGGAGAGCGTCACACCCGTCAAGCCGATGATGAGCACAGGTTTCCGACCTGCCCGCGCAAAAAAAAACGTCAGTACACATCCTTCGAGAGTGATAGACATGAACGAACAGACCTATCCGATCCGACAGCCTCCCCCAAGCCAACACCGTCGAGAACGTCGTGAACGCAAAGATCGACTCGATGATTCCGGCGTAGTAGCCGATCTTGGACGGGTCGTCGGTGACGTGCAGGTCTTCGATAAATTGGGAGACGAAGGGAAAGATGAGCGTGAAGGCGACGGGTTCGCCGAAGCGCATGAGGGAGAGGACGAGGAGTTGGGCTGCGAAAGGTCAATCGTCAGTCCTGACGCTTTCCATCGCTACTATACACAAGCTCTTGAGCCCTGAGAGACTGGCGCATGGACGGGGAGCGTCAGGAACGCACTCAGAGGTAGAGGGGTCGCCTTCTTCGTCTCCTCCCGCTCCTCCGCCCGTCCAAGCAGCGGTTCCCGCTCGTCATCCGTCCTGACAGCTTCTCGTCTACGTCCTCTATCACCAGCGAGACCCGCAGTGCCCGTCATCAGGCTCTTCGCTTCCTTCGGCGATGAAGTCGTAGGACCGGGCGGACGGCGTGTGGGAGTAGCTGAGCGGGCCGGGCCGATTGTAGCGAGTGCAAGACAGCAGTTTCTGAGCTAGCTAAGCGGCCAGGCGAGTTGAGACGAGTGGGAACCAGTCAACGCCCTCATCGGCCGAACCGACGGCAAAATAAGAAACCTCACGTCGACGCGAGTGCTCATTTCTGTGGCGTATGCAGCATTGAAGAGGTCCGGCTCAAGCTACGTAGCGGTCCGGGAAGCAGCGAAGCGAGACGATGAGCACAGGGACCCGTCCTTCTCGCAAAGGAGGAGAATGTAGACCACAACGGCGTGAAATGGCAAGACCCGACCCGACTTTCCTCCTACTTGGCCTTGTTGCCCCACCCACTCGCAAGCTTGATGGCATTGGCGCCGGTCGACGCCTTGAGCGCCCACGCCTCCGCCTTCTTCTGCTTCGCCGCCTCGTCCTTCTGCGCTCCAGGCTTCAACCGCCTGTCCCTGACCTTCTTTCCGCCCTTTGCGCCCTTCGCATCGCCGCTCGCCTCAGCCGCTCCCTCGCCGCCCTCTCCACCGTTCTTCTGCTTCTCAGCAGCCAACTTCCACCTCCCCGTCTTGTTCCCATCCTCGCGCTCGCCCTCCTTCATTCTCTTGTTCTTCGCCGCCTTCTCCCTCTCAGTATTCAACTTCTTCCTTTGCTCCTCGATTTTCGCACGGCGAGTCGCAGAGTTTCCGCCTCCTCCGGCGGTCAACTCGACGTTGATCTTGCGAGAGGAGAGGGTCGAGTGGTGTAAGCGGAGAGCGGATTGGAGGGCGGTGGCGGAGGTGAATTCGAGGAAGGCACAGCCTTTGGAGGCGGGTTTCGAGGAAGAGTCGGAGGAGGCGTTCTTGGGCGTGAGGAGGCGGACGGTTGGGACTTCGCCTGCGGCGACGACGTCAGGACGTCAGTTGAGTCAGATTCTAGCTAAGAGACGGGAGGGACGCACCGCATGGCTCAAAGTGCTTCTTGATCTCGTCGACCGTGATCGTGTAGGGCATGTTGCCTGGAGCGAGGCGGATGAGCGTTAGCGGCCGCATTACGCTCGGGACAGTCTTCAGGCTCTGATGGAGCGACACTCACCGACGAAGAGCAGCAGACGGTGATGCCCCTCCCCTCCCTCTCCGTTCGCCGCTGCCTCCCTCGCCTCTCTCTCCCGCTGAGCCTTTGTCTTGCCACGTTGCCGCTTCTTCTTCTTCGGTTGATCCTCCTCGCCCTCGTTCGCAGCCGCGTCCTCCGCTTTCGCCTCTTCCTCATCGTCCCGTCTCCGCTTCTTCGACCCCTTGTCGCCCTTGCTCTTCACCTGTTCCTCCTCCTCCGCGTCCAGTCCACCGTTCTCCCGTTCCTCAATCTCAGCAACCTCGTCCTCGAAGCTCGGCGCGACCGCCTTGCCCTTCTTCTTCGCGCGGAACTCGAGCGCCTTCTTCTCGCGCTTGGTGAGCTTGCGCGCGGGTTGTTGCGCCGGTGCGTCGCTCATGGTGGGTTGTAGGAGTAGCGTGCGTAAAGTTGAGCGTGTCTGGCTGAGCGTGAGCGTGTGTGCGAGTGACAAGGCGGAGACTGAGCTTGAGATGTGAGGAGGCGAGCGAGTTGACCTCGAGGACCGCGAGAAGGGCTGGAAAGGACAGTCAAGCTCTGATTGTCGTCTTTTGTCATATACAAGGCCTTGCAACGCCAGAAGAAGCACTCTTTGTCGCTGTCCAGCTCGCTCGTGTTCATCGAGGCGGTGCTTGCCTCTCGACACTCGCTCGCTCGCTCGCTGCTGCCGCTGGAAGCCGCTTGACCGCGCTGGAGACGTCACCGGGATGTTCACCTTCTGCATCCAAAAGGTGCGTACCCACTCGCGCTTGTCCCGCCTCGCCTCGTCCCGCTCATCGCTCGCTCGTCTCGCGGCGACTACAGGACACGATCAAGGTCGAGCCGCGCGACTTTGACAAGGAGCCTGCAGAGGCGATCAGGGAGGAGATCCACAGGCGGTACGCGAACAGGGTGCGCAGGCTGTTCTTCCTGGGCAGCTTCCGGCTGTCGACCCTCTCGCGCTGCTTGCCGAATTCAGGCTGGCAGACGGGTGGGTCCAGTCCTTCGTGAGCTGACCAAGATGTGATCGCGCCTGCAGGTCATCCCGAACGTCGGCTTGTGCATCTCCCTCCTCGACATCCTCTCCTCCACAGAAGGCGCAGTCCTGTACGGCGACGGCTGCTTCTACTACAAGTGTGCGTCTTCTCTGCACTGTCGTGAGTGATTCTGACTGACGAGGCACTTGGACGGAGCAGGCGAATTCCGATTGATCATCTTCCGACCATATATCGGCGAGGCCATCCTGGGCAAGGTCAAGTCGCAGAGTCCAGAAGGAATCGTCGGTGCGTCGCCTTCAGCTCGGTGGGAGGAGGTACTAGCGCTGATCAGCTTGCCTGGCCCGCAGTAACGGTCGGCTTCTTTGACGACATCCTGATCCCTCCAAACTTGCTTCCCGACTACTCTGCCTTGTGCGCCTTCCTCTCCTTCATTGGACGCCCCGACAGCTAACGTGCACCCCCGCGCAGCGACCACGACCGACGAGCATTCTTCTGGCTCCCCTCAGACGGCACCGAGCCGCACCGGCCAACAATCAAAGACCTCCTCTCCTCTCCCGAAGACAGCAAGCTCTTCATCGGTCGGAAAGACTGGATCCGGATTCGAGTCGAGGAGGAACACTGGGACGATACGAGCCCGACGAGCGGGAAGAGTCAGCCGCCTGCTGCGGCTGGAGCACCGGGCGTGCAGGGAGAGCAGCAGCAGCCGAGTGTGATGGATACGGCGAGGACGAATGGCAAGCCGCCTTATTCGCTCATTGTGCGTGCTTGTATCCCTAGCCGGTTCTGTGGAAGGAGGACTGACCGCAGTTCGCTTCGCAGTGCTCGATGGCAGAAGACGGAACTGGCGTCCTCGATTGGTGGGACGAGGAGGCAGAAGAGTAGTTGCGCGCCGAGCGATCGGAGGTTCCTCTCCTTGTTGTAAGAACACTTCTGCGCCAATATGATTGTTGCGAGCGAAACAACTGCTGGACAGACGAAAGGAGGACTACCGGGTGAAAGAACGAAGAGTTGACGCGAACCAAGACCAAGACTATACACGAACACCCTCTTCCTCGCTCAACTCGACCACTTCTCCCTCCTCGCCGCAAACTCGCTCTTAGTCGGACTAGTCGTCGGACTATCCCACCCATCCCTCGAGTTGCCCACGACCTTCCCCTCCTTCAACCTCTGCAAATCACGCGCGATCGTCTCCCTCCGCGCTTTACGTTCGCGCTCCCGCTCGCGCTGCTGGTGAGGCGAGTAAGGGAGAGGAGGCGGAATCGACTTCGACCAGGGGGAAGAGGGGTTCTGGGAGGGCGAGACGAGGGAGGAGCGGGCGGAGGGTGCGGGAGACTGGGCGGTCGAGAGAGGGCGGCGGGTGAGCGAGGTCGTGCGCGAAGGCAGGAGATCGGTGTCTGGCGAGACAGATGGGCGGCGGTTCTCATCGGCGGCTGATTGGGCAGCCGAGAGCTGATCGAGCATGCGCTGAGCGGCGAGGTATTTCTGCGTGCGAGGAGAGGCGTTAGCGAGAGTAAGTTCAACGAAGCGAGGGAACGGACGTACCTGCTTCCAATCCTCCGCCCGCGCCTCAGTCTCGTCCAGCTCCCGCTGCTTCAGGTCAAGCAGCCCGTTCAGCTGGCCCTTCTCGCGCTGTGCCGCCGCTTCCGATACCTCAGCCTGCTTCTCGACCTCAAGTAGCCGTGAGGCGAGTTCCGCGTTGCGGATCTGCAGCTCGACATTGTTCTCGATGACGCTCGACGGCGCAGTCGAGTCGGACATCGTGGAGGCGGCTGATGCAGAGGACGAAGAGCGAGCGAGAGGAGTGGCCGAGTTCGACGAGCGAGCCTGCAATTCGGCGAGTCGGGACTTGAGCAAGTCGGTTCCGGCGCGTTGATTCTTCTCGTACGCTTGTCGTTGCGCCTCGAGTCGCTCGAAGCGGTCAACCGCACGCTGCAGCAGATCCGCCTTCTGCGCCTTGGCCTGCAAGTCCAGCTTGAGGCGTTCGACTTCCGCCTGAACAGCTTGAAGGGCGAGCTCCTTCTCCCGCTCAAGCTGCTGCTCGGTCGCCTTGTGCTGCTGCGTGTGGAGTTCGCCCAGCTCCTCGACCTCCTTGACCCGCCGTTCCGCCTCTTCCACCGACTTTAGCGCAACGTCCCGCTCGAGCCGAGTCGCAGCCGCTTCGTCAAGTGCCGCCTTGACGGCCCCTTCCCGCGCGGCGATGACGGTCGCAAGTTCCGTCTTGACGCTGTCGACCTGTCGCGAAAGCGAGGCGATCGTCTCCTCCTTGGCAGCCGAAAGCGACTGCGCCTCGACGTCCTTCGCCGACAAGCGCCGTTCGAGGGCAGCGACAGACGCTTCGAGCTTGCCGACGAGCGCGTCCCGTTTGCGGAGAGCGTCCTGCGCTTCCCGCAATGCGGCAGCCTTGGCATCGTCCGACCCGGCGTGGTCCTGCTCCATCCGCTCGACACGTTCCTGCAGCTGCTTGACCTCCTGATCCTTCTTCTTCCGCAGAGTCTGCAACTCGTCCTGCACACTCTGGAGCGCCGTCCGCAGCGAGTCCCGCTCAGCCTGCAACCGGTCCAACTCCTCCTTCATCGCCGAGATCTCGCGCTCGAGAGCCACGATGCGCTGTCGCCGATCCTCGCTCAGCTGAGCCGAGGCGTCCGCATCGACTCGTGCCCGCGCGGAAGCGCCTTCGAGATCGGAAAGCTGCGCCCGGAGCGTTTCGAGGTCGGCGTTGGCGGAAGAGAGGGAAGCGAGCTGAGCCTGCGCTGCTTCGAGCTGTTGTGTGAGCGCGGCCTCCTGTGGTTTACTGTCTGTCAGTCGCGCGAGACAAGAGTGGAGCTGACGGCGAGCGACGCACCTTCTCCCTCGACTCGTCCTCTTCCGCCAAGCGTGCGCCAGCGCTGGCACGTAGCGTCCCTCGTCCGTTTGCCGCTCCCGCTGCAGGTGTTCCTAAGCCCAACCCGCTCACGTCGCTGATGACCCGCTTACTCGGTGTCCACCCCGTTCCCCTGACGCTCCTCGACCGACTCGGACTGAGCACCATTGGCAGCTCAGCCATGCCGTGGGCGCCCGAGACCCGCCTCGCGCTTCGCTCGAGTTCCGGCCCGGTGAGGACGAACCGCTGAGTCTCGCTCAACAGGTTCCGCAGTCGCTCAAGCTCCTTCTCCTTTTCCTCAAGCGCCGATTGCTGTTCGCGACCGAGCCGCTCAGCTTCGGTGAGACGGGCGAAGGCAGCGTCGCGTTCGGAAGCGAGAGTATGCGATTCGAGGGAGGAGATCTGGGTTTCGAGGTGGGCGATCTGGGCGGCGTAGCGCTTGAGCATGACGGCGTCGGTGACGAGCTGTGAGGGTACGTTGTGAGCGCTGCTTCCGGCTGAGGCAAGACGACAAGCGACGCACGACACCCCTCTCCGCCTTGGTAACCACCATCTTCGCCCGCTTCGCGAACTTAAGCGTGCTGAGCGTCTCGGTGGCCTGCTCGGCGTCAGGCGAGACGGTGCAGACGACTGCGACGCGAGAGTTGCCGGACAAGGCCGGTTGAAGGAGACGGGTGAGTTTCGAGTCGCGGTACGGGATGTGGGCGGTCGAGGTGGTCGGGTCGGTGAGCTTGCCAATGACGGTGCCGAGGGTGAGAAGACTGTGCATGAGATGTCAGCTGAGTTAAGAGAAGCGGAGCTTGGGCAGACGCACGACTTGTTGATGAAAGCGCCTTCCTTTCGTCGCTCCTCCTGCCCAGTCGCCGACTCGGATCCTGCCAGGTCGATCAGGTTCTGCGGCACAGAAGAGTTGGCACAAGTAAACCGTCGTGACTGTATGGGAAGACTCACGAGCTTCGAAGTCCGGGCCGATCCGTCCTTCTTGCTCATCGACTCGATCGTCTGTGTGAACCGAGCGAAAAAGTCAGGATCGCTTCGCAGGGCGAGAGAAGGAAACGATACGCACAACGATGAAAACGCAGTGACTCCTCGAACTCCGCTCGTTCCAGTCCGTCGCGCCGACTCGCCTCCTCGTCTCGCCCTCCTTCAGCACCTCCAGCACTTCTTCAGGCAAACCAACCGCTCGCTCCTCCAGGTTCTTCACCATCCCATTCTCGACGATCTCGGGACCCTTGCCGTTGGTCGACGAGGCAAGCAAGTCGCGCAGCTGTTCATTGTAGATCTCGAGGAAGGAGACGCGGAGCGAGTACGATCGGCGAGAGTGTTGGCTGTGGATGTGGGAGAAGAGTTCGTCGATCGCGAGGGGGATGATGCCGGGTTCCGAGGGCGAGCCGAGCATAGTGTGCGTCTTGCCGGAGGCAGTTTGGCCGTAGCTGTGGGCGCCGAACGTCAGCTAGACGCAGCACGTGGAGCCATCGCAGACTCACGCGAAAACTGTGCCATTGAAGCCGCCAAGCGCAGCCTTGACTACAGGCCGAATCTTCTTGTCGTAGAGGTCTTCCGTCGGGCTCGGGTGGACGTGCAGCAAGTCGAAGCGAAACTCGTACTCGTCCGACATCGCTTTCGGCACGGACGTCGACGAGCCGAAGCGTTTGAGGAGGGTCGGGTGCGAGGAGGTGAGCGAGAGGGTCGAGTCGGCAGGGGAGAAGGTGTAGATGGGTTGTGCGGGGAAGACATTGGTCGACTTCGGCGGACGTACTCTGCAGGCGAAACGTCGTCAATGGAAGATTCGCAAGCTGTCGACGGGGAGAGACGAACCGGAGGCAGACGACGACATTCTGCTGCTTGCCGTCCTTTTCCTCCTCCTCCGTCTCCGTCTCTTCCCCTTCAGTCCCCGATACCTCCTCGTACGCCCGTTCGACAATCGAGCTCCTGCGCCCATCCTCAGACTCGAAATCCTCCAGTAACGGACGTGACCCCCTTGGCGTACTCGGCGGACCAAATCCTGCTCGTCGCCGGGGGACATCGTCGAGCTCGTCTTCTGTGACGAGGTTGTCGTCCAGGTCTGTCTGGTACGAGACGGACGAGGCGATGGTTGAAGCGACACTCGGTCGTGCTTGTCCCCCAGGACCTCGCTCGCCTGTGCTCCGTGCGGATGCGATGCTGAGCAAGCTCCCAGTCGCCGAAAGCATGTTGTTGGAGCCATTCGGGCGAATCCTTGTCCCGCCTGGCGTTGTCGGCGTCGAGCTCCTCCCTGCACCGCTCGATCGAGCGACCTCGCCCGTCACCGACAACCGCTTCGTGGGGCTGGAAGGTCCACCATTGCTCGTCGTAGACAGTCTAGAGCCTGGCCGGGAGGTGCCAGCGATGCCCGTTCGAGAGGCGGGGCGGGGCAGAGGCTGGTTGAGTGATGAGGCGAGGGTGGAGGGTTTCGAGGGTGAGGCGGGACGGGACGATGCGCGGGACTGTGCACGTGTTGCTGGTCGTTTTGGGGTAGCAGAGGGTGTCGAAGGACGAGCGAAAGCCATGAGGCGGCGTGAGGAAGCAAGTCGAGGGGCGACGAGGAGGAGGACGAGAAGAGTGGCCGCGACGTCCGTCTTCGTGGAGGGTTTCTGGGACTTGGCGAGGCTTGTAAGCACCCTTGGGCCCCTGCAAAACTCTGCCCAGCCCCGCCAAAACAGTGTAGCTCGTTCCTCGACCTCCCGCAGTCCGCGAGGGTCGTCCGGTTGCACGCTCGAACGAGACGAGCTCGCACGCCCACGCAAACTTGGGAGATTCGCCGCAGAAAGAGTAGCAAGCCCGTCCAGACAACGGCAAGAGACGTTGGCGAGGTTGCAGCGTCGCGAGAACCGCCAACAGCAGTCCTTCGGTCACCGCTCGACGCGGGCAGAGCTGGCCGGGCGAGCAGGCTAGCAGCACTGCAAGGAGTGTCGAGAGTAGGTCTAGCCTTATCAGAGAGTCTCGGTAGTCGTTGACGACGCTGTGGACGTCGCTTTCCCTGCTCTCCCTCCTACCTCTCACTCGATTCTCGCTCGCTCGCTCTCGGCGCCCAGCTAGACATGCTACGCTACTTCCGTGTTCCTGGCTTGCGCCTCGCTCGCTCCGCTAAGCCGCCGCTTCGCCCTGTCAAGGCCGTCAAGTCGTCCGCTCGCGTCACTGAGGTGTGCGGCTGTGCGTCATCTTCTCGCGCACGCTGTGGGAGGTGAAGCTGACCCTGCGAGTCAGTCCCCAGAGGCTACCCTCACGTCGAGGTCGCGCGCAAGTGCGTCGTCGACGCTGACCCGCCTTTGTCGCAGATGTTGCTGGAGGCGTGCGGTGAGTGCCCTTCGCCACCTTACCGCCCGAGTAGCAGCTGAGGCTCGTCTTGGCAGCGGAGGGTTACGACATGGCCAAGCAGTACCAAGAAGCCTTGCGCTGGGAGCAAGCATGCAAAGCTGGCGGAGTCTGCCCGCCCGACATCAAGGCACTCCTGAGCCGCGACGAAGTGCGTAGGGTGCGAGCTCCGTCCGGGTTTCCGCTGACAGACCAGAGTCACGCAGGACACGCTCTCTGAGCCCGAGTACCAGAAGATGGCGGAGTGGGCGGACCAGTGGGGGTCGAAGGTCTTCCGCAGGAGCAATATGCTCGAGTACGGTCAGCCGATCCCGCCGTGGTCGCTCGTTCGCCCGCGCTTCGAGACGTTGTACAAGGATCGCGAGATGACCGAGGAGGACGGGAAGAAGGAGAAGGAGTGGTGGAACCGTCTCGCTCGCATCTTCACCGAGCAGTACAAGAGGGAGGAGGAGGCGGAGGACAAGAAGGAATGACGGGGCAGACGCGGAGCTTCTGCGCTTGATGTCAGCGTCGCTTGTCAGGTTGTAACAGCTTGTTCGGTCTGTCGAAGCCTGCGAGATGCTGGGCGAGGACGAGCAGGAGACGTCAAAGCGGGTTGCGAGGAGTCAAAGATTGCTGCAGCAGGCTTGGGAGTACTGTTTCAGGCAGTCGAGAGCTCGGCAGAAGGCAGGCGAGAGAATGGCGGGAGGACGAGGACCCTCTCGCCAAAACCGCTCGCTTCTCGCTCGCCGCACCCGCTTTCCGGCCTCATGGAGCGGCCATACAGCCACACCGACCCGTCTCCGCCACGGACAGGCGAGTGGGACACACCCACGAACCGCCGTTTGACTCGCTCGGACTGGACAGCGACTTCATCAGTTCCGACGAGGGGCGGAGGAAGTAGAGCGGGAGAGCTGGTCAGGGCGTCTGATGTCAAGCCTGTACTGTCGAATCTCAAGCAAGAGGTCTTGCCCGTGCGTCGCGGTCCGCTACTGGGCCACGACGACCCCGCTGACTTCATCTCCCTCCTCGTTCGACCTCGCAGGAAGACGAATACATCGAGCACCTCTCGGCTATCATCAAGCGCGACTTCTTTCCGCATTTGCAGACGCTCGAGACGCGGAATGAGGTGCTTGCGGCGCTCGAGAGCGAGGACTTGGAGCGGATCGAGGACAGTGTGAGGCGGATGCGCGAGGAGAGAGCGTATGGGCGGACCCCGACGCCGAGACGAAGAGCGAGAGGTGCGCAGTAACTGGAGACTATCAGTAGAGTGCGAGCTGACCTAGTTTCCTGGCAGACGCGACTCCCGGCCGGACACCTTTCTCTTCTGCCGATCCATCCGCCACGCCTACCTTCTTCGACCAAACCCCCCTCACGACGTCCTCTACGCCTGCTGCACGACCCTCCTCTTCCCGCGGAGCTCCCGCCCCTCCTCGCATCGACCCCTCCCTCTCCCTCGACGCCTTCCAATCCCGCTACACCTCCGAAGACAACTCGTCTTTCCAAGATCTACTCGTCGTCGATAACGAACAACGACGGGATAAGCATGCTTGGGCGTGGCATGCGGAAAAGAAGGCGAATGTGAAGGCTGTGAGGGGAAGACAGGCGAGGGAACGGTTGGTTGATGTCACGAAGCGGATGATCGAGTCGAGTGGGGATGGGACGGTGAGGTTGCTGGATGGACCGGCGGGCAAGCCGGGCGAGAAACGGTTGCTGGTCGACGAAGGCGTTGAAGTCGGGACGAGCGAGAGGTTAATGATCAAGGGTCGGGACGAGAAGGAGCGGCTGCTCATCACCGACAGGAAGGGTACGACGGAGTTGTCGATCAAGGGAAAGGCGCGAGAGGTGGTTGACGAGCGGGCGAAGCAGTTTGTCGACTGGGACAAGCCGACGGTTGAAGAGGATGAGGCGAACAAGCCAATCCCGGAAGACGAGCTGCAGGTGCAGACGTCTGCGTGGCCGTTCAAGGTGCGCTCGACTACGCTCTCAACCTTTGCTGCAGAGCTAACCTCCACCCGAGCGCAGAACCGCAACTCGCTCATGTTCCCGCCCGACGCCGACCGCAACAACCCCTCTTCCCTTCCTCCCGACGCACCCATCGCCTCATCCTCAGCCTCGCCATCCCACTCAGCGAACGCACAACCAGTCCTCGTTGGCGAACCGAAGGGAATTCGCCATCATGCGACGAGAATGGCGGAACTTGAGCGAGGGAGGAGGAGCGGAGCGAGCGATGCGAGTAGCGACATCAGCGCGAGCCCAAGCAGGAGTCGGATCGGTGCGGCGATCGCAGGAACGCCTTGTGAGTCTCGCTCATGCGCTCGCTCGCTTCGTGCTACCTTGAGCTGACTCCCTTGACATTCGACCGCAGACCCCGCTCCTCCCGCTTCGCAGACCCCTCGCGTCTCGGGCTTCTCCTTCGTCGACGCTCTCCCCTCACACTCGTCCTCCTCCCTCCCCGCCCAAGCCCTGCAGGAACTCATGACCTGGGGCACGATCGAAGCGACGCCCGTCACGCTCCGCACCTCAGGTGACGACATGAGTGTCGGTCCTTTCCGCGTGCGCGAAGCGGATAGGAGGGAAGAGTTGGCGCATAAGATGGCGAGGAAGGCGAAGAGGAGTTTGGCGGGTAGTGGGAGAGAGGGCGTTGCGGCTGGCGCGGGTGGTGGTGGGTCGACGAGTCTGAGGAGGTCGGCGATCGAGGCGTCGGTGAGAGGAGGAGCAACGCCAGGAGGAGCGACGCCGAGAAGGTCGACGACGGACCTCTCGCCTGCTGCGCGGTCGTTGCTGGGTCGGACCAAGCCGGGCAAGGCGCTCGAGGGCGGGCTGGCGAGGGAGAAGCAGTGGAGCGAGGATGAGGAGCGCCGACGACTTGAGCGGGCGAGACAGCGCGCAAGGGAGGTCGAGAGTCGGGACAGGCTCAGGAGGGAGAGGTGGACGGTGAGTCCGGCGTCCCCTACTTCGGCTGTCTCCTTGCCACGGTAATCGGTGATGGCTGATACATTTTGTGGCTCGCCGTATTGCAGCCCTCGCCTGCCGTCAGTCTCGGCTTCGACCCGGACCTCCCCTAGACTCGCCTTTTCCGCCGTCTCGTCCTCTCCGCCTCACTCGCTATCAACCCACGACGTCCTACATTCCCTCCACCGCGACGTTTCGCCAATATCAGCATCGATCGAGTGCATGCGCGGGGTCGAGCGTGTGGACTGTGGAGAGCGGGACCACGGGGAAGAGGAAGGCGTTCGCGGGTCGAAGAAGCCTCATTCGGGTGGAACCGGCTCGTCCAGCTTGTCAGTGCGACGCTGTGCATTGTACGAGCCACACAAAAGAGCGAACGAGAGAGGACGAGAGACTTTTCACCTTGAGCGCCTGCGAGCGGTTCGTCGCTCGCTTGACTTGGTCGCTTTCGCCTTCCCCGTTGACTCGCCGTTGTTCCAAGTGAGCCGTGCACAGTCGCGTACACCTCGACAGTGACCAGTAGGAACTGACTGGACTGCCCGCCCGCCCGCTTGTCGCCTCCCTCGTCGTCGCCGTCCTCATCGCCCTCTCTCGCTCGCAACTCTCGCTCGCCCCGCTCGCTGTGCACGCAGGATGCTCTCTCGTACTCGTGTCGCAGCTCGCCAGCTCCGCGTCCAGATTAACGCATCGCGCGCCGTCTCTGTCTGGGCAAACGTCCCCGCCGGTCCCCCCGACCCCATCCTGGGTGCGCTTCGGCTCTATCGCACTCGCTCCACGGCACACTGCGGGGCGTGGGACACCGCGAGGGCGCCATACTTACTGTTGTGATGGCGTACAGGCATCACCGAGGCGTTCAAGCGCGACACGGACTCCAAGAAGATCAACTTGGGCGTCGGTGCTTACCGCGACGCTGACGGCAAGCCCTACGTTCTCCCTTCCGTCCTTGCCGTGCGTGCATTTCGCTCAATACACCGCAGACTCTCGGCTGACCCGCTGTTGGCGCCCCGCAGGCTGAGGACAAGGTCATTGGCGAGCGCAAGGACAAGGAGTACCTCCCCATTACTGGCTTGGGCGAATTCACCAAGGCCGCTGCCGTTCTCGCTTACGGCGAGGACAGCAAGCCGTTGAAGGAGGGCCGCGTGCGTACCCGTCCAAGCCCGATTCCGGACGTGCCGCCCGCTCACCTTCACCTCCTCTCGCTCGTTCGCAGGTCGCGATCACCCAGTCCCTCTCCGGCACCGGTGCCCTCCGCATCGCCGGCGCCTTCCTCGCTCGCCACTACCCCCACTCGAAGACGATCTACCTCCCCGCGCCGACTTGGGGAAACCACATCCCCATCTTCAAGGACTCGGGTCTCGAGGTCAAGACCTACTCGTACTACGACAAGAACACCGTCGGACTCGACTTTGAGGGATTGAAGAAGGACTTGCAGGTGCGCACAAGAGGCATCGGAGGAGGGGCGGACGGAGCTGACGGACTTGCGCTGGACAGGCCGCGCCGAACAAGTCGATTGTCCTCCTCCACGCCTGCGCGCACAACCCGACCGGCATCGACCCGAGTCAGGAGCAATGGCGCGAGATCTCCCAGCTCATCAAGGAGAAGGAGCACTTCCCCTTGATCGACAACGCCTACCTCGGATTCGCCTCGGGATCGGTCGACAACGACGCGTTCATGCTCCGCCACTTTGTCGAGCAAGGACACCAGCTCGTCTTGTGCCAGTCATTTGCGAAGAACATGGGCCTGTACGGAGAGCGTGTCGGCACGTTTTCGGTTGTCTGCGCCGACCCGGAGGAGAAGGCCCGCGTTGACTCGCAGATCAAGATGTGCGTGCGGTCTTTCGCGCTCTGCTCAGAGCGTAGATCTAGTCAGCGATCCAGTGCTGATCTCGGAGGCTCTGCACGCAGCCTCGTCCGCCCGATGTACTCGAACCCTCCCGTCCACGGTGCCCGCGTCGCCTCGACCCTCCTGACCGACCCCAAGCTCAACGCGCAGTGGCTCGCCGAGGTCAAGGGCATGGCTGACCGCATCATCGACATGCGCTCGACCTTGTACGACCTCCTCAAGGAGCTTGGCAGCAAGCGCGAGTGGGGACACATCAAGAACCAGATTGGCATGTTCGCTTACCTTGTACGTGGGCCGCTCACGTCTGCATCGTGTATCTTAGCTCTGCGAAGAGGCGCTGATCGAAGTGCCGTTGCCTGCACGTAGGGCATCTCGCCGGAGCAAGTCGACCGCCTCGCCAAGGAGCACCACGTCTACCTCACCCGCGACGGCCGCATCTCGGTCGCAGGTATCACCAAGCACAACGTCCGCCACCTCGCCGAGTCTCTCCACGAGGTCACCAAGAACGACGCGTAGAGCGCCTACGAACGGACGGTAGAGCTTTGTCTCGCAATCTATATCCCGGTTCTTTCAGTGCATCTCCCTCCCGACCATGCCGAGCGAGGAATAGTCTATTGCTGGGCTCGTTAGAAGTCTAGCAGGTCTGGACGCTCGTGCACCATCCGTGCGACCGATACCTTCTTCTCCTTCTTGCCTACGTCTCCGTCTGCCGCAAACTGCTCCCCGCCCATCCGCACGCCCTTCCTCTTCGGTTTCGCTGTCACCTCTGCCACCTGCTCCGCGCTCAGCTGCACGCTGGGCGCCTCCCTCACCACTGCCACTGTCTCTGGCCCGACCTCGCCGCCTATCCGCACCTGCGCGACTCGCTCGCCCAATCCGCCAAGCAGGACGTCACTGCCGCTCTTTCCCTGCGCCATCTCCCTCTCCTTCCTGTTCGCCTCCTCGACCCTCTTCCGCCTCCTCTCCCTCTCGCGCTCCTCCTCTCCTTCACCCGCAACCGGATCATCACTCACAACCTCGACCACGAACCGTCTCCGCTTGACGCGGAACCCAACGAGGTTCTCGCGTCCCTCGCCGCCTCCGCCCAGTCCGCGCAGGACGGACAACTTCGAGCCGGGAGGGACGAGCGAGCCTGGTGGGAGCGTTGGGAGTTTCGGGAAGGAGATCAGGCCGGCGTGGCGCGGGAAGGTGGCGGAGTGTGTGGGCGAGGAGGCGAAGGACGTGAGGCGGAGGACACCGTCTGATGCGTGCGAGAGGCGGGAGAGGAGAGGGGATGAGGGGACGGAGGAGAGCGGCAAGGTCGAGTACAGGTGGGCGGGGAAGGTGAGGATGCAGGAGGCGTTGGACTGGCGCAGTATGTGGCGAAGCCGGTGCACGAAAGAGAAGAGGGCCTGTACGCGAGCGTCATCAGCGAATGAAGCCTCATGACCGATGAACGGAACTCACCGCAGGAGTAGCAGGTCCCCATGCTGGGCTTCCAAACCCAGACAGCGCGATGCGCAGTGCCTTGCGAGGAGCGTTCGCGTCGGTGGATTGCCTACGGATAAGCGTGGTCAGGCAAACTCGATAAGGACAATCCTGCAGACTCGCGAGAAGCCCTTTTCGTAGACAACCTCCTCGATCTTCTCGTACAGCAACTCGTAGACGCCGCCAGTAGATGTCGTAGCGCCGCTCAAATCGTCCACATCGACGAGCTGAAGGAGCGAGCGGTCGCTCGGACCGAGTTGGCGAGTCTGCGTCAAGTCGAAAACCGAGCAGTAGGTGCCGTCGTCGACAGCGTTGCTACCTGATGACAAAAAATGTCAGGACAAGTCGTCAACCTTAAAAACGAGCTCGACGCACCTCGCGAGTCGACGGTCGTCTGGTGCTGCTTCATGCCCTCGTACCGAAACGCAATCTTCATTTGCTCCTTCAGTGCCTCCTCCTGCTTCTTCTCTTCCTCGTCTTCGGCGGCGTCGGCCTGGCTCAAGCCGCTCGTCTCGGCCGGCCGGCCTCCGTCGACCTCCATGAGCGATTCGACGATTCCTCCAGGTCCTCCATCCAATCCGCTCGCGACGACGAGCACGTCCTGTCGGCACTCGAGACCCTGCGCGACCCAGTACTTGAGCAGGAGCTCCGCGTAGGACGTAGGCGAATCGGATTCGATGAGAAGGGAGGTCGAGAGAGGAAGACCGCCGCCAAGGAGGTCATCTATCGAAGTGAGGCCGGTACTGAGCAGCGGCGCGGCGTTGTAGGGTGAAGGACGAGTGCCCGATATCGGCTTCACCGCTGTCCTGCGCTTGAACGACGACATTGCCTCCGTCCGCTGATGAAGAGCAGAGGGGGAGAGAACGCGACGACGACAGCTCGTAGCCGGTTGTCGATTGTCGCAGGCGTTCCTGTACGATTGAAAAGAGCTCTAGCAGCCAGCAGAGGCCCAAGGAAGCGGACGAGGGTGAGCTGTACGAGGCAGAATTCAACTTGGCCTCGCTCGCCTTGACGACTCGCTGATAAAGGCTCACCTGGCCGAGAACGGCCGACGAACACGTGCAGACTGCTCGCATGGCGGCACACACCTCCTGCGATCTTCCGCCCCGCCACACCGCTTTGACCCCCCGGTTCCCGCTCATCCTCTTCCCACTCGTCTCATCTGGTACCGCTTCCCGCCGCTGCGACTGGGCTGGCTTGACGCTGGACACGGCAATCTTGCTAGCGCTCCGCCAGATCGACTGCTTACGTGGTGATTGGGCGGGGACTGGTCGCGCAACCGTTCTCAAGGGGTATGCCCGCGCCTCTCTGCTTGTCGCCCACGGAAATCAAGCTGACGCATACCGCTGCGCAGGCGAGAGACATGCCGCTGCATGGCCCGCGACCCGCTCCTGCTGAGCGGGCGAGCGTCACGCCGCACCCTCCCGCATCCAGCCTCGACCATCCTTCCGCTCTTCGATCGCGGTGGACGTTCCTCGACCGGCCTACACCTGATCTGAGCTTGTCTCTGAGCGATCCAAGCGGTGCAGACGCTCACGAGTCGCGACCCGAAGTTGCGAGTGGATTCGCGGTCGACTCGAAGCGCGACTCGCGAGGTCTGGCAGAGTCGGATGCGGCGGCCGTGTCGGTGGACGAGTTTGGACTGCTCCGAGCGGATTTGGCATCGCGGTATGGCCAGAGCAGGGCGACATCGTACGGCTCCCGATTCCTCGCCGTTGAGAACAGCTTCAACCGGTCAGGATCCTCAGCACCCGACTCGTTTGTCGACCCGTACATGGCGCCACCGCGACCCGCACCCACAGGTCACGAACCTACTTCCCTCCCATACGCGCCTGCGCCTTCGCGTTCTACGCTGCTCGACCTCGCCGGTCGTCCGCTTCCCGTCGATCCTCCAGCAGTCGACCCATTCTCCTCCGCCGTTGCGCGACAGCCCAGCCTCACAGCGAAGCATGCGAAGTGGCGCTTGAGCGCTGCGTCAGCCCTCAGCCTGCCGTTCAAGCGTTCGCAGGAGGACTTGACAACGGGATCGCCCTCTTCGTCCCGCGGGTACTGGGACACGATGCTGGACCTGACTGCATCGACATCTGCGTTCGACTCGTCTGACCCGCCAGATACAATACAGGAGCGTCCAGGACCGCGTCCCGTCCAGGCGCGACCGGCCAACCTCGACATGCCGTCGTTGCCGCCGAGGAGCTACTCTCCCGAGCCTCTTTCGGTACGGTCGCCTCTCGCTTCTTGCTTGCTTCCTCGTCCCCCTGCTAACGCTCTTTCGTTCCCCAGGCCAGTCAACGCCTCAGCGCCGCCAGCCTTTCTTCGATTTCGACGAGCGTGCTAGAGTTCCCCGAACTGCTCGAACGTGAAGAAGGCTTCTATCACTTCCCGGTCTCGCCCGCACGACCACGTCAGTCGACGACTTCGCCCTTCCACTTCGCCGAAGGCAGTGCAGGGACCGACCTGTCCTTCCCTATCCCGCCGACTGCGACTATCGCGCCTTCCTCTATCTTTGACCGAGCAGCAGGCAGCTCTTTCCATGACTCGCACATCCACGCCCTCACTCCTTCGCCGACTTTCAGTCTGCCGTCCTCTGCCCCGCCACCGACCCCTCCGCCGCCTCTACCCGGGTTTGTCTCCGTCCTCTTCGACCCGATCGCTCTACCGCAGGGCGAGCTGCCTCCGTCAGATTGGCGCAAGTCGCACGTCCGCCAAGTCGACTCGGTCTCGTCGTCGATCGCTGCCGCGCCACTCCGACAGTCGCTACGGCACCGAGCCTCGGGCGCTCTACAGCTCGAGAAGGAGGCGTCGAGTCAGGACGAGAAGAAGAGGCGGACAACGGACTGGCTCGAGGGTGTCGCGGCGACGTCGGGCAGCTCGACCAGGTCGAGCAAGCTCCGCTGGGCGGATCGAGCTGGACCTGGATGGGCGCTCAAATCTGAGAAGCGACCGCGAGGCGATTCTCTGCATCGTCGACGGGTCGTGAAGAAGCCGTCACTATGCGGCTCGCGAAGAGCGCGCATCGCAGCAGCCGTCCTCATCGTCGTTGCGCTCCTGCTCGTCGTCGGGCTCGCAACGGGCTTGACCCGCAAGGCGGCTGCTGCGGCGCTCGCGAAGACCTGCAGCTGCCTACACGGAGGTAAGGCTGAGCGGACAACGGACGGACGATGCTCGTGCTCGTGCTCGGCGGGATGGGGCGGAACGAGCTGCCATCTCGACGCAACGTGTGTGAACGGCGTTGCACAGGGACTGCTCGATGTCGCTGCACACTCTTCCGACCTGTGGCAGCCAATTGTCGACATGGCGCGCTTGCCGGACGTTCTCAATCGGTACATCTTGACGACATCCTCCGACTCGTGCGCCAGCCAACTCGCTCTTCTCGAAGTCCCGTCTCTCTCCCTATCGACTTATCCGAACCGTCTCGCCTGGACAGAGGCCGCCCTCGTCCACACTCTCGCCCTCACCGAGTCGAACTCTTCGCTCTCCCAGCTTCGCACCTTCGCCTCCGGCCTCGACTTCGCCCAGTACGGCGACGAGCCCGCTTCGAAGCCGAATAGCAACTACGAAGCGATTGTTGGCGGCTACACATGGGACCTCGCCACGATGCAGCGGACGGTACAGAATGTCTCGTGGGTTGCGGCGGTCAAGCCGGACGCAGCGACAGCCGCGACGATAGCTGCAGCTCCTCAACCCGCAGCGGCGCTCGACACAGTCACCAACAACGCCATTGCCGCCAGCAAGCAGCGAAGTACCGCCCTTGCGCACTACTGGAACGACACGCTCGGGTTTTCGCCCGCCCAGCTCAAGGCATTTCGACAAGCGGTCCAGGCGGCCGATATCGCGATCCCCTTCGACGCCAGCTCGACGACGCTGCAAAGCACAGCGCAGATGAGCTTGCCGCTTGCGATTGCCTGCCAGCCGGATCTCGCTGCCGAAGTCGTTGCGGAAATCGACGAGGTTGAAGCGGGTGTCTTCGGGCTCGACAACGTCACCACCGCTGAGAACACGACTTGTCAGGTGCGTCCGGTTTTCCTGCAGCATATGACTTCGATCTGACGGGTGCTCGTTACGCGCAGGACCGCCCGGTTCACGGTCTTCTCAACCTCCTTCACCTCACGCAGCCATTCGCCTCATCCGACACACGATCGAACATCCCGCAGCAAGCGGTCGTCTTGTCGAGCTCGTCAGCTTTATCGGACCGCACCTCGGTCCACGCTGGCGAGACCCTCGTTGCGGGTTCGTCCGCAACAGCTTCTACGACAACTTCCGCGCCCGTTTCGATCGAGCACTTCGGGCTCATCTCATCCGCGACCTCCGCCATCGACCACGTCCTCTTCGACTACCTGACCTTGCTGCCCGTCTCGACCGCGCAAGCCCTCGTCAACTACGTCCTCTCCTCAGCCACCTCGCCTCCGCCCTCCTCTTCGCCTCTCGTCTCCTCCACCCTGCCGCCTCTCGAGGTTCAAGCTTGGGGCGGCGTCAACGCAGCCAACGTCGACAAAGTCGTCTCCGGCCTCACCGTCTCCTCGTCGAACGACACCCTTTTCTTCGGCTCGTCGGCGGGCGACGCTCTCCGCAGCTGGGCGTTCGGCAACACGTCTAGCGCATTGGCGATTGAATGGTCACTGGACGCCCAGACGAGCGGAACCCTGCGGGACTCGAGCCTTGGAGGGTCGGCGGCTTTTGAGCAGGTTTGGGCCGACGCGAAGAAGGGGAGATGGACTACCGCCCCGCAGGTCTGGGCGGCACTCAGTAAAGCGGGACTCGTTGGCTGAATAGTAGTGACTTATCTCTACCTGCATTGTCGAGCCGCGTGCCAATCTTGCGAAGCTGGGCGTTGAGCGAGAGCAGCCCCCGCAGGAATCCGGCACAAAGCGACAATCCAGTGATTGTTCAAGAGGTATCGATTTCTTACAGTACAACTCAAGCATGCGAGTACAGACTTTACTGCCGCCTCCTTCGTCCCGCTCATCCCTTCTTCGCGAAAGTCACCTTGATCTTCAGGCCCTCCTCGCTCTGCGCCATAACAGCGCCCGTCGTGCCCGAGAACTTGGTGTTGTGCAACGCGTCCCTCGCGACACCCGAAGACTGCTCGTCGGCGAACTCGACGAAAGCAATGTTCTTGCGGCCGGGAATCGTGCGCACTTCGACGAGGTTGGGGAATCTGCGGGCGGACAGCGGGTGAGGATCAGCTTCCGCGGCGAGGTCAGGAAGTTGGAGCGAACGCACGGCCGGAAGAGCGCCTCGAGACCCTCCTTCGTCGTGTCGTCCGGCAAGTTCTGAACAAAGAGAATCTTGTTCGGCGGGAGGTACTCGTCCGGCATCTGAACAATGCGACGCTGAGTGGGCGCAGCAGCAACGGGAGCGGCACCAGTCTCGGCGGCTGTGGGAGGACGAGTCTCAGCGGAGGTTGCGGGACGAGGGAAAGAACAGGACGCACCCTGCTTCGCCGCCGCCTTCGCCGCCAGCTTCTTCCTCCGCGCAGGGTCGTCTCGTCGCGATTGCTCTGCGCGCCGAACAGTGTTAGCTCTGCGGCTCGTTGCCCGGCGAACGAGACGAGAAGCGCACTCTTCCTCTTCAACCGTGCCTTCTTGTGCGCCTCCATGTCATCTGGATGCCGCTTCTGCACCAGAGCATCCGATTCTGTCCGCGCGAACGTGAGTTGCTGTGAAGAACGGAACAGTTCAGACCGGTCAGCGGTTGGCAACAAGAAAAGGCGAGACGGCGGGCGAGCGCACCATGGGCTTGCCATACAACGGGAATTTCTGCACCTCCCTGACCGCCTTTACAGCCGCCTCCTTCGAGTCGAGCGTGACGAACGCCTGCCCCCGCATGCGGACGTTGCGGTGCGCGGTGACACCCAGCACGCGGCCGTACTCGCGGAACAGCACTTTCAGCGATTGCTTCATGACTGTGAGCGTTCAAAAGCGTCAGTCCAGCCGTACGAGCGGTTCTGGCGGGCGAGAGGGGGACGTACTGTCCAGCTTGATCTTCTCGTTGAGGTTGTTAACGTAGAGGACCTCGCTCGCGCCTGGCGGCAGTTGCACACCCTGGTCCGCATGGCCGTCTGCCATCTCGACATCGCCGTTCGCCTGTTGTGCGTCGCCGTTGGTTGCGGGCGGTGGAGCGGACGTCGACGGTCCCGCCGCGGGCGCTTCTGCGGGTGGCTGGGTCGAGATCTCGGTCATTGTAGGCGTGCAATCAGCTCAGCAACGTGCCACAAGCAGCGGTGCGAGATGGAAGCGCTGTCCTGGTCGAAGGAGATGAAGCGTCTCGCCAGAACCGCTCACCTCGCCCACAACAGCACGCTCGGGCTCGGCTGGCGACTGCTTAGACTTGGTTGGCTGCTTCAGAGACGCCCAGCACCGACAGAAACGGCGCGGAACGGTCGAGTGCACCGCTCACACTCTTCCCTCTCTTTCGCATCGAAGCGGCGACACGGCGGCGGATCGCTCAAGGGATTGTGTGTAGCTCGCAAAGGCAGTCAGTGGAGGATAGGAACCCCCCTGGCTAAACCGGACTCTTCTCGATTCGCTCGATCCCGACCCGTCCTTCGCCTCCAGTGGATGAGCTCGAGTGGCCGGTAACGAGCGGTGGACAGGTCATGCGCTTTCATTGTCTCGGTGGTGCGTTCGAATTCGTTCAGCCTGCCCGGGAACGCAAGCTGACCGCGCTCTTGCAGTTGGATCCATCGGTTCCCTCATCGCGACCAACCTCGCCCAGCTTCCATTCTCCCAAGTCCGCCTCATTCTCCGACGGAAAGACCTCGCTGCACAACTTCTCAAGGCCTCAGGCTCAGCGCCGCGCGATGCATCCGAAACGCCCTACGGAACGATTACGGTCGAGCGAAACGGACTCGCCCGGCGGACATCGAACCTCGAGATGGAGCTCACCCGCTCGCCCAACGACGCCTTCGAGCAGTCGTCTGTTGTCTCTGGATCAAGACGAGAACCGCCGCGGATCGACCCGCGAGTATGGAACCGCAACGACCCCATCTCGACCCTCATCGTTACGACAAAAGCGCCGGCGACGCTGCCGGCAATGCAGCATCTCCTGCCCCGCCTGTCGAGTCGAAGCACGATCGTGCTGTGCCAGAACGGAATGGGAGTCCTCGAGACGCTGCTGGAGCGGTATTGGCCAGAAGATCGGTCGGACGAGTATGAGCGGGCGCTGGAACAGGGAGACGCGAGCAAGGTGCGACAAACAGGCGGTCGACCAAGCTTCGTCTGTGCGACGACGACGCACGGAGCGTGGCGGAAAAGCGGGACGCACTTCGTCCATGCGGGCATGGGCGACATCAAGTTCGGGGTCGTGCCGAACCGCGCCATCCTCTCGAACCTCAATTCTTATCCGACTCCGCCATGGCCTACCGCTTCCGAAAATCCTCTCCTCAACCCTCGCTCCCTCGTCGACCCGACTCTCGACCACCTGCCATACTCGCCCGTCACCGCCTCCCTCCACACCACCGTCTCCTCCCTCCTCTCCCTGAACGAGCTGAACCCGACCTGGCTCCCTCTACCGACTCTGCAGATCGCCCAGCTGCAGAAGCTCGCTGTCAATGCCTCGGTCAACTCGATCACCGCTCTTGTCGGCGTCAACAACGGTGCGCTCGTCGGCAGTCAGAAGGCGAAGCGAATCGCCGCTGCTGTTTGCCGCGAGTGTTCCGACGTCTTTGCTGCGCATCTCGCGCGCGAAGACGGGCGATGGGAGCCGCCACCGGCATTGCATTACGACCAGGAGCTCGAGTCGGACGACATCCCTTCCTCGCTTCTCACCTCCATCTCTCCCTCACACCCGCCTCCACCACCTCTACCCTCCTCACATCCCCTCTCCGCTCATTCGCTCCTCGATTACACCCTTCGCGTCCTCTTCCGCACCTCGACCAACATCTCCTCGACTCTCGCCGACCTCGCCGCCCTCACTTCGAACACCACGCCCGATCGCTCCTCCCTCGCCTTCATCCCTCCCAACGCGCCCTCTCGAACAGAAATTGAGTTTATCAACGGCTACGTTGCGGCTTTGGGACGGAGATACGGGATCAGGACGGACACGGTGCGGACGCTGGGCGAGATGGTCTTGCTGAAGGAGGAGATGGGACGGGTTGGGGCGATTGATCGGGTGTGGAAGGGCCGGGATACGGGTCGAGTGGCTTCACCGGTTCGACCGCCTGCTCGGGATACACGACCAGCCCGGCCAGCTCGGGAGAAGGAAGAAGAGGATGAGGAGGAGAAGGAGGAGAGTGAGGAGGACGTCGAGGAGGAGCCTCGACCAGCGACTGAGGACGACGGGCCGACGAGCGTGTTCCCCAATCCTCGGCCACGGAGTCGAACGCACCCTTACGACCGCGCGGCGAAGCACATCCAGCGGACACGAGAGGTCGAGGCGCGGGTGCAGTCGAGGCGGGTGGACCGGGTGCGAGAACGGAGCGAAGAGCGCTCGTCGCGGTAGACTATCCCATTTTGCACGCATCTCCAACGCAACATTGCAAGACTTTCGATACTTACTTGTGACTTGCATATCGGAAGTTGCGGTCTGGTCCTGGTGCTGCTACGCCCTCTCTGCCTCTCTCCTCTCTTGCGAGTGTTAAGGGACGGCTTGCTTCCGCAGACTGAACCAGGTCGGTCCCGCTGCTCAGGCGCTCAGGCTCTGCAAGCGTCCCCCCTCCTCCTTCCCTTGCTTGTTCCCCGCCGACAGTGAATCATCCTCACTTCCCTCCTCTCGCGTCAGACATGGCAACATTGGGCGCAGAGCGCATGTTTGCTCTGGCCATCTCGGACGCAACCGCTCCGGACCAGCGCAGTCGTGCTCTTCCCATCCGTTCGAACGCTTCCTCCCGTACAGACGGACCCATCATTACAGCTTCCCCCGCTAACCGAGTTCCGCACCCTCATTCCCATCGCGCGCCAGTCGAGCCGTCCCGTCTAGGATCCAGGACCACCCCGCCGCGTCCTTCGCCCTTGTTCCATCCCTCGATGCTCAGTGTAGGCTGGATGAAGGAAGCGGTGGCCATGGTGCAGTGGATCGAGAAAGAGTATTCCTGGCTGCTGGACATCCGTCGCCAGGGACAGCGCGTGCGGGTCGAGCGGGCTGTCGAGCGCTTCGACGCGCGACCTTGCCGAAGGATGAAGGTTGTGTACCACCCACAGAAGGTTCATCAGCCATGGACAGCGTTGAAGGAGGCCAAGAAATGGGCATCCAAGGACTTGGCGATGGAGCGACAGTTCATCGCTGCGTGGAAGCTGGCGGGCCGGCAGCTGCAAACGAGGTGAGAGAAGCGCAGGTGGGAAAGGCGAAGACCAGTACAGTACACATGCACAGACCGCGTTGCGTGATGATTCTTCTACAGCTGCAGGTAACTGTGAAAGAGGAGAGCCGTCAGTTCAGGCCTGAGCGAGAGAGGGAGAGCAAGCCAACTCACTCCGCAACCTCCGCCTCCGTGAGCTTCCGGAACCCAGGCGCGCCGTTCAAGCCCGTGCCGTGTCCCGTCGTCGCGACGCCCTCCTCGGTCGGCGTCGTCGAGATGATGCCCAGCTCGATTGTCTTCTCGTCCATCACACCTTCGAAGCCCTCCTTTAGCGTCAACAAGGCGGTGTGAATCGCGTCTTCGAGCGAGAGGTCGTCATTGTAGCTGTGAGCCGACACACAAAGTTCAGTCGCCGTTCGACGAGCGGGAAAGTACTTGTGCGCGCGAGAGGAAGAGGACCGGGACGCACCGCTTCTCGAGGAACGTCTTCGCGTTCGTCTGGTTCTTGCCGATTGCGCTCGCCTTCCACGCCCAGAACGAGCCGGACGGGTCGACCTGGTACAAGGTATGCCCTCGTGCGTTGTCGAAGCCGGCGACGAGGAGCGAGACGCCGAATGGTCGGACACCGCTGCGAGGTGAGGAAGCGCGGTCAGAGGTCAGTTTCGTCGACATGATTCGCGAAGAAGGCGAGGAGAAGCGAGCGCCAAGAGCCGAACGCACCCAGATTGAGTCGCATCCTGCATGACCGTCGCAATCTCACCAACCATCACCCTCGTGCTCGGGTACTCTCCGTAGATCTTCCAGTACGCCTGCGCCGACTTTCGTGCTTTGGCGACGAGCACTCGGAAGTCGGGACCCATGCCCGAGTAGACCATGCCAATGTTGGGGCAGATCAGCGCGACCTGCGAGACGGGAAGAGGTCAGCACGAAGCACATAGTCTCTGCAAGTCGCCGACGTACCTTCTCGAGCATAGAGTCGTCGACAAGCGGGGAAGGCGCCTTCTTCGAGGTAGCGAGGACGATGCCGTTCGTCGCTGCGGGAGTGAGCGGCCTGTCAGCTCGAGAGGCTCGCTTCCGCCAAACTCCCGAAGCTCAGCTAGCCCCTGCTCTGCCTAGCATAGCGTCCAGCCGCCTGTTGCCGTCGCTCGACCAGGCCGCGCCATCCTCCCGTCATCCCGACAAGCAGACTCACCCTTGATGCCCAGACTCGTCGTTCCCTGCCCAACAGCTGCCAGCGCATGCTCGATCTGTACGAGCTTGCCGGACGGCGAGAAGGTCGTGAGGGAGAAGCTGTCGAGCGAGAGATGTGGGTGAGCGAGCGAGTTCCGTCATCCAGCCGCAAAGGTGGGGCGAGCGCACCTGTAGCGTCCGCCGGTTTCAGGTCCGCTCATCTTGGCTGATCTGCGAGGCTAGAGGGGCGAGTGAGGGGTGTCGAGGTCGCGGAGGGGAAGCGAGGCGGTGGAGCGGAGCGATGAAGGGGTCGCGGGCGGTTTGAACGGCTGTGGTGTGCTGTGTACGCTCAATTAAGTCGTGCCAACGTGTCAAGCTGGTCAAAGAGCCGAGCAGCGGAGTGTGGTGCAGGAGCAACGTCGCTTCGTCACCTCTTCAACGAGGACGGTTCACAACGACTCGCGGAATGGCTTGTTCGGCAGGCGCACGGATTAAGCAGACGTTGTACAAGCTCACAAAGCCGCCCAGCAGCGCGCGACGTGTCTTCCTGCTCCTGCACGCCTTTCCACAGCTCTCTCCTGCCTTGCGAAGGGGCCTCGACAGCCCAGACGACATACGCAAGCTGAACAGCACGTTGACAAGCTCCCGTCTAGTCGTCCTTGTACGGCTCGTACTCAGGAGGCTCCTCCTCCTCCTTCTTGGCCTGGTGCTGCCGCGTAATGTCGAACCCGTCCTCGCCATCGCTCCGTCCATCCGTACTGCTGCTGGTCCGCCTCGCCCTCCGCTCAAAGCTCGACTTGCCGTTCCTCCCGTGCCCGAGCGGCGTCTCCTCGTCGTCTTCCTCGCCCTCCTCCTCGCTCCCGACATCGAAGACGACATGCTCGCGCCTTCCGTCGCCCGACACCCGAGTCAAGGGGTACGTCTCGCCCTTGAGCTCGCCGGCGTCCTCGCGGTCCTCCTCAGGCAGCATCGAATCGACATCGTACATGTCCGCCTCGTTCTCGCTCATGGGCAACTCGTCGCTCAGCGCGAGTCGGCGGTTCGTCCCGCTCGGTCGCCAGAGGAAGGCGATGGCGAAGAAGACGGCGGCATAGAGGATTGAAAGCCAGCCGTCGATCAGGAGCCAGCGCCACTTCCACGTCTTGGCTGGGAAGCCGGGGTCGAGGCGGGTCGAGAAGGTGATGCTTGACGCGATGTAGAAAAGCGCGATGAAGTTGCAGGCGCCGAGGAGGATGGCGTAGAGTCGGCGGAACACTGCGAATGGTCCGGTCGCGTCAGCTCGAGCATTTCCCGAATCGCTCGGTTTGAACGCACTCTTTCGCTTGTAAGTCTGCCGCCGCGCGCCGAGGTCCGAAATGGTCGAGTTGAGCGAGTACATGATCCAGAGGAGGAAGCATGTGAGGGAGATGGAGAGCGGGACGACGAAGAAGAGGACGAAGAAGCCGGCTGCTTCGAGGGGGATCGTCACGGTCCCGATCGAGTAGCTGTCGATGCGACTCGTCAGTCCTGCATCTCTGTTCGAATGAGGCGAACTCACAAAAGGCCGAAGATGAAGTGGAACAGCGCAAGGAGGCGGACGCGCGCGAGGACTCCGCCGAGCGAGGGGCGGACAATCGACAAGCCCATGCTTGCGAGGCAGAGCAGGTACAGGCCGACGCTATTCCTCGCCGCGTTGAGCGCCGCGATGGTGAAAAGGTATGCACCGGCGACGCCCGGGTGGCCCCAGTTGTTTAGGAAGCGGTAGTAGAGCCAGACGAACATCTGCTCGACGACGAGGAAGGCGACCGTCGCCGTGATGTACTTCTGGAGCGGCAGGAGGTCGCGGCGGTAGGTCCAGCTCAGCATCGCCCAGAAGGCGCCGAAGCCGAGGTAGACGAGGAACAGGATCCGGTAGAACTGCGATGGAGCGCATGTCAGCGACAGTGTCCAAGGAGAGAAAGTCATGGCGAGCGTACAGCGACCTTGGGATACTCGCTCGCCGGCAGATGGCCCTTGAAGACGTTCTCGAAGTCGACGACGCTCATGAAAGTCGAGTTGTTCTTCGCGCCTTCGAGCGCGACGGGGACGATGCCGACGCAGTAGTACCCGGTCTTCGAGACCTCGTAACGATATGGCCCTCGACCCGAGTTCGTCGTAGGCGCGTCGCCGGCCGAGGAGGAATCGAAGCGGACTGGCGAGGTGTAGATGGAAGATTCGGCGGGTGTAGAGGCCGAGGTGATGAACTGGCCAAGCTGATCGGTCGTGCATAGCCCTTTCTGCTGTGCGTCGACGGTGCAGATGTATACCCGCTGCACAAACAAAGCGATCAGTTTCTGGGCGAGAGTTCGGGAGCGACGAAAGCGCGCACATCTTCGGACCAGTCGTTATCACCTTGCTGCCCGTCTGCCCCGACGCCCAAGTACTTCGCATCCTGCCACTCGTACACAACAAGGGCTGCCTGACCTCGGGAGGACGGCGAAAACAGGACTGCGGGAGGGAAGCGAACGTTGTAAGGCTCGCTGCTCGGCTCACGCAGCAGCGGAGGAGCCGTACGTACCCTCGATGAACGGATCCTGCGCTCCCTTGCCCCACATCCCGCTGCAGACCTGCCGGACCTGGTGGACGAGCGAGAATCAGCTCCCGCGATACGAGCGCGAAGTGGGGAGCGGGAAGAGGCGCACCTCGTCCTGATCCGTCACGAGCACCTGATAGCCTGCTACGCATCTCGCCAGCAATCCCAGCAGCACAAGCGCCGACCGCATCGCGCTGCGGAGTTGATTTCGGGAGGAAGAGACGGCGCGGGACTGCGAGGCGTGGCGGGAGTTGCGGAGATTGCTGTGAGAGGATGCACGGCAGACGCTCTGTCCGGGTAGCAGAAGTCGAAGAGCTGGACTGGAAGGGACGAAGAGCGGAGACGGGAGCAGCGAGAGAGGGAAGCGAAGGCGATTCGTGAGCGGGAGCAAGCTGATGGACACCTCCATGAGCGTTGCGGGCCTGGAAACGGATGAAATGGCAACAACAAGGGTCTACAGGAGGCGAAAACCCGGCCGGAGGTCAGGCGAACGAAGCAGGGGGAAAGAGTGTTGAGGGGTGGCACTCTTCCTTCTACGCTGCCGAGACTTCGCCCTTCTCCCAGGCTTCGAAGAAGTTGCGTCGCTGGATGACGGGGACGCCGCGACAGGAGGTGAGGTTGAGGACGGAGAGATGCGGACAGGAGGAGAGGACGGTCGCGAGAAACTTGGCTATCGCGAGGCAGAGTAATTCAATCAGCATCGCGCACATCTGCGATACGGAACGGAACGCACTGGAGATTCTAGTCTCTGCGACGTGCAAAGCCCGCAGTTCATGGCACGCGCTGATCGCGCCAGCCGAGTTGTCGGTAATGCGGGATGAGTCGAGGACGAGAGTGCGCAGGCGAGGCGGTTCGTAAGGTTGGGAGGGTTCAGGGCCGTCGGTATGCTCGAAGTCGAGTGGCGGAAGAAGCGCTTCGAGGTGGTAGTCCTCGACGGGGAGAGTGAGGTCGAGGTACTGCGCGAGGATGAAGGTCAGCGAGGAAAATCCCGCCAAGATGATGCGACATACAGTACAACGCCTGCCAATGACCTCGATGAAGCGGGCGAGAGGTTGCTCAAGCTTGCCGAGCGACCAGTTCTGGAAGAGCGATACCGTGTCGAGCCCGTCGAGCTTCTCGAGGTACGGCATGAGCTTCGTGAGGACGGCATCGGTTAGGCCAGGCACCTTCGTCGAGAGCGCCGGCATGGCGCCGAGCTTCAGAGTACGGAAGCGACGCCGCTCGTCGTCCGGTCGCTCCGAGAGAGGGCGGAAGAAGCCTTCGAGGGTTGCAGCGGCCAAAGGGAGTCCCGAAGCAACGAGCTTGACGAGTCGCCACTCTTGTAGTGTATGTAGGGCAGAAGAGACGAAGTCGAGCGTCTTTAGCGGAGTATAGGAGATGTCGAGGCGTTCAAGGGAAGCGGCGCAAAGTGACAGAAGACGGCCGAGAGATGCGTCGGTGATCTCGGTGGACCGGACCTTCAGCGTTCGAAGGCGAGAGAGTGGGACATGTCGCCAGCCGAGAGCAGCATCTGCCGGCGGGAGCGTCAGCTCACGAAAGACTGCCTGTACATTCACGATCGTCGCACCAGTCGCATCCGCCACAAGCTTCGCAACGTTCTTCTCGTTCTGCGCGTTAAAAGACTGTCAGTGGCGGAACGGAGCACAGGAAAGGAAGAGGAGAACGCACCAGTCCAGCAACATTCGCCAGCTTGAGAACCTCGAGGCTTCGGCATCGCGCGAGCAGGGAGGTCAGACCCTTCACCGTCACGGCAGTCAAGCTCAGGTTGACGACCTTGAGCCTGTCCTCCGTCGCCTTCGACAAGGCGATCATCGAAGCGTCGCCGACTTTCGTGCAGCCCTTCAAGTTGATTCGTTCGAGTTTGGGAAGCTGAGCGAGAACTTTGGCGAGAGGCGCGTCTCGTAGCGCTATGTGGCCGCTCAAGTCGAGGTCGGTGAGCGAGGTGCATTGTGGTAGACGCGCGACGAGGACGACCGGAGCTGCAAGACCCGCGAGCGAGACTCGGGTTGTCGCCGGATGGAAGAAAAGTGTCGCGAGTGAAAGGACCGCGACGCCTGGGTCTGACGGACCGTCGAAGCTCGATTCGGATGCGTGGTCGAGGACGAGTCGAAGGAGTCGGTTCGCAACATCGACGGGGAGGGTCTCGATGAAGTGCCGTAGCTGTCTGTTCTCCTCCGCATGCGCAGGATCTCGATCTGGGTTCCATCCCACGTTCGACGTCGTTCCCGCCCTGTTCTCGCCCGCCTCCTTCGACGGCAGCCGCACCGTTTGATACAGTCCCTCCGCCGCGACCTGCAAGGCAGTCTCCCTCAACGAACGCACGCCGCGCTTCTCCGGCCTCGTGGCTAGGTACGATGCCCCTCCTCCAGCCCGCTCAGCCAGCGCCTGGGCCTGGACAATGCGAGGCGAGTTGTCGGCGTCGGACGGAGCGCCAATGTCGAGTGCGCGGCGATAGCGCTTCGAAGGGCGCGAGGGGCGCTTGCCGCTTGTCGTGGTCTCGATATACCGCTTGGGCGGCATGTCGGCGGGGAGGCAATCCGAGTGAGGAGCAGACAAGCGATGACGGAGGAGGAAGAGCGATGAGGATGAGGGAGGTGAGGCAAAGGCTCTCCAGCAAGGTTTACTTTCGCAGAATACTCTCTTTGAGGAGAGTCTGAAAAGTAGCGAGGCGGGAAGATGCTTGCGATGCAGCGTAGGAGGCGTGAGAGCGTGAAGAAAGGTGACTACCGCTGGAAAGAGATGCTGTGTCCTCCGCCAGGCTGCTCCACGAACTTGAAGTTGTCCGTCGACAACCCGAACTTGCCTGCGAGCGTAGATACGAGATCAGCGAGATGTTGGGAGTAATGGCGGAAGTTCGGCGGGTCTCAACGGACCGAGAAGCGTGTTGCCGAGATCCTTCAGCTTGCCGATGACCTCGTCCTTCTCCTTATCCTGCTCCGCTCTGATCTTCTCCGGAAGACGACGTTGAGCTGCCTTGGATTGGTCGGCAAGAAGGGGAGAAACATCGGGAAGTGTTGCCAGCTTGTTGAAGTCTGCGCCCATGTGACGGACGCAGTGACGGAGAGTGTCAGTAATCACGCAGCGCGACGGTCCAGCCGTCGCGGAAGCGGGACGCGCCTGGGAACGCACCGGCGAGAGAGGCCTCAAGACTCGACCAGCTGCCAATCGCTTCGTTGGCCAGCGCACGACGATGCAGCGCCTTCGCATAGTCAGGCTTTTCCTCGAGTGCTGTCGAGCGCGCGAATGATCAGGCCGACGCCGCAATGCGGAACGAATAAAGCCTGCGGGCGTACCAGAATCGCAGGCCGTCACAGCTTCTTTGTAGCGCTCCTGTCAGTCACGAGAGGTTGAGCCATCCGTCCTCAGGCTCAGTGCGAGAGCGCGAACGCACAAGTTTCAGCAGACAAGCGGCTACGTTCGCAGACAACATCGCCCTCAATTCCCTCACCTCGTCCTGCTCGCCGGCAGTCCCGGCAGTCTCCTCCTCTTTCTGCTCTGTCTGACCATCGTCTTCGATAGCCTTCTCCTTGCCCTTCAGGCTTGGCGAAGCAGGCTTAGGCGGAGCAGGCGGCAGTTCCGCTATGGCCTCTCGATACGTCTCGAGCGCGGGCTGCCAGCGACCCTGGCCAAACTCGGTGTTTCCCTTGGCCTTCAGAGACGTCGCCCGTTCAAGCAGATCGCGTATCTGGGCAGGAGAAGGCACAGAGACAGGAGATTAGTTGCGAGGTCCAGAATTTCGGAGCTCCGTCTGGCCTGTTCGTGTCCCGGTGGCTGTGAGGACCTCGGAGACCCACGAGTAACAGCCAGAGGACCGCATCCACCGATGAGCCGGCCCTTCAGGCTGCGAGCGCTCGAGAACACGGAGGGTAGTCCACTCACGGACCAGGAGACTGCAGATTCCTCGGCTTGCGCCGTTCCTTCGGTCTGCGCAGGGCCGCGAGAGACCGTGTCGCCTTCGTCCAGCTCCTCGAACCTGCTTCCAGATGTCGACATGGCGTCGGGGCGAGGAGCGAGTCGTCGTTGAACTGATGAGAAGCGAGCTGGCTCGAAGAGACTGTGCGGGTGGTATGGTTGGCGCTAGACGTAATGACAGCAGCTAGTACAGCAGCGCCGGCGTCTTCTCAGCCTGCTCAGCAGAGCAGCAGCAAGCAGTCGACAGCCAGCCCGTCCTCATCGGCCTCATCGCAAGTTGCCCCTCGACAGCTATCCCAGCCAACGCTCGCTGGCGGCTGGAGCAGTGGGATCGCCATGCGCGGGTCAACAGAATACGCAGAGAAGGGCAGCGCTGGCTCCCGTCGCGCACGAGCGTCGCTGAGCAGCACTTCCTCCTCGGTCTCGTTTCTCCCGCGGCTGGACACAGTTCTGCGCTATCCCGCTTTCTACGAGGATGCAGGCCACGCTGCGGAGGGCACCGGTACTGCAGGCCGGGCGGATCTGCCTTTGTCGAGCGCCTTTGAGGACGACCTCGCTTCCCGACTTCCGCATCCGGCGCCGTCCCTCTCACCATCAGGCCGCTCTTGGGACTGCTCTTGAAGTGCGGCCTTCCCTGGCAAGAGTCAATTTACGATCGAGACGCGCAATCAGCATTATTCAAAGCGTCGTCAATCCTCGTTCGGCGCGAGGAGGGCCTTCCGTCAGGGTCGACGCAGCAGTTGCGGAAGCATCGCTCTGCAGATGCGGCGGGCGAATTGATCGTGTACCTGGCTTTCTCCTGGCGTCTTTGTCGCCCGGACAATCCACCGACGTCCCTCCGTCCTGCTTGCCTCTCGCTCTCTCTCTCTCTCTCGTTCCTCACCCCTCGACCAGAGCAGCGCTCGTCCGAGTTCTCCGTCTCTTCCTTCTTCGCATACACGACTGCTGGCAGTCGTCCTTCAAGCATTCTCTTCGCCTCGATCCCATCGCCCTAGCCTCCCCTCTCCTCGAGCTTTTCCCATCCTCACTTCCTCTCGACCATGCCTTCTCTCGCCTCCGTCGTCTCTGTTGCGGTCCTCGCCCTCTCGCCCTTCGCGGCGGCTCTCCCTCGCCCCTCCCCGGTCCAGGAGTACAAGCGCGCGGCCTCGACCCCGGCTGCCCAGCTCCCTCCGCCCAAGTACCTCGAGGACAAGGCGATCGCCAACATGATTAGCCAGATGGCTGCAGCTGCAAAGGCTTCCGCCGCTGTCAAGGCTCGCCGTGCGCTCGACGACGTCGTCGACGTCGACTTCCAGAAGCGCGACGACATGGGTGGCGACACCCTCGTCCGTCGCCAGGCGACCACGACCTGCCTCGACTCGACCGCCAACGACACGGTCATCTCGTCCCTCTTTTACTACGGCGGTGCTGGCACCGTCGTCGAGCTCTGCCCTGGCGCCAACATCCAGCTGCAGAACGCCATCTTCTTCTCGGCTGCGAACCAGGTCTTGACCACCCAGGGTGCGTTCACACGTCGTCCTTGGCCTCGCCGACGATGCTGACGAGCTCTCACATTGCAGGCAACCCCACCGACAGCGCCCGCGCGACCGTCACCGTCGCTGGCCAGAACCAGTCGTGCGCCATCTGGTCCCAGTGCGCCGGCTGCGACAACGTCTCGGTCCAGAACATCCAGGTCTACGGCGCGCGCGACACAATGGGCTACAACTCGGGTATCGCGCTCCTCGAGATGGGCGGCACCAACTCTGGACAGACCGTCCAGAACTGCCACATCTGGGAGCCTCGCGGCTGGTCTGCGCTTCACGGCATTGGTGCGTTGCTCTCCTCTTCCCTCCCGTTGCGTCACAGTCGCTGACCTCGTCTACTGGTGCAGAGGGCGACAACCTCTCGTGCCGCGGAATGAAGATCGTCAACAACCAAGTCGGACCTTCGGGCAACCCGCCCAACAACGGCGCTCAGTTCAAGCGCGACACCGTCATCCCGCCTGGTCAGTGGGCCGACGGAATCTCGCTCGCTTGCGCCGGCTCGACCGTCTCGGGCAACGTGATCACCGACGCTACCGACGGCAGTGAGTTCACTCGCAAGTCTTCCTCAGAAATTACTGCGTTGCTGACCACACCTCTCGCCAGACATCGTCATCTTCGGTGCTCCCGGCTCGTCCATCTCGGGCAACACGATCAACATCGTCAACCGTCAGGCCCTCGGCGGTATCAACGCCGTCGACTGGGCTCCCTGGTCGGGGTCGTACGACGGCACCGTCGTCGAGAACAACGTCATTAACACCCAAGGCGCCATGCTCAAGACCGGCATCGCCCTCGGTTCGATGACCTGGGGTTCGGACAACCGCACGGCGGCGCGCACCTCGTTCGGCACGTTCCGCAACAACGTCCTCAAGTCGTCGGGCACTGGCTACTTCGGCTACGCGATCTCGGTTGCCGGCCACAACAACGCCACCCTTTACGGCAACGACGCCTCGGCCGCGCAGTTCGGCGGCTCCGTCTCTGGCTGGTGTGTCCCGTCCGTCCCGCCTCCCTCGCCCCGCGCGTTCGTCTACGACCACCAGACGACGCCCGGAACGATGCTCCAGGACAACTTCCAGGATTTCCCCCTCGTCTTCGACATCTGCAACGACCCGGACGCGATCCTCGGCACCGGCATCGGTGCGCAGCCTGCGACCGGCATGATCCTCTCGGGCGCCGGCGCCGTCTTCAACTCGACCCTTAACGCGACGGCTTCGGCGAACGCCTCGGCCTCGGCCGTCTCGTCGACGCTCTCCTCGACCGCTTCGTCGACTGTTCTTTCGACGAGCTCGTCTGCCACGACGTGAGTAGCATTCCGCAGTCCCTGTCGCCGGAGGGGCTGAACTAACCTTCCCGTTCGCTCCTCAGAACGACGCAAGCCTCGACCACCACGAGCAAGCCGGCCACGTCGTCCACGAAGACCACCACGACCAGAAAGACTACGACGTGAGTCCTCGATATCCTTCACCCACAGCCAGCCGAAGCTTGCGCTGACATGCACTTTCCCGTCAGCACCACGACCAAGCAGGGTCGCGTCATCTTCAAGAACCGCTACCCGGTTGCCTTTGCCCAGTCGACGACCACCACGACGTCCCAACCTGCGAAGGCCACCAAGTTGACTGTGCGTCCAGCTCCACCTTTCTTTTCGACCAGCGGCATGCTGATCCTTGCTCTTCCTTTGCCTCAGTGGTTCCTCGCGCCCAACTGGCACAAGCGCTCGATCATCCAGGACGGCGATGTCCTCCTGGCTGAGCGCGATGGATCCGCCCAAATTGGCGCGAGCAAGGCGACTCCTCGGCCAAACCTGGTCAACCCCTTTGCGGTCCTCGAGCAACACGCTCGGCTCCGATAGTCGCTCGGTATTCTTTCGAAAAAGAGCCCGAGTCTACTTCGGAGCGGCGTCGAGGTCGGGTCGTCGAAGGCGTCGGTAACATTACGCAGCGTTCTTGCATTGGTCTGGTCTGGTCTGGTCTCCCCTCTTCTCTCCTCGCATACAAACCTGTATCCCTCTCCTCTTCCCGCATGTAGCAGCCTCACAGCCGACCCGTGTCGCTCGTTGTAGCTCAACCTTACCTCCCTTCCATCACCACCTCCGTGCTTCTGAGTAGCTCTGGCCCTTAATCGTCAGCCACGCGCTGTCTCTGTAGCATACTTTATTCTCGCATACTCGGCCGCGCTTAAAACGAGAGTCGGCGAGAAGGGACAGATCCGGCGCCGAGCGAAGCAAGAATGTCTACTGGCAGAGCAAGCAAGCAGTGTTGCGGGCCGCATCGCGTTGCTGTGACGCTCCGCCGAGCTTGCCCAGGAAGTGCGTGAGGGGCGGAAACGAGTATATTGCAGACAGACGGGGTATAAAGAGAGGAGGGTATCGGGTTGCGAGGAAATGCTGGCAGTGCTTGTCGGCCCTATCCCCAAGCTTGCGTGGAGCTGTAGTTGACGATGAGGTGGTTCTCCGTGCCGAAGCACTGCGTGCGAGTAAAAGGTGAGCTGATACCGGTCAAGGCTTGGGTGAAGGCAAAGCGAAGAGGAGATTCACCTTGTAGAGATCGGCTACCGTGTCGTCTGGTGCAGGCGCGAAGGAAGAGTTGATGTAAAGGAACTGGTTCTATCGATGTCAGCGCATCCGCAAGCCTGAGTGATGGCCAGCGAGGGCGTACAAGGGGGTCACTCGGTTTCCAAGCCAACTCTTTCCGCAAGAACGCGATGACGGCCCTGAATTGGTTGCTCGCCGTGATCTTGTAGAGATTCTGCTTCATGATCGGGGCGTTTCCCGTCGCCTTGAACCGCACGACGACTAGACGACGCCAAAGGAGGGAACGAAGTGGGGTGAGCGAATCCTCAGCGCAAATCGACCGGGACGGAGCGCACCCTTCGTTGCCTCCTTGGCCTTCGACGCCTCAAACGCCTCCCGCGGCGTCAGCTTCGCCCCTTGCTCCGTAGCGCCCGCACCGCTGGTCCCGGTGCGTACGGCCGGAGGGCGCGAGGCTACGGCTTGAGCGGCGAGAGACGACATGAGTCGAGTAGCACGGTTCAACGAGCAGATGTAGAGCCTCTGTCAGCTTCCGCTAGCCGGTCGATAGGATCTGCGGGTGACGAAGGCGGGAAACAGATGAGGACGAGGAGGTTGGAGTCGACCGTCACCCTGCTCTCGCTTGAGCGGCGTCTAGCTGTGGTTGACTGAACGCTGGGGAGCCTATCACTGCGCCGCCTTCACATCTTACGCCGCTAGGGCTGTTCTCTTCTCCCGTCCCCCGCACTCACACACGACGGCGGTAAACGAGGAGGACGCTGGCAGATCCGGGCAGAAGGGTCAGTGCAGCTCTCCTCTCGCCCTGATGCGGCGTGCAGACGATTGCTCCCGTACCGCACTGGCGCCGCGGTGTCCCTGACCTTGCATCTCCCCGCTTCTCCCGCGAACAGGACACCATGCCGCGCTTGCCGGAACAGCAGGTTCCCGAAGCTGCGGCAGAGTACTCTGATGTGTCCGAGTCGGACGAGTACGACGAGGAGGAAGAGCAGGCTTCGGCGCTGAGCAACTTGGGATACGGTCAAGGATTCGGCGATTGGGATGAGGCGGTCGACATCGATTCGGTGCGTCTTCGTGGCTCGTTACACTCGAACACTCATGCTGACGATGACCTCCGCGCGCAGAACATGCGGCACGGGTTTGCCGAGGCGTACTCGTCGGAAGAGTACCTCCAGGTCTGCCTCGCTTTGCTCTCCTCCGCCCGCTTCTTCGTGCTCACAACGCTTTCTGCAGGCACTCGAAAAGAACTACTTCTTATACTGGACCGACACTCGACACGAGCGAGTCGGCCTCCCTAAACCTCCCTCTTCCGACCCTGCCGACCAAAAGATCGACTGGCGAAACCGCGACCGCATCCGCACGGCTTCTGCCGTCCTCGTCGTCTGTCTCCGCATCGGTTACGACCCTCCCGATATCATCAAGACGGACCCCTGCGCCAAGCTCGAGTGTTGGGTCGACCCCTTCGCTATCGCCAAGGACAAGGCAATGGAGCGCATCGGCAAAAACCTCCAGCAGCAGTTCGAGAACCTCGCCGCGACGCCAAAGACTCGCTACAAGCAGTATCTAGACCCGCCTATCGAAGACGCCAAGAAGTTCTGCACGGGCGCGCGCAAGACGGCAAAGAACGAGCGGACGCTGTTTTACTACAACGGCCATGGCGTGCCGAAACCGACACCGTCCGGCGAGATCTGGATGTTCAACCGGCAGTACACGCAGTACATCCCGGTCTCGCTCGCCGAGATCATCGGGTGGATTGGCAGTCCGGCGATCTACGTCTGGGATTGCTCGGCGGCAGGGAACATCGTCTCGAAGGTGCAGGAGTTCAGTACGAAGCGGGATGCGGACCTCGCGCGAGAAGCGGCGGCGGCAGCGGCTCAAGGCGTGGGACCAGACGGCCAGCCCGTCAATGCGGGCCCGCAAATCCCAAACGTCCCCTTCCGCGACACGATCCAGCTTGCGGCATGCCTCTCGCACGAGACCTTGCCCATGAACCCCGACCTCCCTGCCGATCTCTTCACCTGCTGTCTTACCTCGCCCATCGAGATCGCCCTCCGCTTCTTCCTCCTCCGAAATCCGCTCAAGACCAATCTCGATCTCGACATGCTCCTCAAGATTCCCGGCAAGCTCAACGACCGACGGACACCGCTCGGCGAGCTCATGTGGATCTTCACCGCCGTCACCGACACCATTGCGTGGAACACCCTGCCCCGCGATCTTTTCCAGAAACTCTTCCGCCACGACCTTGTCGTTGCCGCCCTGTTCCGCGGCTTCCTCCTCGCCGAGCGCATCATGCGCTTCTACGAGTGCACGCCCATCTCCGTCCCCGCCCTCCCGCACACGCACAATCACCCGCTCTGGGACAGCTGGGATCTCGCCGTCGACATGTGTCTCGCCCAGGTCCCCACCCTCCTCGAGCACGAGCAGCGATGGCTTGACTCGCTGCCGCCTCAGCCGCCCACCTTGCCCGACCAGCCGCCTCCACCACTCCCGCCTCAACCGCCATCCCCATACTTCCACTCCACCTTCTTCGCTGAACAGCTCACCGCGTTCGAAATCTGGCTCGAGCAAGGGACTGTGGCGAAACGACGGCACCCCGAACAGCTTCCCGTCGTCCTCCAAGTCCTTCTCTCGCAGGCGCACCGGCTGAAGGCGCTCATCCTCCTCTGCAAATTCCTCGACCTCGGACCCTGGGCCGTCAACGTCGCGCTCTCGATCGGTATCTTCGCCTACGTCCTCCGACTCTTGCAAGCGCCGGCCGTCGAGCTCAAGCCCGTCCTCATCTACATCTGGGCGCGCATCCTCGCCGTTTACGAGGGGTGCAAGGAAGATCTCCTGAAGCAGGCGTACCCTGCAGCCCGATCCGTCGACCAGGCGCCCTTCACCTACTTCGTTTCCGTCCTGCACCCGTCCTCGACCCAGCAGCTCCACCTCCCGAACGTCTCGGAGCACCGCGCCATGTGCGCCTTCATCCTCGCCGTCTGCTGCCGCGACTTCAAGGTCGGCCAGGTCGCTTGCTTGCGCGTCAACGTCTTCGAGTCGTGCCTCGTCCACCTCCGCGATGAGGACCCTCTCTTGCGGCAGTGGGCGATCCTTTGCATCGCAATGATGTGGGACGACTTCGAGGAGGCCAAGGGAATGGGTGTCAAATCGCGCGTGCACGAGGTCTTCTGCAACCTCCTACACACCGATCCGGTGCCCGAGGTGCGCGCCGCCGTCGTGTACGCTCTCGGGACACTGCTCGGCGCCACGGGCTCAAGCAACCCGGCGAAGAAGTTCGGCCGCTCCATCGTCTGCAGCGGACCCGCGTCTGGCTTGTCGGCAGGCGAGCAGACGGACGTGGAGCTCGGCGTCGCGATGGCGACACTCAAGTCGTCGTCCGACGGTTCGCCGCCCGTTCGACGCGAGCTCGTCGTCCTCCTCTCGTCCATCGTGAACGAGCACCAGGGACAATTCGTCGTCGCTGCGTACCGAGCGATTGCCGACCGAGTCAGCCGCGCGAGTGCGGGCGACGCGCCGAGCAGCGGGATCGAGGAGCGGACGGCGTCGATCGCGGCGAGCCTGACGGCGGCGGCGGAAAGCAACGAGGGGCCGTCGAACCCGGCCTTCCAGGCGACCATGTTCTCGTGCATGTACCAGACGCTCACGCAGCTCACCGCCGACCCGCAACTCGAGATCGCCGAACTCGCTCAGCAGGTCATGGACTACATCTTCGACATCCTCTTCTCCTCCGCTCTCGGTCCCCCTGCACGGGCTCTCCTGAACTCCGTCTCTCCCGACGTTTCGAAGCCGCGTGTACCACCTCCACCAGCGCCCGCATCGATCCAGCGCGAGCAAATCTACGCGCGAGACCCGCTTCCAAAGACGAACGGTCACTCGACACCGACAACCACGGGCCTCGGCGGCACTATCAAGCGATCTGCCACAGCCCTGAAGAGCTTGGCGCACCTCGCTCTTGAGGGTGGCCCAACACCAGCCCACTCTGCCGCGCCGACACCACCTCCGGGCCACCCCCCTTCCGCCCTCCGCCTCAACGGCAAGCCAAGCATTCCCTCAACGCCCGCCAGCGGCGCCTCCAGCATCAGCTCTTCCGCCTCGACCGACTCGCTCCGCCACCTCCAGGCAAGAGTCGGCAAGCCCGCGATCAAGTCGCGGCCGTCTTCGCAGCCCGACTCGTCACAGGTCGATTCAATCATTGCGCAGCTCATTCAGCAGGATGAAGAGCGTCTGAAGAAGCGGAGACAGGCGCCGAATGTCGCGACGGCGGCGGAGGAAAGCCCCGACCAGGTCTTCCCGCTCAAGGGTACCTTCTTCGATTTCGCCCTCGAGTACTATAAGGAGCCTCAGATGCGTGCGACAGAGGCGGACGAGCCGGGCAGTGTCCTGCACAACGAGCGGGTATGGCGGCGGCAGCGGAACGAGGCGGTCATCATCAAGACTCAGCCGATGAAGGGGCCAGCCTGTGCGTCCTGCTTCCTTTGCCTCGTCTGTGCTCCCGCTCTGACAACTCCTCGTGCAGGCCGAACACGCTGGGACGAGCAAATCGGCTACATCGCCGGCGATGCAGTCCCGACCCGCATCATGTTCCACCAGTTCGAGCCGCACCTCATCTCGTCCGACGACAAGGGCAACATCACGGTGTTCGACTGGGAGAAGAACTACCGCGTCAACTACTTTGCCAACGGCACGCCGCAGAATGTACCGATCACAACGCTCCGGCTCGTCAACGAGGACGACGTCGCGCTGCTCCTGACGGCTTCTGGTGCGTGCAATCTCCTTCCTCGCGCAATCGAATGGTACTGACGACGTCGTCACGCAGCCGACGGCGACATCCGACTGTTCCGCTCGTACGAGTCGCCTGACCAGGTCAAGCTCATCTCGGCGTTCCAAGGAATCGCTGAGGAGCTGCCTCGAAGTTCAAGCGAGCAGGATGCCGGGCTCGTCGTCGAGTGGCAGCAAGGGCGGGGACAGCTCTTGATGGGCGGGAACGTCAAGTACATTCGGGTGTGGGACGCGACGAGGGAGACGGTCGTCCAGGTGCGTCCTGCTTACCTGGTCTGCGCTCGCCCTCTCTGACGCTCTGACGTGCGCAGGACCTCCCGACTCGAGCCAACTCGTGCCTCACCTCGATGACGTGCGACCAGGTCGCCGGCAACATTGTCGTCGCAGGATTCGGCGACGGCGCCTTGCGCGTCTACGATCGCAGGCTTCCGCCGCGTGACAACATGGTGAGACGGTACACCGGTTTCCACAATGCGTGGCTGCAGAACGTGCACATGCAGCGAGGCGGGAACCGCGAGCTGGCCACCGCAGAGTGCGTTGCGCTTCCTTTCCCCGCATCATCCCCTCGCTAACCTCGCTCTTGCAGTCTCGGCGGTCAAGTCTGTCTGTGGGACATCCGCCTGACCGAGCCTATCGCCTCGCTCCAAGCGCATCAGGGCAATCTCACGCAGATGACGGTGCACGAGCATGCTCCGATCTTTGCGACGTGCGTCTCGCCTTTCCGATCGCGTCCTGCACTTTGCTGACTTCTCGTCATGCAGCTCCTCTGCCTACAACGTCGTCAAGCTGTGGAACATGGACGACTTGTCCGAGCCGTTCAGCAAGTTCCGCAATACTTGTACGTCCGCGTCGCTCGTCCTCGTCCCTTGCTGCGCTGACCCTGTCCCTCCCAGCCGGCGGACTGACATCGTCGAAGGGCTCGTCGATGACGTTCCTCGCCTTCCACCCGCACCACATGATGCTCGGCTGCGCCTCGAGCGACGGCTTGCGACCCGGATCGTCAACCGAGCACGTCGGGCACATCAACCTCTTTCGCATGCAAGACTACTCCAAGACGCTCAACTCGGTCTCGACGACGCTGTCATACTCGGCCTACTTCTAGCTTTGTCCTACCCTTTCGCCTCGTCCTGTTGCCCTCTCTCCCACCCGGAAGTCACTGTAGAACCCACGACTCGCTTCGCAGCGTCCTCTCTATACCTGCATAATCATCTCTGCCCTCTCGCAGAGCCCGATGAGGTCTCAGGGAGCACACGCATCCATTCCACCTCACTCATGCTGCTGGTCGCTGCTCCGCCGCTGCCGCCATCTCCGGCTTCCTGACCTTCGGCGCCTTCCACTCCGCATTCCACATCTTGCCCGCCGGCAAGTCAGTCGGAACCTTCCATTCCCTCGGGACCAGCCCGTTCAACCGTGCATTCGTCGCGTCCGCCTGCTCCAAGGTCGTGAACGCCTTGCCGCACGCCTTCCTGAAAAGCTCCTTGTCCGTCTCCTCGAGGAGGTCCATCGCGGCGCGCATTGAGGCGTACTTGCGATGTATTTCGGCCTGGTGCGCTTCTCGCTTGTGCCGGAGGTGAAGTTGCCAGGCGCGCTCGATCGTCTCGTGAGCTTCAGGCGAGGGGATGACCTTGAGGAGCGCCTCCAACCGTTCCTCCTCTGACGGGTCCGACTCCAACAGCACCTGTACAGGGCGAGGACAGCGAGTTTGTCGAGAGGAGGCGATGAAGAGAGATGAAAGTCGAGGTCAGCTCGTCCACCCCGCCTGGCGCCTCGCTGGCCGGCTAGAAAGAATGCACTGCAACGCACCGTCTTGATGGACTGCGTTCGCGGGTCTCCCGCCATCGTGTCGATGGGCCGTCCTCCCTTGGCCTTTTTGGCGCTCGTCGACGTCTGGGCGGCGTACGAGCGGGCTGCGCGCGGCGCGGCGTGTGTTCGCTGGAGCGTGTTGAGCAGTGCAGAGCTGGAGGAGCGCAGCATGGCGGTGTGTGAGGGTGTTTGGCGAGGGTCGACCTTCGCTCGAACTGGCGAAGCGGGTCTGACCACCGCTTGACACGCTGTCCGCGGACTTGCGCTCGCTGGCAAGGCTGTGCTACAGAAGAGAAGCTGTTCAAGCGTGCCGTCCAGGTCCCATCGCTTCCCAAGCTGTTGCCGCGGTCCTCCTCCTCCTCTTCCTCGAGGGACTTGCCTCGGACGATGCCTCCTGGCTTGCTCGCTCGGACCTTGGACTTCCCCTTTGTATGCAGAGCCGCGATCTCAACGGTCCGGTCTCCTTGGCCGAACCCGCTGGCCCTAGAACTGATGTCCCTCGATGTCTCCTTTCGACCCATGACACTCGCTCTGCCTCTCTCTCGCTCCTACCTTTCACTCTCGCTGCACGAACACGCTCAGAGCGTCTCACAAACCAGCCCGAGCTCACCGCTGAACGCTCTCGAGATCCAGCCGCACGCGCACATCCCCCTCGCACCGCTTCGACCCTCTCTCCTCCTTCGCCTGCATCCCCAACATGGCTCGCACGACCGGCGGCAAGAAGAGTACGTCTCCTTCCTCCTCGACCTCTCGCTGAACCCGCCTCGGCACTCGCCACACCCTCGCAGATCGTGAGCTGACGTCTTCCCCCTCCGCTCGCTTGCGACAGAGTCCACGCCCAGCTCGACCAAGTGGAAGAGCTCGTCGTCTCCCTCGTCGAACGGCAAGAAGTCGAGAGGTGGCAAGTCAGGCGGGAAGGAGACGTACCAGCAGGTGAGCGCGTGACTTGTTCTCCTTGCTCGCGACTGCTTTCGAGCGCTGACAGGATGGATGTCTCGCTTCGTACGCTCACAGTTCGTCTCGGTGCGTCATCGAAGCCGTCCTACGCGTGCTCGCCGAGGATCCCGCTGACCCGCTCGCCTTTCCTCTCGACCTTCCCTTCTCCCTCCCATCGCACGGCCCCTCCCACGCTCCCTGCTCCACGATCCACGCCTACAGCGCGTCACCGCAGAGCTCAAGGAAGAATTTCCAGACTGGACGGGCACCCAGCGCCGCGAAGAAGTGTCCGCCCGCTGGGCAGCTTACGTGCGTTCGCCCACCTCCTCCTTGGTACGAGGCTCTGTCTCGTGAGTTGGCTGCTGATGATGTCACGGGGGCGAGCGCGTAGAAAGAAGAGTAACGAGATGCGACGGACGGTTGAGCGGTTCGTCAAGTCTTGCTTTACTCGCCTCGCTTTCGCCTCTCAGCCCTGAAAAGGTGCGTAGCTCACGCTCCAGCTTGTCTCTCGCGTATTTGTTGACAGTGTTGCCCTCGCAGTGTATAGCCCATAACCCGCTTCGATACCTCCCCTTCCTGTACCTCATGCCCTTCCCTTCCTCTCTTCGACTCTTCGCCCGACTCTCGCGCATGCAACTCGCTTCTTCGCCTGCCTCGAGGCTCTCGTGAGTGACACGCAAGCCTTCCGCTGTTCTCGCACCCGCTCTCGCCGGCGAAGCAGGAGTAGGGGTGCGAGGGTGTATTGACAAGCGACAGGGACAGACGACTACAAGCGAAGCGGATGATACTACAAACAGGAACGAACACACGACGAGGACCTAGAAATGCGCTCAGTCCGATCCCGACGACTCGTCCGAGACCGACTTCCTCCCACCCTTCTTCCCCTGCGCCGACTTATTCTTCGACGAGACGGGCTCGTCCTCGGCCGGTGCGTGTTCCTTCTGCGCGTCATGGCGGGCGGGGTCAGCTCGAGCCAAGGAGGATGAGGGGAGGGAAAGGACGCGCGCGCCAGGCGCTTTGGATCATGCGGCGACGGTACGCGCCCGTCGAGCCCGGGTGAGTCTTCTTAAGCTTCTCGTTCTCTTCCTGTTTGCGTGCGAGCCGATCGAGAACGCGGTCAGCGAGGCGAGAGAGAGACAGGCAGGGAGGAAGAGAGAGAGAGAGCGCACCGAGTAGTATTTGCGCCAGACGGGGTCGTTGCTGTTCGAGCGAGGGAAAGTACGATCAGCGCGTCGCACGGACCTCGTACCCACCCATCAGTGACGAACGCGGCGGGAAGCTTGACGGCGACTGCGTGAGGGAGGACAAGCGAGTGTCAGCTTGTGCGCGCGTGCGAGACGACGAGGCGAGGCATACCGTTCTTGCCCATATTGTGCGAGTGGTGCGAGTCTGTGCGAGACGAGGTTGGGGATGGTCAGCGTCGACGAGCGTGTGAAGCGTGCAAGGCGTGCGAGGACAGCGGGACAAGCGAGAGGGTGCAGTAGAGTGTGAATGGCGCGTTGCCAGCTACTCACTGAGTGCGTGCGAGTGAGTTGAGAGTGAGCGAGTGATGGGAAGGAGGGAAAGAGACGAAGGGCGCGTGAGAGGCGAGGTTGTCAACGCGCGAGAGGAGGTCGACCCGGATGTCAAAACAACGACGACGCGTCGAGGCGTTGACATTCGTCTTTGCGAGCGTACTGAGCCTAGCAAGGAGCGCCTGAGTGTCTAGCACGCGTGAGAGACGCGCAGCGAGTTCTGAGGGAGTTAACCTTCGCAGGCGAGCGAAGTCGACAGCAGGATCAGCAGAAGGCGTCGTGGTGAGGTGTCCAGCCGTGTAAGCTCCTCCGTGAAGGCTCAGCGCGACGGGCGGGGCTAGCCGAAAGAGCGGGAGCAGCCCAGCGAGCCTTGAGAGTCGTGTTTGTCCGCCTCGTCCGGCTGGTCCTCAAACCCTCGTCTCCACTACAAACCTTCTATGCCTCCTAGCACCACTTACTCCACCCTCCATCACACTTGAGCGTCGTCCCGCTGCAATAGCTCCCCATCTCGCTCGAGAGGTACAAGATCGCATTCGCGACTTCCTCCGGCTGGCCCGCGCGCTTGATGTTGCCCTTGGTCGTGTGGCCTTCGCTCGGGAAGCCGGCGAGCATGGGGGTGTCGATAGCTGCGCAAAAGAAGGCTGAGCGGGCCTTCGGGGAGCGAGGGGGAAGGGGAACAGGGACGCACGACCGGGAGCGACGGCGTTGACGCGGATTCCTTGCGGGCCGACTTCTTGCGCGACAGAGGTCATCAGTCCTCGCAGAGCCGCCTTCGAGGCCGAGTAGGGTGCCGAACCGGGATAGCCTGCAAGGGAGACTGTCAGAGAGGCAAAGGAGGGCGGAGCGGAGAGAAGCGGACGAACCGTCGAAGGCGAGTTGCGAGCTGACCAGGACGACGGAGCAGCCCTTGCCGCCAGAAGGAGACGCAAGCATCGCCTTCAAGCTCTGCTGCAAGCCGAGGAAGACTGTTCACACCAACGCAAAGAAGGTCAGCTCCATTTCCTCGACCGCCTCTTCATACGGGGAAACTCACCTCCCCTCAGGTTGACACTGATAGTCTTGTCAAACTCCTCAACGTCCATATCGACCACATTCTTGCTCGGCAACGAGATCCCGGCACACTGGACGCTCACATCCACTCGTCCCCATTGGTCAACCGTCTTGGAGACGTACTCGGACGCGGTGGAGGGGGAGGAGACGTCGCCTGCGTAGGTGAGGATGCGAGAGTGGGAGGATGAGGGAAGGAGTGAGACGGCGCGCGAGAGGGAGTCGGAGGTTAGGTCGACGATGGTCACGCCCAGTGCGCCGGCTGCAAGGAACGTCTGCGCTCGAGCGGGTCAGCATGGCTCGAGAGAACGTGAGAGTGAGCGGTGTGCGCACCTTGACAGTCGCAAAGCCGATACCGGATGCTCCACCCTGCTCTCCATCGCGTGTGGGGTCGACCATCGCAAGGTCAGCGACGTGAGCTCGTCCGAGCCGCAAACAAGCATGTACGCACAGTGACGATAGCGACCTTTCCTTCCAACGAGTTTGCGGTGGCCATGTTGAGCGAGTGAGCGGCGAGAGGGAGACAAGCGGAGGACGAGGCAAAGCCGCCGGACCGCGGCGGAGGAAAGTGTTCTCAACGACGGAGCGGAGAGTAAGAGGCATCGGTTGCAGCGAGAGTAGTGACAAGAAACAGGGGAACTAATGGCAGGCGAAGGGGGCGAGAACGGGGGACCGGTACAAACATAGACGGCGAGCGGGCGGATGCGAAAGACGACACGAGAAGGGCGGAAGCAAGGTGCAAGGCGGCGGCGTAAGCGAGTCGGCTAGTCTTACAAGAACAAGGCGGACATCTTCTCCTGCGACGGCGAGACGTGGCCGTTGAGCGAGGCGGAGGCGGACATGGCGGGCGACGAGGCGGCGGTCAGGAGCGGGCCGTTCGTGTGGATGAAGGTGAGGTGCGAGGCGAGCCAGGATGCCGGTGCGAGAGTGTGTATGAGGGTGCTGCGCGGCCATCGAGCATAGTCAGCGGGAGACTACCAGTTCTGGGTGTAGAACGACTCACCCTGCAGCCCATCCAGCACCGAGCAACACGCCACAAATCCCAACGAGATGCCAAACCTTGACCTCGATCGTACTCCCGAGCTTCCTCAACCAGGGGAAGAACCCCCGCGCGCGCTGCGACTCTTCCTTGCGCTCGTGCGAAGGTCCCTCGCGCTTGACCGGGCGTCCTTTCTCGTCTTGCTCGCCTGTGGAAGCAGGAGCAGGCGAGTGTTCGTCCCCCTCACTCGAAAGCCCTTCGAGCGTCGGGACAGATTCGCTCGCGAGTGCGGGGTCGTCTTCCTCGGACGAGAGGGGCGGGGTGGTGGTGGTCGAGAGGGACTGGAAGAGCGGGTTCGACGACCAGGTCGCCGACGTGGCAGGCGGCCGCGCGGGGAGGGTCGTCTTCGTCGAGTCGTACGAGCTGGGCTGGGAGAAGTAGGAAGTACCGCGAGACGCGCGCGGCGAGAGGTCGGAGAAGAAGCGCGCCGCCTCGAGCAAGTCATGGAACGCTTCGTCTGTGTATCTACTCCATCAGCGCACGAATGACGGGAGAAGGCGGAGGCTCGCACCTCGCTCAACCATCTCCCCCTCACCCTCCGTCAGCGCCCCGCCCTCACTCTCCGCCGACTCCCCCTCCCTCAAATGCGCCAACGACGCGCTCACCCCCGCTGCTCCCGCCATCGCAGCCGCAGCCGCCCTCGCCCTCCTACGCTCCTCGACACTCGCAGGTCCGGGACTCGTACTCCCTCCTCTTCCGCGGCCGCGGCGGCGCAGGCCTCCTCCTACTGCTGCGGCGCGGCGCCGACTCCAGACGGGTGGAGAGTCGGAGGTGGGGACGCCCAGAGGCTGGGAGGGCTGCAAAGGGGAGTAGTCGGATGAAGAAGGGGGAAGGGAGTCGGAATATGAGCGGGAGTGGTCGCGCGCGCGGGAGATGGGGATCGCGCGAGTGCGGGTTGAACTCGTCGGCGCGAGACGGGTTGCGTCGTCAGATGAGGAAGCGGAGGAGGAGGAAGAGAGGAAGACATCTTCGTGGACTTGACGAGCGGGAGATTCCTCGTCGTCTTCCTCGAGTGGGTCGGAGAGGGCTGATGCGAAGGGTGCGGGGCGGTGACTGCCGCTTCGAGGTGCGAAGCTGGCTGTCGAAGAGGAAGAAGCGGAGGCGGACGATGCAGTCGGCTGGAAGAGCGAGGCGAGCGAGGCGTACGACATCGACGGCGTCTGCGAAAGACCCGCCTGCACGGGCGCCAGCGAAAGCAACGTCGCAAGACTGTGGAATGCTGTCAGTGACCGAAAACGTGAGAGTGGTCGGAACGAACGCACCTCGAGCGCAACGCCTCCTCGAGCATCGACTTCTTCAGCTCGGGATCGCGCACCCGCCTCGTCCTCGCCCGCCCTCGTCCCTCTTCAACATCCTCAAACGCACTGCTGTCCTCGTCGTCGCCCTCAATCCCGCGCCGGTGCTGCTCCTCGTCAAGAAAGCCGCCAAGTCCGCCCGCGTGGTCTGCGGTCCCAGCAAGTCCCGTCCGGTCTGTGCTGCTGTCGTACGAGTCTTCGCGCACCCTGCGGTGTTGTGGGAGAGACCTGGCGAGGTTGGAAGGGACGTATGCGCCGCGTTGTGCGATCCCGCCCCTCGCGTGAGAAGGAGGGTCGGGAACCTCGCTCTCGCTAATGGCCTCGAAATCGGACGACGAGGGCGAGTTGATGCCCGTCCAGGGAGACGTGTACGCTGCTGCACACGCACACACGCAACCTGATCAGCCCCTGCTCGATGCCCGCACCTCCTAATCCCCCGCATTCTCCGCCATCCGAAGCGCGATAGCCTCGTGTCGCGCGAGAGAGGCAGCGAGAGAGCAAGCAAGCGCACCTTCAGTCCCGCTGTCCTTGTTCTGCGCATCCACCGCACCGGCCATCGCGCCTCCCGAGTCGCGTGCGGCTGCCAAAGTTGTGCTCGGCAACGAAGAGTGAGGGGCGTGGCGTGAGTCGTCGTCGCGCGCAGGCGAGTGCGAGCTGCGCCTCGTGCGCTGTGTGCGTCTGCCGGGGTGTTGCGCAGCTTGTAGGCTCATCCCGGCTCGCAGCGAGGGCAGAGCGAGAGGAGCAAGACCAAGTGGGGCAGGCAGACGACCTCGACTTCAGAGCAAAAGTTGCCCCAACAGGGCAGGTCTTCTGAGGACGGAACAGTACCGTACAAGAGTCTGCACGTCACCCGGCGTGCGGCATCGACCCTCGCCTCCTGACCACCCTTACTGTCGCCGGGATGCATCGATCGAAACCCCTTGTCGCCTCACGCACCGAGCTAGCGAGGGCGAAGGGATCGCGGCAAGGTGACGTCGAGGCGGAGTGTCACACGCAAGTGAACGTTGTACGGGGTTCGGACGGAGGGGTCTTGCGACAGGCATTCAGCGGAGGAGAGGCGGCAATCTGCGGGAAGGGGACGACGTGTTCTGCGCAACGTCGGCGAGTGAGAATTGTGCAAAAGCTGTGGCGGGCAGTAGATCAGCGGGCATGAGACGGTAGAGCAGGGACGGCGGGAATAAAAGGGAATCTCAGGACGCACCCAGGCATTCCATTCGCGTTCGTCCCGCAAGAAACAGGCGAGTGCCACCGTCAGCGTGCACCAGGCGATCTCGACCAGGACGTGAATCAGCAGAAGCGGAGCGAGCGTCGGGAAGAACAGCGCCCAGAGAACCTCGAGAAGCGAGAGCGGAGCAGCCTCCCCTCGTCGCCATCCGTCCAACGAGTGAGCTGCGTATGTACACTCTAGTTGTCCTCAAGCCGCACGAACAGGTGCCTACTTCCACAGCCTTGCAACGTATGTCCATGCGAAGGGTGCTGTTCGAAGCGAACGAGGGTCAGCTCGCGCCCGACTTGATGGTTGGGCGGATGGGACGTACCGGCACGGAGGAGGCCGATGGTGATGAGGAACTGGCGGATCGAGAGGCGGGCCTGTTGCTTGGCGAGCGCCATCTGAGCTGGAGAGGGTCCCTGGCCTGCAGGAGGACGGGAGGCGCGGAACGCGAGCGGGAGAAGTCAGCGCCGCGCTAGAAAGTCTCTATGAGCCAGATCGGACTTACCGGCGAACATCTTGGTGCTTGGCGAGGTGTGCGGCGAAGTGTGCAAGGGTCAACCGCAAGCTGATGAGGACCTGACCTTGACCAACTCGCTCACTCAAGCCTGACAAGCTGTCAATGGCTGCTCTAGTGCTTCCTGGACAGCCGCTCTCTACACAAACGACCGGCGCAACCCTCGCTGCAGGGCCTGGGACGTGGATCCGAGGAGGACAGGTCTATGCGGCGTTGGTGGGCGAAGTCAGCCGGGAAGGCGGGGTGCGTACGGCTACAGGTGCTTGCTGAGTCTCCTTGGGCTGACCGAGCCCGTTCTCGCAGGTCCTGAGCGTCAAGGGGAAGGAGGAGACGCAGGCGATTCCTGAACCAAATGCTATCGTGCGTCCCGCCCTGCTCTCAAGCTAGTTCCGCTTCATTGACAGCGAGTGATACGACGCAGGTCATCGGAACTGTCTCCCGCATCACCCGACAAGCAGCGACTCTCTCCCTCCTAACCGTCGACGGGCGACCTTGTCGACCAGACTTTACTGGCATCATCCGAAGCCAGGACGTTCGACAGACTGCCAAGGACTCTGTCAAGGTGCGCGCCGAAGCGCTAGGTGCCTTTGGGATGCCGAGGTTGACGGAGGTCGCGACTTTGCACGCAGATTTGGTCTTGCTTCCGGCCTGGGGACGTTGTGCGCGCCAAAGTCGTGAGTATCCTGCCATCTAGCTGCTCTTTCTGACTTCGTACTGACCGTTGGCATCGTAGATCTCGCTCGGCGACTCTCGATCCTGTCCGTACCTTCGCTTCCACAACCAAGACTGCCCTTCTAACCCGCCTTCACCGCGCAGACTTTCTCTCCACCGCCGCGAACTCGCTTGGTGTACTGTTCGCCGTCTCGACTTCGACAGGCGAAGCACTGGAAGCGGTCAGCTGGGAGGAGATGCGGGATCCTTCAACTGGAGAAGTCGAGTCGCGCAAAGTCGCGGGTCCCGAGTAGATTTCTGGAGGTTCGCGCACGCCTGTCTTGTTGTAACCATATGCTCGTCGCATCATCCTCGCATCTAGTCCCGTACAAGCGAGAGTGGCCATCTTGCTCGCCTCCCCACCTCCCTTCACCTCCTCCGTCCTCCTGCACTCGTAGGAACGCTCGATTCAACCCGCCTTTCTCGCTCAAACACAAGCTACACACCACAACAATGGATGAGCACTACGACGTCGTACGCCTTTGCCCTCACTCGCTCACAATCTCGCTTCATCAGTCCGACTGACCCACCCCCCGACAACCTCGTCGCAGATCATCCTCGGCACGGGCTTGACGGAATGTGTCTTGTCGGGATTGCTGTCGGTCGAGGGGAAGAAGGTGCTTCACATGGACCGGTGCGTTGGCCGGCGTCTCGCTCTTCTTGCCGTTGACGGGGGTCCTGCACGATCAGCCGTGCAGAGGGCTGCTCGTCTCTCGGAACCAGTGGCAGAGTGCTGACATCTTGAACACACAGCAACGACTACTATGGCGCCGAATCGGCGAGTCTCAACCTCACCCAGGTGCGTTGGAGACCCGAGACGGCATGATGACGGTGTTGGACAAGCGCTGACTCCGTACCGCCATCATTCTCGTGGTCCCGAGACAGCTCTACAAGAAGTTCAGGGGCACCGAGCCGCCGGCAGAGCTGGGACGTGACCGCGACTATGCCGTCGACTTGATTCCCAAGTTGTGCGTGTCAGCTCCTTTGCTCCGTTCTTGCAAACTCGCTGACTCTCGACGTTGCAGCATGATGGCGAACGGCGAGATGACCAAGATGCTCGTCCACACCGACGTGACGCGGTACCTCGAGTTCAAGCAAATCGCCGGCTCGTACGTCCTCCGCGACAACCGCATCGCCAAAGTCCCATCAACCGAGATGGAGGCGATCAAGAGTCCGCTGTTGGGATTGTTTGAGAAGAGGCGCGCGAGGAACTTCTTCCTTTGGGTCCAGGGCTACAAGGAGGACGAACCTAACACGCACCAGGGTGCGTTGCCGTCTCCCGTTGCTGGTGCAAGCAGACCTAGCTAATTTTGTCATCCCACAGGATTGAACCTCGACAAGAACACGATGAAGGAGGTCTACTACAAGTTCGGCCTCGAGGCGGGCACGCAGGACTTCATCGGCCACGCCATGGCGCTCTACCTCGACGATGAGTGCGCTTGGCCAGCCGCAACTCGTCGCAACACGCTCGCTGACAACGACTTCGCGCAGCTACCTGAATCAGCCCGCCCGCGAAACGTACAACCGCATCATCCTCTACACCTCCTCGATGGCTCGCTACGGCAAGTCGCCCTACCTTTACCCTCTCTACGGCCTCGGCGAGCTTCCTCAAGGTTTCGCGCGTCTCTCGGCCATCTATGGCGGCACGTACATGCTCGACAAGCCCGTTGAGAAGATCGAGTACGACGACAAGGGCAAGTTTGTCGGTGTCACCTCGGGCGGCGAGACAGTCAAGGCCGACAAGGTCATTGGCGACCCCAGCTACTTTGTGGACCCCTCGGGCAAGGGCGGTGCGGACAAGGAGGACAAGGTCTTCCTCGAGGGACACGTCGTTCGCGCCATCTGCATCCTCCGTCACCCAATCCCGAACACGGACGACTCGGACTCTGTTCAGATCATCCTCCCTCAGAAGCAGGTCAACCGCAAGCACGGTGCGTTTCCTCTCGAGCGGTTTCGCGAAGCCCGCTGACGGCCGTCTCGCCCAGACATCTACATTGCGGGAGTCTCCTCGACGCACAACGTCTGCGCGAAGGACGTCTACATCGCGATCGTCTCTACCGTCGTCGAGACCGGCAACCCCGAAGCGGAGCTCGAGCCCGGTCTCAAGCTCCTCGGCCCCATCTACGACAAGTCCGTGCCGCTCTGACGTCTGCTTGATCCTGCCTTCTGATGCCCTTCTCGCAGGTTCATCTCTATCGCGCCCATCTACTCGCCCGCGTCGTCCGGTTCGTACGACAACGTCTTCGTCACCCGCTCCTACGACGCAACCTCGCACTTCGAGACGATGTGCGACGATGTCAAGGACGTCTGGCGCCGAGCGATGGGTTCCGAGCTCGAGCTCAAGAAGAGGGACGAGGAGAACCTCGATGCGAAGTAGACGACGCTCGACATGGACACTCTGCCTCGACTCTGCCTGCTCTCCCGCTTCCCGGCCCTCTGGTGCCTCATCGATTTCTGCAGTTCGTTCCAAACACTTTCCGCGCCGGTGTGAGAATGTATTTCTACCTTTGCAGCATGTCTAATTACGGCCGGAGGAACGAAAGAACGAAGAGATCCGAGAACGACAACAAAGGTACTGAGGAAGAGCCGGTCCAGCTGGCATCAATCTACAGGGGCGGCGGGCGCGAGCCATACGGTATCGCGGTTGCACCAACCGCTGCCCCGATCCCGAGCGAGTTGGGGTCGCCGTCCATCGTATCGAGCTGATGGAGCGGGCTCGTTTCTTCGCCGAGGCTCGTGAGGAGCGCATCGAACTCGGCAGGCGTTGTAAACTCGTGCGGGGTCGACGGTACGCCGGGGGAGAAGCCTGACGAGAGAGGCGAGAAGCTGGAAGAGTCGGGTGAGGCGGAGCTGAGTTGCGAGAGGAGCGAGTCGAAGTCAATGCCTTCTGCGGCCGATGTCGAGGCGGGCGGGGAG